GAAAAATCAATAATTTTATCATTTTTAAAATTATTAATTAATGTTGGAATATTTGTACAATTATTTATAAATGTACATTGTCCCATTTTATATACATTTCCATTACTAGTAAGAAATATACATAATTGATCTTTACATTTAAATTTAATTATTTTATCATTTAATATATAATTTTGTAAATAATCTATTTTATCAAAATTTGTTAATTTAGTAATTGATATTATATCGGTTTGTTTCTTCCAAAATCCATCACCACATCCATATATAATTTGTTTTTTATTTATTTGTTTATTATAACCAAATATATTATTATTATTAATATCATATTTATTCAATTCATCAACAATATCTTTATTATTAATATCATCATCTTGTTGGGGAGTTGTAATAGAGGAGGATAATTGATCATCGTGTAATGACATGTTTTTTAAAACTTTTCAGAATGGAATTTATCCTAATAGCGCAATTTAGGAATTGATGTAACCTTCTTTGGCAAAGAACGACACAAGCTGACCACAAGAAATGTTTCTAGAGAATGCTATTAACCAATCTTCCTTTGTGGTCGTAGGTGAAAAGAAGTGATTGAAATATTGTGGTTATTAATTGACAAGAATTCGTTAGTGGCAGGTTCTCTGAATACAAGAAATAGTATATATAACAAAAAATTGCCAAATACTCTTCGAAGATTCCTGTAATACAAGTATTCCAAACTAGAGAGTAAAACAACTGATAGGGTTGTTTTGTACTAGTAGTTCAAAGCAAACATCTCATATCCTGAAAACTTAATTTTGGTGCACCCTAGAGTAAACCTTGAGCTAATATTGTCAACCCGAGAAGAATGGCTATTCCAATACCATAACTGTATTAGATATAGTATGTTATATAAGATACACTCTAAGTTGGACATACACTAAATATGCATACACTCGCTTACGGCACCAATATTCAGTGATAAATCATTTTCTTGTGAAGTACATGGTATCTATGTCGCGGTAGTGTTTATCCTAGTTGATACTTGTAATTATCACTAGATTGTACGGTAATCAACAGTTGTTGAATGTATGTATATGTATGTTGAAATACAACAGTATAATGTGTATCTAGATATCATCTACTTATTTTATCGCCTGTCAAACATTCAGCGCAAAATGCATGTAAACCTATTGTAATCTGCAGCCTTCTAGTTTTAAAGTGTATTTTAGTTTTGGACATCCTCTTATACCGTCCCAAACATGACACCAGATAATGGTAACAATATAGTTGTATCAACTTATTATAAGTAATAATATCAATTTTAAACAAAGGACTTTTCACCTTGGTGTTAGCTTGAAGCAACTTTCATTATTTCAATCTGTTAAATTATTCGGCTCATGTCCAAATACTGGAGTTGTCCTAGCTTGAATCTTCTGTTAGTACGAATCTAATATTCATTGTCAAGGCACAATAAATCTGAAATTACTTCCTTTTCATGTCTTTCTAGGGGTCTAGAATTTGTTAATATCAAATATTTCACAAATTGTTTGAGAATGTTTTGAAACTGATTCTTCACAAAAGTAAACTCTTGAAGTATGATTTGGAAGATTACAAGGAGGTAATAACTTGTGAAGTTGATTTAAATCAAACTTTGTGATTGAGTTTTGTTTAACTTTGCTTCCACAATAAATGATAATATTTCCATAACTGACTCATTTGTTGTAATTGATGATGTATTAAATAATTGCTTGGAAAGAAGGTTATTATTTTGAATTATTGGAGATGTAAAATGAATTCAAAGGATGATCAACCAGTTCTAGATATATTTCTACAGTTAGCCTTGATTCCCTCAAACAGGTGCGCAGTTAAACAACCCAAAATTAGCTAAACCGTGAACTTGTAGTTGCATGGCGCCAAAACCTGTATATTTCATAAAATGAAAAAAACAACACAACATCCAATTCATGAAATAATCAATTAATATATATATACAACAACTACTACATCCAACATTAACATCAACAATAAATGAAGAATAATAATCTTAATACCTCAGTAACATCTACAACAACAACAAATCAAGATGGATATAAGGCTCAAACATCACATGTAGCATCAAGTAGGCTTCCAACATTAGATGATTTTGAACCACAACCTCCGATACAAGTTGAAATGGATAATAATTGTTGTATTGATTATCCTGAATCTCAACAACAACAAAATAATAATTTAATGAAAAATACAAATAATAATCAATCATTTAATAAGGAAATACAACATCAACAACATCACTCAACAACATTAGATACACTTTCAAAAGTATTAACACCTAGAGTTAAAAATATACATAAATATGAAGATGGAGATGGAGATGATTTAGAATCACAAAATGATCATGCAGATTGTTTACAAATAAGAACAGGTGTAAGAATATCTGAAATTATAACATCAATTGGATGGTTAATATGTATTGGTGTTTATTTATTTTATTTATATTCTTCTATAAATGGTTATTTAGATGCACAAACAAATCCATCCACTTCTATTTCTTATATTGAACAAGTACCTTTAAATTATCCTGCTGGTATGTTATTTTTATTATTAAAATATAATAATTAATATTAAAATATTAAAATAATTAATAATATAAATACATAATAATTTAAAAATATAATAATATAATTAAAATATAATAATATAATTAAATAGTAACAATATGTAATTGGAATGCAGAATATTATTGTGATTATTGTAATTTAACATTAAAAACATGTACAATGGTGAATGATACAGATGGTACAATATATGAATGTCCATTTAAATTAAGTGAAACAGTAATTGAACAAAATGGACAAGTATTTCAATGTTATGTATTTAATAATGATACAAGTAAACCATTAGCAGTTAAAACAACAGGATATGGTGGTAGTATTTCAATGTATTTTACATTACCACCTGTAAAATCTGATAGAGATTCAAGATTTGGATTACAAGCATCATTTCATGAAATTGGTTCAATTCCACTAGTTTTTGCTGAAACTAATTTTGCAATACCATACGTTGATAATTTCTTTACTTTAACTAAAATTGAAACTAATAGATTAAAATCAACTGAAGAATATCCATTACATTCAATACATTGGGATTCACGTATTTCAAATGTACAATTAACTTTTAAAGAAGATTCAATTGTTGTTGTTTCATTTGCTTATTCTACTTTAAATATTCATCAAGTTAGTGAAATTGCAGGTAAAACAATGTTACAATTATTAGGAGATTTAGCTGGAATGTTAGGTGTTTTATTAGGTATTGATATTTTAAAAGCATTGAGAGGTTTATTAGAAATACCACAAGTTATTCAACAAAAATCATTTAGACCTATTTATGAATTATTTAATTGAGATGATTTTTATATTTAATTGAAATTTTTATATTTAATTATATTTATATTTAAGTATATTTAATTTTAATTTAATTATTATCATTTCACAAGTAGTGAATATTGTCTGATCTAATTGCTAAATCAACAACAATGGTATTGTAGGTGCAAATTGTAATGCTAAACCAATTTGATATCATGAAACTTGTGTTTTATTCTCCAAATCCTTTAATCAAAGAATTTTTAGATAAAATTTATTAAATAAATTGCTTTACCTCCATATTTAATAATTATTTATTTCTATCATTATCTTTTCTTTCATTATAAAAAGTATTTCCTCTATTATCTCTTCTTTTATAATTATTATTATTATAATTTCTATTATCATTTCTATTATCATTATAACTTCTATTTCTATCATAATTTCTATCATAATTTCTATAATTATTATCTCTATCATCTCTTCTATTATCATAACTACTTTTATCATTATTCTTATCTTCAATAGTAGTATTTCTATTATCATTTCTATCATAATTTCTATCATAATTTCTACTTCTATTATTATCATTTCTATTTCTATCATAATTATCATTTCTATCATAATTTCTATTTCTATTATTATTATTTCTATTATTTCTATTTCTATTATTATTATTAGGACGTCTTTGTCTTTTATAAACTAATTTAGTTAAATTTTTATGTGGATCAGTTTCATCAAATAATTTTAATAAATTAATTTGATCAATAGAAGGAGCAGTAATTATATTTGAAATATTTAAATATTTATGATAATTATTATTTAAATTTAAATTTAAATCAATATTATTAAATTCCATAAATGGTCTATTACCTTCCATAAAAGTCAATATATTATTATAATCATTATATTTTAAATATAAAGTACCAGTATTAATATTATTAATTTCATTATCATTAATATTTGAATATTTAATTTTCCATTCATTAATAAAATTTCTAATTTTTAAATAAGGATCATTTAAAGTCCAATATTTTTTTTCCATTTTTGTATTTATATTTAAAATAAAAGATAATTCTTCATGTTTAAAAATTTCAATTAAATTTTGATTTGGTAATGCATGATAATTTAAATTATTAATCATTGAAATTAAACCTTCAAGTGGAGTTAAATTTGTTTTATCTGTTAATTCTTCAATTGTTGTTAAAATTTTAATTTTATCTTTAAATGTTTTTGTAATTACTTTTCTAAATTTAGTAATATTATTATTATTTGTAAATTCAACTTGTTCATAAAAATTATTATTTAAAGAAAATAAATGTAAAACATCAATCATTTTTAAATGATTATTAAAATATTCCATAATTGGAATTATTCCTTTAAATTGTAAAATACATGCACATAATTGTTTAAAAAATAAAATTGCATTATTTGGATCACTTTTCATTTCCATTTGTGTATATGGTACTCTACTTCCAAATACAGATATAAAATTATTACAATTAATTGTAAATTCAATTTCTGAATTATTTAAAATATTTAATTCAAAAATATTAAAATTAGATGAATTTTCAATTAATTTAAAATAATTTCTCCAATTTCTTATAAATCCTTTTTGAAAATATCTAAAATAATCACATCCACCTGCTAATAATGTAATACTAACAAAATCTAAACATAATTGATGAATATTTTTATAATTATTTATAGAATAATTACTATTTATATTAGAATTATCTATTTTTTTAAATTTATTTTTAGAAATAAAATTATATAAAAATAATTTAAAACTTGTAACATCAATAAAATTACCAGATTTAAAATGTTGTATTGAATTTGGTATTAAAATATAAAAAGAACAATTAATATCTGAATTAATTAATGGTATTAAAATCATATCTGAATCTTGTGATATAATTAATACTGATTTAGGTAATGTATTATTTTTAGAATATTGTCTTAAATGTTCAATTATTTTAGTTTCACCTTCACCTGATCTATTAGTAGATGATACATATATATCTATTTTTAATTTTTTACATATTTGGTATGTTAATTTAGTTATTGATTCATACATTAATTTACTTAAATTTGTACCAGGTGATATTTCTACACTTAATGATCTTTTACATTCTACATTATCTATATTTATATTATTATTATTATTTATATTATTATTATTAGTATTTGTATTATTATTAGATATATTTGTTATAGGAGTAGTATTATTATTATTAATATTATTATCATTCTCTTCATTGATATCATCATTTAATTTTCTTTTTTTTGGATTTTCATCTTGTTCATCATCATTTAATTCATCTTGTTCTTTTTCAATAATAATAATATTATTATCATCTTGTTCAATGAAATCTTCTTTATCTTCAATGAGATCTTCTTTATCAACTTGTTCATCATCTATATTATTATCATCTATATTATCATCTATATTATTATTATCATCTATATTATTATTATTATTATTAAATAACTGTTTATTTGATTTACGTGAAGTTTTAGCTCTATTATCTCTTTGTAAAAGTCTTTTAGATTTAGTTGCAACACCATCAAATGAAATAAACCAATAACTTTTACATTTAAATGATACTATTACATTTTCAATAGTATCTGTAACTGTATTTACTATAAATTCATCCATTTCTATATCCAAATAGCATCATATTATTATCATCTAATACCTATTGAAACTACTCATAGAACAACAACAACAAGTGTATTTACAATATGAGAAGAACAAGTATAATTAACAAGACTCCACCAAACTTGTCATCATTTTCATCACCCATTGGTAGTGGGGTAGGAAGTTTTTCAACACCTCCTCCACCAATGATGATGATACATTCCTCAACAATTAATGATGATGATGAACGTATAGAAGAAGATATTCCATTAAATCAAGAAGATGAATTAGAATTATTAGATCATCATCATAAATATATTGATGATCCAATAGAATATGGTGATCATCACCGTCATCATCATCATCACTCTTTTAAATCTATTAATAATAATAATAACAGCAATAATAATACTAATAATATATTATTGAGATCTAATGAAGATAATGAAAATAGAAATAGTATTGAAAGTGTAGAATCAGATGATAGTAGTAGTAGTAGTGAATCATCTGAATCTATAATAATATCATCTTCATATGATGAAAAAACATTACAACAACAATTTTATGCAAATATGGTAACAGAATGGCAAGTTAAATATTTAGATTATAAATATTTACTTGATAAATTAAATGATTTAAAAGATGAATTTAAACATTCTGATTTTAATATTAAAAATATTATATCTTCATCTATTAATTTAACAAATAGAAGAAATAATAATAATAATAATGATATAAATAATAATTTAATTGAAGATTTTAAATATTTACTATATAAGGAAATTAATAAGATTAATAATTTTTATTTAGAAAATGAAATTTCTATTAATGATGAACATAATAGATTATTAGAACAAATTAATAAAATTAATGAAATGTATAATGATAATAAATATGCAAGATCATTAATTTCTAAAGATAGTAAATCATCAAAATTAGAAATTTTAACATTTAATCAAAAACAAAAATTAAAAGAAGGAATTGAAGAACATTATTATAATTTAAATTTATTATTTAATTATAGATTAGTTAATTATAATGCTTTAATTCATATTACAACAAAATTAAATGAAATTACAAAAAGAAAAATTAAATTTACTTTTAATGAATTAAATGATGCAATTAATTATAATTCTAAAAATAATTCAATTAATACTCCTATTATTATTAATAATAATTTTAATAATAATTCTAATAATAATAATAATTCTAAATAATAATAATATAATAATTATTATGATACTATATATGGAAATATTAATTTTACAGAAATATTTGAAAATATAAAATTTATAAAATATCAATATTTTAAAAATTCTAATTTAATTGATAAACATATTAAAGATACAATTTATTATTATGCAGAATATTATTGTGAAAATGATATAAAATTAGCAAGTGAACAATTAAGTAAATTAAAAATAGGAGATATTGGTATTTTAGAAGTAAATAATTTAAAAGATATATTTACAAGTGGTATTTTATTAGGAAGTTTATTTATATTAATAATTATAAATTTATTTTATTATTTTTATACATATGAATTTACAAATAAGGAAAATATAGAATATGATGATCAAAGTTTTTCTTTATATAGATTATTATTATTTCCAACATTATTAACATTTTTTATAAGTATAAATATTAGAATTTGGAGTAAATATAATATTAATTATATTTACATATTAGGATTAAATCCATTAATGTGTTTATCAACTTGGAAATTTTTATCAATTTCATTATTAATTTTAAATATAATTTTTACAAGTCAATTAATTTACATGATGAATGTAATTTCCTATTTAAGTAATATTCTATTAATAGGACAATATGCATATTGGCATCCAATTATATTATGGATTATTTTTATTTTATATTTAATTAATCCTTTTAAAATTTTAAATTTTGAATTTAGATATTGGTTATTAAAATGTATTTTAAGAATGTTAGCATCTCCTTTTACAGTAGTTAGATTTTCTGACTTTTTTATTGCAGATCAATTAACTTCTTTATCTGATGTTTTATTTGAATTACAATTTATTGGTTGTATTTATCCTGCAACTTCAAAATTTTCAACAATTTCTTTATTTTGTTCTTCAACTAAAAGTTTAGGAATTCCAATTTTAAATTACATTCCATATCATGTTAGATTAATGCAATGTTTAAGAAAATATTATGATACTAGACAAAAAATGCATTTATTAAATGCATTAAAATATTTTTCATCATGTTTAGTCATTATTATTGCATTTATTGATAAATTAACATTGGATAATTCTAATAATATATTAATTGGATCATTTACAATATTACGTATTATATATATTATTATAAATATTATTTCAACATGTTTAAAATTATATTGGGATTTACGTGTTGATATGGGTTTATTTGAAAAGAAAACTAAATATTGGGGATTAAGATCTAAATTAATATTTTCACCTCAATATTATTATATGGCCATGTTTAGTAATATTATACTAAGATGGGTTTGGTTACCATTTTTATTTGTTAAATCATTTGTTAAAATTGAAAAGGAAACATTGGAATGGATTTTATACTTGTTTGTATTTTTGGAAATTTTAAGAAGATTTATTTGGAATATTTTCCGTATTGAACATGAAAATATTGCAAATATAGAAAATTATAGAGCAACTAAGGAAATTCCACTTCCATTTGATACAACAACTGGTACTGCACGTGTTGAACAGGTTGAATCTAAACGTAGATTTTTAAATAATTTTAATAATTCAAAATATGGTAATAATTTTATGAAGGCTTTAGATTTTATCAAATCAAATTTATTATGTTTTGGTCAACGTTATGATGATGATGAAATGTGGATTATTGATGAAGAAGAATTAGAAAAATTGAGAAGAGAAAATGCAAAGAGACCAAATTTACAAATTCAATTAACTTTACCTTTTGATTTGGATGCATTGAGAAGACAATATGGAATTGGTAATGATACAACTAATAATAGTACTACATTATCCAATGATGGTCCAATTGCTGGTGATAATAACACAGATAATAATGGAAGAGGAGTTAATCAAGAAAATGTCTAATAACACTTGGACCAACTCAACAATTGGGATAATTAGCAAGAAGAAGAACAATTTGTTATTCGTAATTATTCTACTCCATTGTAACTAACCATTAATAAAATTATTCTTATAAAATTAAGAACTTTAAGAAATTTATTGATAAGCACAACTCAATAAACTTTAATCCAGTCAACTTTTGGTGTAGAACTTTCTTGGTGCTCATTCAAATCATCTTCAGTATAAACAGCACTTGGAAGTTGAAAATGTACAAGATATTCCACTTGTTTGTTTTCTTGTTTTTCATACATTTCCTTCTTTTTGGGTGAGTTTAGTGCTATTGATTCCATCATTGAATTTGTTAAACTTGATGAAACAGTCAATCCATTATTATTAGTAGCATTTGTTGATGAGTTATTATTACTATTGTTATTGATATTACTATTTGAATTAGTGATAGCAGAACTTGAATTATTATTAGGTGATGTAACAGAATTTGGAGAAGATGAAAATGCAGCACTCAAAGATAGTCCACTCAATTTAACTCTTATTTTAAATTTAACATTGGATTCAAATGGTAAAACTCCAATTCTAATTTTTAATTGATTATTTCTCCTTTCAATTATGTGTTCAATTTCATGATCTAATTCCCTCAATTTTTCATCTTCAATTCCTAATTGTTGAACATCAGCTGAATATGATTCTAATCCATTATTTTCTTTTAATACTATTGTCTTTTTAGGTAAATTTAATTTAACATTATTATCAAATGATTCTAAATTTAAATATAATCTACATTCCTCATTTGGATTTGTAATTAATAAATATATATCTGATTCTCTATTTACATTTAATACTGGTACATTAAGTATTGAAAATTTAGGTAAAAATTTACTTTAAAAATATTAAAATTAAAATTAAAAAATTAAAAAACATACATTGCATTATAATTAATATCAAAATTAGTTGAATGATTTTTTGAATCTCTTTTAACAATAATTTCCTCTCCATATTTTTTAATCTTTTTAATACAAAGTGTTTTTCTCTGTGGATACAACATTGAAATGTCATTATTATTATTATTAGAATTATTAGAATTAAATGTATTATTATTATTATTTTGTAATTTACTTTCAAATGATATTAAATTATTATATGAATATTCACTTGATGTCATGTATTGAACTCTTTGATCACTTTTTTTTAAATAGGAATCTAAACTTTCATTTGATGAATGAGTTAATGGTTCAATTCCATTTCCATAATTAGAAGTATTACTATTACCAATTCTATTATTATTACTATTATTAGATGATGAATTACTATTAGTAGTCACAGTTACATAAGAATCTAAAACTATTGAAAATTTTCTATATTGTTGATTTGAATTTGAATTTGAATTTAATTTTTTAACATGATCAGCATATTTTCTTAATTGTAAATTAAAATCTGATTGTAATCTATTATCATTTTCCTTTACAATTTCAAATAATTGATTAAATGAATCATTTGTTTTTAAATTAATATCCAAAGTATCATAATAACAATATGGACATGATAAAAATGTTTGTAAATTTCTTGTAACTAAATTTAAATTACATTGACATGATGGACATGAAAAACAAAATTGACATTTCATCTTGTTAAACATTGCTTCACTTTTAGCAAATTCAGTTAAACATGATGGACAATAATAACTTTGAATTTCTTCTTGAATTTCATCTTTTTCTATTATATTCATTAAATGATTTAAATATAATTCATTTAATGAATATAATTTTTTATAATTTTGTAAAGTACTATATTTTACATTTATGGAAAGATCAGGTCTAATTAGGGAATGAAAATTTAATTTTTTAGGTGTTAATAATAATATATTATCTCCAAATTTTACATTTATATTATCATCTGATGGATATGAAAATTTAACTTCCATTTTATGTGTAAATGTTATTTTTGGTATATTCTTTTAATTAATTAAATAATTAAATAAATAATTATATAAAAAATAATTAAATTATAGTAAAATTAAATAAAATTAAATAATTAAATAAAATTAAAACATACAGTTTTTCTAATTAAATCATGTGGATCTTCTGATTTTTTATAATTAAATTCAAATATTAAATTATCATCATTTGTTAATACTTGATTACAATGTAATGTAATATTTAATACTATTTGAGATTTTGGAAATATAACTTGACTTGATAATAGACTATTACTACATCCATAACAATTATTATTACATGAACATGAAGATGATGACGATGATGATGAATTACTATTCAGTGATGGAAAATAGGCTTCGGATGAAATTTCAAAATATTTTGTATTTGGATTCTTAATAGTGAAGGCTATGAAATCAGTTGAACTATCATTAAATAGATAGAGACTAAATTTTGTTTTATACTTGTTAGGTACTATTATATTGTTGTTCATGAATTAAATTAATTAAATTGTTGTATAATGATTGATGAATTTAAATATTACATACATGGAAAGAATAAAGTTTTAGGCTCAAATAATAATGAATTAGAAGTATAATCAGATGATTGATTATAATATTGTTGTTGTTGAATAGATAAAGATTGTCTCATTGAACGATGTTCCTTAATAGAACCTGTTGATGATAGTGATGAAGAGAGAATATCATCTAAATTACTCTCCGAACTATTCATTCTATTTAAATCACATGATGATGAAGAAGAGGCTACTCGAGGAATATTTTCATGTTGATAATGATGATGGCTACTTGTCGATGATGAAGATGTTTGTATTATTGGAGGTGATGCTGATGAAGAAGATTGATTAATCATTTTTATTTACAAATTGCATTGTTGTTTTATAATAAATTATTATACAACTAATATTGATAACCTCCTTATTTGTGAGACATGTTTCTGGTAAGGATGAGCATATTCTTTGCTGTTTCCTTAGTGAGATCTACTGCATCATATAATTGAGTTTTGAATTTTGTAACACCTTCCTGAATGGTGTTATCAGTCAATAATCCATTCTTTGGATGAAACTTGTTTTTTAGCTGGTTTCATCATTCTAGTATTGGCAGGTGTTTGAAGATTTTCTGGAAGAAGTAATTAAGTTGCTTTCATTTGCCTTACCACTCACTGAAATACAAACTTCACAAATTTCCTTCTGTCAATCACATTCCAGCCAAACGAAATGGAAGTTCAATAACTTTACCAACAATGTCAATAGAGATACACTATTAGATTCTTTATCTTTCATTTCCTCAAATGGAACAGCAGCTAATAAATTTGCAAGAGAACCGAGTTGTTCCTTTAATTCTTCATCACTATAATTATGTGTTGGAAGCAACACTATAGCACGTAATAGATTTTCAGTCATTATTTGTTTTTTTTTTATTTGTTTTTTTTTGATTATTGTAAGGAGGAACAAGTTGTGAATGTGGAGCTCTTATTGGATTGTTGATAATGTGTATTCCTAAAATAATGATTTGATATTTATTATTATTATTGAGCTTTAGTTCCATAACAAAATTTCAAAGTATCATCATTCTCCTTCATTAGATCTTTAATTATTGAAACTTCATTCTCCTTAACAGTAACATAAATATTCTTATGTTTAAATTGTAAATTATTTAAACGAGTGATTTCTAAATTATTTCTTATAGCAGTTAATAATGTTTCTGTGCTATTGAGATCCTTCTCTTCTAAATACATCATTCTAGATTCATTATTTGCTCTATTACTAATTATGGCAGTTCTCTTAATTGGTGGAATATTTGTTGTTGATGGAGCTTTTTGCTTGCGTTTTGACTTTTTTGTAATCTTTTTAGGTTTAAATAGGCAGGATGTATTCCCATAATTTAGTTGAATAGATGAGGGAAGATGTTGTTCATCTTGTAAATTAGCTCCCAAATCTACACTATCATCATCACTCAAGACATTTCCTTCTTTAGTATTCTTATTCGTTTCCTCTTTGATTGAAAGTGTTGCACTCTCATCTATCCAACCTTCTCCCTTCGCATATGTATGAAGAGGTTTATAAAAATATTCCAACAACATTCCTCTATAGGCCTTATCAGAATAATTTTCATTATAATTTAACATGTCAGCAAATTTACTTATTTGTTCATAAATTAAATTATCATAGGAAAATTGTTGTTGTGGAGGTATTGGTAGATAGTCATATCTGTATACATAATATATATATTCTATTATAACATCCGATGAAGGGAGTGTTGGATATCTTGTATTTAATATTATCAGCATGGTGACATGTTAAATTGTTGAATAAACAAACTGGACATTTGGCAGTTTTTTTCTCTATCTTGTCTTGTTTGTTTTGATTGTTGTTTGTTTTGATGGGCATTTTGTTGTTATTTTTTTTTGTTTGTTGTGTTTGATGGTGGTTGAATTTGCCACTCAACACGAGAGAACTAAATTTTTTGTTTTGTAAAGAGACAGGACAAATGACATTTGAAGTTGAACAATCCAATCAAAAAAATGTAGGATGATTCTCTCTATTAGAGTCCATTTTAGTCCTGTAGAAGATTAGCTGATTAAATATAGTCAATTAACAAATTAAATATTTTATTGTAATCTTCTTTTATATTTTACAATAATTGGTTTATCAGGACCAACAACCATTGAAGTATATGAAGGAGATGGCATTTCACCACTATATTCCATATCATAATATCTCAATAGAATGGAAATTACACTTTTCACTTGTAAAAGTGCAAAATTTTCACCAATACATTTGTGACGTCCTGCACCAAACGGAATTGAACCATATTTAAACTTTTCATGTTCTTTCAATTCAGTAAAACGTTCAGGATTGAATTCGTCTGGATTAGAATAAACATCTTTACATCTACCAGCAGCCGAAGGTGAAACTACAATAATATTACCTTTAGGAATTATGAATTCTTCACATTGTCTTGGTTTTCTAGCCATTCTCATTACCATAATAAGTGGTGGATACATTCTAAGTGCTTCTTTCATACATGCTTCTAAATATTCCATTTTCATAATAGTTTCATAATTCATCTTTTCCTTTTCAAGTAATAATTGTTCATTTCTAAATTGTTGTTCAATTCTCTTATTAGAAATGATATTCAATAAAGTCCAAGTACTTGTAATGGATGAAGTATGTTGACCAGCAAATAAACCAGCAATTAAAATTCCAATTCGATGTTCATCTGTTAATTCTTGACCATCTTTATATTTTTGTAAAAGTAAATGATCAACTATATCCATTTTAGATTCATCTAATAAACGTTCTGGATTCTTTACATGTTCTTCTCTTCTCTTATTCAATAATTCTTGAAATATTTCACCAATTGCCTTTCTAGCAACATCACGTCTATTAGCAGGTAATGAAGGATAAAAGAATGATAACGCACTAATTCCCTCATCTATATCATGATATAATTTACCTAATTGTTTCTCACTCAAATATTCTCTGACTTGATCTCCTAATAGACAACGTGATGCTGTGAAAATTATCAAATCACTTAACAAGTCAAGTAAATTAAAAGTTCCTTCATTTCCCAATTGTTCAACTCTTTGTTTAACTTCATCTTCAATAATATCAACAAAGACTCTGAAACGACTAGTTGTTAAACCAGAACTAACAAATTTAACTTGTTCCATCATTCTTTCAGTTGACTCGGCGTCATAAACAACTCCATTACCAAATACAGGTTTCATAAATTTGTAAATATCTCTCAATGATAATTCATTATCTGTTGCTTTGAATACTGTATCTAATAATGTTGGATGATTAATAAATGTCATTTCTTTACCTAAAATGGTTGCAGTGAATATGTTTCCATATATTTTAGAATTTTCAATGACGAAATTTACTGGATTCTTGGCAAAACCAATAAATGATCCAAAATAAGGTATGAAATTAGGTACTCTTGGTGGTTCATTCTTCTTTCCTTTTTGAGAGGTAAAGAATCGAATGGAAATGAATAAAACCAATGCAACGATCAGTGCTATGAAAATATCAAAAATCTCCATTTGTGTGAAGTGTTGTTTGTTTTTTCTTTAAAACTCCTTGAAAAGAATCCACTCATTTCACACTTTTAAAACAATTATCAAAGTCCTTCAATGTCCATCAATGTCCACCTCTGAAATTTGTTGTTTGTTGTAAACTTTGAGTCGGAAAATGGAGTCTCTATTTCCTACAACTAACAACATGTTGATTGTAATACGGTCTACGAATCGATCATGTTTATTATTGTGTCGTTGCTAATTGTTGTTTCTTCATTAATTTCATTCGTTGATTTCTCTTTCGTTGTTGATTGGATTTACATAATTTGTAAATTGGAAGTAAATTCAAAGAAACATTTGATTGAACATTTTTAAACAAGTTTTCAGGTAAGTGAACAGATTGAGTATCGAATATCTTTTTGATTTTCTCCGCTGCTTTCTTTCCACCTATTAAAGGATATCCTAAAAAGGTATCACTACCTAAATCAAGATATTCTGTAATTAATTCAAATGATAATTCAAATTTTTTAGATTCCAATTGATCGATTTCAATTAACATTTTCTTACTCATTTCTAGATTAACTCCTTCTTCAATTTCATCTTGTAATGCGAAAACTCTTTGACATATTTCATTGAATGATTGAACTCTTTCCATAAATAGATATTTTGATAATTGATTATGTTCTTTACATAATTCTTTAAATTCATTCTGTAATCTTATGTCTGCAATTGTTTCAATCACTACTCTTGCATCTGCTTTTTTTAATTTTTCTAAAAACTTGTTGTCATTGACAGCTGACTTGATAAGTAATATAGCAGTTGATGGAATTATAATAATTAATACAAATACAGATAATACAAGATCAATAATTGCATTTAAATTCATATATTCGTCTTCATTACTTGCAGCTTTATCAGCAAGTATCAGAGCTAGGTCTAAACTTTGTGTGAAATTGACTAGGCTTGGATGATAATTCGAATAGAAAAATTTAGTATCTGTATAATTATTTTCAATAACTTGATTATAAAGATGAAAATGATTACTTTCCAATATGTTAAAATAATCTCCAATTCTAGTAATTACACTTGCCCTACTATATTTATCAGTGTTACCAGTATAAGGTACATCTCTTAATAATAGATGATAATCACTTGTAACATCAATCATTGTTTCATTAATTTCCTCAACTAACAACTCTACAATTTCACTTTCCATAATAATTTTGTAATAAGTATTTAATCTTATTAAATTCTTTGATAATTGAGTTGTGTGATTAAATGTTTTATTTTCAGTATTAGTTTCTAATATTAAAGTACATGCAGATAGAAATGCCATCATAAATAATGTAATAATTGCTAATAACATGATTAATACTGATATTATTCTATCACATGATAATTGTAATTGTCCATATTTGGTATTTATAATATATTGTTGATCTTGTTTTGGAATTTTAGGTGGTATTGTTACACTAGTGTTATATTCTTGTTGACCTTCTTCAATTTTAACTATTGTATTACTAGTTTGTTGTAAAGGTTTATTATTACTAGTCAACTGTGTATTATCAATATTGTTATTATTATTAGATGAAGAATTGAAGGCATCTTGTTGAGTTGAAGTTGATTCATAAAATTGTTGTTCAGTATCAATCTTCATTGAATATAAAACATTCTCCATTTCAACAAGATTAATTTCATTGTTTCGAACAGTTTCGTCAAGAGACATTTTTTTGTGTTTAATTGACTGTGTGAAAGATTCATGGATGTCAATATTGCAAATTGAAAATAGTAGTTTAACATTCCAAAAACATCTAAAAAGGTAAAATAGAGTTCGTAAAGTGAAAGATTCCAAAATGATTTGCTGGCTCAAATAAGAATCGCATAAATAAAAGATTCTAATTCCGATTCTAGTGGATATTGTAAGTTGTGTAAAGTAACATTCTTATTGTGTGATTGCTGATAATTTGTTCTCTTAATGGAATAATTGTTAATAAAAGAACCAGTTGACCATGAGCTCAAAAAGGAAATAATGTGAAAAGTCGAATAATGGAAAAGTTACTGTTGTTTATTTTTCATAATTTCATGTTTGTCTTGTTGTTTTGCAATAATTTTAATTTTTCTTTCATTTCTCTTTCGTTGTTGATTGGATTTAAATAATTTGTAAATTGGAAGTAAATTCAATGAAACATTTGATTGAATATTCTTGAAGAGATTTTCAGGCAAATTCATTGATTGTGTGTCGAATATCTTTTTGATTTTCTCAATGGATCTTTTACGACCTACTAATCTAAATCCTAAAAAGGTATCACTACCTAAATCAAGATATTCTGTAATTAATTCAAATGATAATTCAAATTTCTTTGCTTCTAAATCATCAATTTCAATTAACATTTTCTTACTCATTTCTAGATTAACTCCTTCTTCAATTTCATCTTGTAATGTGAAAACTCTTTGACATATTTCATTAAATAATTGAACTCTTTCCATAAATAGATATTTTGATAATTGATTATGTTCTTTACATAATTCTTTAAAATATGATTGATATCTAGGATCTGCAATTGTTTCAATCACTATTCTTGCATCTGCTTTTTGTAATTTTTCCATAAATTTGTTGTCATTGACAGCTGACTTGATTAAAATTAGACCAATTGATGGAATTATGATTATCAATACAAATCCAACTAGAGACAAATCAATGATTGCATTTATATTCATATATTCATCTTCATTACTTGCAGCCTTATCAGCAAGTATCAGAGCTAGGTCTAAACTTTGTGTGAAATTGACTAAACTAGGATGATAATTCGAATAGAAAAATTTAGTATCTGTATAATTATTTACTATAATCTCATTATAAATATAATTATGATTACTCTCCAAAGATTTAAAATTTCTATTTAAAATTGTAACAACTCTGGACCTACTATATTGAGCAGTATTTCCATAATAAGGAATATCAATTAATAACTTGTTGTAATCCACTTTAACATCAATCATTGTTTCATTAATTTCCTCAATCAATAATTCATCTAATTTACTTTCCATTAAAATAGTATAATATGCATTCAATCTTATTAAATTTTTTGTAACTTTTGTAAAGTTATTAAAAGTTTTGTTTTCTGTATTAGTTTGCAAGAAAATAGTACCAGTAGATAATATTACTAATATTAATAATGTTATAATTGCCAATAACATGATAATAAATGCCAATATTCTGTCAAATGTCAATTCCAATTGACCACATTTAGTTTTTATAATAAATTCCTTCTTTCGTTGAATTGATATATTCTTATTAATATTAACACCATCATTATTTCCTTCCTCAATAATTTTTATCAAAGTACTACTACTTGTACTCTGATCAAAATATTTAAAAGTTGACAACTGTTGTGAACTACCTGTTGTTGTTGTTATAGAAGTTGAATTATTTAAATGTGCAGAAGGTAAGGAAGATAATATTGTTGATGTTATTTGTTGTTCTAGTTGATTTGTACTATCGATATTCAAGGTGATGAGAAGATTCTCCATTTCAACAAAGGTAATTGAATTGCTTTGTTGTTGAAGAGCATGTTGAAGAGACATTTTTTTTAGTGAAAGATATCGCAATCGTGATTGTTGGCTTATGTGGTGGTCAAATGTCTATAAAAGATACCAAATGTCAACATGTCATTTTTCCTTGGTATGGAAACTATCTCTATATAGCTAATGGTTGTTACAATTGAAGAATAAAAGAGACAAGTGTCTTGAAAATGTTTTACACTACGAACTACGAGGATTGTAATCATGATTATGTACTTTCAATTTTCATAGTTGAATTTTAAATTCTTAAAGAGTAATTGAGTTGACTAAATACTATTTGATTGTTAAATTAAAGATCTATCAAACTAAATTAGTGATCAACTTCAGAAGAGTCTTCTTAATTAGAATACTAATATTTTCAATTTGTTAGATTAGGAATAGTCTTTCTATTAGATTTAAATAATTTAAGTGTTGGAAATAAATGAATTGAAATATTTGATTCAATAATATTAAATAAATTTTCAGATAAATTCATTGGATTGTATTTGAATTCCTTATTAACTTTTTCAATTAATTTCTTCCCGCCAATTTGTTTCTCACCAAGAAAATATTCACCTTTCGAATTTAGAAATTCTGTAATAATTTCAAAGACAACTTCACATTTTTTAGATTCAAATTTATCTATTTGTATTTCACTCAGGTTAGTATTGGAATTAGTGATGTAATTATCTATTGAATTTAAATTAAATATTTCTTCACAATATTCTGAATATAGTAATGATTTTTCCAAAAATAGAAAGTATTTTAATTGTTGATGATTTTTACAATATTCTTTAAAGGAAATATTCAAATAAGAATCTGAAATAAAATTTAAAACTTCTTTTGCATTCACTTTTTGTAATTTTTTCATAATTTTGTTATTATTTCCAATTAAGGCAATACAACTAGTTGGAATAATAATTAATAAAGTCAATCCACATATTATAGTTCCAATTATAGCAGTAGAATACATAAAAATAGTTTCTATTTCATCATTTTTATCACTTTTCTTCAAAGCAATTTCCAAATAATTTTGTACATAATTTTCAATTCCATAAATAAATTGATTTTTATAAAATTCCAAATCTTTCTTATTTTTAGTTAATAATTCATATAAATAATTATAATCTTGTTCAATTTTAACAATTTCCATTGGTCTAATATATTCATTTCCATTATTGGAAATTTCAAAATAATAAAGTGCTCCAAATAATGCTTTTTCTTTAAATTCCATAAAAGTAGAATTAATTTTTAATAACCATCTATCATCTATTGTAATATTAGTTGATAAAATGATATGAAAATAAGTAGATAATCTATTCGAATGTTGAATAGTTTGATGTGATGTTTTGTAAATTGAATGTTCATTGTAATTTTTCAAGAAGAATGCATAGATTGTAATAATTGAAAGAATGAAAAGTGAAAATATGGCAATGAACATGATTAGGAATGTTAATATTCGTTCAATGCTCATTTCAATACTGCCACATTTAGTATTAATGATAAACTTTCGTTTCTTTCTATTCGAAAGTTTATATGTTGATGATGGCAAAATAATGTTGTTTTTGTTATTATTATTGAATTGATCTTGTTGTTTCCGAGAGGGAGAAGAATCCTCTTCTAACAACTCCAATGTTGAAGAGCTTGTTGTTGGTGTGGACATTTTTTTTATGACAGGTTTCGGATGAATATCTTCCTAAAACGGAAATTTAAAATATTCTGGAAATGGATAGCGCTGTCGACAATACTTACAACTAAATAATTGAAACAAATGTTGTTTATTGTAACGACTTGGTTGAGATGAATTTCTTATTTTTAAGATTTGATTGAAATGATTTGAGTGTTGAAATTAAACAAATTGAAATATTCGATTCAATTTCATCTAATAAATTATCAGATAAATTCATTGGATTGGATTTGAATTCCAATTTCACTTTTTGAATTTCTTTCTTCCCGCCAATTTGTTTTTCACCAAGAAAATATTCACCTTTCGAATTTAGAAATTCAGTTTTGATTTCAAAGATAATTTCACATTTTTTAGATTCAAATTCATCAATTCTAGTTTCTATAGAATTGGTACTACTATCATTCAAGTAATTTTCAATTGAATTTAAATTAAATATTTCTTCACAATATTCTGAATATAGTAATGATTTTTCCAAAAATAGAAAGTAATTAAGTTTTTGATTTTCTTTGCAGAATTTCCGAAATGGATCGTTCAAATAAGGATCATTTATAGTTTTCAAAACCTCCTTTGCATTGACTTTTTGTAATTTTTCCAATAATTTGTTATTTCTTCCAAAAGTAGCAATAAAACCAGTTGGAAGTATAATTAGTAATATCAAGGCACAAACAATAGTTCCAATTATAGAAGTAATGACAATATAACTTGATTCTCTTTCATTAATAGCTAGACTATATCTATAAGCACTCAAAAGATAATCCACATTGAAACTTTCAACACTTTTCACAAATTCATTTTGAAAATATTGAAATTGACTTGTCTTGTTAATATTTTGTAATAGTAGTGAATTGTACAAGTGTTCATATTCTTTCTGAATGTCTTTAACTATTTGTGGTAATTGAATTTCATAATAATCAACATAGAAAGAATGAAAAATTGCCCATTCAGAAGCATACAACCAATTCTCAAAAGTTGAATTGATTTTTAAAAGCCATCTGTCATTAATTATTATATCAGAAGATAATACTATTCTCATATATGTTGATAATTCAATAGAATAACCTGTTGATTTACCACCATAATAGTAAACACTTAATTCTTTATAACTTCGAATGAAACCAAATCCACTCATTATAGCCAAACCAAGAAGAGAAGCAACAACCACAAACATGACTAGAAAAGTTAATATTCTTTCAATGTCAAATTCAATACTTCCACATTTCGTATTAATCTTGTATTTTCGTTTTTTTCTTTCCGAAAAGTAATTATTTGTTGTTTCTTTATTGTTGTTATTGTTATTGTTGAATTGATGAAGTGGTGCATTGTGTGGTTCAATCTTCACTGATAATTCAAATGTAGACGTCGATGGATTTAAAGTCATTTTTTTTCATGTGGCGCTGCGCAAGTTGATTAGCTCGATGATATCTTCCTAAAAAAGAAAGCTCTTGAAGGTAAATTAGTAAAATAGTAAGATCATGACATTAACGAGAACGAAAGAAGTAAAAATTACTCGAATTGCATTTAGAAAGTCGTAAGTGGTCACCTTAATTCTATTTTGATTCACTTAATTTTTTGGCCTGCAACTTGCTAACCACACATCTTCATCAATTAAATATTATCATTACTTTTTTGATTTCTAAAATTATTAAAATCTAAGAAGAAAAAAAAATGGCTCCACAAGCAACCTGTCAATTTCCTTTACTTGTTTGATTCATCAACAATAATTGAAACTGTACAAAAATCCGATCGATTCGTCTCATTCTATCCCGATATAAATTTGAGTGGAAATAAGAGTGAAATAGAAAATTCTGATTTTATTGGTCGTTTTGCACCAATCAAGTTTATTCTCTTCCGATTATTTTATTGTTATGTGGTAACCAAAGATGATGAATTATTCATGTATAGGAAGGGAATTTGGTGGAAATTAGAATTACCATTTATTACTGATCGGAGGAATGAAACAATTATTGAAATTAGTGCCTCCTATTGTAATATCTTATTATTGGTACAGAATAGAGTGACATGTAAGACGAAAGTGTTTGGATACAATATATATATACTGGTAGTGGTTATTTTGGAGAGAATGTTAAACTTTATCGTGGAGAAACTGAATCATTTGATCAATTATCATTTGAAAAATCAATTACGCCAACATTTGACATTAGAGATTGGCATGAAATTTTGGATTTTGAAAATTGTTTGGAAATGGATGAGTTTGTTAGATTTATTTCATGTGCATCTTCAACTATTGTTTATTTAACATCCAAAGGAAGACTATTGGCTAGTGGATGTAATAAATTTGGAGAAACAGGTCAATCAACAAGTCAAATCTCAAACCTTTCTCAAAAAAGAATTATGGAATGTAATTTAGATGAACAGCAGAGTATTAAACCATTTTTTGTAAAGGTTGTAAATGGAGATCATAAAACTGTGGCCCTTACAAATGATGGAAAGGTTTTTTGTTGTGGAAGTGAATTTGGGGATTCGTTGAAAGAGTTTCCACTACCAGATTCAAATACTAATGAATTTGTTATTGATATTGCTTCTACATATAATGGAGTAGCTCTATTAACAAGTAAGTTTCCTCATAATAATATGTGTTTTTTACATTGAATTTCAATTAGACAAGTTCCATATTTATTCCCCAAAAAATCACAAGATTGAAATTACGAAACTAATAAGAAAGAAACCTGAAACTATCAAATCATGCAGAATTTATTCTTCGGGTAGAGAATTTTTCATAGTTATCAACAATTCAACAATTTATCGAATGAATGACTTGGTTAGTAACTCGTTTTTCATTCTGACACCCATCTACACAACTAGCAATATTAAAGGAGATTCCAAATTATCCATCACTTCTGAATTTCTTGATATAATTTATTGGAGAGAGGATTATTTTACTCATTCTTTGAATATGAAGACTATGACTGAAAAACTGAAAAATAGATTGAGGGATGGTGTATTTACTGATACGATGATTCAAGTAATTTCCTCATCCATCAATCAATGATATCTTTGTAATAATAGTACTATATAGTTTATGATCCCACCACTCAAATATAGAGTGTCTTTAACTTCCTTCAATAATTAGATCACTTTGTTATGCAGTAGTGCTTTCCAATGCCGATTGTTAAAATATCAGACAATTTCTCTAAATCATTCAAATTTAAAAAAATGGGTCAACGAAACAGTCAAGATTTTGAAAATCATCATACGAATAATTCGGAGGAAATATTCACAATTGACCATAATAATATGGTGAAAGCAAAACAGAAGAAAAAATTTGTGAAACTCCAGCGACAAGAAATATTTTCAGATGATATTTGTTTTGAAATAATTTCAATGATTGATGATTCGTGGTTTATTTTAAATAATTGCACTTTAATTTCAAAACAATTCTTTAATGTGATCAAGGAACGTTCAAAACTTGTTATTCAATTTAAAAACAAATTTACAAAGAAAAGAATTAAATTATTCAAGAAAAGTCAATTTAGGAATAGTATTGTTAATGTTGAATTTTCTGGATATTTGCTTGGCTCGAGAGAAAGAGTCAAATTCATTAGTGAAATGAAACAATTGACATCACTTGATATTTCTCACAATCTAATTGGTTATGAAGGAGCCAAATATATAAGTGAAATGAAACAACTAACATCACTTAATATATATTACAATCAAATTAGTGATAAAGGAGCCAAATATATAAGTGAAATGAAACAATTAATATTACTTAATATTGGTAGCAATCGAAATTGGTGATGAAGGAGCCAAATATTTCAGTGAAATGAAACAATTAACATCACTTAATGTTTCTAACAATGAAATTCGTGATGAAGGAGCTAAATTCATCAGTGAAATGAAACAATTAACATCACTTAATGTTTATGACAATCGAATTGGTGTAGAGGGAGCCAAATATATAAGTGAAATGAAACAATTAACATCACTTAATATTGGTAGCAATGAATTAGTGATGAAGGAGCCAAATACATAAGTGAAATGAAACAATTGACATCACTTTATATTTCTAACAATCGAATTAGTGATGAAGGGGCCAAATATATAAATGAAATGAAACAACTAACATCACTTAATATTGGTTACAATGAAATTACTGTTGAAGGAGCTAAATTCATCAGTGAAATGAAACAATTGACATCACTTTGTATTTATAACAATGAAATTAGTGATAAAGGAGCCAAATATTTAAGTGAAATGAAACAATTAACATCACTTAATGTTTCTAACAATGAAACTAGTGATGAAGGAGCCAAACACATCAGTGAAATGAAACAATTAACATCGCTTTATATTTATGACAATCAAATTGGTGATAAAGGAGCTAAATATATAAGTGAAATGAAACAACTAACATCACTTAATATTGGTTACAATGAAATTAGTGATGAAGGGGCCAAATACATAAGTGAAATGAAACAACTGACATTACTTTATATTTATAACAATGAAATTAGTGATAAAGGAGCCAAATATTTAAGTGAAATGAAACAATTAACATCACTAAGAAAATAAGCTGATTGTACAGTAACACATCAGCAAACTTTTAACCATATCACGATGAGCGCCTCAAAGAATCATCGGGCCACATCAGTATGGTTCAGTATGGCTTGGTGTTTACTGATACGATGATTCAAGTGGTTTCCTCTTCCATCAATCAATGATATCTTCGTAATAATAGCAAGGAATTCATTTAGAGTTTTATGATCTCACTACTCAAAATATATATAGAGTAAGAATTCCTCAAACTCTTCAAGTTGACTATTGTTTTGAAAAATTGTAAAGAGTTCTCTTTTGTTTTTGCGTGGATTGAAATGACTTGAGTGTTGAAATTAAACAAATTGAAATATTCGATTCAATTTCATCTAATAAATTTTCTGGTAAATTCATTGGATTAGATTTGAATTCCTTATTAACTTTTTGAATTAATTTCTTCCCGCCAATTTGTTTCTCACCAAGAAAATATTCACCTTTTGAGCTGAGAAACTCAATCATGGTTTCAAAGATAATTTCACACTTTTTAGATTCAAATTCATCAATTCTAGTTTCTATAGAATTGGTATTGGTACCATTTAAGTAATTTTCAATTGAATTTAAATTAAATATTTCTTCACAATATTCTGAATAAAGTAATGATTTTTCTAAAAATAGAAAATATTTCAATTGTTGATGATTTTTACAATATTCTTTAAAGGAAGTATTCAAATATGTATCAGACACCGTCTTCAAGACCTCCTTTGCATTGACTTTTTGTAATTTTTCCAATAATTTGTTATTTCTTCCAAAAGTAGCAATAAAACCGGTCGGAAGTATAATTAACAGAGCCAATCCACATAGTATGGTTCCAATTATAGCTGTCGAATCCATATAAAGGGTCTCAATAGCATCATTCTTATCACTTTCATATAGTGCCTTCTCTAAATATTCTCTAGTTGCGTTATTCAAATTCGAAACAAAATGATTCGAATACTCTACTGCTCTACTCTTATTACTAACCAATAAACTATACAAATATTGATAATCCCTTCCACTATTCTGTAAATACAGAACCATTACAGGTAAATTCTCTTTCCCAAATTTACTGGAATCAGCATTGTAACGAGCTGTAAATCCTATCGATTCCTCATAATGTGAGAATGTATAATTGATTTTAAATAACCATCCATTATCTATAGTAACATTATTAGAATTGAGAATTATTGTTAAGTAGGTAGAAAATCTATTAGAATATACTAATGATTCGGTTCCATAGGAATAAACATATGTTTCACCATATGCTCTCAAGACGAATGCATAAAATGTAATGATTGTAAGAATGAAAAGTGAAATTACAGCAATAAACATGACAATGAAAGATAATATTCTTTCAATACTCAGTTCTATGCTTCCATATTTCGTATTGATGATAAAATTTCGTTTCTTTCTATTCGAAACTTTTCCGGTGGTAAATTGTTGATGAAATGTAGTAGATGGAGTGGATGGTGAATGAAAGAGTGCTTTCTCTTCAAGCTCTATCAATGAATTTGTTGATGTTTGGACTTGTGGATGTTCTGCTGACATTTTTTATTGGATGTGTTGATTAGAGTTTCGTTTAAAGAACTGGACGAAACACAAAAAGAAATAGTGCTCCAAAAAACTCTCTCTACCCTAAATCATTTGAAGTTCAATAAATTGTAATCCCAACATATGAATATATTTTTGCTTTGAACTGTGAAAACCTATTTTTAAAAAATTGAGAGCGAACGTTCGCTCAATATTTAAAAAAATGAAATTAACAGAAATAATTCTGGTGGTGTCTTTGACTATCATCATTTATCAACTAGGATATCTATCTAACAACAGGTATCAAAATGACCCGGAACAACCATTGGAAATATCTGGTTTACCTAACCCAATTTGTAGAGGTGATATTTGCAATCAAATGGCTATGCAAAGTTTATTCGAACAACACTCAGAACTAATTCTAAAGATTGTAGAACGGATTAACAAGGAAATTACAGAACATACAAGGATTGGAAGACGCTCATTTTCCTTCAAATTAGACTATACACCAATTGATACCGAAACTTTGCAAGAAATTAATAGTGTACTCATGTTTCATTACCGACCAAGGAAATTTGATATCCACACTTATTTTGTTTCAGAACAAAAATCTAGGAGGGCAACAAGCCTTCAAATTGATGTTTCTTATGCACAATACTATAAAATCATTAACAAGTAGGTGAGAATACAATTGTTATAATTATTGTTGTATTGAAATATTGTAAAATGATCTTTTCTGTTTTTGCTTGGATTGAAATGATTTAAAAGTCGAATATAAATGTATGGAAATATTCGATTCAATTTCATCTAATAAATTGTCAGATAAATTCATTGGATTGGATTTGAATTCCAATTTCACTTTTTGAATTTCTTTCTTCCCACCAATTTGTTTTTCACCAAGAAAATGTTCACCTTTTGAGCTTAGAAATTCTGTTTTGATTTCAAAGATAATTTCACACTTTTTGGACTGCCACTTGTCAATTTCATTCTCAATATTTGGAATATCATTTGGATCTTCTAGAAATAGTTCTGTATTATGATCAAGATTGTAAATATTTTCACAATATTCTGTAAATTGAATTGATCTTTCCAAAAACAGAAAATATCGTAATTCTCTATTTTGTTTACAATATTCTTTGAATTGTGGTCCAAAATGTGAATCCAAAATAGTTTCCTTAACTCCCTTAGCATCAACTCTTTTCAACTTTTCAATTAATTTCTCATTATTCATCAAAGTTTTAAAAGTAATTGAAAAACTCAAAGGAATCATGAAAATTAATAAAATCAAAGTTAACACCAATCCAGCAATGGATAGTCCATTGATATAATCATCCTTAGCTCCAATATATTTATCACCGAGTTGAAGAACCATCTCATATAAAATCAAAGTATCATTTGTTAGACTCATAACATTCGAATAAGTTTCCTCATCTCCAATTCCCCAATAATTATATCTCCTTAAAAAGAATTGAACATGACCATCTATAGTATAAATAATATGATATGCATAATCAATTAATGATAAATCACTTGGAAAATATCCTAATTGATTAATTCTCTGAACATCCAGACTAATGTCTTGAAGTGATGTCAATAAATTAATTAAACTAGAATTCGTTTTTTTTACAAAATTTTCACTCACAATAAATTTATACTCAACCATAATTTTCATTAAACTAGTCAATTGATTCAATTCAATATTTGATTTAGTAATGTGGAAATAAACTTCATTTCCTCTATAGGCAACAAGAATTGAAGAATAAAAACAAGCAATTGACAATGATAACATTGAAATAATTGTTAGAATCATTATTAGAAAGGATAATATGTTATCGAGGGTTATTTCTAATTTACCCCATCTAGTTGTTATGGAAAAGAGTTTACCTCTTAAATGATGTTTAGTTGGGAGTTTTCGTTTAAATTCTTTTTCGTTTACTTGTTTAGTTTCGTCTATTAAAATTGTTTGAATAATGGATGATGAATTATCAATAATTGAATTATTGGTGGCTACATCTTCATCCCGATAAATGGTTTCAAGTTCTTGTTGTGACATTTTTTATTAAATCAACAACCGACATTTGACACTTTTGCAATGTGAAGAGCTCCCCTTTTTTAGAGTTAGTTTGAACAAACTCTTTATTTCAATTTTTTAGAAGGTGTAGAGTTGTCATCATTTGTTTCAACAACTCTAATCTTTCCTCTTTTTCTTTTACCTAATTCAGCTTGTTGCTTTCTTGAAAATTCAGAGAATGAAACACAATGATCTTGTTCAACGTGTGATTTAAACTCTTCCATTGTAAACACTTCATATACATTTTCCTTACACACTTTACAATATTTAACATTTGGTGAAACGACTTTAAATGCATTTGATTTCAGTGGGCATTCATATTCCCATTCACAATTTTCAATAAATTGACGATCCTTATCAACTCTAAATAAATTAAATCCAGCAATTGTTGTTCTTTCCTTTAAAAGTGGCAATTCATTGGGAAATTTGTTATCCAAATGAATAATTCTCCTCCTCATGACATGCATCCAATTTTTCACATTCACACTTGTTGAATAATTTGGAAAGTAGAAGAGAACAAGTGGTTTCCAAATTAATTTTTGAATGTTAGAGTCCTCAGACTTGCTGTATTCACCCTTGAGAGCTACAATTCTACTTTCAATATTCTTCTTACTCAATTCCTTCTTTCTCTTTGCAATTGCATTCACCTTTTCAGTTGTTAAATTGAAGAATAAATCCAACAATTTAGTGTCACATCTGGCAAAATTATTCAAATCGGAGAGTGGTAAGAAAGTGCCAACAGTAATTAGTAATTCCTTGGTGAAATCGTCGTGCAGAGACATTGATGATGTTTTGCTATTTTTTTTGTTTAGATTTTTAACTTTGTTTCAACGTTAACTAACTTGCAACCAAACTTTTAGGATGTCACATCCACAACCTGGAATGCATTTATCCGAATGTTGTTACATTGTAATTTTTCTACAATCCATGTTGCAACATTCTCTGTAAATTGTAACATGGTATGATAATTATTTATTTAAAATCTGCTGCTGATTGTATTGGCATTCTCCAAAATGAAAAACTGTTAAATTCGCTCGTAGAAGGTTCATCAACCTTTTGTTTAAGATCTGGAAACATTTCATCAACAAGTTTGTAAATATTCCAATAGGAATCATGACTAATTCCATAAACTTGAATTAAACCTGTTGGGTTGATTGTGAAAATCTTGTGGTCTGGTACTCCAACGAATGAATATGAAATTTGATCATTCACTCTGTTACCAAATCCAGCAAAGAATGGATTTGAATCTTGTGGGAATAATTCCAAAACATCTGAAAGAGCTGCCTTTTTGAATTCTTCAGGTTTCTTTAAAATAACTTCTCTATGAAGAGCTGCAAAAAGTCTATCGGGAGACATTACAACAGGTCCTTCTGGTAACATGGCATCTTCTTGTTGTAATGTGAAAATATATCTCTTTGTACTTCCAGATTGAATAATAGACCTAGAGGTGAGGTATAAAATTCTATATCCATTTTCTGCTATTTTAGAATAAAGTTTACCAATACCACTATGTGACCAATCTTGGCCAAGCATTGGTAAAATATGTCCAAGAGCATCTGATTTGGTAATAGTTCCATCTACATCTGAAATGACAATCTTATCTGAATATTTCCAAAAGTAAATGTATGCATTAACCTCTTGAGTCCCCAAAATTCTACTCGTCACTAAAAATTTAATTTCATTCTTTCCGTCCTTTAATCCTAAAGACTTTAACTCATCTGATGTTGGTTTTAAACTCTTTTTCAAAACTCTGAATTCTCCTGTTGGATCAAAAACTTGTGGTTGATTATTAACTCTATTCACCTCATTATTGATTTGTGTTGTTGTTGGGTTGACAGCAGACACAGAATTAGTGGAACCTGATCCTGGACGAGACCAAAACCATTTCCAGTATGTATTTTCATTCTTTTTTTGAAGGTTTGGATCTGCCAAATGAGTACTTGATTGAGTATTGGGAGTTATTGCTATTAAATTAGGAGTAGTTATGAGAGGGGTAGTATTTTCTTCAAGTGGTGTCGTTACTACAATTGATTCTGAATTATTACTTGTTTCAATCTTGTTGGGTTTAGGTGAAGGAGGAGAAATTAATCTCTTCATTTTGGTTAATTGATGTTCTTGGAATAATTCATCAAAATTACTTGAACCTGGAGCACTTTTAGAACAATTAGTAGTTGGTACTGATAATTCAAAATGTTTCCTTGGAGTAGATCGTTGAGTCATATGAGGAGGAAGTGATGGTTTGAGAGAGGATAAATTAGTTTCATTATCAGAGTGATAATTTATCATTTGTTCTTCATCTTCATCCTCTTCATCTGTTGTATCATCATTTAATTTTACATTTTCATTAGAATTTACATTTTCCAAGTGTTCTGAACTTGTGAATGGATCATAGGAAATTTCATCATCAGATGTTGTAGTGTCACTGATTAGATTTTTACAAGAGTCATTTCTAGGAATATTTAAATTATTGCTGGATTCACTTGTTGGGAAAGTTGTTGGTTTTGATTTAATAGGAGAATTCACAGGACTATTAATATATCTTCCAGAGACAGCATCATAATTGTAATGTTTTGCCATTACTTCCAAAAATTGTTGTTCCACAAATTCATTATTTCCTTTTGTTTTAATTCCTTGAAATTCATCATTTTCTGTTTTGAATCCGAACCAACTTGAAATTCCTCTGTTAATAATAATGTATTAGTATTCTCATCTCACAATATTTAAATACTTACGCCCATCCCCATCCACTCTTTTTTGGTGGAATTGTGCCATTATTTGTTGCAGTTGATGATAAATCTGTTGTTGTTGCAGTTGCAGTTGTAATTGTACCGTTGGTGGTTAAATTATTTAAAGTAGTAGGAATATTAGTAGTTGTAGTAGTTGCACTCGTATTATTACTATCAATGATAGTACTATTATTCAGAGAAGAGGAAGGAATACCTGGTGGAGGAGAAGGTGTACCATTTAACATTCCACTCGTAGTAATACCATCCATTCTCTTCTTTTCCCTTTCTAAATCTAATTCACTCATTTCATGAATTAAACTATCATTAATAATAGGAATGAACTTTTCATGAATAATTTCCTCATCAATATCAAAAGTATTTCCAACAGTTGGATGCAGATATGGCGAATTCATAATTGGAGAAACAGTCAAGTTTGGAGATCCAACTGGAGATGTTTGTCTAATTGGTTTGAAATAGGCTTGGTCCATTGTTGTTGTAGAGGTCATTGCAACTCCATTATTATTAATACTACTAGTATTAGATGTGGTAGTTGTATTGTTGTTGTTGTTGATATTATTATTATTAGGAGATTGAAGTGATAGAGTTAATAGCGAAGAAGTACTAGAAGATGAAGGTAATGATGATGATTGATCAAGGCTGGTGAAAGAATCAACTCCTACTAGGCTAATTTCATTATTCATTGTATTACTAGTTAATGATTTATCTGATGGACTAAATATCGATGATCCTATTCCTACATCATCAATTGGACTACAAACTAAATCACGATCAACTGGTCCCTAAATAATTAATTAAATATTAAATTAAATATTATAAATATTTCAATAACTAACATTTGCTTCATGAACAAAATAGGCTTCTCCTGCCTCTCCAATTTTCATACACAATTCCGTTAATTTATCATTAATCATAATTCTAATCACTTTTTCCTTTGATCTCAAAACTTTCAATCTTCCGAACCTAACATGAAAAGGAGTACATTTATAGGAACCATCAGGTTGTTCCACCACAACAACATCAATTGCACCACTTGCCAAGTCCGTGGCATTATTCATACCAGAAAATAGTCCTGTGATGAGTGTTGTCATTATATTTTTTAAATAGATGAAGAGATGAAGAGAGATGTAGTAGTGAATGATGAAATGATTTTAATGTTCCATGTACGTAAGAATCGTTTTACTGTTGTTGTTGTTCAGTGGTTTTTTGGTATTATCATTAAGAGATTTTTTGCAATTTTCCGTTTACTGTTTTGGAAGTAATATGGAATTGAGGATGTTTTTTTGAATTGGAATGGACCTTAATAAACAAAGTTAGTTGATAATAGTATTAACACTACAAATTAATTTTGCAAGAGTTTTGAAAATAGCGAACTTAGAACAATCTCAAAACCATAGAGAGCGGTCGACAATTTGTCGAGTGGATCCGCCCCTCCAGCGAAAATTCTATTGACCAAGCTAAAAAGCTATTTTTCACCCTAGATTTGTAGTGATTGTTATTAAAGCTTTTGAAACATTTTTTTAATAATTTAAAGAGTTCTCTAATTGGAACATAATTCCTTCCACATTCCAAGTACGCCATAAACAACTCTTGTTGACACATTGTAAATGTCATCCTTCATCAAAATTCATAAAAAAAAATGAGTCAACCACCACCTCCACAACAATTAGGATCAGGATATGATAAAAACAATTTTACGGAACGATATATTGATGAAATTGATGATGATGCCATAACAACAACAACCAATCATACAAATGCCTATGAAATGAAAACATTTTCACAAAATTCTATTGTTCAACAGAGAAGAGCAACAGTTGCTGTGGATTATGATACAAAAGAAGATCCTAATTTGGAGGATCCGATGGATTTAGGTCAGGGAAAAACAAAAGCTACAAATGAGGAGGATCAATTGAAAAAGAAAGAAAAAGGAATGACACATCGATTAATGACATTTCCATATTGGACTTGTTTATCATCAATTGCTGAAATTACTATATTTATTGCAATGTGTATTGTTGGAAATGGTATTGATGATCCATTGGTAGGTTTATAATTTATAATAATTTTTGTATTCGAAACTAGTTTAGAATAATCCAATGATTGGTCCAAAGGAAGAAATTGTCATTAAATTTGGAGCTAAGAAGAATGATTTAATGAAAAGTGATGGAACTCAATTTTGGAGATTTTTAGTTTTCATGTTTATCCATCAGAGTGTTTTAATTTTACTTTTCAATTTAATGTGGTTATTAACAACAGTTCGTAAAATTGAAGGAGTTTGGACTGCACCTAGAATGTTCATCATTTACATGATTTCTGGAATTGGAGGTGGTTTATTGAGTAGTGTTTTCAGTTTTGATTTAATTTCTACTGGTTCAACTTCATGTATTGTTGGAATTATTTCAGCATCTCTGTCAGAATTAATTTTAAATTGGGATGTCGTGTTTAATCCTTTCAAATCATTATTTAGTGTTATTATGCAATTGCTTATATTCTTTGTAATTGGGTTATTGCCTACAGTTGACCAATTTGCACATATTGGAGGTTTTGTTTGTGGATTCTTGACAGGTATCATGTTATGTGCAAGAAAACAAAAACCAGAATTAGAAAAGAAATGGGTTAAATTCACCGTTATTGCTTCTAGAGCTGTTGCTGCTGTTTTATTAATTATTTACTTTGCAATCTTCTTCCCAGTTTTTTATGGATTAATTCCACTCAATTGTCCAGGTTGTTATTGGTTAGATCCAACTTGGAAAATGTACTTTGGTGATAATGATGATTAATATTGTTTGGCAGACATCAGATTCTTATTGTATTTGTAAATTAAAGTTATTGATCTTTCTTAATAATTTGAATGTGAGCTATTCTGTATTCTTCATAGGCAACTGTTGCGAATTGTAAACAATCGAATGTGAAAACATAATTCATTACAATGACAACTAGTAGTAGAATGATTTGAATGGATAGAATTGCAAATGCTCTAAAATTTGAATCATAAATAGATAACATTGAATCCAATAAATCTCCATAATTCACAATTAATTCATAAGTCAAGTAGACACTCATTAATCCTCTCGTGATTACAAAATTAATGGTATTCAAAATGTCGTGAATGAGATACATGATTGAGGCTTTGAAATTTTCCATAAAATTCTCCATAAATTCTTCTTGATTGAGAGTAACAGAGGCAAGCTCTGAAATTTCTCCAAACAATGCTGGTATTCCACCTGTTCCATTTACAAAATATAAACTAAATGCCATTACAATGATTGCATGGAAAATTGCGTTCATTGTATTCTTTGATTGTAACACAACCAAACATAAATAACAAATCAAATCCACACATAAATATCCCAATGTAAAGGACATTAAATTAGAAATATTATCAGTATATGAGAAGAAGAAATTAAATTCCTTAGAATTCAAAATATCATTCTTAAATTGGTAATTTCCAAAATAATCATTCTCAAAAACATAAATTGCATATAAACTACTCAAAACAGCATGTGTATAATTTGCTGTTGAAAATGCCAACTCTCTACATTCATATTCATCAGATGTCACTTTAAACAAGAAGGCATTCCATTTCCTCCTGTATTTTCTCTGCATTAAATAATAAACAGAATAAGAAACAATCACAACACTCGCAAAAAACAAAAAACTCCCCAAATATATTGAAATATTCAATAGAGGAAAGATTGTTTTAAATAGAGTTGATTCCCAACATTGTTCTACATAACTTGTAGCATTTAAAATGTATTCAATGATGACAGAGAGTGTGTGGGTTTCACCTAGTTGATATGTTGGCATTTTTTTCTGTGTGGAAATGTGAACTCATTGTAAAAAGTTCATTATATCGGTTGCCTATTTTGTTATATTAAATTGCAACTTGTTTATTGTGAATATGAAATTGTTTACTCATCAAATTCACCATCATATTCCCAATCTCTTTTAGCAAACATGAGTAAACCACGTGGCATTTTCTTATAACAATATTGTTGAGTTTCTTCACTAAGATTATCACGAGAAAGTTCAACAGATTTGACAAATGGCAGGTCAATAATTGCCTTAGCTCCCTCATCAATAACATTCGGATTATCATTCAATTCAATCTTTTCCAATTCAATTAAATTATTAGCAATGGCAAGGGCTCCTTCATTTCCAACTCCATTGTTATTACAACATAATTTTCTCAATTTAAGAAGTTTGCTGAGTGATTTGGCACCTTCATCACCGATATCATTGGAGGTAATTTGGAGTTCTGTTAAATTGGTCATCTCTGCAATATGTTTAGCACCTTTTCCTCCAATTGAGTTGGCAGTTATAAACAATTGTTTCAAATTGACCAACTTGGAAATATGTTCAGCACCTTCAGCTCCAATATTATTTAAACCAATATTTAGAAAGATCAATTGAGTCATTGTTCCAATATGTTTAGAACCTTCAACACCTAAATCATTTGATGGACAAGTCAACTGTTTCAAAGTCTTGATTTCACTCAAACATTTAGCACCCTCAACTCCAATCTCACAATCCCAAACATGTAAACTTGTTAAACTCTTGAATGATTCACTTAATGATTTACATCCCCTCAATCCAATTTTGTATTTACTAATGTCAAGTGAAGTCAATTGAGTCAATGTTTCAAAGAGACGAGCAACATCATTTGGAATACCATACACGCAACCAATATTAAGAGTTTTCAAATTCTTCATATTTGGAGAAGTAGCAATAACCTTGAGGCCACTTTCATATGTTAAATAACTTGCTGAAACATCCAATTCTGTCAAATTCTTCATTGAATCACAAATGAGTTGAATACACTCATTCTTCAAACCGCAATTTGCTAATGAAAGTGATTCTAATTGATTAACCAATGGCGAGTTGACCAAAATTTGACCACATTCAACATTCATTTTACAATTACGCAAAGATATTGATTTGAGACTTTTTGATTTACAAATTTCAGTAACAAGTCTCAAACAAGCTTCTTCATCCAATGCATAACATTCCATAGTAAATTAATCAAATTGGTTAAAATCTTGCTAACAATATTCAATTGATTAGAAACTAATGAGCTCGACAAGTCCAAGTTAATAATCTTGTGAAAATATGGAGAGGAACTAATCTTTTCAGAATAGTGGACAATTTCTTGTTGTGCTTCATCTCTTTCACATTGTGGTAAACTTGCAACAAATTGTTCCACAACTCTCGATTAGTAAATGTCGCACTATTCATGAGAACCTCTATTTAAATGTCAAATAATAAAGATATACCCTTATTGTGTTACTTTAACAAATTGTTACAATTTATTGAATTGTATAGTTTTACAGTAAAACATTCTTATTGCTGTTTTGTGGATATAGCAGTTCTAAAGAAGCCATGTCACTATAATTATTAACGTATTAGTTATTCCATTATAACAAAAAAAAACATTAAGTGCTGTTACTGTCCTGTTAAGCATTAATAACTTCCAATATTACAGTATCTTTGTCACTGGTTTCGAAACTATTAATCAAAACTCAACACATTTATTAATGTTGGATATTTTTACTCCTATTATGTAAGGTTGAATCAAGTATTTAGATATTTTAATAAGAACAAATGTAGCCCGTCTAGCTCAGTCGGTAGAGCGCAAGGCTCTTAACCTTGTGGTCGTGGGTTCGACCCCCACGGTGGGCGTTTCATATTTTAAATTATCATGTTTTCTTGTCCATTTGTTTAGTTGATTTTTTCTTTCATTCTGAAAAGTTTGCACTTTCTTTTCTAATTAATGCACAGAAAGTTTTTTCAAAAACAAAACCACTCGGAGTAATGGTACACCATGAACAAACAACAAGTTATCCATTAAAACTGTTAAAACATTTTGATTAGGAACATTATTACAATGAAAATTAAATAATGATGACTACAAATCATATAAATCTGAGAAAAATACATCTTGCTTTCTCCCTTTTCAAAAACATTTCTTCTTATCATCATTATTTTGATAAATCGCTTGTTTGTTTTGTGTATTTTCGATTTTGCACCATTTCTGGTTGAATTATCGCGCCAATATTTAAAAATAGCAATTTTTTGTAAACCTCCCAATTCTATTGGAACAAACACATCACCAATTCATCATCAAACAACACAATTTTTACTGAACTAAAAAATACTTGAACATCAGGTATCATCACACAACAGCGTCTGAAAAACACTCCGCACTTTCAAAAAAGATAACGATCACTTGTTATTCATCATCACATATAGAAGAATAAAAGTATTGTTATCTACCTATCAAATATTCTCCCTTTCAGTTACATTAGTTTAAAACTGCCACAATTAAAATGGATATTGGACAAATTTTACCGGGAACCTCCCCTCCTAACTATCATCAAGATCAAAACAACTTGAATCAATTGCAAAATAATTCAAATAATAGTAATAATATTCATAATATTCATAATAGTAATAGTAATAATAATACTACTCCTATTACAGAGCCAGTTAAGAGAATTTATAGCTCTAAATCAAAAACTATTCATGTCGAATCAAATAGTAATCATCATCAGAACACTAATGGTTTAAATAATAGTCATCAAATGCCAAAACAAATTGTTATGAGTAGTGGCGGAGTATTTCCAATTCATAAACAGCCAAACTATTTCTTTCCACCATTTCCATCTCCAAATAGTAATGGAAATGCACATAGTACTGCATTTATTATTCCACCATTTCCATCACCAAACAGTTCATCAACTTCCAATACTTTATTGAACACAAATATGAATCAACAAGTTGATATATTGATGAATCAAAGTGGTTATTCTACCAGCTCTTCAAGTCCTAATAGTGCTAATTGTGTTACTCCGCAACTTGATTTGGACAAGTCAAATATTGATTCAGTTCCAATTAAGAAGAGACAAAAGAAATCAGCAAATACCACTACTAGCACTCTTCAAGATATTTCAAATCAAATTGTAACAACTGATGAAGAGAATGTTCCATCCTCCAATATGGAAAAGAAGAGACAAAGAAAGGACCCTGATGATAGACAAAAAGAAAAGAAGGAAAGAAGATTGATTAGAAATAGACAATCTGCACAAGCTTCTAGAGAACGTAAGAAACTCTACATTCAAACCTTGGAAGAAAAAGTTGCCAATCTCGAACAACGAATTAAATTATTGGAAGAGGAAAATGCACTTTTGAGAAGACAACAAGTGGTCTAACATATCTTTATGAAAGATATTGAGCAATAGAAAATATATCATTCTCAGATAGCAGATAGTACTTATCTGATGAATCATTGCTCATTAATTGAGATTGTCCTTCCAAAATTTTAAGGACACCTCAATAGGAAAGATCTCTCTTTCAAAGAAAAAATACTCAAGTTTATGGAATATTTCATTCACTTTGAGTAGTAGTTATCCACAACAAATTCTTCATACCTTGTAAATACACAAAATATTGATACAAATTATTGAGAAATAAAAAATCAAATCAAAAAAAATGACTCAACCAGAATCTTTGAATATCACACAAAGAAGAGAAATTTCTCTCTATCATCGGAATTGTAAATACAAGAAACAATGTAAAATTAAAAAGAAAACACTTGATGAGGTGATTGTAATTCTACATCGAATTAAATATCCGAGTGCACTTTTAACCCGAGAATATTTTGTCAAGACACCAAAAGCTAGAACAATTAAAATTTGGAATGAACGGAAAGAGGAAATTCAATTTCAATATGATTTTCATTGTTTTCATTGTAAGAAAATGTGGGATAATTTTAACATGTTATTGGAACATTGGAAATTATTTCATGTGAATGATTTTTCAGTGTTGAATATTGATTTGATAGGTAGTAGAGGTGATGTTCATGTGATTATTTCTAAAAAATTGAATAAGAGTGGACTCAAATTTTTTGATCCCATCACACTCAAGGAATTACCAACGAGTAATATTTCAACATTTGCATCGGTTAATTTATTTTACAATTTTTCATTTAATGAAATGAATGATTTGGAAAAGAATCAAATGAAAACATGGGTTCAGAAAATTGGTGAGGAAGTGAATAGTATGTTTACGTTTCGAATTTATTAATCTGAATGTTTTTATCTGAAATAGAAAATCAAATTCAGACCATTATTGATATCAACACTACAGATAGAAAAGTTTACACATTTGAGGAATTCAAGACGTTTATTAAAACTCATCAGCCTTCTAATAATGATTTTTGGATGGAATACATTACCTTTCTGAGGAGTATTTTTGTAAATCAAAAGATTATCACACTAACTGAGCTAGAACAATTAGAGAAACTTATTTTCCAACGAATGCGTAAACAGCAACTCAAGGAACATCACTGCTCCAATACAGACATAATTAAAAATTAAAAATTTAAATATCAATCCAATATTTCCTTAATAATAAATCATTGTCAGTTGTTGTTACAGCAATTCATGAGATAAAACATTTACTGATGTTGTTTTTTCTCATCAAAACAAATGTAAAAAAAATGGAGGGAAAACAGCAATTACATATGAGCATCTCTACACTGAAACCACAATTTAATGGGTTTATGAGTCCAACTCATCAATTTCAACCTCATCATTATCACTCTTCTACGAATGTAACGGGATCGTTAAATTCATCAAAACAAGTATTAAATAGATTGGAAGTATTGCCGAATCAATACGGGCAACATCGATTAACTCCCTCAACGTTGGTTGTTAAGAAAGTTAACGCAAGAACGAAAGGTGGATTAAATTTGGGACAAAAGAAGAATTCTTCAGCGAGTGAGGCTTCGTTTGCATTGGATGATGACCCGAAAAAACAATCAATTCCATCATTCTTTCCTTCCACTCTCCGACCAAGACAAGGATCTGCACCAAGTAAAAGTAGAAAAGGTGATGACTCTAGTACAGTTTCAGGATCATACACCAGTAGAAAAACAATCAAATCAACACCTAGGCAATTAGTAGACGATTTCTTGGAGGAAGAGATGCAAAAGAAAACGAAAAATGAGCAAAGTGGAATATTTGAAAAGCAATTAGAATGTCTGTTGATGGACGATGATATTTATGCAGCAAGACAAAGTATTAAGGATGCTTACTTATTTAAATCTTATGAAAGAGACTCTTCAAAATTTCTGAGAAAAATCGAATTATCTCAACTTGGAGTAACGCTAATTTTACATAACAAGGAAAACTTTTACAATTTTTATTCAAGATTTAAAGATTCTCAGGCATCTCTGAACTATGATGATACAGTGAGTGATGTTACAGAATCAAGGACAGAGGTAGACGAAACATCACCCACTTTAGAAAATCCTGAAACGAATGAAGAAAGTAATCATTTAAGCATTGAACCTTTTATTACTGAAGAAGAAAAACAAGAAATTTTAACAGTTTTAGAGCACTCTGGGGAGCCCTATCTATCGGAACTATTTAAAATGAAATACAAAAAAGATCTTAAATCAATTTATAACCCGTTGGACCCGCTGTCAGCAAAGAAAAAAAGGTGATGCTTAATAAAATCAATATAAATACAATAGTTTACAATCTTAGTAGTAATGGCCTTCTCTTTGTTCTTGGGTTGTTTCAAAAATCTCATCTCTATTCTCCATTCTTGACTGGTTTTGAAGTACAGCTTCCAAAATGTCAATATCAACTTGGGTATTTTCCTCACCATTATTCACACCAGTTTGAACAGGTTCAAAAAATTCATCTCCATTTTGAGGATGTTCAGGATAACTTTGGACCTCAGTTGTGTGGTAATAAGATTGAGTTGTCATTGGTTGTTGATAGACAGGGAAAGAATAATGGTAAATACCTGTATGAGGTTGATGACCTACTGGTTGAATTGTTTGAATGTGTTGAATTGGTTGAAGGGAGTGTATTGTTTGCATTGGTTGCATTCCTTGAATACTTTGAATATGTTGCATAGGTTGAATACTTTGAATTGTTTGAATGTGCTGCATTGGTTGGAGTTGTTGAATGTGTTGAATAGGTTGAGTTTGATAAACAACCATGGAAGGTACATCACCTTCAGCAACAACAGTCTCTCTGTAATCTACATGGTTCGGTTGATATTGAACTTGTGTAGAGACCATTGGTTGTTGGAAGTAAAAGTCTTGATAAATTCCTTGAGGTTCTTGGACTGTTGTAACTTGAGTTTGTGACTTCCTAGATGGTGATGAAGCATCTTGGGTTGCTGCTGTGCTTCCTAATTGCTCTTCACCTTGTGACATTTGGTAATAGCCTGCAACTCTAATCAATTCTCCAGAGTTGGTTGAAGTCAAGGAGGTGTTAACAACATCTTGAAGCTCAGATGAATTCTCTAGAACAAGAGGAGGTGTACCAGAGCTAGAACCAGGTTGCTTCTTTGAAAGCTTCTTAAGTTGGTTCCATCTGTGTCTACATTGAAGATCTGTTCTTCCTCTTAAACCTTGAGAAACCTTCTTCCATGAGCTTTCACCAAATTCTTGAACACGGTCATAGAGTAATTGATCCTCATCGTTACCCCAAGGTTGCTTACAAATTTCAGGATTCAAAACTCTCCACCAATGTTGGTTACACTGGTCGCTGGTTTTGTTTCCAACAGTCTTTGCAATGGCACTCCAATTCTTGCCTTCATACTTAATATATGCTTCAATTAACTTTTTGTTTTCTTCTTCCGTCCATCTAGCACATGAACGTTTCTTCTTCAACTTAGCAGATCTAGAATTGGTGGGTTCTGAATTGGACCTCTTTCTTGCAGGTGAGAGACGTTCAATAAGACTTGATTCAAATGGTTTGATTTGGGGATTAGGAGAAGTTGGAGTGTTTGAACCGTCTCTACTTGTTGCAGTGTTTTCAAGAGGACTACTATATGACATAGGGCTGTTAATATTGGAGGATTGATGAAGGAGAGTTGTTGGATTTTGAGAAGTAACTGTATTCATAATATTAGATACATCAGGCGATGTAGTAGTATTGTTGTTGTTAGTGGAAGTAGCGCTGGAACCTGAAAAAGATGGATGAGGATTTTGTGGAATATAATTATTGTTTGAGGCTGTCCTAAATTGGAACCCTCTATCATTTGTATATTGGGTTGGATAGTTTTCATAACCTGAGAATGAAGAGCTTCTTATTACAGGTTTATGTTCAAAAGCGTAAGCACCTGCTCTTACTTCTAGTGGGACAAAATTGTGGAATTGATAATTTTGTTGCATGGAGAGTGGTAGTATTTGTTGTTGGTGTTGATATTGTGTATTTGAATCTTGAACAAGAACCATTTGATAGTCGTCTTTTGATGGGATGGTCTCTTGTTGTACAGGTGTAATATTGTACAGTGGTTTAGACTCCTGTTGAGTTAACGGATTCATAATATTGAGGGTGGAAATTGGTTTGGATGATGTTTAGAATGTACAAAGAGAAGCCTATATTGTTGGTAAAATATTATTTAAGGCTACGGAAAAGAGAGAAGAAGAAAGGGTATGGAATGAACCTTATTTTTTTCAAAATAACAAAAGCGGTTGTACCATCTTTATGTGAGCAAAAAAGCAAGATCAACATTGAGTCCCTTCGCGGTTTTTAAAATAAAGCCCAAAATTACTTAACAAAAACAATCTCTTTCTCACCTTAATGCATTAAGTGGTGTTGTGAGAGGAGAGAGAATCAATTGCGCGCTCTTTAATGCTGATGAATAAATGGTTCGTTGTAAATATTCGGGTAGCGTGCAATTATGTTTGGGAGGAGAAATAAAAGAAGAATTCAACCAATTTTGTATAAGAACTAATATTACAGTTATTTTATTGATTCTTCACATTGTTTGGTATTAATATTACACCTTTCTAACACGTCTACTACAAAGCTTTTTTCTTTCCTCAACTGTAGTTTCATTATTTCCAATATTGTTGTTAAAAGATCCTGTTGTGAAATTACCACTGCTTCCACTACTACTACTCGAAGAGGTAGCAATGGTTGATTCTGGTGTTTGCAATTGAGGAGCCAACCTTATACGAACAATTGGTGGGGGATGGTTTAGCGGGTCGTGTTGTGCAGGTGCTCCACTATTAAATGATGCGATTGTGGGGTTATTGAGCATTGTTTGTCTTGATGCTGTTTCGTCTTTCCTCTTCTTCATGTTTCACAACCGCTAACGAGCTCATCTCAACACTCAATCTGTTATCTTGTGTTCCGTCTTTGGTCTCTGTCGTTATTTGGGCAAAGTAATCTCTGCTGCTATTAGGCTCAATATTCCTCTTTGGATTAGTAGCACTTGGCACCAAGAATGGATGACTTGCAGCCGTATTATTGGAGGTTGGATTCATCACAAGGATACCTCCACCATTATTGCCTCCTGTAAAGTTGGAGGCAATAATTGGTGAACCAGTATTAAGGTTGTTGTTGATCATGTTGGAGGCATGGCTGGTGAAACGGCGAGATGCTTTCGATGAGCTGTTGTTGTGTGAAGTTATCCCTGTATCTGTTGATGAAGCAACAACAGTTGAAATACTGTTGCTTGCAACATTATTATTGCTAATATTGTTTGGTTGTGTTGTTGTTGTTGTGGTGGTGATTGGTGTGGTCTTACTGTTACTGCTAGTACTGCTTACATTCTCATTTGTTGTTATTTGACGAGTTTGGCTATCGGTAGCATTTCCAAACTGGGACACGACATTACCACCTATAGAGCCAAGAGCATTTGACAATTCTGCATATTGTGAAACATCAGAGTCAACAAAGATGGTTTGTGGACCATTTGAAATCGAAGCTTTTGTAATCTTTGTAACACCAGGCTTCTCATATGTAAGTTTGAAAGAATTAGAATCATAAATAGTAAACATGGCCTTAGATCCACCACGTCTTGGACCTGGTTTAGGACCTCTTTTCTTTTGTTGCGCCAATAAACTCTGTGACATCATTTGATTATATACATTTGCCGAAAAGCTATTTGATGAGCTAGATTCGCCACCATTTGAAGGAGTGGTTTGAATAGTTGGTTGTAAGGAAGCTGGTGATTCAAACATGTTTGGAGGTATACGAGAGAACATTTCTGTTGTTGGCATCTGAGAGGAGTCGGCTGCTGGATTGTTATTGGTGCTTTGGTTCATCTTTTGATCAGAAGGAGTTATTGAGGGGAAAGCACCACTATTACTGGATGACGCTGTAGTAGTAGTAGTATTGGGGCCACTATTTGGAGCTGTAGTATCCTCCGTACCAGTAGAAGCAGTTCTTTGAATAGCTGTAGTAGAGAGGGGATTTTTGATTGTTTCTTGGAAAGGTTGAGTCATTACTGCTCCAAGAGGACCAGAAAGCGAGGGTTGTAAGTTAGCAGCAGTATCTTCTGGTCTAACTCTTCTTGGTCTTCCTCTACGTTTTGGAATGTTGGTTGTTGGTTGGGTCGGTGGACCAGAATTGTTAATAATGGTAATAGGATTTGTGATAGCGATTGGAGGCTTAATATTTGCTGACCTACTACTATTAACAGGTTTAGAAACAGAGCTGGCAATACTCGAGGAGCTTGGTGGAGATACTAGTGTTGTTGTCTTAGGTGGTTGAGGATGACTGGAGATAATATTGGTGCGAGGTTGTGGTTTAAGATTTGGAATGTAATCATTATCTTCGTCTGAGGTATTCTTTTTCTTCTTTTTCTTTGGTTTTTCAGGAGTGGAAAATTCGTTTTCTGTTTCGTCCTCGTCAGATTCAGGTTGATTTACATCACTACTTGGATATTCTATTTCGCTTAATCTCATTGAATTTAATCGTGCGTATACATCATTATTTGGCCTATAATGTTCATCTGTCATCTTATGATCATCTTCATCTTCGTCAGAACTTTCATTGGCATCGTGTGATGAAACTTTATGAACTGGTTCATTCAGTTTCTTTCTGATTCTTCTTGTTCTCCTCTGTGGGTTATTTGTAGAAGCTCCTCCAGTGAGAAGAGTATGTGCAGAGCTTGATTGCATATATTCATTTGTTTCTGGAGATGGTGGTGATATTTGATTGTTGGATTTTTCTCTTCTCATCTTGGATAATTCTAAAATTACTGTCTCTTCCCTATGATTTTGTGTTGAAGAAGCTTCATAAGCTTTAGATTTTAAATCTATAATTAATTCTTGTAATACATGGTTTTTAACTTTAAGAAATTGAATTTCTTCAATATTTTGTTGTAAAAATTTTTGAACAAATCTATTTAATTCTGTAATTAATGAATCTGGTCGATTTCCAAATAAGTCAACAATAGATTTTATGTTATCCATTAGGTTACTATTAAATTCTGATATCGGATTGTTATTATATTTAATATTATTAATAATTTCATTTTCCATTATAATATTTTCCAATTCAGATTCCTGGTTTTCATTGCCAGATTCTTCAATAAATAAAGAATCATCAACGTTATTATCCTCAACTACTTGTTGACCATCGTTATTATCAGTAATAATATTATTATTACTATTATTACTATTATTATTATTATTTGATGAATTATTATTAGTATCACTGATTATATTTTCATCAAGAATCATATCATTAGATTGCATATTTATGTGTTCCGGATTTTCTACTAAACTATGAGATAAATTATTATTATTATTTGTATCATCGGCCGACATTATTCAAGTATCGATACCTATTTGGAAAATTCTATTTTAGTAAAAGTAAATAATCTTGGTTGGATCAAACTTTAAAGTGGTGGTTAAAGAATATGATGGAGCAATTGCTCTAATTTTTTAATAGAGAATATTTATATTTTTTAATAATAATTTTTCGATTTTTTATTTTTCCATAATTGTGAATTTTTCGACTTGTAATACAACGTGGCAGAAAATATTATACCACTCCACACTAATAGAGTAATTAAATAGCAGTTTAAATTAAATATTTTGTTATTAGTATACATTGAATTGTTTTTAATAGGAAGAAAATTTTGAATTATGTCAAAATTATTTTGTCCCACTCATGTCATCAATATTTAATAAATATTAAATTTAATAAATGCGCTTCTACATTGTTTTACCAAGATATTACCACCATTAGAAGAAAATTAGAAATTAAATTCCAATGCATCTACTTTCGAGTAATTATCTTCGTCGTTGTACAACTCCTGGTGCAGAAACATTGATGACTTTAAAGGTATTTGATGAGAAAGAGCGGGAAGTGTTCATTTAACCTTTCAATCCAGGTAAAATTTTTCCAGCCAACACAAACTGATGAGTAATATCATTTACAAAAAATATTCTCACCCGCCCATTCTCTTTCTTTTGGTTCATCCATTCATTATCATCATTCATACAGCAGGGTAATCATCATCGTAAATTATCTTGCAACAGAATACTAATACTGTGATTTGGTTTGGATATTACTAAAGAATATTGATTTTTGGAATATTGTATTAAATATTGTTATTTTGAACCAATTTGAAAACTAACACTTGTTTAATAGTTATATATATTAATTCCTAAATTATAATTAGGTATTATAACATATAGTATAGAAAACAAGATTGTTTAATATCTAAAAAAAACATCTACCGAGAGAAGTTGAACACATTAGCTGCTTCTTCTTCTCCAACACAAACCAGCTTACGAACCAAAACAAAGAGTAAAGTTGTCCGAACAAAATCCTTCTTCTGAAGAAATCAACAACACCAACAACAACAATAACTCTTCTCTCAAATTAACAACAAGTTCAATTGAAAGAAAGCCTACCAACACAAAAAGTAAACAAAAGAACCAAAAGAATAATTCATCCTCATATTCTTCTGGAACTTCCTTTCAATCATCCTCCGGTCTTGACACTTCCCAAAACAAATCTCTTCAAAGTTTAAGAAAGGAAGATAACTCAACAGTAGCTGCTTTATCAACATATAAAACTAAGATATTTTCCTCTCTTTGGTCAATAGTAGAATCAAACATGCTTTTTAAATTAGGATTTCATAACAAATCACCAGTGGAGTTGCTTTTAGAAAATGACGATTGCACATTAGAACAAATACTTGATGAGGATGATGTCATTGCTGAAGCAAAGGCTCACTATGGAAAATTGATAGAATTCTTAGGAAAGAGTGAAAACTTGACGAAGATGATCGACTTTATTACAATTGAAATTCCTCTTGATCAACTTCAAAATTTAAAGAATCAATCAAAGATTGTACAAGAGGATGAAAAGGTTGCAGAAGAATCGGATCAAAATGATGAAGTACATATTAATGAAGAAAAGTTACAAAAGAGAATTTACAAGTATCCAAGAATTGCTGCTGAAATTTTGTGTTGTGATATTGATTCCATTTATACCTCCATATCCTCAGACAAGTTATTACTTACTTCACTTTTTGATTTTATTTCTCATGAAAAAGAAACACTTAATCCTCAACTTACCAATTATTGGATTAGAGTTGTTACCTACCTCGTTCAAAGAAAACCAATTGAAGTACACAAGTTTATAATGTCACAAGGTGAACCTTTGGTATTGAACTTTTGTAAACATATAGGTGTTCCTGGAATGGATGAACTTTTACTTAAGTTGATTTCATGTGAATTGTATGATTTAATAATATCTGCTGAAACTAATCGATCTGCAAAACAACAACTCAAGCTCCGTTTAATGGATGCTAAGGACAATTCAGATGCTACCAATATTATCAAACAATCTGTTCAATGGTGGACTGATAGTGGTGTTCCATTTAAACTTATTGAAAAATTATCTCCTGAACATTCATCCGATTGTCATATTAACGTTACCAAAATTTTAAGTGAAATTATCAGACGTTCACTTCAATATAACCTAGACATTCAAAAGTTAAATCCTTTGGCTACCTCAATTTTGTCCGACTCGGTTTTGTGTAAATTGATGGATACTCTTTTAGAAAATGTAAGTGTTTAGATTAATTTAATAATTTTAATTTAAATTTTATGAAATTAGAATGATGTTTTAAATGAAGGTATTGCCTTGTTACATACACTCATTGATACTAGTGTTGATTTAATGGACGCTGATTTTGATGAACAATTACCAAGTGCCATTAAGGTTATTCTCACCAAATTACCACAACTTGTAAAGTTGCTTGAAAATCCACCAACTCAACCATCTCTTACTTTGACATTTGGTACTTTATCACCACCTTTAGGTGAAACTAGATTAAAGGTTGTTGAATTCCTTTCAAGCCTTTATCATATTAGATGTGAGCTTGTTGAAAAAGCTCTCATTTCTAGTAACGTATTAGGTGTTGTCATTAATTTATTCTTCCAATATGAATTCAACAATATGTTACATAATTTATTATTGAATATTATTAGTTTCATTTTGGCAAGTGAAAGTCATGCCTTGAAGAAGAATCTCTTTGTTGATTGTCAAATTATTGAACGTATTTTACAAGCAAGTAAGCTTAATGAACAAGCCATTGCTGAAAATAAGATGAGAAAGGGATATATGGGACATTTAACTGTTATTTCTAACACTATTGTTTCAACAGCTAATTCAGATGAAGCTGTCTCTTCTCTTACAAAGGATATTTCAGGATGGAAAGATTTTGTTGAAACTTCTTTAACGGAAAGAAATGCAATTGAAAGTAGACAAATGGGATCAGATGACTCCTACCTAGCATTGATTGGTGGAGTACCTCTTTCTTCATCATCTGCCAACAATACACACCAACAATCAGTTACAGAATACATGAAAGAAGAATCTGAAGAAGATCCTTTTGAAGATTTTGATGATGAAATGGAAGAACAAGAAATTGAACCTAAACAGGATGCCTCAACAAAAGAATCATCCCCTCTTTCTGAAACTGTAACAAACAATGATGGCTTATAAATTAATTTATTTCTCTTAATTTTCTTTTTAAAACTCTTATATTTCTAATATTTATTTAATAATTTTTAATTATATTTCAAAAAAATGTCGGAACAACAAGATCAAACATTTAATCCAACTTCGGAACAAGCAATGATGGATTTCGATGCTACAAATCAGGATTTATTAATGATGCAATTAAATGATTTAACATTTGAACAAATTGAACCATTATTTAATTTTCTTCCAAAGATGATGAGTGTTGTACAAGAATTACCTAAAAGTGAAAATGGAGAAAGTGTAACACTTCTTGTCAAGGATTTATATGATTCTTTAAAGAATGCAGAGGATTTTCTCAATTCATTAGGAGGAGCTGATAAAACACAAGAACAACAAGCCAAAATTTATGCTGAAAATTTAATTAAAATTAAAGAAAAGTCGTAAGTACTCGAGAAGGAATTTGCACATTTAGGAAATTAATTTATTAGTGAATTGATAGAACAATACAAAACTCTTGAAGTTTTTGATAATCTTTACAAATTGGAAGAGCCATCATCATTTGACATGAGTACTCCTTCCAATGACACTAGCAATCAATAATTTGTAGACTTTCGTTTAAAACATTGTAATAATAACCAGATAATGTAATCCAAACCAGTTTACCATCATCCATAACATTCAATTCACAATTGTACCTTCTCTCTTGTTGATATTATTATGATGGATGAACTTTGAAATTGACTACAACACAGCGAGAGTTCTTCATTGCTGCCATCACAGTGTTGAACTCGTGAGAAGCCTTTACACAAGAGAGAACAAAAGAAGAGACAGCTATTAATAAACCTTTTTACAATTTCCTCATCAAAAAAATATTTACCACATAAACTTCATACAAAATGTCTGATCCAACAACTGATGCTCCAACCAAGTCAGAAGAAGATTTGAAGAAGGAAGCCAAGCTCAGAGCAGCCAAGTTGAAGGCTATGGCCCTCAAGAAGAGTAAAGCAAAGGAAGGTGCTGCCACAACAGCCCCAGCTACAACTGAAGGTGGTGAAGCAGGTGCCACTCCATCAACAACAGGTGAAACAGCAACAACAACAACAGCTAAAACTTTCGATTTGAAGGGTAAGAAACGATTCGAAGTGAAGAAGTGGAACGCTGTTGCTTTGTGGGGTTGGGATATCGGTAAGTGTATTTAAAGATGATGATTATTTAGAGTAATTATTATTAATAATGTATCATCATTATGATCAAAAAACACCAATGATCACCTTTTTGAACAATTAATTTGTATTGATCACAACAACAACAAAATATTAATGATCAACAAATTTTAATGGAAAATTTATTTGAAACAATTTGATGATCATGATGATTTTAACAATTTAAATGAACAACAAATATAGTCGTCGACTCTTGTGCTATTTGTCGTAACCACATCATGGAACTTTGTATTGAATGTACTGCTAACCAACAATCTGCCACCAGTGAAGAATGTACCGTTGCTTGGGGTGTTTGTAATCACGCTTTCCACTTCCACTGTATTTCAAGATGGTTAAAGACCAGACACGTTTGCCCATTGTGTAACTGCGAATGGGATTTCCAAAAGTACGGAAAATAATTTATTTATTCCAACATAGCAAGTGTACAATTAAAAACAATTTTCATGTATAATATCATTATCAAATATGTCTTTGTTATTTTATTATCAATTTTGTTATTATGATGAAAGTTATCCTTTCGCTTTAATTAATTGGCTGAAACGAACATTGGAAACGTAACTCGAACATTACCAATCCAAAAAAAAACATCATGAAAACAACACAACATATAACTATTCTTTTTGGAGTGTTGTTACCACTGGTGTTGATTTTATGTTCCTTCTTCATGATGATGCAAGTCGTCGTTGCTGAGAGCAGTAATGCATTGACCTTATCACCAACATCATCCACCTTTGAAGTTAAAGTTGGAGGCTTTTCATCAGTGGACAAATTGAAAAGTGCACTAGAGAAGCATGTAAAACCACTTCGATCTTTGTATTCTTCATTTGATATTAGAGAGGAATCGGAAGCTAATAATTCAGCTTGGATTGTATCACTACACAATGAAAAGCAAGTAGATGTCTTGGAAGGAATTATCAAAGCAATGAAAATGGTTGAACCAGATAGTAATTATTTCATTTCAAAATTGTACAAACAATCTTCAAGAAATAATGAGAGAAGTATAAGGAAAACTAGTAACTTACTGTCCTATCATAATTATGTAGCCCTTACAGCTAAACTCAATTCACTCAAATCACAATATCCAAATATGACATCTCTCTTTTCTGTTGGTCAATCAGTTGAAAGTAGAGAACTTTGGGTCTTGAAAATCTATTCCAATACAACTGTTGGAGCACCAAATTATTCAAAATATCAAAAACCAAAGTTCAAATATATTGCCAATATGCATGGAGATGAAACTGTAGGAAGAGAAATGATCTTATATTTTGCAGAATATTTATTAACTGAATATATGAATGGAAATTCAAGAATTAGAAATATTATTGATTATATGGATGTTTACTTGATGCCATCTATGAATCCAGATGGATTTGAACGCGGTCAAAGAGAAAATGCAAATGGAGTTGATTTGAATAGAGATTTCCCAGACCAATTTTTGACATCTACTCAATCAGAAACTTACCAAGTTGAAACTCAAGCCATGATGAAATGGATTCAATCTGAAAATTTTGTTCTCTCTGCAAATTTCCATGGAGGAGCAACTGTTGCCAGTTATCCATACGATTCTGCCAAGGGTGCAAGTTCTGGACAAAGTGTAGAAAGTTTCAGTCCTGATGATTCCTTCTTCAAGTTAATTGCCAAAGGTTATGCAAATGCTCATACCACAATGAAGAATAGTCTTGAATTCCCAGGAGGTTATACTAATGGAGCTGAATGGTATGTTCTCTTCGGTGGTATGCAAGATTTCAATTATTGGAAGAAGAATTGTTTCGAAATTACCATTGAACTCAGTGATACTAAATATCCAAGTGAATCAACATTGGATTCTTACTGGAATCAAAATAAGGAATCTCTTTTAACTTATATGGAATATTTGAGATATTCTATTGTGGGTATTGTTACAGATTCAAAAGGAAATCCAGTTTCAAATGCTAATGTAACAGTTGAAGGTATTGCAAAGAATATTACTACTTTTGATAATGGAATGTTTTTCAGATTATTACCACCTGGTACTTACAACATCAAGGTTGCAAAGGATTCTTACACAATTGATTCACAATCCATAACAATTAACAGTAATTCAACATTAGGTCAACCAACATTTGCCTATTTCAGTATGATGAGTTCTGCCCCACCTTCTTACAGTTCCTATGGTTTCAAAGCTTCATCTTCTATTAGAAATAGTGGTGGCGTTGTTTCTGTATTGAAACACAATTCAATTTCAATGGCTAACACAATTTTCTCAATTTTCTGCTCAAAGATTATGATTGTTGCATTCACATTGATTTTCACAATTTTACATTAAAGAGTTTAGTATTAAATTTTGTTGTAATCTGAGTTGATTGTTGTAACCATCTATTGCTGAAAAAGTCAATTTGTATGGTTTCTAATTGAAAAATAGAAACTTGGTGAGTAACATGTAAATAATAATTAAATTAATTATTAAAAAAAATATTCGAAAGATGACCAAGCAAGGAATGGGTTCATCTTTCTATCCGAAAGGTCATATTTATTCTAAACTATTCATACTCATCATCTTGTCATTAATTCTACAAAGTGTGAGCTGTGACAATGTCGAAACATTTTTTAATAATTACTATTCATCATTATCAAAATTAGGAATGGCCAATATTGCCATACAATTGTCATCCTATAATTCTTCAAATTTACAAGATAATCGCGTACTATTTTCCAAATCCTATGTCCATGATAGTTATAAACCAAATTCACCAATTTCAGTTGATCAGTCAATTTACATGTCAGGTCCAACCATTAGTCAACTTATTACAAAACTTGTGGCATTAAATTTAGTACCAAATGAAAAGAAAACTTTAACAGTTAATGAAATTTTAAATTCTGTTCAATCTAAAATTTCAATTTCACAAGATATTGTTGGTGATTATGTGAGTTGGTCGAGAATGTTGCCAATTATTCCTGCTAATGCCTTTGTTACTTTTCAAAATTTATTAATTGGAAATTCAGGATTTGATTTTAGAAATGATTTGGATTTGTACTTGAGTAATAATCCACAATCTTCGTCAAGTGTTAGTTTAATGCAAGTATTTGAACAAAATATTCAAAGTCATTTGGCTCCACGTATTAGACAAGTCAATCAATTGAAAAATAGAATTGATGTTGATGGAATGGCATTGATGGGTTATATAATTCACAAGTTGAGTGAAAATCAATCATTGGACTATATTTACTCTAATCAATTTAAAACAGTATTCAATTTACAATCAAGTTATCCATTATTTAATTCAGATGTTAGAGATAGCTCAAATTTTGTAAAAGCAACCAAGGAAAATGATATTCTCTCAGAAGATTCCAATTTTAAATATTATTCAATTTATCCAGTAACCACTAATTTGTTTTCTACATGTGCTGATTTAAATAAGATAGGTGTCTATGTTATGAGCAAGTACTCTGAGAAGGAAATTCAAGATATGAACTTGTTGAGTTACGCTACCCATAATAATCAAGTTTATTATTATCAATTTTCCAAAGTTGGTAATTATTTGACTGCCATTATTACCTTTCCAAAGGAGAATTTAGTGTTGAGTATTAGTGGATTGGGCGGTTCTTATGAAGTAGCTGATGATATGATTCAACAATTTTCATATAATATTTTGCCAAACACTAAATGTAGTGATTATGACAATTTGGTTCTTGTTTCGAATGGTACATGTCAATTGACTAGCTCTTTGACATCTATTGTTCCACTATACAAGAAGGAATATTTTGATAGTTTCAAGAAGAATTATGCTGGTTGTTATGTTAATTCTGAATTTTCTCATTCAACTTTCAGAAAATACTTTACCATGAAGGAAATGATTTGTATTGATGCACCAATCTCTTCCAGTAATTATTTAACAGCAAAATTGTATAATTTTGATCCAAATCAACCTTCTGCAACTGGAACTATTCCAATTGGTTCAGATGAATTTATTTTTGTTCAAGAGTTTGGATTTGATTCATTTAGAATGGGACATTTAAGTAATGGAATGGTAACATTTGACAATTATGTATCAAATCACAGTTGGACCTTCAGTGTCAAATCAGGAGAGAATGTTGTTTATTTAACTGGTCCATATGATACCCAACGATATGAAAGATTTGATGATAGACTCAGTACATTCATCATTTATCTCGTATTTGGTGCTCCATTTGTTTTTGGATTCGTTGCTCCATTCATTCATTTATTCTTCCTTGTTTTTGAGGTTAGAGATCGTGCAAAGAATGGATTTAATAATTTGGCAAATGCAGATTTGTCTCACATAATGTTGAGTGGAAATAATTATCAATCCAGTGATGAGGACTCTGATGAAGAACTTGATGAAAATATTGAATCTTCTCTGAAGAGATACTCATCACGTGTTCAATTGGAGAGAAAGAATAGCATCAAGAAGAAGAAGAAAAAGAAGAGTGATATGGGTGTCAAGAAATCAGCAGCCAAGAAATGGAGTATAATCCTGTCAATCTTTATCTTCCACATATTTGCATTGTTCTTATTCACAGCTCTCAAAGCAATTAATATTTTGACAATCTTTGGTATTTGGCAACAATGGACAGCAATGTTATATCTTCCATTAGTATCAATCATTCTGACTTTCCTTTGTGCTATTCTCATTCCAATCATTATGTGTATTAGAGTCAAGTTTAGAACTATTTCTGGATGGGTATTTACACTTGTTTACCTCTTCTTCTTGTTATTAGATATTGGATTTATTGTAATCTTAATGAAAATTAACTGGTTTGGATTTTGGAATCAAATGTAAAAATAATTATTTGCCTAGCTGGTATTTTATTACAATTAAAATTACAATTTCTTTTTAACTTGCAGTAAACGAACTGACTGAGAAAGGAATTTCATAAAATCATCATATCCACCTCCGATTTTAACTTTCAACACACCATTAATAATATTTAGATGCACCTTCCTAGCTGTTTTACCGTCCCCAAGTGAAAACACACAATCTTTAACTTTCTTCAGAGGTAACATAACACCTCTTTCTTTGAATTGTTCTCTAATTTCTCCAACCATCTTATCGATTTGTTTAGCATTGTCTTCAGCCTTAACTGGTCCTTTGAGAGATCTCAACATTCTTTCAGTGATTGAATCAAGCGTTTTGTTTGTCTTTTTTTGTGTTCTGTCAACGCTCATTGGTTCAGGAGATGATTCACCATCTTGTGGTTCTTGAGATTCTGCTTGGAATTGTTTGGAATCAAATGATTTGGAGAGTGGGTTGGTTTGATCCTTTGACATACTTTGAAGAGCTGATCTTACAGCTGAATTAAAGTCAATACTTCTTCTCATTGCTGGTTCAGGAGTTCTAGATGAAACATTTGTAGGTGGAGGAGTTCTACTTGGTGGTGGAGAATTTCTCTTAGGGCTGTCATAGTTTCTTGGTTCTTCTTCGTCTTCTTCCTCAGGTCTTTCTATTCTGTTTTTAACATGATCAGCAGGTTCAGGGCTTCTTCTTGGAAGCCTAGATTCTGCAACTTCAGAAGTCAACTTATCAATATCCATTATGTATCTTTGTCTCATTGTTTCTGCTTCTTCTCTAAGACTATCAACTTCAAGCTCTTTTTCTTCCAAAAGCAACTTTAAATGTTCATTTTCTGCATTCAAAAACTCCAATTTTTCCAAAAGCTCCTTAAATTGAGGAGATTCTTCAAATGTATAGGATGGAGAATTTCTTACATTAGCCATCGTGTTGAATTGTGTTTCCATAACTTGTAAAACTCCAGTATTGAGATATTCAGAAAAGTTCTTAATCTCTTCAGTCTTCTCACTGATAATCTTTTCAACAACATTTGAAACCAACTTTTCCAGATCATCTAACTTGGCAAGCTTTTCCTCTGTGATAACAGAAAATGGAGGAGGTGATGAAGCTCTCTCAATGAAACGTTTCTGGAATTCTTCATGGGACATCATATCTTGGGAAGATGCTGTTGCAACTCCCATAACTGAGGTTTGAGTACTGTCAAACTTAACTCTTGGTGATGCCTTCTTGGTTGGAACATTTGAAGGTTGGGGAATCACTTGAGGATTACGGTATCCCTCCTCTTCATTGTTTTCCTTTAGGATAGATCTCTTTTTATCATCCTGTTGTTGTTGTTGGGGTGTACCAATTTTAACTGTTGTGGCTTTCTTTGGTGAGGAATAATAAGGATTCTTAGTAGAACTAACAGAACCTTCCGAAGTACCAAAAGTTGGTTTTTTCTTATAAGACGAAGGAGAGGCTGTTTGTAAATTGATAGAAACATGTGGGATTCCGAAATCATCAGTTGTTGTGGATCCAGTACCTTCATCATTTCCCGAATTATTACTAATATTGAGGCTTTTCATTGGTGATTGTGGAGGATTATAATGGTCCAAAATATATTGTTCATCCACATCTTCTGCTTGATCCTCAAACATTATATTTTCTCCGTGTATTTCTACATCTTGTTGTTCAAGCTCATCTTCAGAGAGATTTTGATCTTCATCCATGAGCATATCATTCTCGTAATATTCGTTAATCGCTTGAGTCTGAGAGGGATGTTGTCTCATTTTTTCGCGCCTTAATTTATCTTAAAAAAAACCGTTAAGAGATTTGCAGAAAGGCTGTAAAGACAAGGGCTGATTGGATGAGCATGATGTTTTACTGTTGTTGATAATGATAAATAAATACAAATATGGATTTTTAGAGATTGAGTACTCTACATTCCGTTAGATGTGGTTGATGATTTGGAAATGTTTATCCAAATAACATTAAATAAATAATTGGGAAAGAAGATAAAGAAATAATTATTTAGAAAAACATTTATTGATTAGTTTCATTAGATTCAACTAGATCATCCGATACCTCAGAAATGAAAATAGAGTGATCTTTTAAATATTAGTTTCGAATATATATTGAAGATAATACTTACATCCTCCACCAGCCATTCTATGAATAGGGAATGCGAATTTTGGTTCATTAACTTTCAGTGTCTTATCTAAATGTCCTAATCCTAATTGACCTCCAGTGTTTTTACCACAAATGAAAATTCTCTGATCAGTTGAGCGCATAATAGTGTGGTGATTACTGAAATAGAGAAATAATTAATCATCACATAAATTTCATTTATACTTACCCACACTTGACATTATCAATCTTGGCAGAAGCATCACCTAATGGAATCTTGGTGGCATCTTTAACATTACTTCCATCATTTTCAATTCCCAATTCTCCATTTCTATTCTGTTAAAAAGGTTAATAATTGATTAAGAAAGTAAAAAAACAAACCTTTCCAGCTGCCCAAACTTCGCCCTTATCGGTGGCGACAACAGTGTGGAAACTTCCACAAGAAATACTGTCAATTAATTGACCTTGACCTGACTTGTTAATACCAACCATTGTGATATTCAATTGACCAAAAGTATTATTACCAAAACAGAATATGTGACCTTCCTCTGTCAAGTAGACAGTGTGTTGATCTTAATAGTTCAATAATTCCATTTCAAAAAGAAAAAAAACTTACATCCAGATGAAACTGCCTTAATTTTCTTTCCCTTCAATTCATCAATCTTAATCTTTTCTGGCTTTTTGAAAAGTTCCTTCTTTTTTGTTGTAATTTGTGAATAAGTATTATCACCACAAGCATAAATATCATTATCAACAGTTACGAAAATGGAATGGTTAGCTCCACATGAAATTGTCTTGACACGTTCCTTGATTGAAACACGTCTCAATTCTGGAAGTGATTCTGTTGAATTTAATCCTAATTGATATTTATCAGAACGACCACATGAATAAACTTCACCATGATCAGATAAAACCATCGTATGATAATCTCCACAAACCAATGCTTCAATTTTAATACTCAAATTAATACTTGTCCATGAAGTGCAGTTACGGAAATGTCCCAAAGACAATTGTCCATAATCATTATCACCTAAAGTATAAAGTAAATGGTCATCTATTATTCCATCAAAAAGTCAAAATTAAATTTCAATCAAATTTCATCATCATTATCAACACATTAATATCATCATCATCATCATCAACATATCGGCAATATTATTCATCATCAGCATCACATCACAACAATAATCCTCCATATTATTATTTCTTTCATAATGATCATCACTACTAACCTGTGCAAAGTATTGTAAATTTATCACCACATCCAACACTTGTAATTTTCTTATCTTTCAATCGAAGAACTTCTTTAGGAGTTGAAAGTCTTTCATCATTATCGTTGGATAATTGATGAGCCATGTTTTCTCCAAGACTTAAAGGTCAGTCATGATTCGAATATTTATTTTATGAATACAAACCCAAAGACAAGTGTGAAAACCATTTTTATGTTTTTTTTCTAACTGAAAGCTGCGTTGTGATTTGATGTGTGTCAAACAAAATTGGATGGAACGCATTCTTACTGTGTCTTTGTGGTTACGTATCAATCTTGTCTTTTCAAAGTGAAAAATTTATTCGAAACTTGATTTGCTGCCATTCACAACAATGGAAAGGAAAATGAAGGCTTACCTAAACTTGATTCTTGGATTGAATGTTATAAACTTCATACCAATGCTTGAATTGACTCGTTGTTTCTAATCGTGAAAGAGTATCACCAAGATTTTGTAAAATTGAAGTTTTCAAAAGGTCAATAAGTTCTTTAACTTTAGGAAGTGACGAATCAACATTCAAATTTTCCTTTGATTCTCCAAATTGACTAAGCTCAGTTCCACTCTTATTGACCTGACTTGAATTTTCACACCTTCTCATCAAATCATAAAATGACTTTTTCAGAGAGGAAGCAATATTAATCTCATAAATTGCATTATTCTCAATGTAATTCTTCTCAAAATCTTTCATTGTTGCCAAGTCCAATGGTTTTTCTCCATTCTTTTCCAATTCTTCCAAATGAACGAAACAAACCATATTTTCCAGAGACATTTCCTTTCTGCAATATTCTTGTAACAAGTTTCTAAACTCGTCGTTTTTTAGAAATTGTTCAATATCTGAAATTTCATGATGTGTCTTGTTAATTCTCATAATCTTTGAAAAGATGAATTTGATTGTGAAAACTCCTCCTGAATTTATGATAACCAGAACGAATATGAGAAATCTAAAGAATTCTTCCAAATGAATTTCAGCAGGATCCTGTAGGTGTTAAAAAGAAGACAACAGTTAGAGTCACTCACATGAATATAAACTTACTGGTATTCCATATAAATTCAATGTTCCAAGAATTACAACAAGAATGGTAATCATGGCAAGTGACAAGAGTTCAATTCTTATCATGAATGGATCATCAAAGAAAATGTAATAACTGATACCTTTCTTTGAGAACTTTTTTCTATTGGTAATTATATCAATAACAACTCCAAGTAATGACAAAAGACTTCCCAAAACTACACTTATTCCAATAAAGATGCTACTGAAAAGGTATTGATCTTGAGGGAGGAAAACGAAATAGAAAGGAAGAGAAATGAAACAGGTAATTAGGAAAGATAAACCTCCTGTTAGAACTATTCCTATTAAATCTCCTGAGAGTATCTTTTGAATTCTAATATTTGAAAATTTTGATTTCGAAATCAAAGTGTACATATTTCTCAACAAGTACAATCTAATAATGGTCAATCCATAAGTTATGAGATACCAATTAATGACAAATCCAAGAATTAACAATCTTCCTCTTGAGCAATAATTGAGAATTGGACTCAAATATTGAGATTCAATATAAACAATTATAAATGGAAGATAGGGAATCAATAATCTTCTCTTAATAGAAGGTGTTAGAAAAGCTTTGGAGAGAAACAGAGCTGCAAAATAGAGAATTACCATAACTGTACTCGGAACAATCCAATAATCAGTCTGTATGAAACTGACAGATGCACAAAAATCATTGAGACATTGTGTGCAATTTGGTCGAAGGAAAGTTTTGAAATTTTGATAATAATTTGATGAAGACGACCCGTAATTTAGTCTTGATATGAGGAGTGACTTCAAATCTTCCACAGAGTTTGAACTCAATATTAATGAATTTGGACTAAATTTCTTTACAAATCTTTGAAAATCCGAATTTTCATAAATAGTTCCATTTAAAGAGTTTGATATTATTTTGTAAATGATTTCTTCAGTGCTATCATGTTGATAAATAACACTACTATTAGTGCAATTTGAATCTATTCTAGATTCTAAATAATTGACAATCGAATAGATATTCGGTTCTTTTGCTATTTGTAAAATCTTAATTGGAACAATCGAATAACTTTGAAAATCTTCGTATGTGTACCAAATCCCATTATCCTTCCTATTTCCTGTTCTAAAAACTCTAACAATCTTATAAAAGTATTCCTCACTCGTAACGACAATATCAAAATCATCAAATGCATGAAATTGTCTACATGTAAAATCCATGTCATCTACTGTAAGAAATGAATACTTGAACGTGTCCATGTCTGATGTCCATCCATAAAACTCCTTCACCTGTTGCCACATGTTTTTCACATGTTCCAAATCAACCTTGTGATATAAAACCCCAATTTTCACACTCTGCTGCGATTGACCAGCCGTATGGTTTGTTCCTCTCAAATATTGAATCAAACCATCTCTTGACTGAATGGTTGTAGATGCGAGAGATGAGGTTTTCCACATGTATGCGTTGAGATAAGATGAAACATAAGCATCCACCCAACTGTCACTCAAAGAGTCATACCAATTTTCCTGTTGCAGCTGTTGTTGGTTGGATAAAACACACAAAACGAGTAGGAGAAATAATGATGATTGAAACAATCTTGTTGAGAGGCGGAGTTTGCCCATTTTTTTTGTTGAGTGATAACAAGTCATCCTAAATACCCGAATTCAAGGTGAGAGTTGAATTTTCGAATGCAATAAGCAACCAGACTTCAAAAATGTGAACTCAAACTTAATCAATTCCTTTTAAAGCACGTTTGGTTTCAGTAGCAACGTAGTTTGTTGATAATAGCATACTACAGTAACGACGCCTCTTATGACAGTAGTATTCGGAGAGAGGAAGATGTTTATTTCAAAAACTGCCATTGGAGCGCAACAAGGTTAAAAGTGCCAATGTTTGAAATTGGATGATGCACTTTGATTTTCTGCAAACTTCAAAAATAGTCTAAATAAATAGATTGTTTATTCAATAATTTAATTTGATTAATAAATAAATTAGTTGTTGCAATGCAGCAAAACAATAGTCAATTAAATTGATTAATAGTGAATAGCATCCAACATAACCAAATCGTGACATTGGTCTCTAATTGGACAATCAATGAACTTCAAATTCTTGTCAGTACAGAATCTCAATTCAGTAATGTGTTCTTCACCGTGGAAACAAGAGAATGCAGGAGTACCATAACCAGCAGAATTCATAGCACTCTTCAATTGATTAATATGGTATGATTGACCATCGCTTGGGACAATACCGGCAGCAGCAAATGATGGGAGAATATTCATGCTCTTTCTCAAATCAAGAGTAGCCTTGAAGAACTTGTATTCAGAGTTGAGAGATGGCAAGGAAGCAGCACATGTACCGTGCTTTTCATATTCGTGGCTCCAGAAGGATGGAATTTCATTCTTGTAGTCTATTAATTAACATTCTATGTAAACATTAAATGCAATGCATTAAAAACATACCAGTCCAATATTGGTTCATGTCTGACAATAAATCTTGAATTTGGCTGTAAACAAAGTTTCCTCCACAGAAGAATGGACCCATTGGACCAGTCTTACGGCTAGGCCACAATCCGTGAATACTGTATTATTTGCATTTTCATCCATTAGCAAAATGTTGATAATGATAAATAATTATTGTTATCATTAAATGATGATTCATTAACAAACTTACGTAAAGTCCTTGATGTTGGATGGAATTTGGCAAGGAGTTAATTGACGACAAGCATTACCTGGCCATGTCATGGCAAAAACCTAATTAAATTGTAAATTTGTCAACCGTTCGTTAATAATAATTTATCAACAAAATGATCAACATATTTGTTCATAAAGATATCATCATGATGAAGATAATTTTACGAATAATACCAAAAAACAATGGTGAGAATCCACCTATCATGAATAACTTACAAAGTAATCGAAGGAGCTTGATCCAGAAGCCTTGTTAATACTGGCTCTCAACTTTTCATTGACATCGGCACCCAATACAGCACTGCTGAACAACAAGCAGCAAACAACTGCGGCAATAATGTACTTCATGATGCTTTGATTTTTTATGTTATGAAAAAAAATTGAGAAAAATTGTGAGAGGTCCAACATGTTAAGAAGAGCACTCAAGATACTCCTGACCTCAGGCGAAGGAGTACTGATTGTGTTCAAGATTCGGAGTATGGACCAGGCATTGTTGCTGACAGCTGGGACAGTAAGTTATTATGTGGTTGGAGAAGGCATAAAACCGTTATTATCTAACAATATGATACTGTAAGATAGATAATATGTGAAGATATTTCAAGCCTTGAATGGATGAATAACATACATGGTGAGTGCACTTTTGGGAAAAATGAAAATGAGGGTCAAGAGGAGGTAGGGACGTGAATTCATGTTGTAAACCTAGTTCCAGCTGTTTATTATTATTTCATTTGTCCACTTTACAATTATTTGTTATGCTACCACTCATTAAGGATTATACACCCAGCTAGGAAGATATTTATTACTTCCTTACTTGGCGTGATACTCGCTAACTTTGAACTCACATTTCTTGTTGGGACATTGAATAATCATATTTAAGCCTTTTTTCATATTTTCGAAAAAAATATAACAATCAATTAGATTTACTCTGTAACATATGTTGAATATTTATATACAATATGAATAGAAATGATGATTGTGTGATTATTGTACTCGATCAATCGTTCCGATCTGAAAAATTGTCTGCTTTGTATTCTAGAATTCAAATCAACAGTTTGGCATTACATTTCATTCCGACAATTCCTCAATTGAGTTTATTGTTGAGAGATGAAGAGGAATTATTACTTGAATCATTTAGAAATATGGAGAAACCATACATTCCTAAAGAGAAGAGAGATGATTTGAATTTTATGAGAAGAGCAGTGAGGGTGAATCCAAAGATTTATGCAAAATATGAAATTTTGCAGAAAGATAAAGAGGCTACCTTGGATGCTGTTGGCTTGGATGGAATGTTATTGCAAAGCGCCCCTCATTTCTCAGCTGACTTTGATGTGGTTTTTAAAGCATTTGTACAGAATCCATCATCAAGGCAATATGTTAGTTGGACTGTGAACTCATTATTAACAGCAACTCAAGAGTTCAAAGACTGGGATATGAAGCTAATTAGAAATAGGACAGAGTTTACAGAAGATTTCAAGAATAATCTCTACACACAAATAAGAAAATGTCCTAGTGAAATAGACAATTATATTAATGGCTATGAGAGCAAAATGCTCAAACAGAGTATTAATGAGGATTCTGAAATAATGATGGAATGTACTAGGATACATCCCTCAATTTTCAAACTTGCACACCAATCTTTGAGGTCAAACAAGGAGTTAGTATTGGAAGCTTTAAATATCAATGGATTGCTACTGGGATATGTGGATGAATCTCTGTCAAATGATCTAGATACAATAAGAGCAGCCCTTAGTCAAAACATATATGCTACTAACAGTATAAGAGAGGATTTAAAAACAACGGATCTTTTGCTTGAATTTCCTGGTGCTATTGGGTTTTTCAATGATTCATTCAGATCAAATAGAGATATAATGATGAAAGTTGTTCGACACGATGGTAAATTATTGAAACATGCAGATAATAATTTAAAGTTAGACAGAGAGTTAGTATTGGAAGCTGTTAAACAAAGTGGAATGTCCATCCAATATGCAGACCCAACACTACTGAAAGATAGAGAGATAGCTCTTTTTGCTGTTTCTCAAAATGGATATTCAATTAATTATTTCCAAAAAATATTTTCAAATGATAGACAAATTATTGAAAAGGCTATTGAGGCAGATGGTATACATTTGAGGTTTGGCTCAGTTGCATTGAGGAAAGACAGGCAAATAGTATTGAAAGCAGTTTCAAAAAATGGTTATGCACTTAGATATGCTGCTTCAGAGTTCCAAAAGGACAAGGAAATAGTCCTCTTGGCTTTAAAGAAAAACGGGCAAGCAACAGAGTTTGTGCACCCAAGTTTATGGAGGGATATAGATGTTGTTAAATTGGCAGGAGAGCATTCTGCTAGGGCTCTCTATTTGGCCAGTGCCGAAATCAAATCTAAAAAGGAAATAGTGTTACCAATGCTTTTCAAATTTGCAACCTGTTTTGATTATATGGGACAAGAGTTGAGGCAGGATAAAGAGTTTTTATTGGTTGCCATCCAACAAAATTGTAGAGTTTTTGAAAAATTGAATAAGAATCTAAAGCAAGATGAAGATTTCATCAGAAGATGTCTCGAGGTAAATGGAGAATGCTTTGTGTATCTTGATGATGTTTACAAGAAGAAATCAGAATTTGTGATATTGGCTTGCAATCGAATTATTTATCATTTGAGCGATTTTCTAGCCAGAAATAGCTTATTTAGAAATGATTTCAACTTTGTTGATCAATGTGTTAAGAGGAATGGTAGAGCACTGAATTATTTCAAATTAGATGAACTAGATCATGATGGTATGAGTATCGTGAAATTGGCCATTAAGAGTGTACGCTAATTTATAATTATTTCTTTGGATTGTTTACAAATGGATTTGTGTTGATTCCAATGTGATTTTTGGCAATTACGAGAGCAGTATTTTTCAACAGCACATTGAGAACATTTGAATTGAGATTTTTACCACACACAACACATTTTGGTTCTTGATATCTGAACTTGATTGGATGTGGGAGATGATTAACCTTCTTTGCAATGCAATCTATTGCATCTGTGTCTTCATTTAATAAAGGAATTAATTTCATAAGTTGTGGCAACAATTTTGGTGTATAGATCTTTTCGAACTTTTCTGTTCTTTATCCATTCAACTATTTTAATTTAAATAAAACAATGAGTAGTAATATAACACTTACCTTGATGCTTATGATATTCCCCCTTATCATCAAAGGAGCAATGCTCTAAAATTACTAATCCTGGAGTGACATGCTTAAATAAAACATTACTCATCACATAGTCAATCATTGCAGACCAATGATAAAAGTTACAATTCTTATGAAGAGTTTTTGAGAGCTTACTCTTATCAATAGGAACTTGTCTCCAAAGGAAGGTATTGTACAATTCAGCAACAAGCTTTCTGGTTTCATAAGAAACTTCTCCTTCCTTCACACCGTCATCATACTCCAAACAACAAAGCTTTTGAGCAAAGCAAATCCATGATTCATCTTGTTTCACTGTTCTCTTTTGATTGTTAATAAGGATTTCCCTGTGAACCAGTTCCTTTAACAAGCCTCTCATTACCATCATACAAACATAAAAGTCAACTCTATCCTCTGAGAATGTAAGAATACGATCTTGCACAACCTCTGTTGGAAATTGCACAGAGAGTTTATCCTGATGCAAATTAATCATCAAATTATTCAGCAGTGAGTATTGTTGATGAGGAGAGAGCAATCCGAACATGCAATCAATATTCAAAAATCGAGGCTCTTCCATTATGAATCTAATTCAAAGGCTTGTGAAAAAAGTTGTTTACAATGTATTCGAAAGAGTAAGAAACGTCTAAAATGGAAACAAGTCTTTTCCTGATTGCATAATTTTCTAAACAGAGCTACACAGTGCTGATGATTACAATATTTTCATTGTAAATTTCCAATTAATTATATTCGAATGATTTAAAAAATAATGACAAGATCACACCAAGTTATCTTTCCACACACATTCCACAAGTTATTCTTAATTTTCCAACATGAAACACATTCCAATTTGTGCTCCACCTTATTGACCATACAGTTTGCATGATCATCGTGCCCATACACAAGTTCATATACATTCCAATTCGATTTTTCCTTCTTACTGGCAACCCAATTTGGAGATTTTTGTGTAAAGAAATGTTTCAATTTTAAACAATAAACTCTTTTGAAATAGGGTTGACTACATTTCTTTTCCTTTTCCAAATAATCCAAGCAAACTGGTGAATGACAGCTTCTGCAATATGGATCAAATTTTCTCTGGCAATCAGAACAACAATTTCCTCTACAAGAAAAACAATAAAATCCAAAATGTAAACTAAAACATTTCAGCCTCTTACAATGTGTACAAGTAAAACCGGATTTTTCTGTTACTTGGCAATATTTACAACAAATAGCTTCCTCGACACCTTTTGAACACGAGAAACAAACTTTTCTTTTGATGAGCCGATTGCTTGGTGATGAGCATTGAGTGCAGAGAGTTGGTGGAGGCATTTTTTTGACAAGTTCGTCTCAAAAAAAATGTCGTACCACCCAGTAACTACACTGTTGACCCTGAGACCACAGTGTGTTGCCGCAATACTTACGTCGGGTTAAGTCACCGTACCCTATACTACCCGGGGTTCCAGCATAGGGTGTTCAAGCCAAGTATTTGTGTCCACAGAGTTACAAGAAATGAACAAAGCAATCCCAACAAGAAAGAATTTATTATTTAATATTCGTAATATCATCAAGACGAACCCGTCGGGTTCATACGATTAATAAACGTTTAAATTTTTTTGACAAGTTCCAATCTTTAGATTTCTTATTACAAAAACAATATTGGAGCAAGAAAGAAATAAATGAGAATTTAAAATATTTAAAATATGAAACGCCCACCGTGGGGGTCGAACCCACGACCACAAGGTTAAGAGCCTTGCGCTCTACCGACTGAGCTAGACGGGCTACGTTAATATCTTAAAAAATAATCAAACGGTTGTTTCCGCCTTAATCGTTTAATGCTCTATCGTGATCAATAGAACCTCAATCCAGTCAAATACCATATGGTGAACTTTGTTATAAGAAGGTGAGTCATTGATTGGATGGAGTGGTGTAAGAATTTCTGCCTTCTTCAGTTGGAATTCCAATGATAAATTGAATTACAATTTGGTATTACATTTTTCAAACTTTCAATTTCTGGGAATGAGGCAATATAATGGAGGTTTGACTTGGTTGTTTTTCTCTGTTGTTAATCTTTCGGAGATTCAAGAATTGTTACTTTCTGATGCTTTTTTTGATAGAATTTTGAATGAGTTGCCAAATATTATGAATAATTGGCGACACTTTTCGAGTGTAACCCCTCAAATTAAGCGTTTGAACCAGGACTATTAATTTATCCTTGTTTTCGCTTTTTATGGTTTGTCACTAGCAATTAGTCTAGTTTAATTTTTTAATATATACCATTACTTTTTGAAATTAAGGAATAGTTTATTCATCTTGTGTAACCTCGACCTCGACGTGTTCCTCAATTATTTCTTCAACTAGGTGAATATCCATTTCATTTTCCAAAAATTCTCTGAATAGTTCCTTCTTATCCAAATCATCCTTTACAATAGATCGTCCCCAATCACAATAAATGTAAGTCAGAGGTGTGCAAATTATTTCCTTATTCATTGTTGTGACTTGTTTCAAATAACGCAATAGTTCACATAATCCAGAAAAAGTTATTGCGTTACTAGCGTATCTCACATTTTCAATAACTGGAACAGCTCCTGTAAATCTAGCTCCAAACTTTTCCACAAGTAATTTCAAAGTTGGCAAAAAATTGTTCTCCTCAGTATCGAAATAATAATCAAAAATATCAGCATATGTGTATGATTCGTAGAAAGGGGTTGGCATTGGGGTATCCATTGGTGGTAGAGTTGCTCCTTCCTCTATCATGTATAAAATTTCTTCAGTTCTCGATGAAGTGTAACAATTATAAATAATTCTTGCAAGAGGGACTCCAATGTGGTAACTTTGTGTGGAATCACTTAATGTGGGTGGTGGAGAATTGATATCAGCACCATTCTCAACTAAAACCTTTAGAATTTCAATGTTCGATCTATTAGTTACCGAACGTGGAATAGGAATATCTAATTTGAGGCCTAATTCTTTGTTGGCTCTCTTCAAGTTTTCTGCAACTATAGAATTGCTGTTTTCCTGTGAAAGATACCATGCCTTTTGGCAAAGTTCATGAATAAATAGATAACTATTGACCCCTTTACACTCTAGCATGTTCATATCATTCAAATAGAGTTCCATTGTCATCCAATTTGGAATTATTGCTTGCATATATTCAGTAATGTATGGCTCTACCATATTCTCTTTGAATTTTAGCAATTTCTTAGTTTTGAAAAGTTCAATGCATTTTCTGATAAATTCAAAATGCATTTCGTCTTTCAGGTCGGCGCTGCTAATAACGCAACTCAAAAAGTGTGCAGGTACGCCTGATTTTCCAGTAAAATAAAATTCATTCTTGAATCTCTCAAATATTGTTGGTTTGTTCTCTCTTACTTTTAAGAACGAATTGAAACCACTAGTTTTTACAATATGTTCCATGTATGAAGAAACAGAAAGTTCACAATCATATAAAAAGAATGAAACAACTCTATCTAAAAAATCAAAATCACCTCCACGATGGAAATGCACCTGAAATTGTTTGAGAAATATGTGAAAAATTGTTGTTGAAGAATTGAAAACTCCCAAATTTGCAATAAACTTCTTATCATAATACTTGCTATTCTCAATCTGATTGATAATCTTTTCCCAATCATTTTGGAACATGTGAGGGTCAATAATATCATTTTCAAATTTGGAAGCAATTTGAGCCAACTCCAAAACCACTAATCTCCTTCTCCTTTCCCTAATGAATTGAACACTCTTGGTTTTATACGAATTTCCATAAATATCATCATTGGTTTCTCTCCTCTTTGTGAATGGTTTCAAATCAATGACAAGAATTTTTTCTCTCTTTTCAATACTTGATAAATAATTCTTTCTCTCCTTCACAATATCCGATTGTTTAACAACCATATTGGTACGAGAGGTATCAATCAGGGTTTCAAAATTTTCATTGTTTTTACAATCGTGTATTTGTTGTTTCATTAAATTCTTAAGAGTTGCCAACCAGAACATTTCATAATTGGTGACTTCGTACCAATCACGACAAACGAGCATTAAACCATTTAAATATTGGTCGGGTGATGAAAAATTTGTGAAAATGTGAAAAAGCACTTCAGGGGATAGGTGTTGTGCCATTTTTTTAAAAAGATCTATTGCTGAGTCATTGGTAAAAAAGATACTTGTGCAAAGGTAAAGATAAACTTGCCAACTTCAAAATCAAGAAAACTGTAACAAAAGATAAGTCTCCCCCTGGTGGGCTCGAACCACCGACCTGCAGATTAACAGTCTGACGCTCTACCGACTGAGCTAAGGGGGAATACATTGAATGTATTTATGTTACTTCCATACTGTATTTTTTAGGATTACGAAAAAGAAATTAAACAACATATCTTCAAATTATTGTTAATCACTCATCTATTATTTAATTTGTTATTTACAAATAATGCTTATATCACTAATTGGAAGCAGTATCCTCATATTAGAAATAAATGGAAATGCAAAGGAAATAGCAAAATAATCAATCTTGATGATGAATATTAAATCGTTGCTGGGCATTAGAAGTATTCGCCTTTCATTTTTCTTTGTAATAAAACCAAACGAAACTGTTTCAAATAAGACATGTCGTTTCAACTCTATTGGTAGTGGATTATATCTTAATTCCTCAACACCGTGCTTGCTTACATCCTTTACAAATAAAACCATTCTTTTTTTAGTATTATTAAATACAGATATCAATACCTTTGATTTCTGTAACTTATCAATTTTTGGAAATTCAGCGAGTGTTGGTTTACTTCCAATTTCATCGAATAATTTACAATGCTCGAATGGATTCGATCCACTCAGATTAATGGTCAACAGATCTGGTGATTTGGAAATATAATTATAATTTTGTCCTCTACTCATAGTACTCAAAATTAATATCTTTTGTTCATCTAAAATTGGTAAAGTTGCATCTCGATGGATGACCAATTCCTCCTCTAAAATTGCATTCATCCTTGATTTTGGTGTTGGAAGCTCCACTCCTTTCTTGTCCATATTAGAAAATACACCACTCAACTCATAACAATTAATATACATTGAATCACTGCTCATAATATCAATTAAATGTTTCTCATCCCTATCGATTAGAAAATACGAATCATAGAACGGTGAAATAAATTTAGATTTTTCCCAAGTCCTACTCGTTAAACTAAACTCAAAAATATTTACATGATCTGTTGGTATGAATAGTAATAGAGATTGTCTCTGTTTACAATAATGGAATGTTAAATTTGAAACAGTAACCAAATTGATTAATTCACTGTTTCCTTCATCCAACAATTTCCACTCAAATTCAACATTTAATTCACCACTCTCTGATGGTTCCAAATCTAAATATAATAATTGTACATCTATAATCCCTCCAAACACTGAATAACCTCCAAAACTAATCAATGTTGGAGAATGAGTGAGTAAATTATCCCTATCCATTAATGTAATTTTGGTTCCAATCTTTTCCAATCCGTAATGTAGTTGCGGAATGATCAGGACACGGCCCTCATGATGATAATTATTCTTTCTTTTAATTTCTTCATCTTCGGAACGATTAATAGAATTTTGTTGCAATATATTTTCAGTTGAAATTGTAAATCTCTTTTTGTGTTTCTTCTTGATCAGTGCTGAAGAAATGCCGTGTGCTGGAGGAGGAGGCACTTTAGACATTTTTTTCTTCTTATCTTTTACTATTGGAGGTTTAATAATTATTGCAAATACTTTACAATACTTGAAAGTTACATTTCAACAAAACCCAAGTTATTAAAAACCACAACATTATCTGTCCCTAAAAACCAATTACCATTGATGCAAGGTACATTTCATAAAATTATTCAAGGAACTACACTGCAATCCAACCAATCTATTAACGACCAAAAACAGGTTCCTGATTCACAAATAACAGATAATTACTTTTATTTCCAATGGATATTACTTTCTATCTTTTATGTTCAACTTCAATTTGAGTACTGAAACCATTTTCAAGCTATAAGTGAAATACTCTTCAACTTCATCTGGTGGATTTGTAGAGTTTCTAAATAATGAAATTGGATAATCTTATTCCTCTTTTAAAGATAGAAGGATCAATTACAAATTAAGCGTTAGAATAAATATTCGTTTCGGGATACCATCGAATAAGATTTCAGTCCCTCAATGATTCAGTGGATGACAACATCTTGTCAATACCTCCTTTTTGAATTGAATCTCTCTAGTCCGTTTCTAATTTTCCTTCCTCATTATTCTCATTGAATTCAACAATCCATTGTAAATAAACTCCTTCAATATTCAACCAATACTTGTTTTTTGTAATAAAATACAATACAGTGAATAATGAAGAGATAAGTAATTGCAAAAAAATGTCTCGTGATGAATTGATGATGGAATTAGGGCAATTAAGAAGAACAATGATTGAGGACAGAAACGTATTCCGAGTAAATGTTCAAATAACCAATTCCTTTTCATGTCCAAATAAATTAGTATGTCTAACAACAATGGTTATTGGATCATTGATTGAGGGAAAATCACTTGAAGCAGAAAATTGGATGCTCATCAAGAGTGCATTCAATCCCTATGAAGAATTTAGACAAAAAGTAATTAATTATGATCCGTTGAGCATGTCCTTGAAAACACATGAAATGATCACATTAATGTTGGATCAAAATAAGCAATTGTGCTTGGAGGATATTGGTGCCAAAACAACAAATCTTCATTGTTTGTTGTGGAGATGGATGCATGTTGTTTTAAAGTTGAAGGAATGGCACAATAGATATGAAAAAGTGGTTCAAAAGCATCTATTCCAAACCAGATTTACCTCTGATGTTTCCATTCATTGTATTAGTGATGAAGAGTAGAGTTGCTCATGTTCGTGACGATACATGCCTATTTTGGAGGAATAATTCGAAAGAATGAGGTTCACGAATTATTATTTGAAAATGTCATGAGTTGTCTCATTGAATAGCTACATGTGCATGCACGTTCAATTCAATGCGTTTCTAAATTCTCAATGTATTATTGTTTACATGGTTGGAGTTATGTATTTTGTTTGTGATTGTAAAATTTTAACACGTTGGGTGTGTTGAATAAAGAGAGCCACAATGAAGGAGAAATAAAATACCGTGCGGCAATAAGATATTTGAGGCATTGTCCCGTGGAAGGGAATATGGTGGTACTTATTGAGATGTTGTTGAAGTGTAAACTTTTCTCAACTAGTATTTACTTTACAAAAATGATGACACTGCGACGTGACTACAGTAGAGTTATTAGTTTACAATTGCACTCAAACCAATGTCTCTACAAAGAGCCACTAACAATAGGTGGTATAATACCTTATCTTCCCTCAATTTCTTAATAATTGGTTTTTCTGAAGCAAAGAATAAATCCTCCAACTTGTTCAATTCATTCTTATTAATTTCAACATCCCTGGAACCAAGTAATGAAGAACGAGTTTTAAAGTCAGTTCCTGAATTTTCATCGAATCTCAAAATGACATGTTTGTCAGTTTGAAGAGTTTCTAAATAATTTGAAAATAGATCTGAGTCGAAAAATGGAAAGTCGCTCGAGCAATGTTCCCCAATTTCTCCATTCTTGTTGTTCGAAACAATACCCTCTTCGCTTGAATCCGTTTCTGAACCAGTACTACTTAATAAATCAACAACATCGTACGAACCACCCTCTGAAAACTCACTGAATTCATCATCTGAATAGAATTTATCATTCACTTGTGCGTCCAAAGGGTTCATTCTTTGAGATATTGAAGAATATGGTGTTAATTCAACCATAATATCTCTCTCCTCCAACTGACCAATCGGTTTGTGTATGACTTGAATGATTTCTTCATTTTCTTCCTCAGTAATCATCCTTAATTGGTGAAAATTTAGCAAATGGCGATAATTTGAAAGTAGTTCCTCTCTTTCCTTATTATTGTTGGATTGGAGAACTCGCAATAATACTTTTTCATTGCTGAACACCTTTGTCTCGTCTTCTTTAAAGACATGATAAAATATCTCTGCATTAGTTTCTAGAGATTCAACATCTCCAAGTTTGTTATTGGCATTATTTGCAGTGTCTTGTGCTGATGAATATGTTGCATTGTTTGATTCATAATTCAGTAATTGATTGAATTCCCTTTCAAAGTCAAATGTTACACTAATAATGTCGTAATTATGAGGAGGGAATATGAGGATATTTGAAACGACATCGTACGACAATCGCTCGTGATTGAGATAGGTAACTATTGTTTCGTTTTTCAATTCGTCAGAGTTGTCATCATTGACAGTTACTTTAAACATTGTTTCATAGAGATAGGGCAATATTTCTGACAAAATACCCTCCCTTATTTGAAAAGGCATCGTTGGGTTATTTAACCATGATTGAACAATACCAGACCATTTAGAAGTTAAGGAAGGAAGGTCCTCGCTGACATTACTGTAGTTTACCTAATTTGATGTAAGATGCAATGAATATTAAGGTACATACCTCTTGTTTTGCTCTTCTCCTCTCCAATACAAAACGCTTTGCAAAATAGAATCGATAATAGCACAACATGGCAAGACATTGTTTTGAATTAAAGCCCAATGTCTCCAATAAGGAGATCTTCTTTTGGATTTTTTCATACCCTAATTGTACAACATGTGGCTGTAGTTTGGATTGTTTTTGGACTTGGTTGCAAACTTCGTAATAAAGTGAGAGGCAATCATTAAATTGGTCAAAATCTGCGCTAACATTGAGTGAACGAGGAAAGTATTCATGACAATATTGTAGCCAAAGCCCGTTGTGAAAATTAGCTAATAAATACCACCTCTTACAAACAAGGCCAATACTATTCAATAGAATTTTAAAATCAATAAATTTAAATACGTGACATATCGGAATACAATAATCTGAAACCATTGTTGAGCCTATTTGATCATCATGGTCATTCTGTGAAATACCAAACAAAAAATAATAGGCAGCTGGTACACTTTCTTGCTTCATTTGATGAGTACAGCTCGTAATGTTTTTTAGTTTGTTCGGAGCATTTTTCTCAATACGGATTTCGACTGCGCCATGAAAAGCATGTTGCGATGCTCCTCTTCGCTATTCTTAAACTTTTTTACTCGATAGTGCAACTACATCTGCTTTGGTGCGATTTTCATAAAGTTTTCAGCCAACAACGACAAGGTCTGGTATTTAAAACTCCAAAAGAACACCACAACATTTAACCATCGCTATCGAAAGGATTTTCAACAAAGAACAATACAAATCCTTCATTCCTCTCTCTCTTAGAATAACGAGTGTATTGACCAATCAGACACTTAAGAGTTCTTGTTCATCATCATTTTTCTATGACTCCGCTTGCAGCCTCCTCCTTTCCAACTTCTGTCATTCCCCACATTATGATGAATAACAATAATCAACAACAACCAAATACCAACAGTAATGGTTCCTCCTCCGATACTTATCAAAACCTCTTACAATGTCTTTCCTTCCTCTACCCTCAATCGAATTCTACAACTACAACCACCAATTATCAAACTACCATTCCTTCCTATAATTATCAATCGAGCACATTCTTTCCAAATACTACTTCTACTAATAACAGTAGCACATTAAACAGTGCTGCTTCCACCACCATGAATAATTCATCCCTACTGTTAAATAACTTATTCTCGAATCGCCACCAATTAATCACCAGTTTTGAAACCCATACCACCTCTCAGAATAACAATTTTGTTCTCCCTGTTATTCCATGTGATACACCATCTACCTCTTTTAATGATTCATCTAGCAGAAATCAATCATGTGCAGTTATTATTGAGGAAGAGATTGAAGAAGACAATGGATCTAAGAGTTTTAGAAAGAGAAAGACTCCCTCAACCATGTCAACAACTCTTTCAAATGTAGTAACCACTACAACGACAACATTTACCCAATCAAAGAAACCAAAGACTCGTTCATCAGTTGATGTTAATTTGACGCTTGTTGAAACATTGCCTAATGAAACTGAAGACAAACATTATGACCCTTCCAACAGCTTTTTCTTATTGTTAAAGAACCATTTGGAATTGAATGAGAGATTAAGCAAATCTCTAATGAAGAATAAGGTTGTAGTTGATTACACTCATTCAACATCGTAAGTATTCAAGTTTCATTTTGATTTTACTTAAAAACTGATTGGCGTGTCATGATCATGTGAACAGCTTGTGCCAATCCTCATTGTCGCATGACTTTGCAACATCATCAACAAATCCAAAATCTGTTGATGTTTTCAAACAACCAATCGAAAAATTGTGCTTATTGTACAGTATGTATACTCACATGTGTCAAAAGAAGGGTCTCTCCAAAGAAGCTAGATCTGCCTATGAAAAAACCAGAACATTGCTCAAACAAGTTTTTGACAAGTACGATAATTACTATGTTGCATTCACTTATTGCATTCTTTCACTCTACCAATCAAGTGAAGGAGATGATGAAAGTGGTAAATTCTATCTAGATCTTGTAGATCACTACTTTAAATATCACAAGAGAAATAATACAAAAAAGACAGACACACAGAGTGATTCTACAACTGAAGAAGCAGAGATCAATTCATTGATCAAATACGTAATACCTTCTGCTGACATGGATAGAGACTACTTTTTGGAAAAGTTTTACCATGCTGCTGAGGTGATAAACGAGGCTGGATGTCAAACAAGAATGTCTGAAATTCGTAAATTGCTTACTTGCTTTTATTCATACGGTACTGGTATGAAAGAAGTTATTCATCCAGACTTTAAAGGTTTACTTCAAAAACCAATTGATAGTACTACATTCGAAACTTATTTGCGAATGGTTGACTACACATGGGAAGTATCTTCTCTCACTAGTAAATCAATGAATCTAGAAGACGACCAAAGATCAATACTTAAGCATGTTGGTAAGGGTTACAAGCACACAGCATACTCCCTGATCATCACAGAGTATTTGGATTATTTGTCCAAACATGTATCACCAAATGCTTGCTCCTCTTCCATCAATCTTACAACACTCAACAGTGATAACGAACAAGTCAAAGAACTTTTACCAAAGCTTTACAAAGAGTTGGATGATTTTATGAATTTATGCCAGCTCGAACCAGAATCGTTAGGTGTCATGCCACCAGCTTATGTTTCTGCACTTTCTCTTGCTTGCATAGTTGACCTCAACATGGTCAATTCAGATCCAAACATTTTAACCAAAATTGAAAGAGATTTAAGTGTAATGTATTACATGTCAAGAAGATACCAAAAAGTTAAAGTTGTATTTGCAGATGTAATTACCAAACTTCTCGAAAAGCGAGAAGAACTTTTGGCCAATAAATCTAAACAATCTTTGTAATGTATGCACGAATTCAAACATGTTTTTTGCTTATTTTGCAATGTTTAATTCATGATTAAGAATAATTGGAAGATGGAAGAACTATTGGTGATTACATCTTCAAAAGGGGCAGCAGTCCAATTTGCCTAGTCGACTTGAAATTACAGACTGCTTAAAATAAACATGTGTTCAACAATCTTGTTTGTACTTTTAGAGCAAATCGAAAGAATCTGGCTGTGTGGATTATAGTGATTCTTCAATCTGACTTTTGAGAAAAATCAGAAAAACTCAATTTCTAAATTATTTGAGTCATTGATTTAATTGGATTCGGATTCATTATACATGTGATATTAGTGTTAGTAATGTTAGTCATTGGTGTTATTTTTTTATATTCATAGTATTTATGTTGTAAACCCGGAAAACGTGTAGATCGACTAGGCAAATTTGTTACTTCAACCTCAAAAGGATATTTAGTATTAGAGATTCGTTTTATTTACAATGATTGTATAGGTTTACAAAATTTGGACGGGTTGGATTATTCATCTTCTTGTTATCACTGGAAACAAGTTCATATTTCCGAATCACAGAATTAGTGGAAAATTTGCCAGGCAATAAAAATAATCACAGAAAATCACAGAATTTTTCAACAAATTCAAAAAACAAATGTCTCATCAAGAAATTATTTCTTCTCACTTTAAAGGTGCCAAAGTCAATTTAATTGGCCAAGGAGCTTTCGGACAGGTTTATTCAGTTCAAGATCATCAAAATAAAAAGCTTGCTGTTAAAGTTGTAGACAATAAATATGAAAAGGAAGGTTGGAGAGAATTTAATCATCCAAATCTATTAAAATACTTTACAGCTCGTCATTTTCATCTTGGTAATTACTCCTATTTGTGTTGTGAATTTGTTGGTGAAAATTTGCGCCAATACAGAAAAAGATTCAACACAATTGATGAGAGAGCAGTTTGGGAATTGATCAAACAGATGCACAGTGCCTTGGATAAATTAAAAACACTGTTCCTAATCCACAGAGATGTAAAATTGGATAATATTCTAGTGAGAGATGGACCAGGTTTCCAATTAGTTCTATGTGATTTTGGTTTAGCAAAGAGTGAATTGTCAACTTGTCAAGTCAGCACTGCAGGAACACGAGCTTTCATGGCGCCAGAATTACAACGTGATCGTAAAATTGGATTTGAGCAGGCAAAAAAAGTTGATATTTATTCATTGGGAAGAACAGTTATTCATTTCGTTTTGGGTGAAGAATTCTTGAAATATACAAATGAAAGTGCCTCGTCTTTATTGAGAAGGGTTGAAAATTGTGGAATTAAGAATCGTAAGCTACTCGATTTGATTCAAGGAATGATTTTGGAAGATCCCTTAAAAAGGTTCAGTATTGAAGAAATTGGAATGTTATTGGAATTAAGGAATTATAGTCAATCCGATAGTACTACTATTCAACAATATGTAAACAATTCAAGGCCAACTCAATCCAATAGTACTACTATTCAACAACATTCATCTAGTCAATCAAGAAAGAAGACACCGATCAAAGATGTTCCAAATCGAAAAAATTGTGGAATTACAAAACAAGTTTCAAACCGAAGGAATGTGCCGCTACTGTTATTAGCTGGTTGTTTGATAGGTGGTACTTTTCTTGCTCTTGGGCATGCTAGCAAGCAACACCAAAATAAAGTTCGTTAAATTTATATGAAATTGTAAAGTTCAAGAATTCCCATTTCCAACAGTTTAACATTATTGGTTTATAGAGCTATCAATAATATTTCCAAGCGTTACTTAAACCTTTTAATATTCAACAAATTGGATTATAAATTATCCTGTTCTTTGTAAATTCTGCTCTTGTTTCTTTGACTTATTATTCTTTAATAGAAACTGATTTGTCTGTGTGAATATGTTCTTTAATAGTGTTTCTGGATGGATTAACCTTAATAACTTGTTCATGAAGGACAGAGAGAACATTAAGAGGAGATTGAAAATAGTTCATCATTTACTGAATGGGGCAATAGTCTGGAAAACCATAAAGTTAATAATTTGGATTGAGTACCCTAAGTGAAGCTCAGTGGTAGTTGTATAACAGAAAATAATGGGAATTCGAGGGAAATGATTACCGAGGTGTGGAATTGGTGCGTTGTTGTACATTATCCAGTGTAAAAAAGCAATATCCATTCAGGCCTACTCCTTCCCTTCCTCTTTTAACGGATTCATCATAAGGTGGATTTTCAAGGATCTTTTTCTGCTTTCTCTACAATGAATTCTTTAGGAATATAAATTATTGGTTTGATATAGTCTAATACAATTATTCCGACACACTACCAACATTAAACCTTAAATAAAAATGCTGCAATCAATTTTACGGAATGATATTGATCAAAATAATAAATTGTTACGTGATGATTGCTCAGAACAAGCGGTTACATGCCAATTAGATTGTAATTATTCATCTATTAAATTGGAATACAAATTAAAAAGTCTTTGTAAAAATATTCAAAAAGAATTATTAAATGAAATTACTAATATTAATAATACAACTATATTCAAAAGACAATATAATGATCAGGCTATAAATACAGCTAGAATATATGACTTAATCAAATCAAAATTGAAAAATAATGAATTGGATGTAAAACGAGATAAACAATTATTAATTCAATGTATTAATATCAATGAAATTATTTTAACATTACTACCATATTTTAATAATGATTTTAATTTATCCTTAAAATTATTACTGAATAGTTCGTCATCGGAAATTGTAAATATTATTTTAAAAAACAATAATGATTTATTCGCAAGTAAGACATTTATTAAATTATTATTTTCCAAACGTAAAGATAATTATAAAACTAGATTTTATTCATACACACAGGATTATCATAATCAAATTTGTATTTTTAATTTATTTTCTGATGAAATTAGAAATGATAAAGAAATGTGTTTATTGACCATGAATCATATTTCATTAAAATATTTTAATTCTAAATTGTATAGTGATAGGGATGTAATTATATCATCAAGTAAATGTTCAAATTTAACTTTAAAATTATGCGACAATATCCTTAAAAATGATTTGGAAATTTTAAATAATAGTTTCAATTATGACAAATCTTGTTTAAAATATATTGATAATTCAGATTTTATTAAATACGCAATGAAATTAAATGGATTAAATTATTTATATTTAAATGATAATTTTAAAAATATTAAAGAATATGCATTTTTATATGTAAAATCTAATTTAAACGCTGATACATTCACATATCTACCTCATGAATTATTACTGGATATGGAAATTGTGAAGGAAGCTTTAAAAAAAAATCCACTAAATTTTAAAAATTCTAACTTTTTAAATAATGTTGAAATTATTAAAATAGCAATTTCAATTTGCGAATCAACATTTTATTTTGTTGACAGTTCAATAAAATCAAACAGAAGCTTAATTTTGGAATTATTGGATATAAATGCAAAAATATTTCCCTATATAGATATTGAATTGCGAGGTGATATTGAAATTGTAACAAAAGCATTAGAAAGATCACCATTTAATTACAAATCCATTAATAGTAAATTACAAAATGATAAAAATCTAATAATGTTAATAATTAAAACAAATGGATTATATTTAAGTTTATTAACCGATGAATTTAAAAATGATAAAGAAATTGTAATTGAATGTATTAAAAACAAAGGAACAGCATTACAATATGCCAGTGATGAATTAAAAACAGATGTTAATTTACTTAAATTAGCAATTGAACAAAATGGACAAGCATTTAAATTTATTGATGAAACCTTAAAAGATGATATTGAACTGATAAAATTGGCTTTATTAAATGGATGTCCTTTGGGCTTAATCAAAAACAAGAAATTGAGAAATGAATTCAAACAATTCGCAAAGAAATGTCATTTTCACTAACTTGGTTGAATTTGTGAATTTTCAAAGATTGTAAAAGATTATTCGAGTTTATTGATCCTGAAATATTCCCTGAATGCTAGAGTGGTCTCAATGAACAAATAGATCCACACCATGTGAAACCAATTCATGGCCAAACAGTAGAGAGAGGTCAGTGCCAACCAATCCATCAATTCACTTCTATCCTCCAAATTTCCAAACAAATTCTCAATCCAACCCCTTGAGCTCTCCCACCCATTCCTAATATTTAACAGAGCATAAATGAGATAAACAATTGTACAGCACACGAGTAGCCATATAAGAGACCAAACATGTGAATCTTGTCTAAATCTTGCAAGAAGGATCAACGTAATAACTATTAGAAAATATCCAGAATTGACCGCCTTCCATGGATCTTCCTCGTGTTCCCTTGTGGTAATTGTTGCCAGAAACCACAGGAGGACTGAATAAACTAACACTATGACACTTCTAAATGAAAATAGAAAGGTAAAATAATTATCAATTCCAATACTGTAGAGAATGTTCATTAGGATTGGAGCCATAGAAATTGGTTTGATATCAAATGAAACCCTCTGAACAAAAATTCACCAAACCAATAATTGGAAATAATGGAGAGGATTTGATATGGAATTTTCACAATCTCATCAAGAAGGAATATGAAACACGATAGGAATGGAAACCACCATAATCCACTCTTATAAGTTCTTTGATTTTCGTCAAGAAACATTGCCACATAAAACGAAACCATTGCCAAATAGAATCGAAACACAAGTCCATACACTTGATAATTGAAATAAAAGGCCTTACTTTCGAATATTCTACTCCACTTTTTGATATTTTCAATGGTCGTTTGGTTCAATCGTTTTTCAGTAATCTTTTTCAATAGAATGAAATAATCGTTCAAGGACTGAATGTTGGGTTTTGCCTTGATGGTTTCTTGGATTTGTTTTGAATTAATGTTTTTAAATCGGGGAGGAAATGCCAATCTAATTCTTTTAAATATTAATGCTTGTGCATTGATAGGAGTTGAACTATGCAAGAGACATCTCCACTTGGAACAAACTTTCGAATAATTGAAAACATTTACAGTGTCAACAGAGGCAAATTCAAAAATCTCCATTAGCATTTCATCGGGCAATTCGCTGATCTTTCTATTGGGTATTGTGTTTGGTTGTTGTTTGATCATTTTTTATTTTGCTTGTCAGTTCTAATTAAACTTATTTTATTTACAAAGGTTTGTACAGATTGTTATCATGAAGAATTCGATCAAATACTGGAGATGATATAAATACAATTATTCAAAAAAAGAGTAGACACTTATTGTAGAATTATTGATATTATTGTTGATTTTCAAATTGAATTTTATGATTTTCAATCAGCTTTTAACATTTAACAATTGTATTTTTTACTAAGAGAAGTTATGGAAAAACACTTTGCCTTGCACATATTGTTTTGTGTCTTTCAGGTGATGAATGTAATCATTTAAGATTAGCAATTTTTGTCAATTATTATGAAGGTGAAGATTCACAGGTTGCATTGGAGCTATTCAAAGCACCATCATATGTTCTTCACAAAATGAAACAAGCTGATAGTGAACACATCAGATTCTGCAAATACTGGAACATTTGATTTTCAACTCTTTGTTATTATTTTGGTTTTATTTACAATGAATGCCTAGGGGTTCAAAATGTCGAGTTGGGGAGACTACCACTTTTTGAATTGTTTGTTTCTCATTTCTAAAGTATTATTTGATTGAGATTTGGAAGTTTTGCTTGTTTCATTTCCAATAGAATTCAATGTTTGGAAATCAATTAAATTTCTTTTTCTTGTACCACCAACAATATTATCCAGAGAAATTTCGGAATTAAATTGTGAAGTATTATTGGAGGAATTATACATATTTCTTCTTGTTGAGACCATTTTGTTATTTTCTTTTGTTGATTTGCATTAATTTTCCTATCATCAAATACTTCATCAAATACTTCTTCATCTTCCGAAGATAGAATTCCAACAAAAACAGTCTGGACAAGATCTAAACCAATTGATTTATCTAAAAGATTACCATTATTTGATATTGACACATCTAATATTATAAGTGGAACAAGACATCGTAATAATATTGATTATCATCATGCAAATTTAAATGGTAAACAAATTTCAGTGAAAAGATCTTCTAAAAATTCAATTGAAAAGAGAGCTAAACAATCAAATAAGAAGATTACCAAATCGAAAAAGATGTAAATTACACCGAAATATTGAATCACTTTTAAATTATCCTAATTTGTAAATAAAAAAAGAAAATTGAGATTTATTTCGAATAAAATTGAAATCTTGTACGATTTTCCAGTTCTATCATCAATGCACTCACCCAGCACAAATGACAAAATGTATTATCATTACAAAAAAAAACAATATATTCGGCTAATGACAAGTTGCACATCTCTCTAATTGGATTCAGTGTCATCTTATGAACTGTGACATCTTTAAAGCTAACACTTTTTGAGAACTAATTGATTTTTGTCACAGTTTGAAAAAATTGTTGATTAATCTTTATTGTAATGAATTGAAGCTGCTCTTCTGAATTTGAGAACAAGATCTATTCAGTGTAACAATTTAAAATAGTTTTAACAAGTTCCACTCTCCATTTTACATTAGATAAATTGTAATCTAATTTAACCAGTACTTTACATTGATTTTATTAGATTCTAACAAAGTATTCGAATCATGATTACATAATCCAAAACCAAATATTTCATTAATTATCATCATCTTAATAATCATGCTAATCCAACCTCTGTTCATACAATAACCACCCTTCAACTGTCAATAGTCCATTATAATTCCTCCTCTGAAAAATTATAATCTCTCCAAATCTATTTCTCATCATCTTCCACACAGCAATTCAAAAAATCATCCAAAAAAAAACAAAAAACACGAGAACGATGAACAAGACACTCTTGATCGCCTTTTTAATTGCCTTGTTGAGTATTGCTGTTAGCGTCTTTGCACAAACCGCAACACCAACAACAACTCCAGCCTTGGCTACTCAACCAAAGACTATTCAAAATATTGTGCAAGTTGTTAATGCTACACTCAACGCTGTTGAAGGAAAGAACCAAAAGTCAAAGGTTCAATTTTTGAGAGGCATGTTGAAGCAATTGAAGGAACTTGGATTGATTAAAAGAAACTCTGAACAAGATAAATTCAATTTGGAAGAAGCTACTATTATTATGAATAAGATGGTTGCTGTTTCAAAGCATCTTGCTCAATTGAAGAAGGACGGAAAGGCTGAAGATTTAAAGACTTACATTGCTGATTTAAAGACATCTACTAATTTTGCTACTGGTGTCAGATTGATCAGAGCTATCTTGAGAAAGATTTACAGAAAGAATATCAGAGCTCTTGCCAGAAAGATTAAAGCTGCTGCTAAGAAGTCTGCTTCATCAAAGAAATCAAAGAAGGTCACCAAGGCCATCAGAAGAAACAACAAGAGAAAGTGTGCTGCTCCAAAGAAGAGAGTTGTTAAGAGAAAGTGTGCTGCTCCAAAGAGAAAGATCGTCAGAAGAAGAAGATGTGCTGCTCCAAAGAGAAGAAGAGCTCCAAAGAGAAAGATCGTCAGAAGAAGAAGATGTGCTCCAAAGAAGAGAATTGTCAAGAGAAAGGTCAGAAAGTGTGCTGCTCCAAAGAGAAGAGCTCCAAAGAGAAAGTGTGCTGCCCCAAAGAGAAAGGTCAGAAAGTGTGCTGCCCCAAAGAAGAGAGTTGTAAAGAGAAAGTGTGCTGCTCCAAAGAGAAGATCTGTTAGAAGAGCCCCAAGAAGAGCTCCAAGAAGAAGAGTTGCCCCAAGAAGAAGAGCTCCAGTCAGAAGACAAAGACCAGCCAGAAGACCAAGAAGACAATCTAGAAGACCAGCCAGAAGACAAAGACCAGCTAGAAGACAAAGAAGATTCGGTAGAAGACCATCCAGAAGACAAGCTAGAAGACAAAGATTCGGTAGAAGATTCCCAAATAAGAGAAATAGAAGATACAGAAGAGCTCCAAGAAGATCTGCCAGAAGACTCTCTAGAAATGAAAGAAGATAAATCTAGTAAAAACTAATATTTAGGTCAAAAATAATTTTACGAGTAGGTCAGTAAAAATAAATTACTGATCAAAGTTTTCCAATTTTATACATTAATACATGATACAAATTGGTATAATTTTCTAAGGTTTGGATCTGATACAATTTCAGATTGAAGAATGTAGTCAGCATTTCATAATCAGACATCCTTGACATTTTTTCTTGGCTTACTGAACAATACAATTTTTATTGATCTAGACAATGACCACACAAATACTCAAAAACAGCCACCTTTATTCCTGCTCTCTTCGATCTTGCATCCGCATCATGCTCTACACATCCAACAAATATGAATCCAAAATATTGGACGTCGATGGTGGGGCTGCACGGTCAGAAGTGCTTGATTTATTAAATTGGATTGATTAAATAATGTTATTTTGTTTTTGAATAGTGTAAACTTGCAACCATGTAGTAAATTCATTTGTCTTTTCCAATCTAGAAAATGTGTCATGTAAATTTGCCAAAACTTCATATTCGAATACAGTGACCAAATCTTGAATTTTGATTGTAGCTTTCGAACTAGTGGAATCTAATTCAATGGAAGTTGTCGAAGTAGATGCTGTATCCAGTGTTGATGATGAACTCTCCGTAACAGTTTTCTTTAAAGTGTGAAATGATTTTTTGGTGTTTGACGAAACATTCAATTCGAAAGATCCAACTGGTGATAAATACTCCTTTTCCACATCAATCATTTGTTGCAATGTGAGTGCTCTATTCGATTTCGTTTTCAAATCTTGCAAAACGAGGAAGAAATTGTAATTTTCCAATGAAAGTTCTTTCACAGTATATTCTCTCATAATCTTTTTGAAATCGTCATGTTTCATATATTCCTCAAATTTGGTAGCAAATACTGATTCATTACTTTCATTCTTCCAACTGGTCAATCTATCAATAGAATATTTCACAATACATTGTCCTCCAGATATGAAACAACAAAATAAAAATATCATAGTTCTAAGGAAATACGAAAGATGTCTGTTCAGTGATCCAACAGTTCCAATCAAGATGATTAAAATCAAACAAAGTGAAAGTAACATCATATCGATTCGAACTAGGAATGGATCATCGAAAAAGAGCATGTAGGCAATTCCCTTTTCTCTCCACCTTTTACGGTTGATTATTCCATCAATTGATATTACAACAAGTCCAATAATACAACAAATTCCAATGTAACAGGCAAGTGCAATGTTAAATATTAACTTTTTAGGTTGAGAAACATCCAAAGTAACTGAGCTATAAGGTAAAGCAAAGATGAATGAGAGGAAAAATGGAATTACTACGGTCAAAATTAATCCTGGAATTGTTCCACTTAATCGAGCGTTGACTTGCTTTGATTTTGAAAATAGATTATACAAATTTCTCAAATAATAGAGTCTGGAATAGGTTGCTATTTGGCTTAATAGTACAAAAGTCAATAGTAATCCAATAATGGTAACTAGAACATTCGAACACATTAGTTCCAAACTATCTGAAAGTGCAAATTGAAAATAGAGAAGTACAATTGGAAGAAACGGAATCGCCATTCTTCTTTTGATAGAAGGTTGAGTATATACCCCAGAAAATATCAAGAGAATTAAATAGGAAAGCACAATTATTGCTTGTGGAATATTCCAATAGTCAACTTGTGAAAATTCCAAATCATATCCACAAAAATCACTCATGCACACTGAACATGTGGAAGGGAGAAGTTGAGACTCAAAATCGGTTTGATTAGTTGTTGAATTAAAGTAATACGAAAGGTAAATATCATTTAGGATAATTTGTTGATTGTACTTGTTGAGTTGTTTGATTTCGAAATTATTCCACTTTCTTAGGAATGCAAGATCACTGCTTCTAATAAGGCTATCTGAATGAACTATTGAATAAGCATTAAATAAACTTGGCTCATATTCAAAACTCTGCATTAAACCATCACATGTTGGTTTCACATTCGAAAGTGTCAAATTTAAATCAGAATTACTTGCGTTCAGTTGTGCAACTGTATAGGGATATAGGTCAATAAACTCAAAGTCGCTTGTTTGAATTGCTTGATTAGATGGCTTTCTGTTACCAGTTGATTTCTTGAATATTCTAAACCTTTCCAAGAATAAGTTTCTATTAGCAAGAATAATATCAAAGTCTTCGAGAACATGATATCTAAAACATGATCCCTTCTCAATACTGTAAATTTTCACAATATTTGACTTGTAGAAGCTGTTACTCACACCGGTCCACAATTTGTTTAGTTTAGTTTCGGATGAAATAAATACTATTTTCAATGAATTCTGTTTCTTCATTACATGCTCTACATCCTCCATAGATGTAATATTATTCGACCTGCTAACATCCTTCCAAATTATTGCTGACATGTAATTATTAACGAAAGCAACTGACATGTTTACATTAACTTCGTCATAGGCATAGTATCGATAAGATGAAGGAAGCGCATTGATAGCACATGCAAGCACGATCAAGTGGAAGAAAACTAACACAAGAGTGTGTTTGATAGTATGTGGAGACATTTTGTTTTAGAGCTCAGTTCACTATGGTTGAGTAGGTTTTTTAAACGTTCAGTTTTCATTGTGTTTGAACTTGACGAATAGGGATACGACATGTCAATTTTGTAAAGCCTCCAGTTATGGTGAGTGGGATTTACTTGAGAGGAAATTTGAATAACTATTTTACAGGTTCAAAGAAGTGGGAACTTGGCAAATATAAGTTAAGGACTGCAAGTTTTTCTCAAAGCTTAAATTGTGAACTAATGAAAATTTCACTAGTTCATTTTGTGAACTATGAACATATTCAAGATGACACATCTCGTTTTTGAATTGCTCCCTGGCAATTCGAGATTGAACAGGATTATGATAGAAATAAGAATGAGAATGAGGCAATGATCCACTCAACTGGAAATCTCAAATATGATTAATTGGAATTGTTAAATTCAACATAAATTACTGATCAAAGTTTTCCAATTTTAGACCAGTTTGTATCATGGATTTGTTCATTTCCATTTACATCAACTTCTCTAAGGCTCTCCGATGCAATAACATACTCCAATGACTTATCTGTAACATTATTCCAAGACACATCTAAATATATCAATAATTTCATACATTGACAAATCAACTTGACATCTTCATCTGTGATTGATACACCAGCCAAATATAGCTTCTTAAGGTTTGTCAATTTGGTACATAAATATTGAGTACAAAGTGAGGTAATATTGTTTCTACTTAGTGAAAGAATTTTCAATTTGTTACCAATTTTCTCAGAAAATTCGTTAATTCCACTATCAGTAATTTGGTTATGGCCTACAAAGAGCTCTTGTAATTTAGGGAGATCACAAGCCATCATCAAACCTTCATCAGTCACATTGTTTGAGCTGATATTTAAATGTGTCAAGTTGGTTAAATTGTTAGAAATTAATTTAATCCCTTCCATAGTAATTTTTGCATTATTTCCAACGTCTAGATATGTTAACTGTTTCATCTTAGACAATCTCTTAATAGCACCGTCACAAATTCTGGTTTCATTCAAGGATAGATGACTTAAATTTGGAAATTTTTCACTAATAAACATGCAACCTTCCCATGTAATGCCATTGCTTGATAAATTGAGTTTTTGTAGCCCTTTAAAATTCACAATAGGATATATTCCATCATCACCTAAAAAACTACAGTCTGCAGCTGATAGAGATGTAATTCTAGTGAGCGGTCTTATTGGTAGTAAAGAATTAATTGGGTTTCCAGATATATTAAGATCTGTAAGTTGACTCATTTCACCAATTATTTGAAGGTGTTTTCTTCCGATATTTGAGTATCTAATAGAAAAAGTGGTCAAATTTTGTAATTCACTTATATATTCCACATTTTCATAACAAATTTCCTGCACCAAACCAACATCTAGTGATTTTAAATTGGGCAAATAATCGACAAGGGCTTCCATTTCATCCCCAACTTCTCCAATTAATTCTTCTAATGATTCAAATTTTGCAATAAGGCATGCATCACGATAAGAAAGACTGGTGTTTCCAAAATCCAATCCAATAATATTCTTTCGATATGTACAGAGAAATGTTTGTTGGTCGACGTTTTCATGGTCAGAAAACATTAGTTCCACAAATTTGCCCCACATTTCCTTATCAAATTCCAATGCAAATTTATATTCCGTGATGGCCAACCGATACCACTGTTTAGAGAGTAAAAAACATTTCTTGATAACATTCATAGAATCTAAGTATTTTAAAATTGTCGCCACAATACCATCATCAAAACTTTTACATTGAGAATCTTGAGAATTGGTTGTTTGCTTTGTTTTCTTGCTTGGATTGATATCGGAGCAAGATGAGGTTTCCTCTGGCTCTCGTCTTTTCATTTTTTTTAAATTAAAAAAATTGAAAATCTCGATAAAACAATTACAACTTTCTATTGATTGCTCTAATGTTTGCTCTCACATGTTGATCAGCATCATCAACCTCTGATATGAAATCTTCCAAAAATTCACTCGAATCTGTAATGACTTGACCTGTCACTTCAGAAATATCCTTAATATCTGTAACAATATCGTACAAGTAATCTAGCTTTGCTTCCTTATCACTTTCCAATTTATCTCCGACAGTCTTTGGGTTGTACTTTTGGATGGTCCTGGCTGAAATATTTACAAGTTGAGTAGAATCTTTTGAGTAGAATTTGAATGGATCGTATCTGCTAGAGCAAAGCAATTGATTATCATCCTCTATGATTAGTGCTCTATTGGTATTTCTGATTTGTTCCACTATAAAAGGTGAGAATACTGATAGCACAACTATATCTACATCCAATTGCATAACGCTCATTTCGAATAAAAATGGATTAAAAATTTTCATTCCATTCAAGCTCTTGTAATCAAATTGCCTCAATATCACACGTGTTTGTTTGTCTCGAATCAAATCGATAGTCTTAGGTCCAATCACAGCAATAAATGATTCATCTTTGGAATGGTTATTAGATAAAACAATATTGAAACTTACAATGCTTCTCGTCTGAATTTCTCACCAGTACCTCAAAAGATAATGAATTAAAGTCCAAACTCCTCTCCCTTTGAATATCATCCCTAAATATGAGAGCTTCCTTTTCAATCTTTTTCCACTTGGAATAACTCCATAAGTTTTTAGCAAAACCTCCCCAAGACATTCCAGTCAGTAATCGACTTCCAAGTGAGTTATATGCCTTGATTGGCTCCAAATAATTCTCCTTTGTCTCTTTCAATTCTTTCGTTTGATAATTCAATTCATTAAGAGTATCTATATTAACTTCCTTTGTCTTTTTTGCTAGTCTAATCATTTGATCTTTCTCGTGTTCTATTCTATCCTTAACTGACATTTCTCCAATAATTGGAGTCTTTAATTTCTCTTTCCTTTTAGATTGAGTATGAGATTTCACTTCTGGTCTATCTTGTTTGATAGCAATTAATTTACAAGCCAATTGAGATGTTAATGACAGATAACTTGCATGCTCAATAATCGAAATGGTGTTTGCAATACTCTCCAATCCATAAAAGTAATGCTACAATATTCCAATTAATTAAATTGTAAACATCCTCTAATAATAAATGGAAACTTTACCTTTTCGGCTTCTTCTCTATTCGTTTTAATACATAGACATGGTTTCAACAAGTAATTCTCCCTTACAATCGAGCCGACATGTTCATATAGAACAACAATTGACAAATCCTTATCCTTATCCGACAAGACTTTTGAATTCTCTTCTGTTGCTGTTGTACTTTCTTCACTATTTGATGAATTATTACTTGATGATGATCCGATAATTGATGTTGACCAATTCTTGAGTGATGATCCACTTGATGATGAAACTTTAATCATTGGATTGATTGTTGCTTCCCTTCCTTCAAAATACAAGAAATCAAAGGCTATGTACAAGGTTCCTACAATGTGATTAAAAGCCTTTTTCCAATAGTAAACGTTTGGAATGGCTAACAAATAGGGAAAGGGTATTGTCTCTCCAATTGTTGGCTGTTGAGACATTTTTCTAATTATAAATTGTTTTTCTTATTAGATAGATAATTGAATTATTAATAATAACGATCGTGATGGGGTTGATGTAATTGTTGAATGTCTGCACGAATAGGAGAATGGAACGAAAGAAGAAGTTGATCCACTCTTAGAAGAGAATGATGTTCATCACGTTTGGTAGTGATGTGAATTCATCAGCTGTTGATTGCAATAATAGTAAAATTGATTAATTATAATAATTTAAATTAAATTAATTTTAATATATTGTATACAACAATAATGACGATCATGAATTAATATGAACGTCAAAATTATCAAAGGGAAGGTAATATGGAGGGAATTGAAATTGGGAGATTGGAATGTTTTGATAAATTAAATTATGGTGATGGAGGAAATAATTTAGTTCTTGCTTGGCATGAGCATGTGAACAAAAGTAGCATAGTTAAGGTTACCATTGTCATCAACTTCAGCATCACGGAGCAAATCATCAACTTCAGCAGCAGACAACTTTTCACCTAATGTTGTCAAGACGTGTCTCAATTCAGAAACTGGGACAAAACCAGTACCGTCTTTATCAAAGATACGGAAACAATCTTTAACATCTTGTTCGTTATCAGCCTTGAAAGTGTACTTTTCCAAAAGAGTTTTCAATGTTTCAAAGTTGAATGAACCAGAGTTGGATGAATCAGCTTCAGGCTTCAAATTTTCAACTTCAGCATTGGTTGGGTTCTTACCACAACAACGGAGGAGAGTACCAAGATCAGAAATTTGAATCTTTCCATCACCGTCTCTGTCATAGAGATTGAAAGCATCTTGGGCATCAGAAAGTTGTTCTTGGGACAATTTTGGCATTGTGTATATTCTTTTATTGTTGTTGATGTATTTTTTTTGATGAGTGAATTTTTGATGTTTAATTTCCACAACCAATCAATCTTTTGGCGCGAAAAGATGTGCTTTCGATTGGCGCCTAATTTTACTACAACTATTTTAGAAATTGTCTTTTCAATTAAAAAAATTCCTTTACCTTAACGTTCCTATTTTCATTTCAAAAAGAGGGAAATTTACATCATCAACAATATTAAAATTGGGTTTATTATTAATTGGAACAAATTGTAATGGATACATCAAATGAATCATTGTTGGAAAGGGATGGTAGTTTTCTAACTGCTGAAAAGTATTTGGATGAGAGAATGTTTGTCAATATTCTGGGGTTTCTCAAAATTGATAATGAAGAGGAACGAGAGGAAATATTCACTTCGGAATTACCTGCTGAAGTTTTGGATGACAAATTTACCTTCATCAGAATGGAAGAACCAATTCAAAGATCGAAATCTGTTTGCTCTTCGCCAACATCTCCTCAGAAAGTTGAGCAGAAACCTCCCCGAATCACCAAACCAACCATGAAGGAAATATTGGATGGAAGTTATAATAAGAAAATTCAAAAGGAGGCATTGAAGAGAAATCCAATTTTGCTCTTATCAAAGAATACATCAGATTTGTCTCTTGAGGATGAACCTACAATGTCAATTGAGGAAATTGTTGAAGCAGAAATTGTATGTTTTTATTTTCAAGGAATAGAATTCAACAATTTTTTGATATTTAGAATGTAGAACTTGAAAGGTTAAAATCAAAAAAGAAGATAGAAATTGAGAAAGAAATTGCTCAAAATACCATCTCTGGTGAGAGCCCAGAGAAGGAAGAGAAGGAAAATATAATATACTTTACTGAGGATCCGTACAGATTCATTAAAAACAAGAGGGAATCTCAAACAAGAAATGATGGAAAGAAAAAGTATGCACAAAGAGAGGAGATTGGAACTATCAAATCGGTGCTGTTGAATCAATTTGAATTGACAAATGTTCTTACACACCAATTGAATGAATTGAAAAGGAAGAAACAATAGTTTATTTTTGTTCAATTCGTTCAATATTGGATGAGCACCCAGGTCAAAACCTCGACCGTTCAAAGAGATTGCTCATTCGATTTCAAAAGTATTTTCAAGCTGATAATACCAATTAATGGAGAACCTAACGTGTTATGATTTGTTTGTTGTTCTTGAATGATTAATTCAATTCTGTTGAAACAGCACCTGATTGAGAATTGCTTTTCCATGATGTAATTAATGATTGAATCTCCTTATTAGATGATTTTAGCCTTTCAAAGACATCTTTCATATCATTCATGCAATGTTCCTGTATCGATTGGAACAAATCTCTAGATATTTCATCACTATTTTCTACAATAGATTTCAATTCTTCACCTCTTTGTTCAATCTTTGGCATATTCAATTCATAGGGAGAGTCCTTCTTGAGATAGGAATTGATTATTCTCATAGCAAGCTTCTTTCTTGTGGCAAGCTTTTTCAATTTTTTGTAATCTTGAATATCTCGATAACACAAAATACTCTCCGTGCAATAACTTCTTCTTCCAAAATCCAATAACACATCAAATGTTTTCTTCTCACTCAAAATTCGTTCCAAATCTGATTTCTCTTCCACCTTATCCACATTCTGATTAAAATTGGAATCTTTCCTATCCTTTCTAATTGCATAAATGATAGGCAATATGGTACAAATGAAATTGTCAATCAACAAGTAATAAAATATAACATTAGCGTAAGGCCACATGTAATCAATCATTGTATCAAAATCATGCAATTGACTCAGCACAATAAATAGAATTCCAACCAATATCTGGAAGATCAATTGCACAAACGTTTCCTTCTTGATATTCCAAGTGTCACGATCTGATTTGAAAAGTAAAATTAAAAACGAAACCTCAAAAACAATAAGAATCAAACACAAAATGGCAATGATAAGAACAGCGGTGATGGTTACTGAACAACCAACTGTGAAAACTAACATTCCTCCTTCTATGAGAAAGATTCTCTTCTTTTCTGGATTAGGATCATTCGAATAGGCAGCTTCCTCAATGACTCCAAACAGTAACCAAGTTCCAATACTCAATGCAAAACCAGTCAAGTAGGCAATAGTCATGATTTTCTTTCCAGAAAGAAACTCGTAGACTTTCAATAGACGAAAGTCTTTCTTTTGTGAGAGATCTGAGATTCTAGTTGAATTTGTGAATTCGTCTTCTGGTTCTTCCATCGCAATCTTGAGAGCAGATGTGGACAATATTGATGAAGTATTGTCCATATCAGAAATCGCTGAATTAGAAATAGTGAGAGAGGATGGAGGAGTGGCTTTGGTTAATTCACTTTCTTTTGGTTTAGTTTGTGGGTCCTTCTTTGGAATTTCTTCAAAAAGTTTAGTTTTGAGCAAGTTCAACTAGAATTTCCAAATGTCCAATCATTATCATCATGATATCCAATAAAATATCATAAATTTAAATCATCAATTTCATGATTTTCAATTCGAATAAATTTGAAACTAACCTTGTACAAGAAGAAAGCCCTCGTACATCTCAATGTGATTGGTAAAATCATTGTAGGAGGAAATAAAAAGTAACTAAATGTATAAAGTGCACATGGGAAGATTTTCCGACCAACTAAAAACCTAATAGAACCCAACAAGACATAAACCACAGTTGACCAGCTGGCCATTACCATATATACAGGATTTCTGGCCACAATGAAACCATTTTTTCTCTTCCATATAATAAGAACGAGACTGGCCACTAATTGCACAACATACACCACCAGAAATGTCAAGGCCGTGCCAAATGTCGACCACGTGTCAGGACATAGACCATTAGAAAATACAGGAACTTTTTCTCTACTCAATCCTTCAATTTCAAAGAGAGGAAGTTGGCAGTACAACAGCGTCATGTTATCCAAGGTTCTATTCAGGGACGGAATATAAAGATCCAAAGGTGTTGTTGCCATTTTTTTTTGAGATTCCATACAGTTGTGAGATGATGTTTGATTTCTAGCACTGCTTTAATCGTCAACATGATGCTGCAGTTGCTAGCCATGCAATTATTTTCTCTCTCCAGTAATAGTACCAAGTTCAAACTTTTGTGCGATTTCGAGAAACAAGTAGATTAAGAAGTTTCAAAAGTTTTCAGTCAGTGACAATACGTAATTGTTGAAATTTGAACTATTCAAATATTTTGTTTATTTATTTTATTGTATTTATGAAATCAGAACATGTTAAAATGGCAAAAAACGTCACTGATTCTCAAAGCAACTCGGTTGGCATGAAAATAAAAAATTTCTGATGGCTCGCCACGTTACCGTCTCGGGAGGAATCGAACCTCCGTCAATGGATTCAAAGTCCACTATGCTACCATTACACCACGAGACGAGCACATTCATAAAAAAATAAAAGTATTAATATACCCACTATTTTTAACACTTGTGAATCTTGGAATTAGTTTTACTCGTAGAGTTTCAATAGTGAGTAGTTCTCTAGATATCCATAACAACTGAGGCTATTGTTCAAGCTGATTAATTATTTGTTGAGGATTAGTTTGTTATTGATTAGAATGGGAACATTGAGGTCCCTTAGAAAAAACTCAAAAAAACGTCTGCAACGCCAAGCGAAGCACTAGCCGAGCCGTTAAATACTAGTGAAGAGATTGGGGGTGGTAGATAAGAAGATCGATGAGAATAATAATTCCTTAAACAAGTTGTATAAGTTAGAGATGTAGGTTTATTGAATGAGATGATGTTGCAGGATAGATTTGAAAGGCAGTACGGAAGAAACTTCAAAGTAGGTGGAGAATTTTAATATCACCAATAATAAAATTGATGCAATGGTAAATAGTATTCAATTACATAGTCAGAAACATACTAAGTACTATTTTTCTTTATGATTCAATTTGTTATTCCCAATACTATCATTAGAACTCATGGTCTGTGACCTGTACGAAGGATCAGAGCAGCTATTTGAATAACCAAATCTAACACACTGTTAAATCAGAATTAACTCTTTAAATAGTTTTTGCAATGTTGCATGCATTTTTACTCAACACCTCAGTTCATTCCATTACAAACATATATTCAACTAGGAAAAATCCAAATCAATTTCCATTGGTGGTCTCTTGAACGAAAAGATTATCTTCCGTTCCCTTTTTTTTGAAAGTTGACTTTGAAACGGGAGAAATGGTTTGTAAGTTTACAAAACGTTATTCAATCTTTCCAGTTTCGAGAACAGTAGAGTTACTTGAGAATTGGCAAGAAACATTGCAAAGAAAAATGGCTAAATGGTTTAGTGTAATATTGAGTTTCGTATTGATTGTTTGTTGGTTGACTTGTCTTTCTCATGCCACAACTCCAGTACTCAGCTCAAGACACGAAGATGGTGGTGATTTGACCATCACTATTGATTTATCAATTGGAAAGAAAAGATCAGTTTCACATGTAAAAAAAGAAACAAATCAAGATGGTCAACCAAAGATTGATTCACTTTCAAAGAAGGCTGCTTCAATTATTGAAATTTCTGTTTCTTCCAAGGATGCGACTCAAATATCTGAAGACATATTGATTCTAGCTAACGAAATTAGAAATGTAAGTTGATCCTCTTCTGTTAATAACAATTCTAATAATGTTTCGAATAGATTGCTAACATGATTCCTTCCAATCAATTGAAAGAGCAAAAAGATCTTAAAGATCAATTGACTGTTATTGTTTCCAACCTCTTCCAACAAGCAGAAACTCCAAAAGCTTTGTTATTGGAATCATCTCTCGCTCTCGTTGCTCAACAAAAGAAACAACAAGAACAATCAGACAATCAGCTCCAACTCTTTCATTATTAGAAACTAAACGAAACAAACTTGGAGCTGAAACCCTCATCATCCCAACAAGTCCTCTCGATTGGGTCGCACTCGGCCTAAACGTTGTCGACGATATTGGAACCTACTCACAGAAATTCAACAAAGTTGGAGAATTCATGAGTGGACCAGTTGCTAAAAAACTTGAAAAGTGGAATATGAAATCTTTGGCTAGCATTTCCAAAAACACAGGTGGTTCCATTAGTACCTATTCTAAAAAGTTGGAGCCATATGAGCAGAAGGCTGCCAAGTTTATTGCACCAGTTGTCAAATCAAAAAGTTTCCAAGTTGTCAAGAAATCTGTGAATGTTGTAAGTGGAGTTTTGGGAATTCATGGCGGATTGAAATCTTTGCATTTGATTAAAGGAGGAGGTGTCAAGTTGCCAACCAATTTTGCTGCTTTGAAGAAATCTCTCTCAACTTCTGTTGCTCAATCAAAAAAACTCATTCAAAATGCCAAGACCTTTGTAAATTCTAGTGGAAAGTTGACGAAAGTTGTTGGAGCTTCTAAACAAGCTTTGAAAACTGCTGGAAGAGTGGCAAAGATGAATGCTGTTACATTCAAGAGAATGTCAACTTGGAATAAGATTAAACATGTTGATGGATTGAAGGGTGCCTATGATTCTGTGAATGATTTCAAGACTGATTATTCGAATGTCAAGAAGTATGTTGCTAACAGATCTAAAAAGAATCAAGCAAGTGGTACCAATAAGAAACAACAAGTTTCTTCTAGAAATAATAGTAGAAACAGCAGAAACACTAAGAACAATTCTAACAGAAACAATGTAGTTTCTTCCAGAAGTACAAGCAGTAGAACCAATAATAATAGCAACAGAAAGAATACAAATTCAAGAAACACAGTAGGTCAAAGATCAAGAAGCAGTTCAGGACGAAACTCTTCAAAGCCTTCTTCCCAAAGAAAAGTTTCCAAATCTAATTCCACTAAAAAGAAGGGTGGCGGTTAATAAATGATATCTATTTTCCACAGTTTATTATATTTCAATGAATTTTTCAATTTAATTCAATATCAATTACTGAATTCCTTTGAAATGGTTTATTCCCAATTTGACAGTAAATAGAACGTAGTGAGTATAATTCTTTCCTATCGCATAGAAAATATTGGGAGCTATAAAATAATCCGTCAAGCGCAAGCACAAATCTAAATGGAGACATTTCAGAAATACTATTTAATTTTGAATGTTTCACAAATATTCGAAATTAACAACAACAAAACAAACAAATGTCTACTCTTGTACTCTTCTTCCACGAAAGATTTGAAAGCTCTCAAGCCAATCGTTCAATGATAAAGGCCTTGTCAACTCTTGACAATATTGAAATTATCAACATGCATCAATTATTTACTGAGAATGGTAACAAGTTTGATTCCAATTCTGATATTCAAAGACTGTTGAATGCAGATAGAATTATCTTCCAATTTCCAATCCAATGGTACTCAATGCCAGCTTTCATGAAACAATGGATTGATGAAACCTTTACAAGAATGTACTATATTCGTTATGGAGAGGAAGGATTGAAATTGGAGGGTAAGCAATTATTGATCTCTGTTACTGCTGGCAATTTTGAGGAGGCTTACACTCCACAAGGTCAGAATTTGATTCCACTCAATGACTTGTTGAATCCATTGAAAGCTCTCGCTCACAGATGTAAATTAGAATGGAACGAACCATTCATTACTTATCGTGCCAATAAGAAATCAGTTGAAGAATTGGAAGAAAGTGCTGAACAATATCGTCAATTTGTTGCCAAATGGATTGAAAAGTGTTAACTCATCAAATCTTTGAAAAACAAACTATTGAAAAATTAAACACTTTATTATTTAGTATTCCATATACTTTATATTCATTGTTTTAAGGTTATGAATGGCTACGGCCATATCACGATGAATGCACCTCATCCCGTCCGATTTGAGAAGTTAAGCATCGTCGAGCCACATCAGTACTGAGGTTGGAGACAACTTGGGAACCTGTGGTGCTGTAGTCTTTTTACCTTAATAGCTATGATGGATTCTAAAAATGTTAAAGGTTGTTTTGGGCTGTCTGTTCTCATGATAATAAGGATAATTTATTTTGGTTATTTACAATTTATGTGATAGATGACTATGAGTAAACTTGGTTTAGAAACATTTTCTGTGAACAATTGCACAGCCAGCATCTTCATATTCCTCTGCAGATATCCACATAGATTGAAAGGTTGATAATGAGGAAAGAATACTACCACCAATCCAAACTGAATACTTTCTTTCAGGTGGAGCAACAACTTTAATCTTCATCGAGGCTGGAGCCATAGCTGTCAATTCCTTGTTCATTCTCTCAGCAATTCCTTCAAACATGGTTGTACCACCTGAAAGAACAACATTGGCATATAAATCCTTTCTAATATCAATATCACACTTTCCAATAGAATTGAAAGTAGTTTCGTGAACACCAGCAGCTTCCATTCCAATAAAGTTTGGCTGGAATAGAACTTCTGGACATCTGAATCTTTCGTTACCAACTGTGATAACGTTACCATCTGGTAATTCATATGAAGTATCAATGGATGAACTATCAGATGCTTTCTTCATTTCAGTTTCAAAGTCAAATGCAACATAACAAAGCTTTTCCTTAATATCTCTTACAATTTCACGTTCAGCACTGGTGTTGAAACTGTATCCACGTTCCATCAAGATCTTCATCAAGTAATCAGTTAAATCACGACCAGCTAAATCCAATCTTAAAATGGCGTGTGGCAAAGCATAACCTTCATAGATTGGAACAGTATGTGAAACACCATCACCTGAATCCAAAACAATACCAGTAGTTCTTCCAGAAGCATACAAGGACAAGACAGCTTGAATGGCAACATACATGGCTGGAACTCTAAAGGTTTCGAACATGATTTGTGTCATCTTTTCACGATTTGCCTTTGGATTCAATGGAGCTTCAGTTAACAAGACACCATGCTCTTCAGGTCCAACTCTCAATTCATTATAGAAAGTGTGATGCCAAATCTTTTCCATATCATCCCAGTTGGTGATAATTCCGTGCTCAATTGGATATTTGAGAGCGAGGATACCCTTCTTGGACATGGCTTCATCTCCAACATAGGCATCCTTGTTACCCATTCCAACCATAATTGACCTTTGTTTTGGTCTACCAATCAATGATGGGAAAACAGCACGAGGAGCATCTTCACCTGCGAAACCAGCTTTACACATTCCAGAACCATTGTCAATAACGAGAGCTTGATGTTCTTCCATTTTGTTTTTAGTATTTACTTGTGTTTTTGAGTCTTTTGTTTTGAATTTGTTTAGAAAATAGCTCAACTATAGCCCTGGATTTATAGAGTTTAGAATAGAGTTTGTCTTACAGAGATGCACCTCATGTCTTAGTACCATTGTTCAATGTTCCTTGACCTCAACTTGAATTCAATTTACAGTAAAATGTTACATCTCATTCTGTTTTAGTAAATTCCAAACTGTCGATTCTATTCTGAGTGAATTGACACTTGTGGAGAACCATGTATGTTGGTATAAACTAAATATAATCTAATTTGTGGAATTAGAAAACAAAGAGCTTGTTGAAATATATTCCAAACGTAACTTCAATGACTTTGCATGTTCTTTCCAATTACCTTTAAAATTGAAGAAACTTATCGAATGAAATATGTGTGAAGTTTTGTTCAAATAACTTAGACCAAGTTTAGTTCTGTCACTGTTGTTTTGACAATCAATGAAGAAATATATCAAACATTGTTAAACAATTATGTGAATAACAATCACACCCAGTCAGTGCATTTCACCATTTTTAACATGGACAAGAAGAATTGTTCTCCAACCAATAAACTTGTTTTAACAATTTCTATTTCCAGAAGCAAACAAACATTCCAATTTACACAAAAGCAAAAAAAAAAAAGCAAAAACACTATGGTCAGAACCAACGATGGAGCCAGAAAGAGAAGTCATCAAGTAATTAATGTTGACGATGATGACGATGAAGAATTCATTGAATTGGATACAATAGACGACGAAGAAGCAGATTCCGAAGTGATCAATGTTTATCATCATCAACAAGAATTCGAACCATCACGAAAAAAGATTAAATTTGAAGAATTTGATCAAGAAGCAATGGTTTCTGATGGCAACACTTCCGGTTCACCTTTCTATGCCAGTAATGAAAGTAGTAATGTATTCTGTTCGGATGTAGTTTCCAAGATTATGCAATATTTACCCTATTTTCAAACCATTCGCTTGATGAGTGTTTCGTCTGAGTGGAAACAAGCACAATGTGGAGTGACTATGGCCTACATTAAAGAAACGATCAAGAGTACTGTTCTGAAAAAGTTTATTGGTAGTCCATGCTTTAAGAATCTTGCCTGTTTGGATGTTCGTGCAAATTTGAAACCTAAAGCATGGCAATGGATATTCAAAGCATGTGTTAATTTGACTCATTTGAGAATAAGACATTTGAATTGTACAGTTCTTGGACCTGATGTACATAACACAAATTTGAGCAAATTGAAGACTATTGTAATTGACGATTGTTCATTTTCTCCTGGAAAAACAGCAGATCTCAAATATGCCATCAATAATCCATACTTGTACAATTTAAGAGTAGTATCTGTGAACAATATTGGACGTACGGTATATAAATCTCTTCTTTCTGTTAAAGAGAGATTGACAGAATTGAAATTGGAAAATATATCTACAAAGCTTGGTCCTTTTCCTTCATCCTTTGAAATATTTTCACTTACAAAATTGGATTTGAAATTTACCACTATACCAGTAGCTCAAATTTCATCCATAGTTACTGCCATTTTTTCAAACTCGAAATTTATTCAACTCACTCACCTACGTTTGAAAGCAAGCCCTTCTCAAGTTATCACACTTGCTGATACTACCACTACTATAGGTAAAGAATCCAACCTTGTCTATCTAAATATTGGAGGTTTTGGTGATGCATTTCTTGTACAATTGTTCAAGATGAAGATGGAAAAATTACAATATCTGTATATTGATAGGGTAGATAGCCCAGAAGTTTTTCAAGAGTTAGACAACAACTTGACTATATCCGGTTTGAAAACGTTAGCCATTCGTCACATACACGCAAACTGTCAAGAAGAACTTGTATCGATTCCAGAGAAATTTCCACAACTCGAGTTCCTTGAAATTAATCAATGTACTTATGTGGATGATATTGAACACTTATTAATTTATCCATATACACACTTGAAGAGATTATCCTTGAAATGGTCTATTGGAAAATTAATTAATACTGATATTGGAGTTGGTACAGCATTTGAAAATCTAGACAAATTGACCTTACATATTATACCAAAGACAACCATTGAAAATTACAAGACAATGTCAATCACTATGGATTCAGACTTTTCAAATATTAAGGAAATTATTTTGAACACTCCTATTACATCATTGGCTCGAGCAATGTATTCTGCTCCAATGAATAAGGTAACCAGGTTGGATGTCACCATTTATGATGCAGAAAGTGCACAAGCTTTGATTCAGAATACATCATTCGAAAAACTTCGTATTATCAGAGTGAGATATGATCCAGTTGTATTGGAATCTGGTTCACTTGATGCCATCATTAGAATATTTAAAAATCATAATCTGAAACTCTACTTTTATCATAATTCAAAATAAATATTCATTGGCTCGATTGGTTTCTGTCATTGTTTTGTCAAATTACTAATATGACAGTTGCTAATTCGAATCTCTTTCTTAAATTACCAATATTTACAATGTTGTAAAGAGTTTTGTAATAATTGACAGTGATGGGAAAATCTTTCGCAATCTTGCGAAGATGGCAGCTCACATGATCCAAAAGTGTCTTACATTCCTTAAATGGAACCTTGCTGAAACAAGTTCAACAAGGTGTACAACCCTTTGAATAGAATACAAAATATTTGAAACGAGATTACAAGAGCAAACTATTCGGTTTGTCTAGAGTTTTTCAAACCAACCGACAGATTTGGCATATAATTGGAATGTAGCCATATTTCTAAGGTTAAACGTCAACTTGTCGTTAGGCTCTTTTAGTACTTTCGTTCTGAAACAAAACGAATCAATAAGGAATTGTTATTACAAACAAAACAAAAAAACAAATGGATTCGACTCTTGCCGACTTTATTTTGGAAGACAATTGGGAAAGTGAATTGAACAGTCTATTCCCTCAAAACAATGAAGTCTTTCTTTTGTTTAATCAAGAACCATCCTTTAGTTTTGATTCGTCAATAGTTTCGTCTAGTAATGTAGAGTATTTTGAAAACCAATCCAGCGTCTTTTCTCCAATTCCGATTCAACAACAAACCGATAGTAGTACTAGTAGTATAACCCTCAATAATGTAGATTTACATTCTGAATTAATTTCATCCAATGAAAATGTTGCAGAACAGTGTTTACTTTCGAATAGCAACAATTCATTGATGAATCCTTTGCTAGTAGGCGAAACCATGACTCCACTCTTTGAAGAGCAATTACAATCCACAATTGCTGCAATTATCGAACAACCTTTTGCAAATCTCATTTTCGCAGCTCAACCAAATCCTCAACCTCCTCAACAGGAAGAAACTAAAAAGAAACGAAAGGAAATTTCCAGCTCGAACGAATTCTACGACCAATCGAAGAAGAGAAAGAAGGACAATACTTTTGCAATTAATCATTCAATCACAGTTTCGTCTGCTGGAGTTTCTTCCAGTGTATCCTCTAGCAATTCTAATACTCCAACCACTCCAACAGGTAGCAACTCAAAGAAAAAGTCAAATGCCAAACGAAAGGGTTGGTTAGAAAACATTTGCAGTTCCATCGATAAACCACCAGAAGAATTAGTCTTGCCACCAGTTGTTGGAAATGGCGGCAAAAAAACACTAAGATTCCACACTGTAAACTTTAAATAAATTGTTTCATTCATTCATGATCTACATAGCACAAGTATACTTCATGTATTGAAATCTATAAACTAAATTAATTTTACTTGTAAATTGTTATTTTTTGTGAAGTTGTTTCACAAACGAACATTTCTCCATTTTGCTCATTAATTACAATCCCATAAGGAGATTCAAGAGAAGTGATTTCCCTGAGGAGATTGAATTCTCTATCGAAAATGAACATTTTCCCACATCCATCTGAGATGTAGATTAGTTTTGTCTTTCTTTCATACCAAACACAATAGCAATCCTTAACTTGTACCAATTGAGTATCATTCGAATAGGTTTTAATGATCTCCCAAGTAGAAAATTGTGAATTAAATTTGAGAATGTGAAATACATCCAATCCACAAACAATCATTTCCTCATTTGGTGTAAAAATCAGGTCAACCATTCCCTCCTTCAAATCAACTATAATATCTGTACGTTCCACTCCTGTTTTCAAATCGAATACAAAAACTTTTGATTGATAATCAACCACATAAAGCTCAGTTTTAAAACATCTGACAGCCCAAACATGATCAAATTCCCTTTCAATCTTATAAATTGGTTCTCCAATTCTCTTTTCACTCAAAATCTTGCTAAAATCAAACTTTAAAACTTGATTATTTCGAGAGGAAATAATCAAATTCCACTTTCCTGAATGTTCTCTTTCCAAATCAATTCCATAAACTCCACATTCACATTCAATTCTCTCAAATATTGGTTTATGAGTGAGTAAATCATAAATTGCAATGTGATTATCACAACCAGTGACCAGATAATTAAATTCATAACAAATTGACAAATTAAAAGAATCGGAAGAAATGGAGTCAACAACTTTGAAATTTTGGAGAGAAAATGGCACGATTGGTTGATGGGAAAGTTTTTGCTTTAATTTTGTGAATAAATTGGAAATTGGATGAAGATCAGTAAGCGTGAGAGAAACAGAGTTTGATTCGTCCATTTTTTTTTGAAAATTTAAAAAATAATTCAATTTCACAACGAACTCTAAACTTTTGAAAGTATTAATATCTAGTATTATACATTTAATTTACAAAAAGTAATAGACTTTGATAATTCCATATTTTGCTGGTTTTTAAAAAAGTAAAAATTAAAAAAAATGACGAAAAAGCGAACACGATCACAAACTCGGAAAAAAGTAGAACCAAATTCTTCCTCTGATGATGAAGCAACAACTACTATTGATAGTACAAGTGAAGTTGGCTCCTCATCAACATCATCATCGGGATCATCAAGGAAAAAATCGGAATATTCGTAAGTTTAATACATGCATGAAGATCTATATTGAAAATTTAATAGAAATCAGATAAATAGATTGTTTTTTAAAAATTCAGTGTTGACTAGATTGGATTTGAATGTAGGTTGTTGAGGAAAGATTTACCATTTTTCAACATCATTGTGGAACTACTAGAAAATATTTTCGTATGAAGTGTACAATTCTTTGAGTGAGGAGAATCAAAAGAAATTATCAAAATTCTTGATTGAAAAGTACGATATGGATGAGAATGGCATTGCTAAAAAGACATTATTTTCAGATAGTGCATTTAAAAATTCGATTGATCAATTCGATTCATTACTCTCAGAAGGGTACCTTAATTCGTCGAAGAATTTTAAAGAGATTATCGAACATAATATTGAGAAAAATAACGAGAATGGATTTATTATTGAAGGAGTTGAACAGTATGTTTATTTTGTCTGTATTTTGAATATTTAATGGAATTAGATTTTGGGTTGATAATGCTGAAGATATTCGCACTTCATGGGTGAAAGATTTGTAGATATTTCAAAAATCATTGTAAATCTTGTAAAATAACTATGTACAATATTTGTTTATTAGAATTAATACAATTTATCTTCTTGTAATTTCAATTTTCATATTTTTGGAAGGTCTATTTACAACTCTGATATGACTAACAACTGGATCAACAGTTTCATCATTCAACAATCTAAACTTGTAGTTTTGAATAAGTTTAGCCAAAATCATACAAGCCTCCAACAAACTAAACTTCTTACCAATACATTGTCTTAATATTGTTAATATTACAAATTGAAATATCATCAATACTTACCTATTACCAAAACTGAAAGCCAAGAATGTTAAATTATGTTGAGATTCCTCTCTGAATTGTGGGTCAACAAATCTTTCTGGCATATAAGAGTTTGGTTCAGTCCAAATGTCTGGTCTCTTGTGAAGATATTGGAACATTGGGTTGATGGTAGTTCCTTTTGGAATTGGATAATCTCCAAGAGTAGTGTTTCTGTTTGCTTGACGAATAATTGCAGAAACTGGAGGTCTGTAACGAAGAGTTTCCATCAAAACAGCATTAACATAGTGCAACTTTTCGACATCCTCATAGGTTGGATCTCTTCCATTCAAAACCTCAGTAACTTCCTTAAATAACTTGTCTTGAATTTCTGGCTTCTTTGAAATTTCATAAGAAACCCATTGCATCACTATTAGGATGAGATGAGATACATTATCATGCAATCAAACTTACAAGTTGACGTCGTTTCATGGCCAGCAAGCACCATTATCATCGAATTACTCTTAACTTCACCATCTGTTAATAAGTTCTCAAGTACGTTGGCTTCTACAAGCAAACTCAAAATATCACTATATTCATCATCATTAGCTCCACTGATACGCTGCTTGACAGCTTCTCTTCTTTCATTGATAATTTTATCGAGAGTATTTCCACAATATTCAATAGCCTCAATAACTCCAGTGAATTTTCCAATTAAATTATATAAAAATGAATCAGCTTTCAAAAATCTTCTCATCAAAAGACCCTTAGCCATCATTAAATCCATAGACTCTCTGAATTTTCTACCTTCAGCATTATCAGAAAAGATACCAAAATCAATATTGAATCCAGCTTTTCCTAAAATGTCTATATTTTCTCTCTAAATATTGATTGAGTCGTCAACTGAAACTTACCAAGTGTAATATCAGAATAATCGCCAACAGTTAATTGCATGTTTCCATTCTTTTCAATTTTTCTATTCCAATTCTTGAACATTAAATCACAAGTTTTTGTGGCAACTCTGCAAGTATATTCCAAGTTCTTTGGGACAAAAGCAGGACTGCAAATCCTGAAATGCTTCTTCCATGTATCGTTATTCATAGCTGTCAAAATATTCTCTCCAAAGATATTCATCATTTCATAAACAAACTTTGGTTTGTCAAAATGGGTTGCCTTTGTAATAAAGAACTCTTTCAATAATTTTGGATCACTTATCCAAAGTGCTGAACGGTCAATAAATGAAAGTCTGAAAGTCTTATTCTTATCACCATACTTTTCAATAAATTCTGGCACATGTTTTGAATTACCCATATATGCATACGGAGCAAAGAATGGAATATAAAAAGGAGAAAAGAAGTATTGGCTCACTCCAGGAATCATCTTTAGTTTGTTTGCTTGTGAATAGACTCCATAACTAGCCACTATAAACTTGTACAATGCAAACAATACAAGTACTGCCACAAGAAGGCTTCCCGAACTCCATCCAAAAAGTCCATTACTTGATTCCATCACTTGATCAGCAATGACATTACCCATTTTCAATTATGTATTGTATTTTATATTTAGTAACAATATGGAATACGGATAATATTAAATAATGCAAATAAAATTGAAAATTGTGATGAAACTCTCTCTTGATATTTACTGCAGTGGTTGAAATATGAGTGAGAAAATAACAAAGCTCAGCTGAAGAAGAGGAGAATTTTGTTATTTTTTTTGTGTTGGTTGCTTATTTAATGACGCATGTGCGTATTGAATTGATGCGCCTCACTGGAACTATTTGGGTCGGCTGCATTAAACGGACGTATTTAAGATGTTTACAATATTTATTGGAAGGTCAAAGATAGATTCCAAGTCATTTCTCTGATTACACTAGTTTGAACCTAAACGTATGTTAACTTTGAAGAACCAATACTAAGATCCGTAATTCAAAATAAAGAACAGATAAGAAATAAAAAAAAATGCAAATTGAGAGTGTAAAAGAATGCCTCCCTTGGGAATCGAACCCAAGACCTCTGTCTTACTAGGACAGCGCTACTGCCAACTGAGCTAGGAAGGCTTTACACCCAAAATTATCCTATTTAGGCGCAATGTGATATTCCTTATTCCAGGTGACACCAACGGTTTAGATTTATTTATTCTTCTTCAAAACCTTCTTTTCAGCCTTTTTGGCAGCTTTTTTAGCAGCTTTCTTAATCTTTTTAACAAGCTTATTGATCTTTCTTGCCTTCTTGTTAATTTTTTTACATGCTCTTCTGGCGGCTCTTCTGGCTCTTCTTGCAGCCTTAATTGCAAGTTTGTAAGCACGAATGGCTCTCTTCTTACCAGTCTTTTCAGCACGTCTTCTGAGTTTCTTAACGATGTTACGAGCTCTTCTGGACTTTCTCTTCAACTTTCTAACAGTTCTTCTTAATCTTCTAATGGCTCTCTTTTGAGATCTAATGGCAGAACGTTTCTTCTTCAACAATGCTTTCTTTGCACGTTTGGCAGCCCTCTTGGCCTTCTTGATTAGAGAACGTCTTGTGGAACGTTTAGACTTTCTAACACCTCTCTTTCTTTTAGCACACTTGATAACTTTCTTGACTCTCTTTTGGGATTTCTTGCCAGAGTGTCTTCTCCTCTTAGATCTCTTGGATGCCTTCTTGGAATGTCTTTTTGAGTTCTTTTTGGCAGCTCTTCTGAGACGTCTAGCAGCTCTTCTAGCAGCACGTCTTTGAGCTTTTCTTCTTCTAGCAGCTTCTCTAGCAGCCAATCTTTGTCTTCTAGCAGCACGTCTTTTAGCCAATCTCTTTCTTCTTTCAGCTTGTCTTTTAGCACGTCTTGCAGCTCTTCTTTTACTTCTTTTACCTGATTTCTTCAAAATCTTGGCAAGTTTCTTGGCAGCCTTCTTTTGGGCCTTCTTAGAAAGTTTCTTTGCTCTCTTCTTGGCATCCTTCTTGGCAGCCTTTTTAACAACCTTCTTTTGAACTTTCTTGGCAACCTTTTTCAATTGCTTTTTGAGTTTCTTCTTTTCTTCTGGACTTGCCTTTGCAACTGCCTTCTTAATGACCTTTTTAACAGCCTTGGCAATTGCCTTCTTGACAGCTTGTTTCTTCCACTTCTTGACATTCTTATCGTGATGTTTTTGATTCTTGGCAGCATTCTTAGCTAAAGCATCACCACCCTTTCCACCGAATTGAATTTGATCTTCCATGCATGAACGGAAAGCCATTGGATGGAGTGCAGAACTCAAACCAGCTTTAGTACATTTCTTAGTGGCCTTTTCAATCTTGGCTGGTGTTGGTTTCTTTGGAACAACTGTATTAATGGTACGTTTTATGTGATTACGGAAAACACCACTAGCACTACTTGTCAAATACTTCATGTCAGCACATACACCACCAGTGAATGGAACATTGGAAGGAGCATCCAAGTAGAAATCAATATATGGTGTCAACCATGCGAATGTCCATGAGAATGTACATCTTTCACCTCTTTTTCCAGCAATAACCAAAGTTTGTGGACCAGTTCTTTGAACATATGATCCAGCATTATCTAATTGAATCTTTTGTCCAACATTCATATTGGTAACAACACCATCAATATAAATTTGACGAGTGCCAAGATCAAACTCAATTCTACGTTCCTTATTGATGAGAGCAGCAAGACCAGTGTGAACACTGACAGTTCTAAACTTTGTGGTTCTTCCATGTACAACAAAATTTCCATCCTCAGTTTCGGCTAAAACATAATCACCAGCTCCATAATGATCCTATTGCATGTCAATTAATTGGTCTAATTTCAAAACCTACCTTGTATTGTCTTCTGAAATCAGTGATATGAGGATCACCAACAGCTTGACAATGATTAATGGTTACTCTGGCAGCAGCTTTTTGAGCAGCTTTCTGAATTGCTCTTTGGAAACGTTTAGCAATGCCTCTTCCTTCAGTACCTTGAATGGTCAAACATAACAAGGCAATTGAGAAAAGAGCAAATAAAACTAGTTTAACTCTACTTGTCATTTTTTTGGGTGATGAGTAAGTTGAGTATCAGCACAGGAACGTCGTAGCGTACTAAATCAATAGATTCGAATCATCTCTGTCTTTTTAAAAACTGCGCGTGTCACTTGGTTAAGAGTAATGCGATGACAGCCATGTGAAATTAATAAGTGCTCGTAACAATGTTGGTAGTTAAACCATTTCTTTCATGTTATGAAATTTGTTATGAAAGGATTTAACATGGACTCTTTGTTCGGGTGTGGGCGCCAATTTAGTAATCATTTCCATGGATGCAAAAGATTATATTAAGGGAACCAGTGCCATGGAAGACAATGTCCATCTCCAACAGAAGAAGTACTTGGCTTCCTGCAAATTAATGATGGTACTATGGCGGATATTTAAAGCTTTCCATTGATGAGTTGTTTCATTGTTGTAATGCTGTTGTAAGCTTATTCATGAATTCTGTAAATAATTTCCTTCCATCTTGATTTTCATTTTTTTTCTTCTTTCTTTTCTTTGGTTTGGTTTCTTCTGAATTTTCCAATAACTGATTCAGAGTTGGTAGTAGCTCATACATGGCATTCTTCTTTTTAAATGAATTTCCTTTACATGATTGACATTGTAAGTCAATGATTGATTCATAACAATCTGTACAAATTTCAAAGTTGCATTGTTCATTCTCACATCCATGATAATACCCCTTAATGATTTTAGTATTGAAACACAAATTACAAGTACAATCTGACTCAACCTTTGTTGGATCAATTAACAAATCAATATCTAAATCCAATGATTGTAATAATTCATTGGATTGTTCAACATCCTTATCAACTCCTAATCCAAAGCGATAAATAATTCCTACTAGTATGCAACTCAATCTATGGGATCTATTTGCTGCTTTTTCAAGGTATTTAAAACCTCTGTAGAAATGTTTTTTCGTTCCCTTTCCTTGAATTAACATTTTTCCAACTAGGTATTCAGATTCTAAATCTTTTCCTTCTTTTGCACATTTCAAATATTGCTCGAATGCTTTTTCCAAATCCGTATCAAGCCCAATCCCGTATTCATATAATTTTCCAATAGTATGCATGGCACCAAAGCAATCCTGCTCTGCTGATTTCATCAAGAATGAAACTGCTTGTTTACAATTTGTACTCGATCCATTTAGTAATAAAATTTGCCCTAAACCAAATTGACAAGCAGGATGATTTTTCAAAGCCCCAATTCGGTACCACTCTTCAGCTTTTGACAAAGACTTTTCAATTCCAATTCCCTTTCTATAATTAGTTGCAACTTGAAATATTGATTCTACACGTCCTTGATTGGCAGATTTTAAATACCATTGGAATGCTTCCTTCAAATCCTGGTTAACACCTTCACCAATTTGATACATCCGACCAACGAAATATTGAGCTTTAGGGCTACCCAATTCTGCTGCTTTTAAATAGTAATGAAAACTTTCTTCTACATCAACATCTTCAAATTTCTCTCCAAGATGTATCAGAGAAGGTATGTATCCAAGATCACTTGCTTTAAAATATCCATTCAATTTGTTAGAACACATTCCTAAAACATGATACCATAATGGATTTCCTGTAATTTCTGCTATGTTTGGAAGTATTTGCTCAGCCCATTCAAAGCTATAATATGAAACAGAGGACCATTCATTTTTGATTTTCTTCAACTTTGTAGCAAATTTGCTGAAAACTAAAGAACACAACACTTTAGGACTTGCAAAATTCATATAGTCTCCTTTTAAAACCTGTAGATTTTCAAGAAATTCACATTTTCCAATCAATGTAAAGTGATCTAAATGAATTTCATCAATCAGATGTAACTTGATTAATTTTTTCAGCATGGGACATTTTACAAAGCTAGGAATTTGATGTGATTTTACTTGGATTACTTTTAAATCCATTTCTGAACACAAATTTTGATACCAATATTTAGAAACTAAACTAATGCACCCAACAATTTCTTCGGCTGGTAAATAGGTAAAAATTGTCATAAGAATTTCATCGGGAAGTTGTTGCATTTTTTTTCTAGATTTTTAAGGATTTTTCATACTTTACAATCCAACATTTGATCATCAAGTTTACAGATAATTCAAGTTTATTTGCACAAAATAATTATCACAAATACTACAAACACCGCGGTGGTTACTCTGTATTATTACAGAATTATTTCACCAAAGGTTGTGTTGTTCTATTGAGATAATCAAGAGCAAGAGTGTCACTTGCCAAGAGAGGAGTGAGAGTTTCACGAACCTTCTTGTTGTAATTATTCAACCAACAGATTTCTGACTCACTCATCAAAGATGGGTCACAGATAGTTGGTTGAATTGGACAACATGTCATTGCCTCAAATCCAATATATTTCTTATCATTGAAATTCTTCTTGGTTGGAGTTTCCTTAGCCAAGAGAATATTTTCAATTCTAATACCAAATCTACCTGGTTCATAATAACCTGGTTCATTGGTAACGATAATATTTTCCTTCAATCCAAAATCATTGTAAGTAATAGATCTGTATCCAATACCATGAGGACCTTCATGAACACATAAAGCGTGACCAACACCGTGTCCAGTACCATGGTTATAGTCCAATCCTTCTTTCCAGAGGAAAGTTCTGGCAATAGCATCCAATCTCAAGCCAGTAACACCTTCTGGGAAAACAAGAGAATCAATAGCAATGTGGCCTTGTAAAACTCTGGTGTAACATAATTTTTCTTCATCAGAAGGAGCTCCAAAGTGAACAGTTCTAGTGGTATCAGTAGTACCATCCTTGTAGTGAGCTCCACTATCAAGCAAGTAGAGAGTATCTGTACCGATAACTTGACTGTTTTCCTTTGATGGGGAATAGTGAATGATGGAAGCACTCTTACCGTAGGCACTAATTGTTGAAAAACTCAATCCTAAGAATAAATCATTTTGCTTTCTGATTTCTTCCAATTTTACAGCTCCTTCATATTCATTAACAATATGTCCCTGTTTCAATTCATTTTCAACCCATGCGAAATATCTTACAATTGATGCACCATCTCTAATATGACAATCTCTAAAGCCCTTGATTTCAACTGGATTTTTGAATGATTTAGCAACAGTCACAACACTCTTCTTTTCAGTAATATCAACACTATCATTGCTCAACACTTCGAATGTGGCATAATTGCATGACTTTGGGTCAATTAGATACTCTACATGATTGGTCTTTACAATTTTTTGGAGAGTTTCCAAATATTCATTGTAAGATTTTACAGTTACATTAATGCTATTCAAATATTCCTCAACGCCATCTTCAAATTTGCTTTTATCAACAAATAAGATAACATCTTCATTGTTGATAATCAAATAGGCAAAGAATACAGGATTGTAGTTAATATCAGAACCTCTCAAATTAAGAAGCCATGCAATTTCATCAAGTGCTGTCAAGATTGCATATCTACAACCTTCTTCTGCTATTGCGTTTCTGATTTGTTCAATCTTTTCAGTTGCAGATTTTCCACTGAATGATTCATCCAATTTGAAAATCTTTCCATTTGGTGCAGATGGTCTTGCATCTCCCCATACTTCATCAACCAAATTAACAGGAAGAGATTTCAAATTAAATTCAACATTGTGTGAAACTTCAAGTGCTTTGGCCATGTTCTTGTATTCATCTATTGGAAAGTATTAAATTTCCAAATTCAATTTTCAAAACCTACCAACTGAATAAAGGTATGGATCAAATCCAATAGTGAATTTTCCATCAACAGCTTGCACATTCTATTATCCATACAATAATATTAAAACAATGATCATCAATAGTATTAATATTCAAAATTGATCATCAAAATGAAGAAGAACCTATTAAATAATAATTAATCATGCAAAACATACTCCTCTGATGGTAACATATTTAGTGAGAGGAGGATCAATTCCTTCCTTCATCAAAGTCCAAGATTCATCCAATTGCTTTTGTGCTTGAAGCCAATATCTTCCATCAGTCCAAAGATAGGCCGAATTCAAGGTAATAAAAGCAGTTCCTGCAGATCCATTAAATTCCGAAATGAAGGCTCTTCTCTCATCACATGGAGCAACATACTCACTCATGTGTGCATCACCAGAAGGGACAATGTATGCTTGAATAGAGTTCTTGATCATCAAGTCTCTAATCTTGGCCAATTTTGAAGTCATTTTTTTAAAGATTCTTTTTTCAAAATGCACTGCCAGCAATACCATTCACTTCTCTTAAGGTTACAAGTATTGATTATTATTATTAATAGCTATCTTATTATCACAGAGGGTTTCTTTTATCCCTTTTCAAAGCATGTTCTTTCATCTTATTCAAGTTACGCCTTTTTTTTTAAATGCCTTCAATTATCGATATTAATTCACGATAAGCCAAAAAATGAACAGAATTATTGCCTCCAACGCTGCCAAAATTTTGAGAAAGCAACATGGTGTTCCAGCTTTGATGAATCAAGCTGCTAGCCGTACATTCCATCAAACTCAATTCAGAAGAGATGAAGAAGAAGAAACACCAAAGCAAGCCATTAAAGTTAAACCAGCTTGGCAAGGATATGGTAAGTTGTTTGCGAATAGGAAAATTATAATGATGGAAAATACTTTCGGGTGGTGCAATCAATTTGATGACATTAATATCATTATTCAAATAACAACATGATCATCATCACTAACATATTTACTACCATCATGATGTCAATTATAACATATGATTATTGGAATTTATTTATTGGATGATGAATAATAGCTAAGGACGTCAAGAACCTTCTCTACTATCCTGCAACCTTCCTTGGCTCTCTTCTTTTGGGAGGCTTCATCTACAGATTTATTATCGAAGAATTAGAAAGAGAAAACAAAGAACAACAACACTAAATTTAATGTAATAGTAGTTATATGATAAATTATTTAAACACCATCATCGTGTATGTACATATTGAATAAGAATATGAAGAAAGGGAATAAACCGAACTCGGTGTATTTAAATTCATCAAGAATAATAATTTATCTGATGGAGAGTTAACACAATTAACTATCTCTTATCATACCATTTGGCCAATTCACTTCGGAATAGATCCATCTTGATGGTAACTTGTTCGTACATTATTTTACCTTTTCCATCTTTCTGTAGAGGACCATCGAGGTGAGCATCCTTTCTGAGTTGTGTAAGTTTTTCCATACCTGGATTTGTTGGCAGGAAGGTAATATCTTCATCAGAATCATCAACTTCAATCTCGTCTTCACTACTGCTAATGTTATTTTCCTCCTCGTTCTTGTCACTTATTGAGCTGTTAGAACTGTCGTCATCATCGTCATCTTCGTCCTTTTCATCTTGTCCAAGCAAAAAGTCAACAATATCTTGTGCATCATCTTTGGGTTGCTTTTGGCTAGGGTTGGATTGTTGGGAAGCAAATTCTTCATCCACTTCGTCATCCTCATTATTCTGACTGTAATGCATGGATTGTTGAGAGAAGGTTATGTCATTATGTTTTTTCACACGGGTTTTGGGTTTTCAGTCTTGTTTTCATCGTCTTCTTCTGATTCCTCCTTGCCATCTTGTGGCTCTTCAGTGTCAGCAAAGAGAATGTCCAAAATATTCTGAGAGGCCTCTTGTTTAGATTGTTTCTTCTGAGTAATGTCGGCCTTAATTCGTTTCTCTTCATCGTCAGTGAGGGCATAGAAAATATCAGAAAACACTTTGGCATCTTCTCCAATCTTCCATCTCACAAAAGCATTGGTTGATGATAGGGCATTATCGATCGATTCAAGAGATACACTAAATGAATAGAAGTGCTCATTAATGAGCTCTCTGTGAATATCAATCAGTGGAAATACTATGAATTGTTGTGTCTTTCTGTACTTTTCCTTGATGAGATTGATAATGAATTGAGCTTGTTCAGGTGTTAATGGAACAGAGGAACCAAATCCATTCGAGATGGAATATTCCTGTGGAGGTTCTGTTGTCATGATGTGAACCAATCTTGAGGCATCCACAGTTATGGTATTGACCTCATCTTGATTCGATATTCTTTCAGAATTCAATCTCTTATTAAAACCAATAAAGTTATAAATATCACAATATGCATTATCTTCAAATATTCTTGGATAGATTTTCCTGTCCCACTTGTAGAGCTTTTCAAATTCTTGTGCAGATTTGATATGACTTGGATTTTTCTTATCGTATGGTCTGACTGCCTTAAAGTTGATGGCAGTGGTTGAAACTGTGAAGCATTGACTAAAGACATCACCAACATCACTTGTTTGGAACATTTTTAAGAATGGAAATTGTGGACTAGGAGGTAATATAGTACATCCAACAAGATAGTGAGGTATGCTTTCTAACAACTTTTTGTTTGGTGATACTAGGAGAGTGGCATCATTGAATGTATCCAATGGTGATGGAATACCACTTGCCTTACATCTGGTAGCAAAGAGTTTTTCAAAATTTTCCCATGGCAAGTCTGACTGGAGGGTAGTATCCTTTTGTGACATGAGAATTGAGGAAGGTTCTATGAAAAAGCAAGTAATTGCCCTCTGGTATCTGTATCCAACCAATAATATTTCATTCTGTCCAGGAATGGCAAAAAAGAACAGCTCTGAAAACCCATCATGTTCTGGGGACAAATTGAAACACACCATTTCTTGTGATCCCATTCTTTCATCATAGATTAGTACTCTCTTCTGAGTACTGATGGCATACATATAGGGATGTGAGTGATTTCTTGCAAAAGCTGTTATTCCTGGCATTTCCAAAAGCATACTACTTGTTTTTTCTCTACTATTGTAAGTAAAAATTCCGCTCGTTCCAATTACATAAATGTTAAATGGATTTGATCCAAACTCACACATACTCCTGTGAAGAAGACCTCCCAATGGAAGAGGAGGGAGAGAATGTATGGTGTGTTCCAAGGATAGACGTCGCTTGCTATTCCAAATAAATAATGTATTTTTGCTGGTGAGAATAGCTAGTTGATAATTATTGAGCTTGGTCATGTGTTGCCAAGCAATGTGTACTAGCTTTGTACTTTCATTGAGTTTAATCGTGTCTATAAGCTTAATTCCAAAACTAGTGTTGGAAGTTTCAGTAAATTCAAAAATTCTGATAAAATTATTGGCATATCTACAGGCAATGATAGGTTTAAGAGGAGAATTTGAGGGAGTTTTTAAATGAGTAATTTGCAAAATTGTAGAATTTTTCTTATCTGTAAAATCATCAAAATTGTAGTGGGTCGACATTTCAACAAGGTGTTTCTTGAGTGGTGATTTTTGTCCTACTTCCACACAAGTAATGGTAATTGAGTGAAGGTAAGAGCCTGTCACATGTACTACCCATGAGCATTCCTTAAAACAGAAAGAGTCAATGAGGTGGTAGTATCTTAGGGGGTTTTCTTGATTATATAACTTCAAAATTGAATGGTCCTCTTTCATTTCAGTAATTTTTGATGATGCAAGAGGGAAAGAAGTGGCTACAAATTGATTGGTCCTAGAGTGAACTTTGGATTTGTTAATTTCTAAAGCTCTTTTCACTTTTGTAAGATGACACATTGAGGTAAATTTAACAGAGTGTGACAAATCGTAAGACATTTTCTCCAAAGGATGTGTTGTACAAGGTATCTGATGTTCCATCAAAAAGTCACTCGCAGGAAATAATTCATGCCAATCAGTCGGTAATAAATTAAAGGTATTTACCACAGATCTGTAACTCTTCTTTTTTTGAATTAATTTTTGTAAAGTTTCCTCTTCCATTTGAGAAGGTGCTGATTTTTGTTTCTTTTGATTTTCCTCTTCACTATCACTACTGTCACTACTCGACGATGAAGAATAGTCCTTCTCCTCCTTTGAATTCTTTACCTTCTTTTGAAATAAGAGTTTTTTCTGGGAAGTAATTTGAGTTGGAGTTTGTGGTTCGGGATGATGTTTTCTATGCTCCTCGTCATGCAATCTACGAGCTTGATGAAGTGCATGAATTAAATTATTACCATTCTGTGAATTTTGAGATGAAAGAGAGGAAATACTTGATAATGATTTTTTAACAAGTAAATCTCCAATTGTTGATTCTTGTCTTTCACTTTCCGATTCAGATGAGGAAGAACAAGAAGAATTATTTACATTATTTTCCTCTTCATTATCACTATTAGAACCTTTTTCATCATCATTTTCCGACTCTTCATTATCACTATTTTCCGAATTGTTGTTGTGATTATTATTACTTCCAATAATTGGTGGTGAATTGGAATTTCCATTCGGAGAGTTTTCTTCATCTTGTTGTTCCGTATTTTGTTGTATTCTTGGCCCATTATTGTTAGAGGAAGGAGGAGTGGCCAATGTTGTTGTTGGTTCCTCCGAAGAAGAACCCCAAAGCAAATCCAAAATGTTTTGTGCTTCCATTTTTTTTGCTTTTTTTCTTCTATTAAAAACTTGAAGTTGAAATTGGTTTGAATTCAACGCTGAGTCAAATTTTATTGGAATTGTTTGGATTTTATTGGAGTGGTCAGTTTTATTGAATTACTGTTGTTGTGTTGTTAAATACACTTCTTGAAATTCTAGTTTCTTATTTACAAACATCTTATTGACATGTACAACCTTTCTTTTTAGAATCTGAACTGGATCCCTTACTTTGCTTTGAATTAACAAGGAGTGGTGCACCAATTCTCACAACCTGATCAAACAAGATCTTCAGTCCTTCCTGAGATTGGGCTGAAATCTCAAAATATTCCATACTATTTCTTGAGGCATATTTCTTGGCTTCTTCTTTGGAAACTTGTCGAGGAGAATTATCAATCTTATTTCCAACGAGAAGGAATTTTGCTTGTTTACATTCCTTTTGCACTTCTGGAAGGAAGGTTGAGTCAATTGAGTCAAATGTTGATTTCTTTGTTACGTCAAACATTAGAATAATGACATGACTTTCTGGATAACATTTAACTCGGATTTTCTCAAAGTCAACTGCACCAGCAGTATCCCAAAAGGAAATATTGTAGACTTTTCCATCTACCATCATGGATGAAACTAGATTATCGTACACTCTTGGAACGTATTCTCTTGGAAAGGAATTGGCTGTGTAAGAAATCAAAGTTGATGTTTTGCCAACACCAGCATCACCTACAACAACTAGTTTAATTGGAGTGGTTGATTCTTCTTGCATTTTTTTAGATGTTTCGTTTTGTTTTTCGAAAGTGGCCACATCGCTAAGTAAAGTTATTGCGAATATAAATTGGAGCTCCAACCACAAGGCCATATTGTAACATTGAACCTAGGACAAAGGAAAACGACTGAAGAGCACCCAAATACTTTGGTTGACCTTGAATGTTATGGAGTGTTCTTTTTAGATTGTTAGTAGAACTATTCACTGTAGTTCCAGGCCTTTACTTGCATGTTTTATTCAATTTCAGCTGAAATAGAACTTGGAATCAGAAATGGATTCCAATAGCATGTTCCATAGGATTAACAAATAGCAAAAGTAAGGAACAAAACTTTCAGATTTAGACTTACAAGGTTGGCTAGTTCAAGAAGAAAAATCCCAACTCAATCAATAGATTTTCTTGGTCTCCACCCCAATCTGGCAAATGGAAAAGTTAGAAAAACAAGTTGCAATAGATATTGTATCGATTGATTTTAGGAGAATTACAAAGAACCTTCTTCCAAACAAGTTTATTGGAAAGATAGAATTTCTAGCTCTGGCAGATCCAGCAATCAGACCCTTTCTAGATCGTTGCACATTTTTCATTCCATCAAGAGAAAACAAGAGTTTGCAGACAGACTAAGCAGATTAGGAGATTGGAAATCTTCTCAAGAATTGAGACACAATTGACCTTTCTAATATTATTAAGACTGCTATTGGTATCTTTCACACTTCTGGCCACAGTCCTTCTAAAGGAATTTTAGAAGTTATAATTGAAACAGGTAATTGGATGCCAGGTTCCAGATCTAGGAAGCGTTATCAACGTAGAATTTGTATTACTTATCGAGGTTTAACTACAATGCATAACCTTAGAATCATTTCTTGATAGAGTTGCGAACAAGATTCAAGTTTGACAAAGAAGACCAGTTCCCACAAACAAATATTCTTAGAAGCCTCTAAAAAAGTAAATTTGCCAAGAATGTGAGAGCGAATGAGTTGTTAAGATTGAACAATGAACATTATTACTTCAATATGAAGAAATATTTATTACAAAACAAGTACAATTATATCTCAGGCTGCCTGCAAGCAAGTATTCTTAGCTCCATACACAATTTAAAGAGTGTTTCGCATTCAGGATTTGCTTTTTGAATGTAACGTCTAATTATGACAATTTTGTTAGCAAGCACTTGCTGCGCTGTAGGGTGATCATACTGGGATTTGCAGCTTTTGAAAGTTGAGCAACACTGTAAGAGTTGGTGTTTCAATTTACAGAGGTGCTCAGAAAATGATTCCAGTTTGAGTTGTGATTCATGTACCAATGGCAATTCTGTTCGATCATTTGTGCCTTCAATCATCTTTATAATAGAAGCAACAAGAACTGTTGCTGAAGCTACAACAGCTGTAGTTCCTGCTGATACCATGCCGATGCCGTGTTGAACAGTTAAGGCCCCAAATGCCTGGGAGACGATAGGGATGTTTACTCCCGGATTAAAAGCAATATACAAACCTAAACTAACCACACTAACACCAGCCCCAACAAGAGCCATCGAAGAGATTAAACCAACTGCCGATCCAAGTAATTTACAAACATTAGCCTTGTCAAACTCCTTTCGATACTTATAAAACTCCTGTGAAATGTTAGAACACTTTTGTGTGGATTCATCGATTAACTTTTTAACGTTTTCCAACTTGGCGAATTCGTCACTGAGTTTTTTCATCTGTGAATCTATTGCATTTTCACAATCCTGTGCATCAAAAATCCCTTGTTCGTAACGTTCAATCATCGACAACAGACTATCAAATATACCTTTCAGAGATGCACATACATCTTCACATTTGGTGGTCATGGAGACTACATCTCGTTTAAACTGCAAATAATCGGCCCTAGTCTCTTTACCGAGTTTGGATACATGTTTATCCATTTCATTCAAATACTCCTGAACACTCTGCATTCCATTGTTAATAATAGGAAAACAATTTATTAGACTTATATAGTTAGTTTCTAACACAGGAATCTAATTATTTGATTGCAGATCCATGATTTTGTTTTGCAAGACCAACATTTGCCAAAACAATTTGGATGTTATCATCTGAAATTGATTTGATAAAAATATTACTTGGTTTCGTATCTCTATGAATTACAATCAATGTAGTGTGTTGGTTAAGATTAAAAAATAGCAATAAGTAAGGTGACTATGCAATTTGAAATGGTCTTTTAAACTTGTAAGCAAGATATGCATCTGTCAACTCATCTGGATTCTTCAATAATTTGTAAAATGTTGCCATTGTTTGTGCATTGAGAGAAAATTCTTGTTCAGGACTGGATGTTATAACCCAACGTCCAGTAATGAAAAACAAATGAACAGGACATTGCTTTTTCAAATATTGAATGGTTTCTTGCATTAAGGAAGTTTCTCGCTTGTTCCTTGGATTGAGTGAAGGAATATTCTTATTGTTGATAATACTTTTCATAAGTTTCTTCTGTATATCTGTTTTTGGTGAGTAGCTTTCAAAGTAGTCGACTATTCTATCTGAAAATGTATATCTTGGCTTGTACAATTTCGCATAGTAATGATGAATCAATCTATTAGATATAAAGTTTGGATAGTGCTTTACAACCTCTTTGAAAGACGGTTTATCCGTAGCACCAGCTATAATAAAGTTAAATAAAAAACACCAATATGGAACAAACTCAATTGGTGAAAGTTCATATTCCTTAATTGTTGGAACAATATGGGATAGAATTGTATCACACAAGTATTGCTTTCCCCAAACATTAGCTGGAATATTTTTACCATTAAACTTGTAAATAAAAGCACGTTTTTGGTGAGATATTCCACTTAAATCAATATTACTTCCATTCATAAAGTTCTTATTCAATTGATCATCGCTCTCCTTTGCAAAATACATGTAATACTCGCTTGTATAATCGTATCCAAATAAGAAAAATCCATATGCATCATCGTTGCTGAATCTAGCAATCAATGGTTCTTCTATTCCACTAATTTTAAATTTCATTTTAAAGTGACCCACATGATGTTCATATTCGTGTAATATTTTTTCCTTTTTGTAGGGTAAATCAAAATTTTCAGTCGATTCCAAACTTTCCAACAAAATTCTCGATAAAATCATCTTTACTATCTGTGATGAAAATTGATCAGGAAATTTCATATTCAATTTTTCCAATTTTAACAAAGCATCGGATGATATTTTCTTAGATAATCGACATGCATATTGAGAGAAATTATCCCTCATCTTGTTTTTCCAAAATAAATCATTCTCGGAAACCACAGATGATAAAACCCTTGTTTTTCCCTTCTTATTATTCGTCAATAGGTGAAAGTAAAATTCCCACAATGAATTAGAGTTAGCAATTTGCTGCCATTCCTTGCAAACAAGTGAGAGTGTTGTATTGTAGGAGTAATCTAAGAAGCTGAAGGCGTAACAAAGAACATCTTGAGACATTTTTTATCAATGTTGAAATTGAATTTTCAATCTCCACAAGAATTGAAACAAAATTTCAGATTTGATACTAATGAAGGCCGTTTTTCTGAAGATCCACCTTCAGAATTGAAAATATCGAAAAGTAAAGCACCAGTATTTCCATCATAAACATCTGTTACGATGTAACCAAGGTAAAAATCTGATTCAGTGCCCAACAATTTCAAAAGCTCTTCATGTGGAAGAGCACTATTCGAATGTTCAACAGTGAACGAGCAGAAACTTCTTTGTGATTTTGGTTGAGTACCAAAGAAACTAATATCAATGAAACGTCTATCTGACATTTTTTTATCTTGAAAATATTCAATTCTCGTTTGGTTTCATTTATGTTTGGAATAGAAGGTTACAATTCAAATAAACTAATTTCTCATTAAGTACAATTGTAAATCTTTAAATAACCTTGTTCAGATTTTGAGGTGTTACCATTCGAATCTTTCAAACACACCAATTGTAAACTTCATATTGTATAAATTAAACATTGAATTCATCATACATTTTTATTTAAATACTATTAGTAGTATTCCAATCTTGCATGTTAAATCTTGTTAAATTCTTGTTCTAAGGTTTGTAATTGTTCAACAATTTGTTCAATGCTTGGTCGAAGTTTTGGATTTCCTTGCCAACATTGTTTGATGAGTTGGCATAACTTGAATACTATTGAATAATTTTCTTGTTCAGTTGTGGGTAAAAATTCCAAACACCATTCACGACATGATTTGAGAGAATTGAATGGAATGGCAGGTCTGTGATTGTTTTCACAAATTAACTTGGTCAATTGGTAGGAGGTTACATGTTCGAGTAGTTTGGAGCTCAACTTTCTAGCTACTTCTTGACTATTGTAAACGTAAGGATCTTTGCTTTCGAATAATAATTGCCATCCAATAATACTGAAACTGTAAATGTCAATTGCAGTAGCGTAAGTAGGATCGACAGCTTCAATATCAAACATTTCTGGGCTCATATAATAAAAAGTACCTAATTGATTAGTGATTGTTGAGATAGTTCCTTGTGAAATGGATTTGCTTAATCCAAAATCGCAAACTTTACAATTTCCATTCGAATCTAGAAGGATATTTTGAGGTTTCAAGTCACGGTGAATAATCTTTCTAGGTTGCATTGTATGTAGATATTCAATTCCATTAGCAATATTCAATAACATTTTCAATTTTTGGTCTAATGAAAGATTGATTAGTTTAGTTTCCAATTTAGAAATAAACTTTTCCAAGCTCTGATCCAAACATTCCATTACTATAAAACGTTTCGTAGGAGATGAAGAAACTCCATAGAAAGTTATAATATTTGGGTGTCTGATTCTACTTAGTAAAATGGCTTCATTTCTAAAATCTTCCTCTGAAATATTGAAATTATTCAAATCAAAAACCTTGACAGCAACAATCATTCCATTATATTTGGTCATGAATACGCTTCCCATGCCTCCTTCTCCCAATCTACGAATTGGCTTATCCATTCCTAGCTTGTGAAGTGGAATGACAAATGAAGGAGAATCATCTGAGGATGATTGAGATCCTGAACCAACACTTGTGCTGAATTGGGAGAGCTCAAGATCTGTAGTTGCCAAGAGTCTTTCATCAAGAGAGAGTTCTGTTTCAATAATCTTTCGATCTCTCCTGTTTCTCTTATATAAAAACCATCCTAAAATAGAAGAAACAAGAATTAGAATAATCAAAATTAATAAGATGACAGCAGCTGTGATGCTCACTGCATAGACTTGAGTCAAATCAGAACAATCTGCTCCAGAATAACCCAAATTACATTCGCATTTTCCTGCAGATCCACACCTACCATTTCCATTGCAAACTTTTTGGTCAACTTCACTCTTTCCAAGACAAGATCTATATTCACATTGTCTACCTGTGAAATTATCCTTACATTCACACTTATTTCTATGGACACACCTTCCTCTATTAATTCCACCACATGATTCCTCTATTAATGATGAGAAACAAAGAGGATATTGACACTGATCTCCATAAAACCCATCATTACAAACGCACTTATTTGGTGACACACAGGTTCCATTTCCATTATTACAAACATTAGAAGAATTGGATGGTAAACCAAAACAAATTGGAATTTCGCACGCTTTTCCAGTGAAATCAGGTGAGCATTTACAAGTATTTGGTAAGGTGCATTCTCCATTTCTAGTACATGTCAAATTTCCAGTCAATCCAAAACATACTGGAATGCAGTCGGTATTTTTCTCAACTAATTGATAGCCAAGATCACAATAAGGAACCATCTTGATAAGTTCTTCCCTTGATGAAAAGATGATAATGTTATCCTTAGTGACGTACATGTCAGTTGCAAATCCCATACCAATGGCTCTAATTTTTCCGTCTCTCCTTGAAATCATCTTGAATAGATTATTTAAAGTGTCTCCAATGACAATGTCACCATTGCTAAATGTGGCAACCACTCTTGGCTTATTGAGTGGTGAGAGTAAGGGATCTGATACTTCTGAATCATATGCGCTATTTCCTGTTCCAGCAATCGTATCAACTACGTTTAATTCATTTATAGAAGCTATTCTAATACGATTATTGGAGGTATCGCAGAAAATTAAATCATTTGTTATTGGATTCAGTGCTATACCAGTAGGTGAAGCAAGAAAGGCAAATTGAGAAGGATATTTATCACCCATATATCCAAATACTCCACAACCAACAATGGTTGAAATGATTCCATTACTGTCGACATATCTTATTCTATTCGAATTCGATTCTGAAAATATCATTGATCCTTCATTTCCAAATGGAGAGAGTATCATTCTTGTTGGATTAACATCTGCATAATAAACATTCATTCCATCTCCATTTCCTCCAATTATGTTGGAGGTATAGCCTGAACTTAATGAGGTAACGGCATTTTCAGTTGTCACAAAAGGTCCAGATAATGTTAAACACAACCCAATCGGTTGTTTGATTTGATAGGATTGACCAAGACCAATTTTTGTTTCAAATGAAGAAATTATTCCATTACTAATTTTCCTTATTAAATTATTGTAAGTGTCTGCAATTAGAATTGTATTGTCAGGAGCCAAAACTACAGAACTTGGAAGAAATAGTTTGGCTAAGTTAGCTTTCATGCCATCTCCATTATATCCAGGTAAATTGGTTCCTGCAATGATTGCTACACTACCATATAGATATTGGAGATGTAATATTCTGTGATTGAATTGATCTGAAACAATTTGTCAATGTTCGACTAAAATTCGAAACTTACCAGCTATGTAAAGGGATGAAGTTGATTCAGCCCAAACCAGACCAAAAGGTGAAATAATCTCTGTCTCTGTTGGATTATCCTCCACTACTTTCATTCCAGATGTTCCAGTTCCCAATATTGTGCTCACATTTCCTTCTCTAAATAATCTCACTCTATGGTTATAGGTATCAGAAATTGCAATTCCCAGAAAGGGTGAGTAAGTAACACCTTTAGGGAAATTAATTTGCGTTTGTAATGGAGGGAGACCATCTCCATTAAATCCACCCGAGCCAGTTCCTAAAATTGTAGAAATAGTTCCATCAGAAGAAATCTTTCGAATTCTGTGATTTCCAGAATCTTTATGAATGTTAAAATAATGAAAATGAATGACATACCTGCAATGTAAAGATCTCTATTGGAACGATCGTAGGAAATTGAGTGAGGTCTATTCAGTTGAGCATGAATGGCTAAGCCACCATCTCCTGAAAAACCTTGCTTTCCAGTACCTGCAATTACTTGAACTAGATTATGTGAAATATATTTGAGAATTCTGTGGTTTTCAGTGTCGGCAACAAATATCTCGTCAGAATTGATATTACAATATAATCCAGTAGGGTTATTAACCAACATGGATAGTCCACTCCCTTGTTGCAAAAGTCTATCACTTGAAATTGATCCTGAATAGAAGCAACTTGATCCTTGTTGAGATAGATCAAATTTTTGGATTGAACTGTGCATTCCAGAATTGGCAACATATAAAGTAGAGTTTCTCAATTGGAAAGAGACTGGATTGAATGTTAAAGAGCTATCAGTTCTGATAGAGGAATTCCAACAAGATACGTTTGACATTTGTAAATTCACTGTGAAAAACCTTCCATCCTTATCAACTTTGTAAAGATTGTAATTTGACAATGAATCAGAAAATAGTAAATCCCCAGTGGTTTCGTTCATTGTCAGTGCTGAAATGTCAAAGAATTTTCTATTCTTTGCTATTGAACCATCCGTAATGGCCCCAATATGTGAATCTATAATTGTTTCCATAGACCAATTCAATCTATTTAATTTGTAAACCTTTTGTAATGAAAATACCAAATTGGGTGTTGCCAAAAAGATAGCTTCTTCAAAATTGTAAAGTATAGTTAGTAATCCACTTTTTTGATCGATCTGATAAAAAGTATTTCCAGAAATTATTAGAATGGAATCATCCTCCATAATGTGAAATCCACGAATTGATAAAAGTGTTGAATTTTTAGCATTATCACCTGATTTTGGAGCTGGAAAATTAACACCTAATATATAATTGATCGTGCCAGTTATTACTGTCAACCATCCACTTTGAATATTAATTTTAAAAAGTGAAAATGCATCATTTCCATAAAGAAATCCATTATGAAGGAGTAGTTTTTGTGGCAGTTTAAGAACAGTCTGATTGGCAGGTCCATCAAACTTAGATACTGGGTCATCTCCTGTTGTTGTGATGGACTTTAAAATACCAGTTTCCACATCCAACTTTCTAATAACTTGTCCATCTGCAAGATATAAAGTCTTCTCATCTTCATCAACAACAACTGATTTTAAAAACCTAAACCAACTATCCGAAATATGCATTCCATCCAAGTTTGGATTTTCATCACTAGTCGACCACATTGCCGAAAGGAGTGTAATATTCTTATTTTCCATTCGAAACAATTGATGGTCGGTGCTAATATAAATTACTTGTTCATTAGAAGAAACCATCACATGAAATCCAGTAATGTAGATAGAAACAGATGTTGCCAGATGGGAAATGTTGGTTACCATTGATTCTTTAATGCACAAGTTATAGGATAACACATCACATCCGACCAGTAGGTTCCTTTCTCCACTTGTTTGATTGTACTTGTAAAGAGAATCACTTGCAGACACTATGAAGAGAATATCAGGATTGACTTTGGATTGTTGAATTTGTTTGAATGACAGAGAAAAAACTGGTTGAAGGTTTCCGGCAAGAGTTTCAAACTGATAGCGAACATATGTTGAGTGGGCTGATGAAGATAATGGTGATGCATCACCAACGAGAAGGATAACAGAGAGAAGAATCAACAAGTAAGACCGCCAGCACTGAAGCTTGTTGATGTTTGCAGTCATGTGTTGCTGATTTTTTCAATCTTTTTCAAGGTTACACCACCAATAAAGAGATTGTAATCATAATTAATTATCAAAAATTTAATTCCATTTAACAGTCATCCAATCATATTTGAAAGATTGCTTCAAACCAACATGGCTGAACTTGGCAGGGCATTGACCATTCCAAGCAAAGACTGGTTGATCAACACTGGTTGGACCATTGATAATATGGACAGTGTTAATGTCGAGAATTGAGGAAACCTTAGTATCATAACCACCACTGCAGCTTCTTGTAGCATCAGTAGCAGTTGGAGACAAATCGTTACGAGAAGCAATTGCGTATCCAGGTTGTCCAAGAGAAAGTGGATCATACTTCCAATTGTTATATCTAAGTATGTTCTTCATTCCATCAATTGAGTTGACCTTATATTGATCTCTTCTGAAGATGTTAGCTCTGACACAAGTTTCGTATGACAACATATCAGAAGCATTTGGTTTCTTCAAAATTTCAGGATATCCAGAAATGGTGAAAACTTCTGGATAGAATGGAACATTGTAACTTGGCCAATAACCATAGCTAAGAACTTCAGTTTGGTCACCACCAACGACCTTACCTGGAATTTGTTCAACAACCCAGAACAAGTTCTTGGCAAGTGGTTGACCTGGAACGAATTTCTTAGTATCCAAAACCATGAATTGGTTATTGTAAGTACCAGAGTTATATTCAGAGAAGATATCATTCCAAGAAGGAGCATCATCAGCAAGTCTGTTAGCCAAAATAACTCTTTGCCAACAGAGCAATGATTGTGGCTTAACCAAATCATAGAGAGAAGTATTGAAAATATTGTTAGATGTTTCAATAACAACCAATCCACTTTGAGTAATGTAAAAATCATCATTAGAAGCAAGATTAGCTGGGTAACTTGAGAAAGTAACCTTTGGTGAAGCAACCAATCTGCTGTTGAAGTTGAAAGTGTAAGTCTTGTAGATACGACTGAAAATTTAACGTGAGATTAATGGTTAGAAAACAGCAATAGGAAACTTACGTCATAGCACTGAATGTGTGAAAATTCAATTAAAAAGTGAAAAGTGACATAAACAGTAAAATATTAACAAAATGCACATGGTTAGATAACAAAAAATGTCAAAAACAAACGAAACTCTACCTAAACGTAAACCAAGATGTGTGTCCAAAGTAGATATTACTGAAATCTGGAGTAACCTTGAACAAGGCAGAACAGTGACCATTGTCTTGAGCGAATTGAATAACTTGAGCAGGAGTCATCTTGTTAAAGTTTGGTCTGAAATCCTTCTTGACATTGAGAATATCGAAAATGTCACCAAAAGAGCTCATAACTTGCATGCTAGCATAATCAATTTTTTCGGAAGCATCAGTAGTAGCATCATTGTAACCTTGAACGAGACCTTCCATTTGCAAGTAAACGGTCTTGATTTGTTGCCAGAAAGGATCGTTGGCATACTTGGCAGATGAATCTCTGACCCAAGCACGTTGAGATTCAAAGAAATCTCTCACATATTGTGGCATTTTCTTATCAGGAGTACTGGCCCATGAATAAGTGTGCATATTGACATAGTGATTATAAATTCTCTTTCTAGTCAATACACCTTCCAAATAACCAGCACCATAACTTTGCATATCATCCTTGGTCAAGTGATTAGTTTCGATAGAGAGAACATCCCATCCTTTAGCTTCAAAACTATCATCATAATGTGCTGCGGCAATACCAGATTGCAAATCATATCCGTTTTTAACAACATATTTACCATTTTGATAGTAAACGGTTGCGTCCAAAGCAAATACGCTACAAGAAATACAGAGCAAGAGCGTGAGAGCAAGGCCCAGTATTTGTTTGTTCATTTTTTTTAAATTCAAATATTTTTATTTTTATTTTAAGAGGACATCTGTCGGAGTTTTTTTAATGGCTAATTGTAAAGCAAAGTCCATTTGGGAGTTAAGGCAAACAATTATGTAAATTATTAGTTAATATAATTTGTTACAAATATCAAAAGATGAATCAAGTGATTTCATCGAAAATCTTGTTATTCAGAACTTCGTTTGATGATAGATTGAAGTTTAACATTTTGAAGTAATGAATGGCTACGGCCATATCACGATGAATGCACCTCATCCCGTCCGATTTGAGAAGTTAAGCATCGTCGAGCTACATCAGTACTGAGGTTGGAGACAACTTGGGAACCTGTGGTGCTGTAGTCTTTTTTTCTCTTATTGTTTGTTGATTTGTATTTTATTTCCTTAATAAATAAATAGATAACTGATGATGATATTTCCACAACAAAACAAATGCCAACTCTCTTCTTAATGAAGAAGATGAAACAAAATTGAACAAGTTGGTTTGTCTCCAAGAATATTATAAGTGGAACTAGACATCGTAATAATATTGATTATAATCTTTCAAATTTAAATGGTAAACAAATTCAATTGAAAAGAGAGCTAAACAATCAACCACCACAAATAAGAAGATAAAAATCGAAAAAGATGTGATTATTGTATGAACAACTACAGCACATAATTACAAAACATGAACCAAGTTTGTGTCCAGAAACAAAAATCGGTTCATTGAAAGAATTTCTTTGCAAAGAAGAACTACTTTCTAAAAATACAAACATCTCAAAACAGTATAAAAAGCAAGGAAACATGTTTTGAATTCAAGAAAAACAATAAGAAAAACAAGACAACAAACATAATGCAATTATTTGTCAAGACACTCACTGGAAGAACTATCACTTTGGAGGTTGAATCTAATGATTCAATTGAAAATGTGAAACAAAAGGTACAAGATAAGGAAGGAATTTCACCAGATCAACAAAGACTCATCTTTGCAGGTAAACAATTAGAAGATGGCAGAACTATTAATGATTACAACATTCAAAAAGACTCCACTCTTCATTTGGTGTTGAGATTAAGAGGAGGAATGCAACTCTTTGTAAAAACCTTAACTGGAAAGACAATCACTATTGAAATGGAATCGAATGATACTGTTGAGAATATGAAACAAAAGATATTTGATAAGGAAGGTATTCCTTCAGATCAACAACGATTGATTTATGCCGGTAAGCAATTGGAAGATGGAAGAACTATTGGTGATTACAATCTTCAAAAGGATTCAACTGTGCATTTAGTATTGAGATTGAGAGGTGGTTAAGTTAGCAAAATATCATAGATTCTTTCAATTATTGTCAATAAATTATTCTACATTTTCTATTCTTGTATCACTTCCCTAATGAGTTCAATTTAATATGATATGATCATCAACAAGTCGATTGTAACTTTCTTTTTGCTTTTATGGAACCTCTTTTTGTTAAATCAGATTGAGATTTTTATTGTAACATACTAGCAACTGTCTTTCCAGTTCCATTACACACAACATCTATTGGTGGAGATTATTGGCATGCTACACTTCTTTGGAACATCTGAATACTTTTCTTTTCAGAAGTAATGGGTTCTTCTAAAGTACCACATATAAAAGATCAAAAAACCTTATTTTGTCTTTTTATGATGCTTCTTTTTGTATAATTGCTTAATTTTAATTCTAGCCATTTCTGGAAGCTCTAAAAAGGAAGAGGCAGAATGTAAAACTTCAAAATTATTGGCAATGTAGAGCTCACATTCACTTTCTAAGGATTTTTCATTGTAGAGAATGGCAATTTCGTGAACTACCCAAACAGTGCTCTTGTCCAATAGTGAAATAACCAAGAAGGAGAGGGTTGGACGAATGGATTGTCCTGATCCAAAACAACAACCAAATCACTGTAGGTGCTGTCATCAATTAGAGTAGCCAAATCCTTGTACAATTCCTTCAATATTTCTCTCGTCAAACTCAAATCCTTTCTATTTTCCATAGAATAAATCTTTTCAATAAAAGGATAATGTCTGGTTGGGGAAATCTCTTTAACAAATTCCAAAAATTTGTGGACCATCTCTGAATTTTCCAAATAAAGAGAACCCATGTATAGGTATTCCAAATACTTTTCCAAAATATTGGTATGGCACTCATTCATTGGCATCTTCTTCTTCAATACTTTCGGAAGCAGAAGAAGAATAGTCGAAATCATCATCTTCGAGATCTTCTTCATCATCGGAATCTCCAATAATTACCTTGAGAAGTTCTGACATTTTTTTCTGAAAGAATCAAGTTCGTTGATAAATTAAGATTTTACTGGAATAGTTCCTTCATCTTTGAAATGTTCAGTAATATTTAGCTGTTGTAATAAATTCAAATTTGATAACATTTCCAACGATATGGGCTGTCACAGATTGAAAACAAACCAATGAGGAACCAGCATTGAAAAAGGAAGGAGCAAACTCCTCGGTATCAGGATTGGCGAAATCACTATTTTGTTGTTTAGCACTAAATGTTCCATCATTCTTGTGACTGAATAGGTTTTTCATAACTGATAAATAAACATCTGGTTGCCTTCGATCGTTGTAGTACCATTTGCGTTCACTCTCTTCTGTCTTTGGTTCAGAAACTTTTAGAAATGCTCCCAGAGACTTGATATCAATTTTGTGTTTGGAACATAATTTGGAAATGTTCGATCTATTTGAGGAAAGCATTTTACAAAAAGCTAATATTGGCATTTCACAAGCTGGTTGATCTCTAGGTCCTGTTAATTGGATGGTACTATCTGAATAATTAATTTTTTCCTTATTGAATAATATCAGTAAGACCATGGAAAGGAAAACAAGAAGTGGCTTACTTCTCCATAACCTATTCGATTTGCCAAGAACCATTTCTGATGTTCCAATAACTTTTTTCCAAGTATCTGAATCTGTATTATCTGTCCAAATGTGTTTGATTAATTCTTTCAAAGTTTCAACATTGGTAATTGAATCTATATTTCTCAATTTGTCAATAATATCAACATATGATTCATCAATTTGCGGATAATGACAATCAAATTGAAATAATCGATAATAACTAATATTTCCATTCTTGTCCTTGATTTGATCAATATCATTTTGTGTTTCTTCCAGTTTTTCCACTACTTTATCATCCTTCCTTTTATCAACTTTCTTTTTTTCCTGTTTGTTATCATCATACTCATCCTCATCATCCTCTTCATCCTCTTCATCATCTTCATAGTCATCATCATAATCAATTGCAACAAAAGTATCACTTTCAAGCTTGTTAGAATCTTGCAAAAATTGTCTATCCCACTCAAAGAATTCATTCATGAAAAACTCATCATAGAGTGGTTTCCATATTGCATTTGATGAGCCGACAATATTCCAATTGGTGTCAATCAATAAACAAGACACGACATCTTTAATTGTTAAAAATTGCATAATATTTAAAATTTCATCATGGCACAATCGACAAGCAGAAGAGGCAAATGATGTTTTCATCTTCTTCAAAGGTGGTGCCAAATCATCCGTTGCACGTGTTGCCATTTTTTTAATTTTGATTTCCAGCAAACTGCAGATAAATTCATTGTAAAATAATGTCATTGGTTTGATTTGGATAAAAATCTTTTGTCAACTTGTTTCTTGTTTGCAAAAGTCCATTTAACCTTCTTCTCACTACAGTATTCTCAGTTCCTAAATAGAGGTGGGCATAAAATATCAAGAGCAATCATTTAAACAACACATGAATTATTTATTCACATTGCTTAATATGTGGACCAGTGTAACTGAGGTGTGGCTTTCTCATCATGAATGAAGTTGAACCAACAACATGCATTGTGTAATCCATAGTACATCCAAAGACAGACATCATTCCACAATCGAGAGGATCAGTCTTAATGACAACCTTCAATTTAGCTCCACCTGGACCAGCATTTTGCAAATCAGCTCCAGAAATGTGGACTTGGAACCAAGGAGTGAATAAGAGCTTTTCAGACTTCATAACAGATTTACCGTTAATGAAAGCTTCCAAGAAGAAGTTCTTAGCCCAGAGAGTTGGGATAACAGTGACAGTGACGTATTGAGGTTCAGTAACAACCATGTCATAGGCATGACCAGTAATATCAACACTAGCAGAAACCATGAAAGAAGTGTCGAGCAAACCCTTCTTGGACAATTTGTCAACGAATTCTCTACTCTTATATCTTTCGAAAAGAGGCCAGTTAACAGTGAGGGACGAGTTATAAACAACTGAGGTAGTTCTCAAAACTTCACCCTTCTTACTGACGAATTGACCATCCTTATCAACGTCCAACATGTGGCAACCAACTGGACCCAATGGTCCCAAAGCACCAAGTGGGCCCAAAGGTCCCAATGGTCCCAAAACAGTCCAAACTCCCATACCTTTTAATGTGTAAAATTTGTAAATATATAATAATGGTTTCATCAACATTTCGTATTGAAATATTCCTATTAGCATTCAAATACTATTTAACAACTTACCCATCATGTGTTTAGTGAAATCGTTAATCTTTGGCATGACATCAAAGAAAGCATCACCCATTGGGCCAGCAGAAGAGAGTGGATTTTGTGGATGGCTCAATAACTTATCACATGCATTCATTTCCTTAAGGTAAGTATTAAAGTTATTTCCATACCAAACAAAATTATCAGGAACATTGTAAGGGGTACCAGTGGAAACAGGACCCAAAGGACCCAAAGGACTGATTGATCATGATAATGAAAATGTTTGATAAATAGTAAAACAAATCATAAAAGCTACACAACATACCCCAAAGCCCCAAGTGGACCATTATAACCCAATGCAGAGCCAGAAACAGTATACAAATTACATCCCAAAGGACAGTTAACAGGCTTTGGAGTGACCTTACTCAAATCAACATCTCCAACCAATGATGCAGAAGTGTAACGAGTACACATAGCAGTTGATGGAGCAGCTCTCTTATTACCAGCCAAGGCAATAGCACATGTTGCAGTTGAGACGAGGCACAACATCAACAAAACAGCTACCAACCAACAACTACTGTTGATCATTTTTTTTTGATGAATGGAAATTTTAAGGACGTTCCACCAAGATGCAATTTGATAAACAGCAGTACCAGTGGATAACACAGAGAACGCGCTCGGGATTAAGGAATAGAGAATGAAGGTTCATTCAGTTAGGAGGGAAATCTTTCTTTGTCGGAAAATTCCAAAATATTATCCTTGATTAATTAGTTGATAAGACCTTAATGAGAGGTCACAGCAAAAACGCGAAAAATTATTAATGGTCATTGAAAATCGCTTATTTCTGGATTGGGAATGGAGTTTGCAAGTAGAGTTTTGTAAACTTGTGTTTAATGGAGATGGAGTAATGGAATAGAGGAGTACAGCGTCCTATTACTCAGCACTTGCAATGAGAAAGGTTTTGCTGGCTAAGAAAACAGGTTTATTTTCGGTAATTTGACGAATAATGTTACATATGTTTCATTTGGTTGCCATTTATCATGTTAAATCTAGGTAGGGAGATAGCAGTTATTGTAAATAATTTGAAATTTTTATTTGAGGAGATCTTGTAAAAATTGCATAATGACATCGTCCTTCTTTGAATTATTGGAAGATGATTTAGAAGATCTTGAAACTGGTTCATCAAGTTCAGCTTCTACAGTCTTGGCAGCACTTTCTGGCTTTGAGGCAATATCTTGCCAAGCTTTCTCAACAATCTTATCTTCCTCATCCAATTCATTGTCATTTTCCAATGCTGATTTCTTTTCTTCTTCCTTTTGTTTGACTGTTCTATCCTTCAATTCACGTAAATAAGAAAGAATATCCTCATCCTCTGGATCAATTTGTGGAGTTTTAATATCTTCATCACCCTCTTCTGACATTTCAAGAGGTGAAGACAATTCAGATTCCTTGGTTTGTGTATATTGTTTAAAATCAACTTCTTGTTGTGAAAACTTGTCGATTGATGACTTGTAAGTTGTCGGACCAACATTAACACCATTATTACTATTTAAAGTGTTGAATCTTTGTCTTCTCTTTGTCTTTAACAGAGAAATTAATTCATCTTCTTCTTCAGCAGAGGCAGCCAAACTAGCTTGTCCTGCAATGGTCATGGTGAGAATATTATCGACAAGAGAATCGATTTCTGGATTTGTAAAGGCTTCCTTCTTGATTGGTTCTTCAACAATTGCTTTTGATGCTGCTTCTTTAGCTTCAGCCTTTTTCGATTTTCTCTTCTTCTTTTCAACAGCAGGTGTCTCCGATACTACATCCACAACATTTTCTGAAAATTGTCCCATTTCCTTCTTCTGGTTAATATTGAAAAGTTTCCCAACTACTTCATCAATCTTTTCCTTTTTCAAAACTCTTTCTTTTTGTTTCTTGATGAGTCTAATTTCTGTTGATGTGTACTTCATTGTATTAGAATTTGTTGTTGTTGAAGTTGTTGTTGCTGTTGTTGGTGTATTAGTAGTGGTTGTTGGAGTCGACTCGGTTGTTGTAGCTTCATTGGCTGTTATTGTGCTTGTACTATAATTATAGAGTGGTTTATTCATCACCATGGATTTCCGAAGAAGAAGCATTGTTTGTTGATGTTGATGATGAAAATTACTCTCCATCATCTGATGATGTTGATGTTGATGCAGACGACGACACAGGAATCGCAACTTTGAACCCGAAAACATTTTTTATTTAAAATTTTAATTCAATAAATTTTTGATGTGTTTTTTTAATTTTCAATCAATTTCTTTCTTCACACTCCAAAAAGGAATGGAAAAAAGTCAGTATTTTGGGAATTCTATCAAGTTAACAATGGATTAATTAGAAAGTGGACCAAAAATTAATAATCCAAGTGAAATGAGTCCAAGAGTAATCATTGAGGCAACTTCGACAACTTTAAGTTTCTTTCCAGTTGACAATTTGTTGAGAATTTCACTCAATAATACAGTAAAAGCTCCTCCATTACTCACTAGACCCATCCAAACAATGTGTTTTGGATAGACATTCTCAACCAATACAGAATGCAATCCATGTCCATAACCTACTAATAAGGCAGAATAGGCAACTCCCAACAAACGACCGTACATTAAAGGTTTCAATTCAAATTGCAATTTGGCCAATAATTTCTCAGGAAAGAACACTAATGGTACAACCATGCAACTGTTGTCACTAAAATACAGCTAGTCCATTAACCATTTTTTTCGAGATTGTTAGGTTTTTCACATTGAAGGTGTTCCTTGAAATAGATGGTGCGGATGTATTTATTGAGGTGCAACACTTTGGAGGTCCTTAGAGAATGAAATAGAACGAACGAAGGAGAATTGTGTCATACCATTTTGGAATTGGACAATGCTTAATTTACTGCAGAACTATGCTGCATACTATTAATTTGTAGTGTTTCAATGTTGAAAAGCTATGCTAAAAAGGAAAAGTGTGTAATGACTGGATTGTGATCTGAAATTGAAGTAGTTTTTGATTTGGTATCAATGCAGCTGTGGAGAACATTCTTGGATAAACTCTTAGAGCAAAGAATATAGTCAATTCTGGTTTTCAGTCTTGAGGAGGAAAGGTTTCTACCATTGAATTGTAATTCCTTATTGCACATTCGCCATGTATCATATAATTTTTCGCATTTGAGATTTTTCTGAATGGGTAATCGCTCATCCTTAATGTCACCAAGCAAAATGTCCATAAGAGTACTGACAGCTGGTTCCCATTGCTCTTGCATTCTGTCCATTTGAATTTGATCCCAAAATTCTTGAGTATAATCATTCTTATACATGGCATTGAAATCTCCCATCATTACAAAATTATTATCCTTAGTATTGAACGATTGTCTCATGAATTTTTCCATAAATTCCAAAATCTGTGAAAATTGTTTCACTCTCCATTCCTCATTAATAAAATCCAAATGTGTGAGAAAGAAATATTCAACTGGTGACTTGCATTTCTCCAAATCAAGTTGCAATCCTAAAACATTTCTCACTCCACCAGGTCCTTTCGCAAGTCTCCAAGTTTGAGTTTTCTTAACAGGCAATGCAGTTATGAAACAATTTCCCATCGTTTTACAAGTTGGTGCATAATAACACTTGTATTCTGTTCCATAATATTTAGTAAGTGACTTTTGAATTTCATTTAAAGGTGTCAAAATTTGTCCCCTTCTATATTTCGACTCGAAAGCTTCATTCAATCCAATGATATCAAAAGGTTTAGATCCAATCTGTCCAACAGTTAGATAATCAATTAGCTTATCTAAAGTTGTTTGTCCATTTCCTGATTTAAAAACATGAATATTATAAGTACAACATTTAAATCCATCAATTAGTTGTTGTTGATTATTTTCCAAAGAATTATTTTGATCATCAGAAGAAGATGAGGCTTGATTTGATGAAGAGGTAGATGATGAATTGTTTTCGTTAGAAACCTTTAGGAAAAACTTGTGTTTCTTTCGGAAATTGTTAGGGTTGTTATTTCTTGGAGTATTTGATGCAAATGCTGCGTAAGGGCTATTGTTCGAGTTAGTGGTTGTGTTGTTTTGTTGTTGAGACATTTTTTGAAATTTGAAAATGCAATTTTAACTTTGAATTTGCTGTTTATCTGTTTTTATGTTACAAAAATTTCTCGAGTTCAAAATTGAAAATGAAAGATGGGATTATTTACAGGGTAGTGAAAATCAAGAGTAACATTCCAATAATTATCATGACATTATTCAAAATTCCATTTGAAACTAAATTTGCATTCGATTCTCTAATATTATTAGAAAGGAAAGAACCAAATGAGAATGGATTTCCATAAACTTTTGTAAAACAAGAAGCACCACATGCATTTCTGTTTCTGGACAACCAAGTAGCCATGTCAGTTGCATCACCTAACAATACGTGAGCTTCTTTCTTCATAATCATGTCGAAACATTCAGTATATCCAGACGAAACACTTTTAACGATTGCATTCTTATAGGTTGATTTGGCATAGGTATCATAAGAACTTCCCTTATAGGTCAATACTGTAACATTAGCAGAATCAATATCAGATTCAGAATTAATAATGACAGTGCCATTATCCAATGCAGATCTCAAAAATCCAGGAGATGAAGAACCATACGGACAATTGAAATGGACCTTGGATAAACGATCTGTGTCCAAATTTGTAGAAGCTATGGCAACATCACAAGATCCATTATCCACCAAAGATTTCAAAGTATTGAAATATCCCAAAACAGTAGTATTCACCTTCATGAACGTATATGGAATATCCTTATTATATTTGCTATTCAAAATCTTGATAAGAATTCTTCCTGCCAACTCATGAACAGCTGGAAACTGAAATAAAGCATCATTTTCATAACACATCACAAGTGGACTTGTTCTTGGTAGAGTGAGACTTGTAGGAGCATCAGGAATTGCCAATCTCGTGTATGGAAGTGCAGAACATGAAGGACTTGAAAAGATCATTCCAAGATCATTCATTCCTTTCTGAAAATCAGGGTCAACTATTAATTTACTCATGGCATTATCGATGGCATTGACGAAATCCCTCGAAATGGTGTAGGTTGGGGTGGTGGAATTGGATTGTTGTCCATTTGCGATGGATATCATCAAGGACGAAAGTAACAGTAATACAAACGAAAGTGAATGGAAGAAGGATTTCATTTTGATGTGTGGAATTTTTGTTTTGATGTGTTTTGTGAATCAGTGTGATTTACTGTTAGCAAAATATCATGAGGATTATAATCGAAAGGGTATCGATACAGTAAGAAATATTTGTGGATGACTTTCAGATAGTTCAGTTTGGAATCAGGTTACGAAAGTTGGTGGAAGAGTAACATTCTTGCTTTTATGAGTATGTGCCACAACCGACAAGTGAAATAGCAATTATCACGGCAAATTTCATCTCTCTCAATAATGTTTTACTTCCTAATTTAGTAGGAGAGACCCTAAGTTGCGTGTGTTATCCAATTCATCTATCTACTCCCAATGTGAAAGATGTGTTACTAAAATGAAATTTTGCTAATGAATTTCACTTTACAATCAAGTTGTGAAAATCAGACGGATCCTATCTAATTTTAATGTGTTTCATACAGTCTGTTTCAGCCAATGTTGAAAAACATGTCTAGTCACACGCCAATAAAGCAATGGTAAGTAGCAAAACACAAAGGCCAATCGATCAGAAAACTGCCATTCCTGACTAAAAGTTTGAAAAACTTCATTTTTTTGCGTTCAGCATTGGATGAAACAGACTGTAGCATCTTTGATAAATTGGGATTGTTTGTCTACATTGTTGTTGCAAATATTCATATATGTTAAATGTTTCATTTCACATAAGTACTTTGCTCCTTCTGTTCCTACATTATTCGAATTAATATTGAGACTAGTTAATTGTTCCATTTCACTAATGTGTTTGGCTCCTTTTTCTCCAATATTAATGTACATTGTATAAAGTTTTGTTAGTTTTTCCATTTTGCTTATAAATTTGACACCGTCATCTCCAATAGTATTGAAACCAATATCAAGATTAGTTAATGACTGTATTTCACTAATAAATTTGGCTCCTTCTACACTGATACTATTTGAATTAATATTGAGTGTATTCAATTTAGGCATTTGACGAAGGTGTTCTGCGCCTTTATCGTGAATTGCATTACTCATTATATTAAGACAAGTCAATTCTTTCATTTCACTGATGTATTTGGTACCTTCTGCTCTAATACCGTTTAAATAAATATTAAGATTGGTTAATAGTTTCATTTCACTAACGTAACGGGCTCCTTCTGCTCGTATATTATTGCGGCTTATATTGAGATTAGTTAATTGATTCATGCCGCTGATATATTTGACTCCCTCAACACTAATACCACTGCTGCCTACATTAAGATTGGTCAACTGTTTCATTTCACTTATTATCTTTACTCCTTCATCTTTAATTTTCATACAATTAACGTCAAGGGTAGTCAAGTTCTTGAGATCAAATACTTGATCAAGAAATGGAATACAATCACATTTTTTCATCCCATTGACAGCTACAATACGCTGTAAAAATTGGCCATTAATTTTCTTTTTACTGTTGTGTGTGAGTGAAAGTTTTGATCTTTCCAAAATGACATTAAACCACTGTGAAGAAACCAACGCACAACTCCTTACTGTAAATTTAAAATCATTATTGAAGGAAATAATTTCAAATATCACATCATCGGGAAAAACTGGCTGTGGTGATTCTTCTTTGGTTGGTGCCACTGTTTCCTCCTTTTCTTGTTGGCTCATTTTTTATTTTGAAGAGTTCTGACCTTTAGGAAATGGAAAACTAAAGTCAATTTAGCAATATTGCAATATCACAAAACTGATTTAGTTCTGAGGTTCTGTGCATGTTGCTCTTGAATCTGGTGTTAGGATATGAGAAAGGTGGCATTTCAATTTTAGAGGATATGAAGCATTTTCTCTTAGAATTTGCTCCAATACAAATACAATCCAATAATTCTTTCATATCACTGTCACTTGATGTATTTACAATGTGGTATTCCAATGTCCTATTGGGAAAGTCATGGCTTGGATTCATTTCTATATTTTTTTTGGCTTCTTTGATGAGATATTCAATGATGAGAGCACATTCTTTTGGAATATGATTGAATTCTTTTCGAATTTCTATATCTTTATCTCCTCCATAGTTAATTAGTCCCAACTTTATCTTTTCATTGAGAACATCAAGATGAGTAAATATTAAAATCATTCTGTATGTAGAAAATCCAGACAATCTTCTACACACTTGATAAAATTCATCTAAATATTGATTGTTATCATAGTCAGATAGAGAAAATGATGCTCCAACTACATCAGCCCAAGTATCAGCAGAAAAACAATTAGCAAATAATTCAAATGTCAACTTTTGATTACGGCTGTGTGGAAAATTATCAGTTGTTTTCGAATAGCATGTTGTGAAATAATATTGTCTACCTGCTGGTTGGAACAAGCAAGTTCTTTTCAAATTAAATTTGATTCCTCTCTCCAAATTATTAAATACAGTTGGCAAGACCAAGTATGGATCTACCTGGAATCTATTCGCAAAGTATTCCTCTTTAAAATTGGGGCTATGCCACAGGTCAACCAATTGTTCTTCTATCTTTTCCGAAACTGTATCATGAAAATGAACAGGGAAATATTTCACCAAACGTTGCTGAATACCTTTCAGACATTCACTCTTTACCTTCTCATAATTAGCAGCATTTTCTATTCGATTTTCGATAGAAATTATTTGATCAACCAAGCCTTGATAAATTACTACTGATGGACCACCTGCGATCATTATGTATTGATTGGCATATTCGCGAGAAGAATTGGAGAAAGATGCATGCTCGGTAGGAAGGGATCTGTGAGAAGTGGTTTGATTATTGCCCATTTTTTAAATGCTAATCCCATACTAGAAGGATTGATGATGGTTTAGTGTTTTTCATGAAGGTAAAGAATATCTGTTTTTGATGATTTATTTTGTTATTCGTGATGATGATTTGGTAGATGGATGAAGTTGTTAATACAACATTTTTTAAAATATTAATTAAAATTAAAATTTATATTTTGCTCCGATCTAAGAAGAATTTTCTTAATTGGAATTGACTAACAAATGATGCACTTTTTATTACTAATGCCAATAGTACTTGCTCTTGTAATATTCTTGTATTCGAACTTAATTTCCTGAGATACTAAATTGAATGAGAGCGTAGTTTTCATTTCCACCAAATGGTCATCGTATGAATCCCTTTTTCTAGAATTGAATTGCTGATTGAAAATAACCTGAATGGCATAGAGATCATCTTTGAATTTAACATTTTCATTTCCCAAATGAGCTGTGTAAAGTCTTTTCAAAAGACTGAATTGGACATTGTGTGGATAATTGAAGAAATTCAATTTTCTGGTCATGTATCTCACTTTCTCTGAGAGTATCAGCTCTTTGAGTGTGTATTTGTTCTTGAATAGATCTGATATTTTAGTGGCAACCATTTCATCATTGGGTTCCTTAATGATTAATGAAATTTTTTCTAATAAACATGATTTTAAGCCATCTCCTATTGAGTTCAATTGAATTGATCGATTTGAGTTCTCTGAAATGTAATTAATACAGTCGAGAATTGATTGTTCTATCGAATATCTTTCACTCACTTTCTCAACTTTAAAAGATCCGAAATTTCTTACTGGCATTAGTACTGTTTCATTGGCAACTGAAGAATTATTATAATCCAAGAGTGTTGCACAAAAACTACATCCATTCGGCATTGTTGAATATCCATCTTTGCTGTTTGGATTCAAAAATATGAACCCATCCAGTCGTTGATAATCATCATGTGATAAACTCGTACTCTTTTCACAATACAATGGATAAAAGAATACTCTAAATCTATCATTCTTAAAGACAAACTCCTTTTCAACCTTGTTAAAAGCATGAATCATATGATGCTCTCCAAATTTCACACTTTTGAGCTGATTGCCATCATTTTTATCTGTCATGTCGATTTCGGTTGTAGAATAATAAGTGTATCTAGTACTTGAAACTTTTTGTGGGTTTTCCTTTGTGGCTGAACTAATTAATTCTGATTTTAAAGTAAGTTGAAGAAATTCCGATAATTGTTTCTTATCGGACGAAACTAAACCAACTTCATATATTGGTCGGATCAGTAAGGATTTCAAATGTTCAATGGTTCGGTAGAAGAAGGGTGATACTTTTTGGAGAGCGAATAATTCTTTCAGCTCGAGAAATTGAAAAACAAGAGACAAAATATCCACTGTTTCCAATGAAGTTTCGTCCAACAGTTGGGTTTTCCGTTTGTGAAATGGGAACATTGTTCTGCCTATTTTTTTTAAGTGGAACTCAATGCAGCAAGTTGATTGCAATTTTTATGGTGGAAGTTAGTAACAACCAGGAAGATGGAACAATAGCTCGATTGATGATAGAGTGTCAAATCGATTTTTAAGTCATTAATCTATCATTCCATTTTCCTTTTCGATTAATTCTGTTGCCTGTTGATTCCTGACAGCCAGTTACTCCCAATCTATGAAATTCCTTGCTTGTTTCAATCCCACTCCTTTTACAATAACACTGTCCATTGTAATGCAGGTTGGACTGTTAAAATACTTGCTACATTTATATTAGGTTAACTAATCGTAATTTAAAGGAACCATATGTTAGTGCTTAACAAAGGATTGACTGTATAATACTACTGAATATCAAGTGATTTTAATTGTTTCATTCCAATTATAAATTTGGATCCTTCATCACCAATTCCATTTCCACTAATATCAAGTAATGTTAATTGTTTCAATTCACTTATTGATTTTGCTCCTTCATCACCAATTTCATTGTAGCTTATATCAAGTGATGTTAATTGTTTCATTTCACTTATAAATTTGGCTCCTGCTACACCAATTTCATTGGTATAAATAGTAAGTGATGTTAATTGTTTCATTTTACTAATTGATTTGACTCCTTTATCACCAACTGATTTTCCACTAATATCAAGTAATGTTAATTGTTTCATTTCACTAATTAATTTGATTCCTTCATCACCAATTTGATTTCCACTAATAGTAAGTGATGTTAATTGTTTCATTTCACTTATTGATTTGGCTCCTTCATCACCAATTTCATTGTAGCTTATATCAAGTGATGTTAATTGTTTCATTTCAATTATAAATTTGGATCCTGCTACACCAATTTCGTTGTTATAAATATTAAGTGATGTTAATTGTTTCATTTTACTAATTGGTTTGACTCCTTTATCACCAATACTATTTCCACTAATATCAAGTAATGTTAATTGTTTCATTTCACTAATTAATTTGATTCCTTCATCACCAATTTGATTTCCACTAACAGTAAGTGATGTTAATTGTTTCAATTCACTTATTGATTTGGCTCCTTCATCACCAATTTCATTGTAGCTTATATCAAGTGATGTTAATTGTTTCATTTCAATTATAAATTTGGATCCTGCTACACCAATTTCGTTGTTATAAATATTAAGTGATGTTAATTGTTTCATTTTACTAATTGGTTTGACTCCTTTATCACCAATACTATTTCCACTAATATCAAGTAATGTTAATTGTTTCATTTCACTAATTAATTTGATTCCTTCATCACCAATTTGATTTCCACCAATATCAAGTGATGTTAATCGTTTCATTTCAATTATTGATTTGGCTGTTTCATCATTAATTTGATTGTTAGAAATATTAAGTGAAGTTAATTGTTTCATTTCACTTATGAATTTGTGATTTTCAATAGAGACAAACAAATTTGTTGAAAATTTAACTTTAACAATACTATTCATAAATTGACTCTTTGTGAATAGTTCAATTCTTTTTTCTGTAAATTTTTTTTTAAATTCAATAAAAAGTTTTGAACGTTCCTTGATCACATTAAAGAATTGTTTTGAAATCAAGGAACAATTATTCAAAATAAACCACGAATCATCAATCATGGAAATTATTTCAAAACAAATATCATCTGAAAATATTTCTTCTCGTTGGAGAGACTCGAGTTTTTTCTCCATGTTTTTTTGATGAATAGTTCCGCCGAAATTAATTTTCAAAATCTTGCAGATCTGCTTTGTTTGCTTATTTTTTCTTGTCAAGTTTTATGATGTTCTAAAGAGATGTGACATCTTCTGTATTCATGTTAGAAGAGAACCAACCACAATTTACCAAAATGTTCAAAAATAGTACTTTTAGCTTGTCCACCATGGTAAGGTATTTGCTAAGTTCATTAAGGGTCTTCTAGAAGCTGGCGTAGCTCAGTTGGTATTTAATAATTTTAACGTTGAAAGAGCTACGTTATGTTACATTTTATTGAGAACAATTTCTAAACAAACCCTACATTTTATTGAGAACAATTTCAATTTGAGTTATATATTTAAAATGTCAAATGACATAGCATCATTTACAGAATTATTAAAACCAATTATTATCAATAAGCTGGCGTAGCTCAGTCGGTAGAGCGTTGGTCTAATAAGCCATTGGTCGCCGGTTCGATCCCGTCCGTCAGCAGAAGTTTTGAGAGAAGTTATGGTTTTGGTTTGATCTGGGTTTATTCAGTTGTGGAATCAGATCTTCCACTTTTCCACTTTCATCCCAATCCAAGTGTTTTCTTTTGGAGTGACATCATAAGGTTTAAAAATCAAAGCAGTTCTATCGAGCAATACCTGCATTTCATTTCACATTTAATTATTCGAAACTAATCGTGTACTTACATTCTTGGAGAATCTATTCCAATCATACAATTCAATAGAAAATTGGTCGACCATTTTATATATTCACGCTCATTTTTTTGTTTGTTTGAATGGATTCAATGGTAGCTACATTGTCGAATGTTCGTCTGTTAATCTTAAATATTATATTAACTTTACAAAATAAAAATAATTTATTCTGCCCAATCAAATCTTGCCATAAAGTGACGTAAAATTGGTGGTTCTTCAACAATCTTCAACCCTCTAATCCTGTCCTTTCTGGCAGCAATTCTCTTCAAGCAAGTGGCAACCCAATCCATGTGATTATTTGTATAAACTCTTCTTGGTATTGTCAAACGTAAAAGATCGAGTTCAGGTAAAATTTCCAAACCAGTTTCTGGATCTCTACCTGCCAATAAAGTTCCCACTTCAACAGCTCTAACACCACCCTCAAGATACAATTCCACACAGAGAGCTTGAGCTGGATATTGAGTTTGAGGAATGTGAGGCAAGAATTCTTTAGCATTGATGAAAACTGCATGACCTCCCAACGGTTGTTGAATAGGAATGCCAGCTTCTTTCAACTTTCTTCCCAAATATTCAACTTGATCGATACGAGAAGCCAAATAAGCTTCATCTACAACTTCTCTCATACCAATTGCCAAAGCTTCCATATCTCTGCCAGCCAAACCACCATAAGTTGGGAAACCTTCCATTGGAACACATCTTTGTTTAACCTTTTTGAATAATTCTTCATCCTCCTTAATACCAATCATACCACCAATATTGACAAGACCATCCTTCTTGGCACTCATTGTACAACCATCACTGTATGAGAACATTTCTCAAACAATTTCTGTAATTGTCTTATTTTCATAACCTGCTTCTCTCTTCTTAATAAAGTAAGCATTCTCTGCAAAACGAGCAGCATCAATAAAGATTGGTAAATTATACTTCTTTGCAACTTGATAGGCACCACGAAGATTTTCCATTGAAACAGGTTGACCACCAACACTATTACAAGTGATGGTCATTAACAAGAATGCAATCTTTTCTGGAGTCTTTTCCACAATAAAGTGTTCCAACTTTTCAAGATCAATATTTCCCTTAAATGGATGTTCAACAGATGTGTTATAAGCTCTTTCATGAATTAAATTGACAGCCAAACCAGAATTCAATTCAATATGTGCCTTTGTAGTATCAAAGTGATAATTTCCGAGAATATATTGACCCTTCTTAATGATGATACCAAACAAGATATTTTCAGCACCTCTTCCTTGATGGGTTGGACAATAGTATTTAAATCCCAAGATATCTTCCACACTCTTTTGGAGATTATAATAATTACGGCTGATTACATATTATGTATTAATAGTTATTATTACATCATTTGGTTAAAAGAAGAAAATGAAAACAAACCTTCCAGTGTATGATTCATCACCAAGCATCATCCCAGCCCACTGGTTTTGACTCATTGCACCTGTACCACTGTAACAAATTGATAAAGTTGAATAAGTTCCGATTTTATATAGGTTTGAAACAAGATAATACCACTTACCTGTCCGTTAATAAGTCAATGAAAACATCATCAGATTTTAATAAGAATTGATTGAGGCCAGCTTCCTTAATGGCAACTTCTCTCTCCTGTCTTGCAATTAATTTAATTGGTTCTACTACCTTAATCTTGTATGGTTCTGGTACAGTTTCAAAATCGCTTGCAATATCACTCATCTTGCTATATATTACTCTTCAAAATTGTTATCAAAGATCCTCAAATCCTCAATTTGTTCGTTTTTTTCTGTTGTTGTGTTTGTGAAAAACTCAACAAAATCCTCGATATCATCCCTGGTGTGAACAAGAAGCAGTATCGGTAGTGACCTCTGAAGAATGTAGTGGAATGCGCACAAAATCTTGTTACAAGTTTACGTTACAGTACTCTAACATGTAAACAACTTAAAACAATCATTGGCTTAAAATATTTCAATAATTTCAAGATGAGGGATGATAGGTTGATAATTTATGAGGCAATTTTGGGAAAATTGTTTGGAAATTAAGAGATCCTCAAATGGATAAATAAGTTTACGTTGTAAAGCCAAGTTCAACTATCATGTTTTTCCACTAAGCACATTCTTTTTCGAAATGATGAACCCAAAATTCATTAGCTAGCAGTCCTCTTCAATCACAGTTTGGTCATGAAAAAAGATACTAAAAGACAGGCCACTTCCTCAGATGAAACGAGAGAATGAACAGGAAACAGTCATCTGAATGGTGGCTCTGTCCGTTCAATGGATGGTATTTTGCTGTATTGTTCCCTTATCTCTCGTTGTTGTTCACCTTAATTCCTTAGTTGTTGTGAGGTTTCATGAAAATTGCATCTTTCGAATTGTGGTTTATTTAAAAAATTATTAAGCAAGCTTGAAAGCTTTGTTCTTCAAGTGGTCAGAGTATTGTTTACCAGTTTCCCTCACAAGAGAGGAGAAATTCGATCTTTCATCTAAGAGTAATTCCTTTGGACTTCCAGTTTCTATAATTTCACCCTCCTTCATAAATACAATACAATCCGAATCAATGATGGTGTCCAATCTGTGAGCAACGGTTATGATTGTACTATCCTTAAATTCCTCCCTAACAACCTTCTGAACCAACTCATCACTATTATGATCTACAAAGGCAGTGGATTCATCAAAGATGATAATATTTGCCTTCCTCAAAATACATCTACTAAGGGAGAGTAATTGTCTTTCACCAATTGAAAAATTGCTTCCATTCTCAGTAACAGTGAAGGAGAGTTGGAGTGGTTGAATCTTTTCTTTCATATGAACTCGTTCGAGGGCATTCCATATTTCATAATCCTCAAATTCATCGAAAGGATCCAAATTGTATCGAATAGATCCAGAGAATAGAACAGGTTGTTGAGGAATGATTAATAATGCTTTACGTAAAGTTCTCAAACCAATATTGGAAATATCTAGACCATCGATTGAGATGCTACCTTCATTGGCTTCAAGGAATCTGAATAGAGAAATCAATAAAGTACTCTTTCCACTTCCAGTTCTATATTCATGTTATATATTAATTTTGAAAGTTAGAAATATTCAAACATACCTTCCTACAACACCAACTTTGGTGCCTGCTTTGATATCCAAATCGAGATTCTTCAAAACTGGATCCAAATCATCTCTGTATCTTACCGACAATTGATCTAATTGAATGTGTCCCTTAGTTGGCCATTCTCTTGTGGTTGGATCACCTTCTTTATCGTAGGCAGCTTCTTGTGGGATACTTTGAGCATAGTACACAATTCTCTCCACGCAAGTCATGTTACTTTCAACTTCAACAAACGAACGAACTAGTGATTGGAAACAATCACTCAACTGAAGAGAGTTTGAAATGGTCAATACAAGGAAAGCTGGGCTACTAATTTCTTGAGTATGTTTGGCAATGATAGCAAAGATAGCAGTAAAAAACAAAACAGATTGAGAAACTGTGAAGATGAGCAATAATGTTAATGTGAAAATACTTACTGAGATGGATTCTAACACCCAACCATCTGTTCACCATAAATCTGTTAAAGGTATGCTTATTTGCAAAGTCAATCTTGTTAAAACTATCCTCATAAATATTCGAATGTACAAGAGATGCCTTGACAGTATTGACGCCTTCCAGACAAGAATTGAAATGTGACATTACAGGACTCTTTGAAATCGATTCCAATCTTCTAAGTTCTCTTGATGTAGTCCTATAATATTCTTGAATTATGTAAAATGCAAAACCAATTGGAACAACCACAATTAAAAACATTGGATTAATTACAGAAATTAGAGTTAAGGTAAAGATGATATTCAATACATTGCTAATAAAATCCGAAGCAAACATGACCATATTATCCAAAGTTTCCAAATCTTGAGTGAATCTATTCAATATTCTTCCGACTGGATTCTGATCAAAGAATTGAATTGGTGCTCTCAGAATGTTATTCAGCATACTTCTATGAAGATTGTTAGAACCTTTCAATGTGGCAAATCCTAAGCTTAGTTCCTTAAAGAAAATGATGAAACAGTCCATTAATCCAAAAGAGAAGAAAACCCAAACATAGGCAACCAGAGGTAAGCTAAGCATGTCACTATTCATAACAGATATCCAGACTTGACTTGCTGTTTTTGCACCCATTGACATTACATTCAAAAGGAGACTGATGACAGTTAAGAAAATTCCACACCGACGGATATAGGTCATAAAGACAGACCAACTAACTTCACCATAGCTCTTATCTTCTGCAGCGACGAGTTGACCTTTCTTTTCGTCTTGTTTCATATCCTTTTCTGTTACTTCATTCTCTTCTGTTTCACTTTCTTCCTTTTCTTCAGAGATTAGTTTGGAAAAGTCATAGGAATTCTTAATTTCCTTCAAAGACCCTTTAGCAATCAACTTTCCATTCTCAAAAACAATGACTTCATCAGCCATTTCCAATAATTGAAGTGAATGTGTAACGAGAATTCTAGTTCTATCCTTCAAAAATCCACAAATGCATTCATTGAAAATCTTTCTACACAATTTGGCATCAATTGAGTTGAGTGTGGAATCCATCAAGACAATTTCAGAATTACTGTAACAAGCTCTGGCTAAACTAATTCTATGTTTTTGACCTCCTGAAAGATTAATTCCAGAAAAACCAATTTCAGTCTTATCATAATTTGGGAATCGACTGAGATCATCTCTTAATTGACAAACATCCAATATTCTATTATATCTTTCCCTGTCAAAAGTTAAATTCTTATCAAAGACAATATTTTCCCTTACAGATGCATTGATCAACCATGGGGTTTCATCACTGAGTGAAATATTACACAATGGATTAACTTTAACTTTTCCGCTCTTTACAACAGATTCACCATAAATGGAGGAAATTAAGGTTGATTTTCCACTACCAGTATTACCAATGACACAGTAGAGCTTTCCTCTCTCAATTTTCAAATTTAAATCAGTGAGGGTTGGAGCTTCCTCTTCTGACCATCCAATGGAAGCATCCTTACATTCAATAGCAGTGTCATTATCCATAATGGACGAAAATTCTGTTTGTTCTTCATCAAATTCCCACAAGTTTGCCTTATTTTCATGATCATGTGGCAATTTCTCAGTATCTTCACTAAACAAGAATCTACCAATACGTTTGGCACTCACATAGGCGAAAACCAAGTTTGAAATGGCCCAAGGTAAATGCAACAATGGTAATCTAAAGGTTCCAAACAACACTAGTCCAGTAAACATTTTAGGTAAAGTCAAATCTCCACCTGCATAGTAGAAAGTCACAAAAGTAGCTCCACTTCCAACAATGGCCATCAGGGATGAAGTAAAGCAATATCCACTCATTACAGTAACATACTTTCGGAGGAGTGAATATTCCTTTTCTCTTGCTTGATTAACCTTTTCTTTCATCTTATCTTCAAAAACATAAAATTTAACAATTCTAATACCATTCAATATTTCACTCATGTGTTTGATTCTTTCATCTCTGAATTGTGCAGCTTTGCCTGCAAAACTAGTTTGATATTTACCCAAAAATGGAAGAACTGGTCCACATATAATCATTGCAAGAACACCAACAAGTGAGCTATATCCAAAAAATACGAAAACCAACACAATACCAACAATTAAGGTCAATGGCATTAACCAAGCTTCATGAATATCAATACCATCCATGGCTACACTTCTGGTGTCTATGGCAAATAGATTGTTCAACTCACCACTTTTGAATTTTCTTCTTTCCACACTCTTGATTCTATTCAACTTTTGCAGGATTGAACCTTGAAGAGCTCCAATGAGTGGAATCCAAATTTTAGAAGTTGCAAAAAAGTACCAAAGTTAACTGGAAGAAAATATTTGAGAGTGGCAAGTTTTCTTGAAACCAATTTGTTTCATTGTTCATTGTGAAATTGGATGCAATGACAGTGTCATTACTCAATATTCCGTAAGAAGATGTTGGAATTAAATATTGAGTGGCTGCTGGTATAGCACTTTTCACATACTCATCAACTTTGATTGACTCGAGTAAAATATAGAGAATGAGTGGTGACATGTACAAACATATCATTTCTGCAACTCTCCACAAAGAAACTGTATACAATCCTCTTCTTCTATAAACTCTCTCAATTACTCTCAACAATAGACCTCCATAATTCTTTCTAAATCCTCCATCTTCACGATAATTGCCCCTCTCACGATACAATTCTCTATATTCTCTTTCGAATAATTCACAATGATTGCTTGACTTTTCACTTTCGGCCAACTTGGGAATATCCCCATGATTCATTCCCTCCTCCTTTCTAATCTCAAATCGACCAAAGATTCCAACACGATTCAACATGTTCTTTATCATTTTCATCAAATAATTCTCACCAGCCCTTCTAAAGCCAATACTCATCAACTTGCCAGCAAACATAAAGAACAAGATTGATATCCAAGAAGCTCCCTTATGCAATGGCTCTGGAGACGAATCATCATCATTCCCATTCTTAAACACTTCACCACTAGCATAATCTTCATTGAGATCAAGTTCTTCCAATTCATCACCATTTAGAGATGATGAACTGATCAATGGTGGCATGTTAGTGTGGCAACTCTTTTTTTTTGGTTTTCTATTCACAAAATTCAGTGAAAGAGGGAAAATTTGAAGATTTTTAAGAAGGTTACTGAGATTAGTGTCATTGCATTTTGGAAATGATGTATTGGTGGAGCTTGCGGAGAGGAGGGGATTATAATTTGTACTCAATGTGATGGTTTGGCATTTGAATCTTCAAATTTAACAATATCTATCCAAAAATATTCAAAGTGATTCGTTCAGTGTTGTGAAAATTGTTGTGGCTACTCCAACTACACCAGTCACTCCAGAAACACCAATTCGAAAATCTTGTTTCTGATCATAATTTTCTTCCAATTGTAAATGTTTCTGGTGTGGGACGCTACATTTAGTTTAACATTTTGAATATATTTCAGAATTTAAGATTGTAGATGGCTACGGCCATATCACGATGAATGCACCTCATCCCGTCCGATTTGAGAAGTTAAGCATCGTCGAGCCACATCAGTACTGAGGTTGGAGACAACTTGGGAACCTGTGGTGCTGTAGTCTTTTTCAAATTAACTTCTTTTTGTTAAATCAGTTGAGAAATGGACAATAACCTACTTCATCTAAATGTTTTGGTTACAGACCAGGTAAATACGAGATGACAAAACAAATAATAAATTGGATTATTAAATTATTGGAATGGTTTCGTGGAATTCGAAACTAATCAAAAAAAATGAACAACTCTGAGAATACTTTTGACACCATCAAACAAGATATTTCGGAAACTATGAAACAACTAGAAGAAAAACTTTCCTCTTGGAGCACTTCCATGACAAAGAGAGAACACGAATTCCTTGAATTGAAAAAAGTTTCCACCAAATACGAATTCCAAGATGGTGAAATAATTAAACTAAACGTTGGAGGCGTTATTTTTGCAGTTTCCAAAGAAACTTTAACTCAAAAATTGATCAAACCTTCAAAATCATTAGAAAATACGCACTATGATCCAAATTATTTCAATTCACTTGTCTCTGGTTTACATAATTTAATCAAAGATTCGGCTGATGAATCAATTTTTATTGATAGAGATCCAACTTATTTCAGATATATTTTGAATTATTTGAGAAGTGGAGGTGATGTGAAGAATTTTGTGCTTCCTAGTGATAATCATGCTTTGGAGAGTTTGTTTGTTGAGGCAAGATATTACAGTATGGATGGATTGACTGAATTGATTTCAAAGTCCCATCAACAATTGATTTCGAAATATTTGGAAAATGTGGAAACTAAACCTACTACTGGATTTGCTTTTGGAAGTACTAGTACTACATTTGGAACTAAACCACCAATTAAACCAAGTAACGGTAGTGGTTTTAATTTTGGTGGTGGTAGTGGATTTTGAAATCTGTAGATATCTACCTGATACTTCTCTTTCTTGGCGAACAAGTTGGTGAATTGTTTTGTCCAAAGAAACATGATAAAGTTCTACGAATACCCTTCTTTTGACCCTCTTTTTGTTTTGAGAAATTATCCGAAAGCTCTCTATATTGATTTGATGGTTGCTGGACATTATTCGTATAGACAAACTGCTCTGGATGAATGGTAGTAATAATTTCCTTATTCTCCTTATCAAAATCTTGATCTGGAGTATTGAGATCATATTCAATTCCAGAAATTGATGATTCCATCTCTGAATCCACGCATTCCTCACTATTCGCATCAATCATAAATTCAATATATTCTGGCTTTTCCTGCATGTCCACAAATTTATATTCCATCACTGCATTGTTGTGGATTAGGAAAAGTGCTGGTAGTCTTTTGAATTGGGAAACATGATCTGTGGTGATTCCCACTTTGAAACCTTGCATTGTTATGTTGATGGCTGAGAATAGAGAGCTTAAATTGATGGTTGACTGAACTGGAAGCTTATTTACATTGAAATATTGGAAGAATTCACCTGTTGAATCGTATACTCTGTTGAAACTTTGGACTAATTGTTTGTACTGTGAAAATTTGTCATAATTTGATTGAGTAAAGTTGGTGCCAAAGATTGTATCGAGACTACTTGAAGAATTGGATGATTCTTTGGGTTTCTTACGGAAACTTCTCCAACTCTTCTTTAACCCTGAAAGAATGACAGAGTTTCGTCTATTTTCTGAACCATCATTCAGTCCTTCAAAAGATAATCCTCCATTTTCACAAGTACTCTCTTCACCAAATATGACAAATACTGGCATGACATTCATACTCAACATTTTAGTCAATTGTCTATTCATGTTTCCAATAGAAAGCGACGAGTAAGGACAAAGGAAACTCTTAACAAATATCAAAACTATTGAAAATTCCTGAGAAAGCTCACAAATTGACTTGCCTTGATTTGTCTTCATTCTTTCAAAAATCTCCTGATGTGCCAATTTCTTTGATTTTTCCAAATTCTCAGAATTTTGTGAGTTGAAAATTTGAAAATCTGAAAAATCTTTAAATTTTCTCATAGAAAGTCGATGAACGAAATTTCCCTTTCTTGCTAGTGAATTTCTTTGAGTTCTGGCTTGTTTGAGGAAAGCAGCAGTGACTGGAGTAAGGGTTTCTCTTCGAATATGTCTCGTGGTTGACTGGGATTCGTCCATTGTTGGGGAATTTTCGAATAAATTTCTTTCACATGTTTGAGAAGAAATATCATTGAAACTCCTGGAAAATTGTTTCTTGTTGAGCATTGGTGGTGATAAATAACCAGAAATTTCTGGATTATTATTTACAAGTTTAGGTGAATTATTGTTGCTATTATTTACAGAAATGGAGGAAGTGGTAATTGAATACTCAATATTTTGACTTTCTTTGATAGGAGTATCTTTCTTCATTGGAGAGGAAGGTGGTGATTCTACCATAATAATAAAATCACTTTCGTCCTGCAGTAATTCGTCCAGAATCGACGACTTTCGTTCAATATTATTGTTCATTAAATTCTTATCAGAATTTTCACCTTGAAGTAAAGTGAAGGTAGATGAAGAGAATTGTGAAGTCCTAGATATGAAAGAATCATACGAAACCATATCAGATTCAATCATGGATGTACAAGCATGTTGTGGAGTTAAACTCATATCCGAAACTGTGGTCATACTTGCTGTACTTGCAAGATTACTCGATGAAGAATCGAAAGTTTTGTGCTTTCGTGGAGGGGTTCTATACATGCTACTGTTATTTTCATCATCCAAATGTTTCGTCTCGGCGTGTCCATTACTATTCGAAACTTGTTTTATGGACAAGAAGAAATTATTTGCTGTTGATGAATGATGGTTTTGTCTTGGTGTAATACACGAAGAAGGAGCAGACGACTCCAAAAAGTCATTCATATTGTTGTTGACGTGGCTAGAGTTTCTAATATTCTATTTTCGAATATTTTTTTTGACTGTTCGCTAGACAAATAGTTGTTTTGGTAACGGAAGGTTTGAGCGGGAATGACAGAGATCTAAAAAGTAGTAAAGTTTGAGAGGAACCAAAGAAGAAAATGTCGATTGTAAGGTATGTAATTCCTTCCACGTGTTTATTGTCAGGTTTCGGTAGATTTCTAATATTTGAAAGGCAAGATTCTTAATGTTGATAACCTTTGAAAGAAATACAATAATTGTAATACTCATTAATTTATTCAAGAAATTTCAAAATAGTTCAATAGTTATTATTACAATATTTAAATACCAATCCTCAATTATTCGAATATTTTAAAATCAAAACATCACAAATCATTGTTATTGTAAAAACTTACCATTTGTAAATTTGGATGAAGAACTTGTCTCAATATTGAGTTATACTACTACTACCACCTATTGATCATCATCATGAAGAGAAAGAGAATTTATGTGTTGTTTGTATGTCTGAAGAGGCTAATACTGTTGTTTTACCTTGTGGTCACATGTCCTTATGTGAGGGATGTGCAACTGCACTGAAAGAGCAAACAAATGATGATAATTAAGGTGTCAAGATTACAGCTGACAAGGATTACTTCATTAGTTTACATACAAAGATTGTTAATATTGTATGGAGTTTGCATTCCCAGATCACCTACACAAATATCATCACACTTTTGCTCAATTTTACATTTAGAATATTTATTTAAAGATATGTCGATTAATCATACAATCTCATCAATTTCTTAATACGTTCCATGTCCAATTCTTCATAAGTTTCAGCTTGATAAGTTGAACCTTGGAGTGATGATTTCATTCTCATGAATTTTTGAGTCATCAACTTGTGGAATGCATTAAAGTGATGAGAAGTGAGAGCCTTTTCTAAAACTTGAACATTTTCTCCCTTCCAATAGATGAGAGTAAAGTATGGCTTGGCAAGGTTGATTCTATTATCGGTCAACATGGAAATATCCTTTGCATAACCTTGAGCGTGGAAAACTCTGATAATTACAAAGTTGACACTATCTGGTTTCAAGTGTTGTTTAAAAGCTTGAACGTCACCTTCACCATGAGCAGTAACGTTGATTTCATCAATGGAATCCTTGGAATAGCTCAACAAGATCCAATCAAGTTTACCTTTAGTAATTCTCTTGTGATTTCTCCATTCTTCTGGATCATCATCGTCCTTCTTATCCTCATCTTTTTCGAGGTAATCTTGGAGAATCATATCTTCAACGTAGTGATTCAATGTTTCTTGGTCTTTGATGACAAGTTTACTCTTCTTTTCCTTACCCAAGCCTTCGAATTTCTTGTCCTTCTTTTCCAATCTCATTTCACTACCACGAACGTTTGAACCGGTAATCTTTTCCAAAACCAACTTCTTGGTAATGTGTTCTGGTTTAGTGCAACCTTGAATTTCGCCAGACATGTTCAACTCCTTATTACAGAAATTGTAGATGGATTGTCTGATTTCACTGGCCTTGGCCTTCAACAAGTGCTTGGTATCATGTCCTGTCCATTGAACAAAGACATACTTGGTCATCATACCATAACCACCTTCAGATGTGAACAAACCAAAGATGAAGAGAAGGAATTCCTTTGAATCGAGATGAGTAGCTCTCCATTCTTCACTCAATGCACCATCTCCAGTAGATTCAATGACTACATCACGTAATTCCTTACCAGTCAACTTCATCTTAATGTAGTGAATGGTGGCATCTTCAAGAGCTCTATCATGTTGTTCCTTTCTACACTTTTCAGAAAGTTCTAACAAGGCCTTCTTGATTTCTTCCTTTCCATTAAAATCAATATCCTTAAATTCACCAATATATTGCTTGGAATCCTTAACTTCAATAGTTGGTTGAACTTGCACAATACGTTCTCTTTCAAAGGCACGTTGTTGTTGAATCTTTTCTTCTAAAGCATCACCAGCATTATCACTCTTAGTACCAGTAATCTTGGAAAGCAAATCTTCATCAGACAAGCTTTCAAGACTTTCAGGTTGATATTCACCACCAACTGAGATTTGCTTTCTAGTGAAATCGTACAAGTTGATTCTATGACCACCTGAGAGGGCTTTTTGGAAACTTTGAGCATTTTCACCAACCCATGTAATGACAATAGCCTTGGCAACATCTGAATATTCCATAAATGTCAAACGCATGACAACATAGCAAACAACGTTATCAGTGAGGTATTGTTTGAAGTTTCTGACACCTCCCTTACCGATTTGAGAAACACGAACAGTGTATTGATTTCCAGGAACATATTCGAAAAGCAACCATCTGATTCCAGAATTTCCTCTCAATTCCTTGAAAGCATCAAGAACAGCTTGATCATTATCGAATTTCAAACTAGAATCTCTACCACCAAATGTACCCTTTGAGACAGCAGTTGGAGCGATAATAATGTTGGAACCAGCAACCTTCTTGTAGATTAATTCTTCCTTCAATTCTTCTCTTTCTAAAGCTTGATATAAAGCAGCAACAGTGAAGACCTTCTTAACGAAAGCTTCCAATTCAAGTTGATGTGTGGTAGCTCTTGCCTTGGCAGTACCAGCAGTGACACCAGAACCGACCCATGTAATCAAAGTAATCTTTGGACTGTGTTCAACATAGGTCTTGTAAAGTACATAATTTACAGAATCATCAGAGAGACGACGTTCAAATTCAGCCAAACCACCTTGTCCCTTTTCTTCATATTTCAAATGTCCAGATTCATTATATCCTAGCTTGACCCAGTTTGTGGCAGTGGCATCAGAATTCAAATCCTTAACTTGTTCGAGAATGATATTCTCATCAGCGAGTGTAAGGGATTGACTCTTACCACCAAATGATTTAGAAACAACACCACTTGATCCACTCTTGCTTCCACCAGAAACCTTACCAAAGATTGAATCATTATCCAAATCATTGATAGTGATTGGTTGATATTCACTAGATAAAGTGACGTGACGTAAGCAATACTTGAAGAGAGCAATACGATGAGGAGTAGTAGAGGCCTTGGCCATTGGCTTGACATCTTGACCAACCCAAGCAATGAGAATAGTCTTTGGAGCACCACCCAATTCTTCCAAGAATTGTTTGTACAATGTGTAGTAAACCTTATCATCAGTAAACTTGGATTTGAATGATTCAGCAGTTCCAGAACCATATCCATCAAGTTGCAAAGTCTTGGAATCCTTATAACTAATGGTGACCCAGGAAACGGCACTTTCATCACTTTGCAATTCCTTCATTCTTTGAATCAATTCTTCTTCGTTCAAAATCTTCAAACCAGCTTCAATACCTGCATTGTAATCAGCCTTCTTCATTGACACTCTCTTTTCGTGTTGGATCTTATTGGATGGTGATGAAGTTTCCTTTTGCTTTTCACGTTGTTCAGCAGCAGCCAATTTTTCTTCCAATTTCTTAATGGCAGAATCATGATCGAGTGGAGTACCAAAACCTTCCAATGATAAGACAACATTTGGAACTTCAGCAACATCAGTCAAAATAATTGGATCACCTTCAACTTGAGTAATGACAGGAGCAATAGTAGTGACCAACTTCATGGCATGGTTAGTACAAATGGCCTTGAAGTAAGCTCTAATAGATTTACCTCTCCAGATAATAACTCTGAATTTAGCTTCAATTCTTCCATTTCTTTCAACGTAGAACTTGTGAATAAAGTACTTGACACCATTATCAGTCAATTGAGAGGTGACAGCAACAGATTTAGAAATTGGTTCAGAACCACTATCAACAAGCGATAAAATATTGAGAGTCTTGTCATTTGGATAACTGAATAAAACCCATTGGTTATTTCTATCGAGTGGATCTTTGAGATCGTACAACTTGTCAATAACCTTAGTTTCGTCTTCAATCTTGATGGCGTTTTGACCAGTTCCCAAATTAGGAACCTTTACAATATCCTTCTTTTTCAAACTAGCAGAGAATTTGTCCATATTGTTAGCTGAGAAACTGAGAATACCACCCTTGGTTGACTTTTTTCTTCCAGGAGAAGTAAGACCATCTCTACCTGGTGATTTAAGTGGTTCTCTTCCAGGAGATTTCAAATTCTTAGGTGAAGTAAGATCTTCAGCAGGTTCAGGAGTAGTTCCCTTGATACCCTTCAATTTTCCTTCCTTGAATCCCAATTTAATCTTACTCAACAATTCACTTCCCTTTCTTTCGATTGGTTTTTCTGGAGCATCTGTTGTAACTGATGATGTAGCAACAGAAGCAGTAGCTGTTTCCTTCTTGATGTTTCTTGGAGAATTGATTGGAGAAGCAGTTGCCTTTGGTTGACTAGTTTGTCCAACAACTGGGGATGCCTTAACTGGAACAGTACCCCAATCTGTCAAAGTAACAGTATTAGCACTTCTATTACCCAACATGACATTCTTAATGTAATCAACATTCAATTCTTCAAGAGCAGTAATTGTAACTTCACCTCCCAATTGGAAATGCTTATTAACATAATCATAAACTTCTTGTTTGTGTTGATTTACCTTACCACGACGAACAGAATTAACAGCAGAACCAACATATGACAAGAAATAGGTCTTTTCAACATCACCACCATAACCAGTGTCAGATAAAACCCAACGAAGAACAATATATTGCATATCATCTTCTTTCAAAGCATCAAAGAGTGGATCTGGGAATGTACATTGATCATTTCCTTGACCTTCAACTTGACACAAACCATCAGCATTATAACCCAACAATAACCAACCAAATGAACGTTGTTTCAAGAGTGGAGTAATGTTTGTTTCGTCCAATTTCAACACTTGACGCATAATTGCAGCAAGTCCAAGTTTTGGTGGTTTGGATCCAGAACGTTGATGACGTCTAGCATTGATTTGTTCTTGTTCTGTTAAAGTTTGAGGATTGTATCTGTTCATTAAGGATCCCTTAGTGGCAGAATTGTTACCACTTGAAGAAGAACTAGCACTAGTAGTATTACTAGATGATGATGATGATGAAGAAGAAGCAGACTTTAAAGAAGCAGAGGCAGAGGCAACTTGAGAAGAGCCACCAGTAGTAGCAGTTGTGGTAGTAGTGGTACGTGGAGAGGATGTTTGTTTTTGATCTTTCATATTTTCAAATTCAAAAGAACGAGAAGAATCAACAATATTAACCAATTTGTCAAACTCATCAATTCCATTATGATCGAAAACAAAGGACATGGACAATAATTTCTCAGCCATTGATTTCAATTCAAGTCTGTGAGTCATTACTCTGGTTTTTTGTAATGTCTTGGTTTTTGTACCAATCCAATTAATGAAAATGTAACGATTTGCATCAATACGAGCAATAAAGTAGTTGGCACTGTGTGGAGAGAGGTAGGCCTTGATACTTTCTTCAGAATCCTTTGTCACATCACGAAGAGTTTGCAATTGATTTCTATCGAGTGGTTCACTTCCTGTACGAGCCAATTCAATAGTATTGCTGTTTCCTTTGGCAAGTTTTGTGGATGGATCAGATTCTTGATAGGCAAAGAATATCCATTCAAGTGAAGAATCTGTTTGAAACTTTTTAATTGTACTAATTACCACTTCTTTGGATGGTAAGAAAACAATATCGTCTTTACCCATTGTTTCGAATTATAATTAAAGACGAAAAAAGCTCTTCTTTTCGGTAGTTTGTTCTTGTTGAAAAGTTTCAAGAGAGTAATGGGTGAGTTGTCTCTTGATGTACTTTTTTTTAAAGTTGATGAGTTTCACAACAGACAGTTGATGGTTCCGTGGAAAATGGCCTTGAAGGTCTAATCATGGTCTCATTGACAATACTGAAGGTGTATTAATTGTTATTAATCAGTGATGATGTTTGCATCTTTTGACCTCTTATTGGTTGATTGTGTCATTATTCATTAATGTTTAACGTTTAAATATTACAATGATAATTATTGTTGGTATACAATTGTTGCTACTACTGTACTGATGAGTGATTGAAACAAACATCATCATATTAAAATAAAACAATAACATCCAATTAGGAGCCCTAACAAGATTTGTTCCAGCTTGATGTTCTCTTGGTAAAAGATTCGAATATTAAATCCTTATTAAACTAAAATGATGAGGTTTATTCTAATTCTTCTTACCATTATTTAAATAGTAATGATTTTATAAAACATCCTTATTGTATTGATCTTCCTCAATTGAAGGTATTAATTCAGTTTTAATTAAAATATTCAAAGATAATTCCTTTGATGCATGAGAGTAACAAATCTAAATTATTATTGAAAATGAATTGTAAATATTTCATACAAATTTGAAAAACAACTTACATAGAAAAGGGAAACAATGATCCATCCAACATATGTCACACTATTAAACAGTGGATCAGAAAACATGAATAATCCATCATTGTTAGTGTAATATTCTCTCCACAAGAAGAAAACAACATGTAACATGAAGAAGAAAATGTCAACACTTGTTGCATAATAGATAAAATTGAGTCGTTTCATATTTTCAGTATTAGTCTTGTTGTAATATTGATAACACAAAGTGAATGTCATGATCAAGATTAATAATTTGACAAATACTAAATTCAATATCGATCCAACAAGTGGATAATTTGACAAGACAAATGTTTGAGCTGTTTCCACTGCCATCAAATCGCTCCACTGACTCATTTCCGAATCTATAGAATCATGAAATAATAATTTACAAAAATGTAATACTGTCAATAACGCAAAAGCATAGGAAAACTTTCTCATTTTGGCCAACCAAAATTCAATTTTCGAATTGTACATCCTTCCCAATTCAAAAAAGTATGTTGATGTTGGTTCCTCCGAGGATGATGGTTCCGGCAGATTTTCTGGAGCATTTAAATTCTTTGCATTAAATAAAAATTCCTTTAAATCACCCACAAAATGGGAAAGAGTTTGTGATGGCATTTTTTTGATCTTGTTTAAATTATTTATTAAATTATTATAAGATGATTTAAAATTAATAAAGAAAATAATAATCAATTACATATTATTTAGAAATAATTAATTTTAATAATCTTCATTGTTACTCATGATGGCAATAAATTCATTCTCATTAATTTCACCATCTCTGTCCAAATCAAATTCATCAATCATGGCTTGTAATTCCTCTTCACTCATACTTTCTCCAATTTCTCTTGCAATCTTTTTCAGGTTTTTAACACTGATTTTTCCAGTTCCATCCTCATCAAACAATTTAAATGCTTTTCTAATTTCCTCCAGTGGATCTCTTTCTAAAATCTTATCTGTCATTACTTGCATGAATGAATCGGCACTTATCAGCATTGGATAAGAATCATCGAGAGGTCGTTCATCAAGATTTTCCCTAATTAATCGGAGAACTTCCTCCTTTTTAACATCAAATCCCAAAGCTCTCATAGCAACTTTAAATTCATGAGCATCAAGTTGTCCATCCTTATCTGTATCAAATAAATCAAAAGCCTCTTTAATTTCTTGTTTTTGTTCATCACTTAATTTCATCTTCTTCCCCGATAATTTACTCGACGATATGGATGAAGGAGATGGCTTTCTGCTCAAATAATCAGTCTTTCCTCGAAATGAACTCATCTTTTCTTATCAACAACTTCAATCTAGTTTTTCTATAATACAATAATTTGGCCCAAGTGTGGTGGGTTGAATATTTTTTTTAAGGTTTGTATTTTATTTTAAGGTGTGGCGCAATTTTACATTTTGGCGCCAAAATGCATTTCCATACAACTTGCAAGTGTCTTGAAACTTTAATTTTCTTTTAATAATTAAAATAAATTTTTGATTATTGAGGCAGAAATTGATTCGAGATGTATTGAATTGCAATTATCCATTACTTTATAATTCAATACAAAACGTGCTGAAAATTTTACCCTTAATTATAATTCAACTAATCGAAACCAAACTAATCAAGTATTCAACTTTCCTCATTAAGAAGAAATCCCCTGTCGAGTAGCCCCATCCGTTCTGTTTGTATTCCCATAGTGTGCCATCACCTCAATTCGAAACCCATCTGACATTCTACAATTTTTGTAGTTCACACACCACTCTACAACATGCTCGAGTTGAAATCTTCTCATTTTGCATCACAAATTGCTTCTCAAAACATCATCAGCCCATCATACAAGATCGTTGTAGAACCAAGACACTTGTGTATCATCTCGATCAGTAATACACAATGAATGATCTACAGGAATACATCTTTGAAAAAAAAGGAGCAAATGAGTCCGCGCTATTGAAGTTGTTGTAGTATCAGAGTGAAAATCTACAATATTCAATCATCCTTAGAACTAGTATCTTATTTTCAAACTAACTCTACAATTGAGGTTCAATAAGGAAAAGTTTGATCAAACTTACTTCATCTCCACCTTCAAAGTTAACTTACATCATCACCAATAACAACAACAATACAAAGGTAACTTCGTTTTAAACCGTTACGTATTTGAGAACACAATTTTCTAAGAAAACAACAAAAAATGTGTCCACTTGCCTCAGGTCGACCAACGAGAAGTCCATCACCAGCCACTAGTATGTTTGGTAGGGCTGGTATCAATTATTCGAGTACAAGTAATACATCGAGTATTCCAATGGCAAACTATTCAGCAGGAAGGAAAACCATTTTGAACTCTTCTCAAGAGTTGGAGATACCAAGGAAAAAGACCTTTACACAACCTGTGCCAACGAGGAGTGAGACACCAACAAGGAGAGGTAAATGGGATGGTCCTAAGGCAAATGATGAGAGTAAACCTCCTCCTCCAAGGTATATGAGAAAGAGGCCAACATCTGCGAGTTATGAATCGAGGAATGTAGTTATCAATCCACCAGAGGATCATTTATACAATAGAAGAAAGGTTATTACACCAACACGAGAGAGACCAAATAGATCATCATTAGGAGAAGATGGGTCGACTCCAGCAGCTGGTTTAAGTGGATCTCTACATGAGTCAGTAAGCGTGAAGAGTCTATTGTCGTATGAAGATAAGACATCGAACGATCATTCCGATAAGAGAGGAAGAAGAGCAAGTCCAATGGCCCTTAGATCTTCCTTTGAGGGCGGATCATTTGCCAATGTCAAGGTAAGTTGATCATGAAATATACCAATGAGCCTTATTTTTATTATGTATAATTAATTCAAATGAACAAATCACAGCCAGAAGCATCGAAAGATTTACTACCAACAACAAATTATTGGAGAGTTTTAAATTCAAATACAATTGAATTAAAACCTAGAGGAAGACCTCAATCAGCTCAGAGATCAGACTCTGTGGCAGGTCTCTTGAAATGGGACTAAAAAGACAAATTTTGGAAATAATTCAACAAGAAGGAGGATTTGAAGAAGATGAGCATCAAGAATTTAAGAGATTTGTGTTTATAAATTAGTAATGATTTGATGTTATGTACATATTTCTGGTACAGTAAAAAAGCTTAGGGTAGTACAATCGTTAGATTTGTGTGGGAGAGATTCGGAAGGCAAAATTGATGATCAAGATTTAAAAGTCCAAACCATCTTCAAATAACAATGGAGACTTTGGAGCTCTTGAAGGATTGGAGAAATCAAACAAGTCAAGACCATCTTCACCAAAATCTGTCATATTAAAGTCGAATAGATTTTGTTCTTCTTCAACCTTTGGAGTTGGTTTTGTTTGCTCGAAAAATTCCTTAATGCTTCTTGTTTGATTAACAATATCTTCAATAGAGATGGTTCTTTCTTGTTCGTAGTGGCTATATGGAGCACCAATAAATCTTTCAATTTCAAGGAATTCATCTTCGTTAAAGTCCAAGTTAAAATCATGATTTTCAACAACTGTGTATTGGATTTGCTTGGTTGGCATGGCCAATGGTTGTACAGATACAGTTTGTTGTGGTTGTTGGACTGGTTGTGGTTGTTGAGTAACAGTGTTTTCAAGATGTTCATCACAAGCAAGATCAAAAGTAAATGGAGCAGTGCTTGATGATGATTGTCTCTTGGCAGGACACTTTTGAGCCTTGAGCCATTGGATTTGATCTGCAGAGAGATGAGGCTTTTCATCTTCAGGTGATGATTGCTTTTCTTCTTCTTCTTCATCACTGAGCATCTTGGAATAATTTACACGTTGAGATCTTCTTGTTGGAATAACACGAAGTGGAGCTTCTTCAGAAGTATTATCTTCTTCAGATGAAGAAACAGATGAGTTATCTTCTTCCTCTTCTTCTTCAACTATGAAAGCATCCTTAGTATTTGACTTTCTCTTCTTTGGTGATTCAATTGTTTCAGTTGATTTCTTGGTTGACTTTCTCTTCTTTGATCCTTCTTTTTGAACCTTTCTACCTTCACCAAGGTAAATCTTTGGGAATGAATCGTCTGGAATTTCGACAATATCGGTATAATTTGTATTCTTAATAGCATCAGGACCATCAGCCTTTCTAACTTTCTTATATAAATTGTAGAGATCCTTCTTGACAGTAGGTTTCAACTTGGCAAAAGTATCAATCAAACAACAACTCTTCTTTAAACTAGCCCATCTATTTGAAAGTTGGTTATCAGTTCTTGTGTCTAATCAAATGTCATTAAATAATTGAAACATTAATTGAATACATACCAATATAATACTTCTTGCTCATTTGAACCCATGATCCTTCAAAGTGATGATAGACTGAAAGGAGTTCAATGTCTTCATTCTTTGACCAGGTACTTTCCTTGTCCTTAGCAACAAGGACTCTCTTATAACGTTGGAACAATTGGTTAGTCTTGAATTTACCATTAAAATACTCTTTGGAAATGTCCTTCCAGTTGTTACCATACTTTCTGTAGCCTTCGATAAGTTTTTGATCATCTTCAGCAGTGAAGAGGGAGCTTCCGTTTGAATTCTTACGACTAGCAGCTTTCTTTTCGACCATTTTCTTTGTTAGTGAATATATTGTTTTGGATGATGAGGAAATTCGGTTGTGTAGGTTGGTTGGGTGTTGTTGGTTGGTATCTCGCAATCAAGGCTTTGGACTTGTGTGTGTAAGAGAGACGTCTCGCGATAAAGTGGATAATAAATTAAAAGGGTAGATTGAATTAATTGGTAGAGTGATAACACCTAATAGAATTTATCTTAGGATGGATCAGCCTGTAGCAATTATTGGGTGTTGGGGAGAATAAGTTTTCAAAGGCTTCGGAAAACAAGGCTGTTCGTTGTTAGCACTCGCTTCAGGGTGTGATGTTATTTGTTTTGATTTGTTTTGAGGTAACAAGTCGCATTGTTCATGGCTTTTATTCATTTGGACTGTGGTTTTGCGTTTTTGGACCATAATAACAACTCGCTCCTCTCTGTGATTCACAAGAGAAAATGCATCACATCACAAACAAGCTATCAAACTAACCATTTCAGTTTAGATTGTCCAATAAGAGTCAACATGATGGCCTCAATTGTGCTCTTACAAAGATTCTCTCAAAATTATTGCTCTGTAGAAAGTATCAATAAAGACATTTCTAGTTGACATGAGAAGGAACATGTAAATAAAGCGGTGATCGTACCAAAATCAATAGCTGACACATGAGACAAGAAGAGTGTTTTGGTGTTTATCGATAAACCGGAATATAGATTTCCTTTCCGTTTGTGGATTTGAAAAACCATGAACGCCACTTAATGTTCAAAGAGAATGCAGAATGCCAACTAAGTTTCAAATATTTAAATAAGTGAAATTGTGGATTTCATTGATGCATGTTGAAAGATTCGTTATGATTCATATGAATGTGTTGATTATGAACGTTGAAAAGATGAATTTTTGGATGTCGATATTGAGAAACACAGACCTCGTTATCTCCATCAACACATGGCAGGTCTGATTACCAATTCAACTTGTTAGGTAATTCATGTGAATTGCATTTCAATAGACTTCAAGTTATTAATAATTGACAAATTTCATGATTTAATATTCAAATTGAAAGCAGAGAGTTTGGATGATTTGTAAACTGAAAAGGAAGAGCATTCCAATGAATGAAAAATATTGTTTTGGTGAATGGGAGTAAAATTTCAATCAAAGACAACCTAAACAATGTTGATATATTTGCAGGAAAGGGTTGACAATTTACAATAGAGGTAATTTTGATGCAGTGTTCAACGATTAGGGAACTGTACTTGATTTTCAGAACTTTTGCACCAACTTTGAAATTCAAATTACTAAATTTTACTTTTAGTAATAGAATCTCCGGATTTGGTATTTTTTGATGCATTCGGAAGGAAACTAAACTTTTTGGATATGATAGAATATTCTTCTATTAAAACAACTGTTGTATACAACGAGTTGAAAGAAAATTCGAAACTGATGTTCAATCATGTGACCAATCCTTGTTATAACTTTGCATTCAATATTTATTGACCTAACTTTACAACAGGGTTGAATGTCATTGAAACTGATTCCAGCAACAATTAAAAAACAGACGTAATGGTAGCGTTATATCAACACAAGAATTTTAGCGTCTATGTGCTCGTCTCGTGGTGTAATGGTAGCATAGTGGACTTTGAATCCATTGACGGAGGTTCGATTCCTCCCGAGACGGTAAACGTGGCGAGCCATATGAATTTTGTGTTGAATTTTGGTCAAAGAGGAAAATCAATGACTACTGAATACATTTTTGAACAGTGTATTACAATAACAGAAATAGTGATGATAGTTTGACAAGATTTACACATCTCCGATATCGATTCCAAGAATGTGGTTTTAGGGAGCTTAACTATAACCCCTAACTTGTTTGTTGTGTGAGCCTCCCCTTAATATTAGAAGAAATAAAGCCGTCATAGCTCAGTTGGATAGAGCACAGGACTTCTAATCCTGGGGTCATTTTATCAATATTTGGAAGGAAGATCAGGCCCTTAACTTGAAATTAATTACAAACTATTTATTGTTTGTGTGTTGAATCCAAAAATGGAAGGAAGATCAGACCCCTATCTTATTTTTTGTTTTTTATATTTAAAATATATTTTACATTGTAATAGAACTTTATTATGTTCATTTAACGTTTCAACTGTTCAAGTTCTAAATTCAACATGCTATTAGTATTTTTTAAAAATATTTATTATTTTATTAATTAATCAATATTATAATATGCTTAATTGTAATTAATATTAAATATTTTATTAATTAAATATTCGGTATTTCTGATTTTTACTTTCTTCAGAATATCAGAAATTATTTTTTATTATTATTTAATTGTTTAATATTTTCTTTGTCTACTTTGATTAAATATGGAGTGGTAGAGTTTCATTGTCGGATCTGATTTATAATTTCATGTTGAATTTTCATACGGCATCTTGAAAAGAAAGGCGCACATTGTTACAAATGGTTTCCTTATATCAAATTCTCTTACCAAAAACAGAAAAAAATTCGAATTATAAATTTTGTATGCGATTCGCATAACAATTCTCTTTGAGCATCAAACAAAATGAAAAAAACAAATCAACAAACAACCATCTTGCTATTGGGCATACTGCTCATTGTAGTACTTTCCATCTCTTCCTCTGAATCTGTTTCTCTCCAACCAAATCAACCTACAGCTAGCTCATCATTCCTCAATGTAAAGAAGGAAGATTTCAAGGAGGACACTTTAGCTGTCAAGGATCAAATTCAAAACTATGTCAATAAGAAAAAGTTTTATATTGATAAACAAGTCCAAAAAGTCAATCATGATATCCAAGAAACAGTTGAAAGGAATGTTGAGGAAGCTGTCGAGGCAACAAATACAAAAGCTCAGACAGAAGTCGATAGAATTGAAAACTTGGTAAGGGATAAACAAAAAATCACTGAACAAATGTTGAAAGACAAGATCAACCAGTTCAGAAACAATTCCAAACAATCAGTCAACCAAGCAATCCAGAAAATTAAGGAAAATATAACCTCAAGATATTCCAAATTCAAACAGAACATGGCACAGAGTGTCAAGTCAACAATTTCCTCAATGAAAGATTTTACATCATCCAATTCCAAACTCATTCAATCAACAATTGATATAGCAGCAAAGGAAGGAATCAATTCTTTGAAAAATCAAGTCAATGAACAACTCAAAAAGGTAATGCCTTGAAATCTTGATACAAAGACATGCATATTCAATAAATTGTGAACATAATATTATTATTATATAATTATTAAAATATATAATATTAAAATAATTATTATCCAAATATTCAAAAGTAAATTCCATTCGTGCATCTTCTCGGTATCAATTCCGATAATTTTAATTAATCAGCATTATGAAAATTCCTTCATCATCACCACCACAACATTGCACCATCAATCTCCAATAGTAACTTCACATTGAATTTTCATCAACAATTGTTTGATGATTTTTTGGCGCGTAATCTTCCAAGGCTAAAAATGACCTTTTCTCTTCATAAAAAAATTCCTGCACATCATCAGCACACGCAACCTTTGAAGGTTTTTTTGTTGATTTTTTCAGTGTTGAAAGCAGTTACAACAATTTCATCATCATCAAACAGTTATTAAATATTTTTAATAATAATAGTAATAATATATTGGAATATTGTACATATATTGACAAGGATTGTATCATCATCTTGTAATGTTAATAGAATCAAACATATAATTTATTGTGGATAAGATCAGATTATATATTTTGGAGAAATTATGATTTCTAATAATAACAATGGTGTCTCGGACACGAATGTTCTTTCTATCAATCATGTTGTTCACTTGATTGACTCTTTGGAGGTTTACACAGAAAAGTTAAGTCCAATAGTAGAGGATTTACTAGAGCAAGGAGAATCATGTAGAAATAGGACAAATTCCTTTTCACAAACACATTTATACAACAACAATACCCCTTGTATTGGTCTTGATTGTGAAGGATCTCCTGATCTAGTCAAGCAAAGTGGAACACTATGTATTATACAAATATCTTTAATTAACAAATTACATCCTGAAATTCTAGATATTTACATTATTGATGTATTTAAAATTGGAGGACAAGAGTTATCAAACAAGACCAATCTCCGAAAACTCCTAGAGTCCAAAACAGTACTAAAAGTAATCCATGATGGTAGAAGAGATTCGGATGTTCTCTTCTATCAAATGAATGGAACCAAACTAAATTTCACATTCGACACACAAATTGCTGATGTTTCTATAAGACAAAGTCATGTATTCTATTCTCTATATAAGAGTAATAACACTGTTTTATCCTTATTTGAATCAAACTTCTTGCCCAAGTTTGTCAAGTGGTTTTGTTACATCGATTTGATTACAGGAAATAGCTCACCTGAACACTATGGTGACATGTTGAAGGGATTCATGACTGATTTGGAAGATTTTGTAAAGGAAACCTATAACAAGCAAAACTATAAGCAAGCTCCAGAACTTCAAGCCGACTGTGCTCGTTCCATTGCCAACATGATTGTAAATGCAGCCCATAGTTTCAAGTCACATGAAAGAAAAGATGCCCATATAGCAGCTAAATTTTGTAGAGATGTTACAAATAATGTTAGGAATAGTGTATTTTTCCAAAAGGATGGAAAGGACAAGTTTTTGAAAGCCTTCAAGGATCAAATCATAGAAAAGACTATTGAAAAATTCACATCAACACTTTCTAAAGCTAATTTTGACGAATACCAATCTAGAAACCATTTAAATAGTCAAAGTGCCAAACATAATAGTTCTATATTACCTACCAGCTCTGAACTAATTAGCAAAACAGTGGCTACCAACATGTTTGAAAGAACTGGTTTTCTTAACATTATATTTATTGTAAATTTATATCACCTAAGAGTTATTGAGAGAAAATTATTTATTGAAAAGATATTGGACGTGTTAATATCCCAAGAAATTGAATCCAATCTAGAGTTGACTTACTATATTGTCAGATTAAATTATTTGGTAGTCTTTCTCAGTGAAAAGAACATTGAGGACGATGATTGTATAAATGATAATCTGGAAAACTTGCGAGAAACTATCAAATCTTGGATGAATACTGAGCAAGCAGTATTGTCACCGTCTAGCCCTTATTTGAATGCTGCCAAAGGTGAAGCAACTGTTTCAACTGAATTGTTTACTAACATTGATGCTAATGTAAATATTGTCTCCCTGGATATTGTAAATATTAACGAAAAATGGCAATTGAAACAACTTTCACAACCTAGTACTATTGTGACTAATAACAACACCAACAACCTAGGAATGTTTGTAACTCACTACCCAATCACTAACTATTTCAAGATTAAGGGATTGGTTCGATTACTACACGACTTTTGTATGATAGATTATTCCTCCAAGAAAACCATTCAAGAACAAGTAATATCTGAGGAAACTTACTGGAAAACGAGACCTTTGAGTAGTGATCAATTGGAAGGAGCTGCGTTGGACGTAAAATATTTGCTCTTCCTCTATGAAACACAAAGATTACACCTCATGAACAAAAAGTTTAAACCTGGTAATGAAAGCCCTTCCCTAGCGTCAACAATTATCAGAAGAAGCTATCTATATGATGGAACCTTGAGAGATTATGAATTTCCATACCTTACAGAAGAAAGAAAAGAATACTTGAGGGAAAATGGTGTAATGGACGATGGATACTTTTATGTGGATATTCCTCTGGATGAATATTACAAGAGTAAATCCCAAAATGAAAATAAGGAACAACATTTGAGGCTTTACTTCTTTGTTGGAAAGGAGCTTGCTAAAAATTGTGAATTTGAATTTATGAACAATAATAATCCGAACAGGGTTGTAACAATCACCCAAGATGAAACTCCGCAATTTACTTCCAAATATTTCCTTGGTAAACTAATTGGTTCTAAGGGTAAACATATTGCAGAGCTGGTTATGAACTTTCCATCAGTTTCTATGGGAACTTCAGAACAGACATTTATTGTATTTGGATCTTATCATGAAGTGGGAACAATCAATGATTTGCTCATTCGAGAAAAGGAGGTTAAAATCACTCAGGAACAATACAATAAGATTTCACACAGATCCAGCCATATCAAATATCGTTCAGGATGTGAATATATCAAATTCCCAATTGCCACCACTACCACTACACCTACTGATCCAACAACTGTAAGCATTCTCTTAGGAGGAGGTAAAAGGGCAATTGCAAAAGCCGAACAAGTTATCCAACAATTTATCACCAACGCCACCATCACTCAGTAAATTCATATCACAACAAATCTTTGTTTTCCTCATATGGTTCTGAAATCGAAAGTTCATAAATAAAAATAATAAAATTAATAAACCACAAGAGGGAGTTATTTACAATCTAAACTGGTACAGAAACATGCCCTAATCATGTTTAAGATAGCGAGGAATAAGTGATCACACTGCAACCCCGACGGCCTCTGGTCTCCATTGATCTTCGAAAGGAGAAAGGGCAACTTACCACCCCAGCTGGTTTGGTTACTGTTATTTCCTCGTCGGCTAGCTGGTGTGGTGGTTGTCTTTTTAATTTTGATCATCTTTAAAGGAATGGTTTGTAATCATTGGTGAATATTAATCTCTTATTGCATTTCATAGCCAATTTGGAATTTTGGTCCAAGTTGGGGAGGCGTTTTAATGTCCACACAACAATTTGGTCACATTGCAAGTTCTTGATAAGGTGTGAAACTTCACATATTTCGTTTAGAATAACAGTCCTCAATTCCAAGCTCGTTCGACTGAATATTTTGCTTGCCTCTTCATTGAGAGTGAATCGAATAATTCTCAAGTTTGTTAAATTGGAGTGTGAGAGATAGTAAGCTGATTTCTCAGGATTTTCAAAATCAATTTCCAAGCATTTCAGGTTTCTAAGATTTCCATTAGAAATAATTTCACTTCCAGCATCATTAATTCCTGAAATTGTTAAATGAATGATATTTTCCAATTTCGAAATATGTCTAACAGCTTCCAAATCGCCAACATTACTTGCTTCCAAGTGTCGTAATTGCAAGAGTTGACCAATATTGGAAAAATCCATTTCGTAACAGTTTCTAATAATTAGAGTTTTCAATCCAACGAATTTGGAAATGATTACTGGCAATTCGTATACATAATAAAATTCCAAATGCTCTAATTGAGGCATTTCTATATCACATTCATCCAAAGTTGAGTTGCAAAGTTGCAATGATTTCAAATGAGGAGCATTTCTTTTTTGAAAATCAAAAACTTGATATTCATCATCAGCCAGAGTAATATTGAACTTTTTCAATTGATGACTAAACGAATTCCATAATAAGTGAGCTATTTGAAGGTTAATTTTTGATATTTTCAATTTTCTCAAATAGGGAAACGAGCTCAAGCTCAATGCAGTTAAATCTTCTTTTTTGATAAACTCTAAACTAATCTTTTTTAAATTCGAAACTCCATTCTCAATCGCATTGAAAAACGTTTTTGAATCAAAATATGAATTTTCAATAGCACAACTCTCCAATCTTTGATGAATATGTTTCATCAATGAAATTCCAATTACTCCATAACAATTTCTAAACTTGAGAACTTTCAAATTTGGAAATTTATCCATACAGTCAATCATAGCATAACTAGAAACAATCTCCAAAGCAGTAAGACTCTCACAACTTGTCGCTCCATTATCAAACTGTTTGAAAATATTCGAACTTTCCAAAAAACTTGGATTTTCCACAATTAAATGTTTCAATTTTTTAGAAGTTAACAAATTCTTGATAAATTCATTAATAAATTTCACATTATTGGGATCAATTGATAAATAAACTTTCGAAAACAACCATAAAACATCATTATTTAGTTTAGGTTGACAGAGTGATGGAGTAGTTCTACTCAAATCCTTGTGATATTGTTGTAAATTCCACACCGAATGACAATAGGATAATTTTGCAAGTTTTCTCCAGTGAGAAGAAACGTGGGCAATACGGACATAATCAATCGAATGTAAATATTCGAAAATATTGATCAAAATTTCATCAGGAATAATCTGCCACGAACTGTCAGTCATTTTTTTTAATAATTTTTATTTAATTAATTTCAACAATTACAAAATATTACAAATTGTAAATTATCATATCTTCAACTAGTTTCAACCTGCTCAATATTACAAGTTGACTAATGCACTCTTATCCAATACCTTTCTTATCCAGATATTCGAATATCCAATTTTCTCATTATCTTCATCATTATAATGCACCATTATCCAAACTATTTGAAATCAGCATCTTCTCTCTAGAGATATATTGATTGAGAATCCACGAAATACTTCACTTGAACCTTCATCACATGATTCTTCACGCTTTACAATTCTCATTCTCAACTTCTCAGCAACACTTTGATTCTTTTCTTATCCAATATTTCCCTTCCTAGTTATTGGCCAATGCAGTTAATGTTCTTACTGCTCCATCATTAGATTGTTGTTGTTGTTGTTGTGGAGTAGTAAATTTTCTAATTCCGATCATTGTGAATCTACTTTTCCTCTTCCTCAATAACATTCTAAACAAGAGGATGGTATATAATTTCTGGAGGAATTGTTTGAGTGCCTTCCTTTTCAATATCAATTGACCCTTCTTCTCCTCCACAACTTGCGCCACTTTGCTCTGGAATTGACCAAACAGTTGTGGATAGAAATGTAGAATGAGAATCCTCAACAGAGATAGGAATGCTTTCAAGATACGAGCTGCTTGTTTTCGTTTCATTTAAAGGTTTTTTTTTCAAAAGAACAGTGTTTGTGGAATGAGGTGTGCAGTTAGTTGTTGGATTGGAATTGTCCGTAATGTTGAAAATTCCAAATTGATTTCCTAGATTTTTTGGTCTGGGTTGTGTGAACAGGAGTTGTTGAATACAAAGAACAGATTTGGTAGGTGCTTAAAGCAAACTGTTGGATTCTACATTGAAGTTTAACATTTTGAAGAAATGAATGGCTACGGCCATATCACGATGAATGCACCTCATCCCGTCCGATTTGAGAAGTTAAGCATCGTCGAGCCACATCAGTACTGAGGTTGGAGACAACTTGGGAACCTGTGGTGCTGTAGTCTTTTTCAAATTAACACTTTAAATCCAACGTTTATTTAAGATATAAAAAATGACTCACAGCTTGAGCTTTTGAAATTTTGATGAATTATTCAGTAGCTTCAGCAAATCTATCACCATGTATTTGGGTTCAGTTGGTATTAAATAATCCAGCAAGTGAAGGCCAATACAAGGTAACTTGGACTTGTTGGAGATTCTTCGTTGCAGCAACTATTCGAATGCAAGACCACTTCAACACATATTTTCATTGAATTTCTATTTGTTAACAGAGCGAGAAATCATACCAGATGAATCCTCACAGGAAAAAATTGAGAAGGAGTGCAACAACCACTTTGATTATTGACCAAACTCTGGCTACTCATCCTCTGAGTGCAAGGAGGAGAGTTTCCAGATTCACATTTCAGTCTGCATGATCACTGAAATGTCCTTCAAGGTAAGTATGAAGAAACCAAAGAGTGGAAATTCGAACAAATCTTAAAAACCTTTCTCGATGGATGTTTTTTGAAAACTGAATTATGGTCGTTGTTTGTTTTTTCATGATTAGACTTCTTTGAAATAGTTGAACATGGAGCAAACACAGAAGTGACATTATTACATTGAACTTTAATTGCGAGTATTGAACAAGAATTTCAATAGATAATAAAGAAAATGGGTCAAAAAATGTTCAACTGTGCATTATTGGCTGACAGTGGTAGCTGAAGCCAGCACAATATGCTTATCCCCACATAACAAAGTCAGGACTTGGCGGGAACAAGCTGACGGTGGTCTATCGAGCAGTTATCCAGGGATAAGCATAATGTGCAGGTTGTCTCCCCCATTATTTCACAATTGAAATCTTGTTCGATTCTGCCATGTACATTAATCCTGTTCTCTCGTCAATGCAAAAACCACCACAAATGACATAATGTGTTCCAATAAATGTTCCAGAAGTTGTATATGCAGAAATGCTCCATTTGGTCTCACAATATCCACTAAAATAAAGAACACCAGAAACTCTATCCATGCATAATCCATCAATATTACTATGATCGGTAGTAAATGAGGTACTTTTCCAATTCCCATTCTCATATTCAAATCTCATCATTTCCTTCACGAAGAGATAAAGAGTGTTTGGTTTCCTACGATCAGGTTCAATGCATCCAGAAATAGAGCCCTCCAATTTGATAGTGTACTCTATTAGCTTTGTTCCTATCTTGGTATCAAGAAAGGCCATACAGCTATCCTCATTAAAGACCACAACTTTTTTTCCATCCAAAATCATCACACTAACAGGTTGGCTTGTAACAATGCCTGTACAATAGGTCCAAATGGGTTTACAACTCTCCCCTTCTGTAATAAATTGTTTCAAATCATATTTCGAAACACTCCTATTGTAATTAATCAACAAGGCATCATTTCCACAATAATCATAATCTTCCTCAAGTTCGAAATACATGCATTCTTCTTCAGTTTCTACTTGTCGCTTGATTTCCAATGTTTCATAATCTATAAAAACAAAACAGTTGTTGTTAACGGCAATTATCAATGAGCAGGACCGAGAAATCCTAACATCAAACACATCATCACCTTCTAATTCAATACTTTTGAATTGTTCAAATTTGTTGGAGAAGGCAATTCGCTTTGGTGATCTAAATTTTTGTTTCAACATTCCGATCATTGGATCTTGATATGATTCACTATTGCAACCACCACTCGAGAAATCAATCAAGTCCACCGTACAACAGCAGTCCCCATCTTGATTCATCAATGACATTTTTTTTCGTAATTTTCATAAATTATTTTAGTCAACTCACAACTCGCCTAACTACAAAGTGGCAAGGTTTCACCAAAACCATTGAACACCAAAACGTTGTCAGATGTCTAAAATCTCCTTCATCTTTGAAACAATTCCACAGAGATCAATCGAGGCATATTAGAGATTGCTTCCTCATCAAAAGCAATCTCATCCATTACAAGTTCTCTTAAATTTAACAGCCTTTCACTAATTATTTGGGAACCATCTATGTCAATGAGATTTTCACTGGTATCGAGTGATATCAATTGAGTCATCTTACAAATGAATTGAACTTGCTTTAAACCAATGTTATTAGCACTAATATTTAATATTGTCAAATTACAGAGTTCATTAATTTTGAGTGCCTCAAATCCCTTTTCACCAAGTCCACATCCTTTTAAATTGAGATTCGTCAGGTGTTTCAGCTCCTTAAATTGTCTTGCTCCTTCAGGTGTTATAATATTATGAGCAATATTCAGAAATGTTAAATTTTCCAATTTACTAATATATTGCATTCCTTCGTCTCCAAGAAAGTTAAATCTAACATTCAGTGATTTTAGATTTACCAGTTGACTCAAATATTTTGCTTCTTGTTCCTTTAGATAACTTGCTTGAATATCCAAAAGTGTTAAATTAGGTAATGATAAAGAAATTAGTTTGACTACATCGTTTGTATGAACTTCGACATTGAAACAGGTATATAATGCTGTCAATTGTTTCATCCCACATACTGCCTTAAATCCTTCAATTCCTATATGTATTGATTCAATATTTAGAGATGTCAATTTATCCATTTTGCTAATTTTGCAAATAGTAGCATCATCAATATTGTTCCTTCCAATATTCAGATATTGTAATCCTTTCAAATTCAATATCAATTCAGCTTGTTTTGGATTGATCATCAATGAATTAATGGAAAGAAATGCAAATTCTTTATCCTTCCCATAACTCTTAATAGTTCTTGATATATTTTCAATCTTTCAGTATGATTCTCATATGTTGCATTAATTTCAATGCTTTTAATATTTTCCAAGAATCTACACTTGCTCATTGATTTTACATGAATCATATCAAGTTTATATCGGAGAATAATTCTAAAAGAACAGTGTTGTTTGATCATGGTCCACCATTGCTTGGAAATTAAAGAACAATTTTTAATTATTTGCCCACTGTCCATATAGCTCATAATTTCTAAATAAATTTCATTGGGAAGAAAATTGTTACTTGTTCTATTAGTTGTTAATGATTCCGATGATGAAGAAACACTACCATGCCTTGGTTGCTGGTTTCCCATTTTTTTAATTGATTACAAAATCCTTGCTCAACAAGAAAAAAATGCAACAAGCAAAGAAAGGCTGATGAGGATAGATGCAGATGATGAAACTCTGCCGATCTCATCTCATGATCCGCAATATCATCGATAGCGAAGAATTGGAGAAAGTTAGAATTGATGCACTCTATAAAATTGATGAGGAACGTGGAAAGAATCAACAAAAGAGAAGGGAAAAGTCCAAATTGAATCAAAAAGTTTGGTTGCTGGTCCTATCGACTCAGATTAAATTGTTGAAATAATTGTGTATTTTTACAAAATTTCCAAAATTTTGTAAAAATTAAAATTCTGAAACCAGTTCAATATTTCTATTTGCCATAAAATCAATTCTGTGTCTTTGTTTCTCCGCTGCTGAAATGTGGAAAGACAATTTGGTCTGTTGCTTGGTTTCAAAAGGAGATTCGAATTCATCTTCATTTGTGCCGTCATCCATTCCATCATCCTCCCACTCAACTGATACTGCACTATCATCTAAAATTTTTTTTATGGTAGACCAACTGAATCTTACATCTGTGTGGTGGTATCCAAAAACTTTATCCAATGCCTTATTCAAAAAATCCTTGGTATACTTATCTGAAGTGTAACCACTTCCCATTTTCAGTTTAGAATATTTCAATGACTGTATTTCCTCCACAATTTCATCTCTCTTCACCTTGGCAACAATTGAAGCACCACCAACCACTGGATATTTGGAATCAGCCTTCTTATCAACCACTATGGATTCAATTTCTGGGAATTTTTCTTGTAGCTTGGCTTGATACTTTTTTGGATCACCAACTGTATCAATATAAACCTCTTTCAAATACTTTCCCTTTTTACTGAGAGTTTCTGATGCTGTCTTGATAAGATGAATGGCACAATCGTGAGAAATTAAGTTGAGATTATACTTTTTCCTCGAGAGCATTTTGTGTGAAATTTCATCTGACTGAACAATACAAGTAATGTAGTGTACAATTTTTGAATTTTCCTTGAGTGTCTTGAAGATCTTTTCTCTCATTTTGGCTGTCAGTTTTTTAGAATCATTAACATGGAAAGTTTTCTTCAGGAAATTATCAGTATTATACTTGGATTTACAAAACATGCAAGCATAGACAAGTGGTCCAAGAACAGGTCCTATTTTCATCAAGTTTAAATGATGAAGATGATGAATTATTGTATTTTAAAGTAAACGTATCATCGCAATAAGTTGTTAATATTCAATAATTAAATATAAACTACAATACCTCTTCCGGCTTCATCGATACCCATCACATAGGCATTCTCATCTTCATCATCAGCATCAACATTACTACTAGATCCAGCAATATTATTAATACTACTATTACTACTACTTGCTTGTGATGAAGATGTTGTTTCTTCCTCTACTTCTTCTTCATCGTCCATTGGAGTATTTTCCTCTGGTTCGTATTCATCGTCGTGGTCTGATTCGTCTTGAATAACTTTTTTCATTTTTTTTTTTTTAAAATAACAAAACGGTTTTTTCTTTTGGCGCCATAACCTAAGAATCCAATAGTTAACCTTCTCATTAGCAAAGTTGTTAGCCAAACAATTAAGAAAGCTTAACAATAAAAAAGCAACTGCAACAGACTGAAACAGTATTCTGACATTCAGAATCCTGTCCTTAAGGTCATTTATATTCTAATCACCACAGGGCTGTTTGGCAAATTGAAAAAAACATCCAATTTTGATTTGCTAACATCGCATATGTATTTACACGGAATATTTTCAACATGCTCCTTTGATTTCAATCGCTTAACAGACGACCAAACAAAGTTGCAAATCCCAAAGAAGAACTTGCCAAGGAGAAATAAGGAAGGTATATTTCCATAGGAGAATTTGGTAGCCTTACTTTCGCCGTTTGTTGAGAAGCTTGAAGTATCATTGAGAGGAATAAACACTGTAGTGGAAATATCCTCATAATTCGGGCTACCTTATTAAAGTGCTCGAAGGTATTGTATTTAATCAGCGAAAAGTCACTTCATATTTTGCTATGGTATAGTTTTTGCTTCTGTTGGTAAGGTTGCGTGATGGGGGGATTTTCACAAGTGAAGAGAGAGAAAACCAAGTTTGCTGTTGTTATCTTGTTTGTTGACAATGTGATGAAATGGTTTTATGTTGCTTAACAGATGAGTTGCGAACTTTTCTTCCAATCTGAGAGAGTAGTGTTTGTCCACGTCTTGAGTGGTTTTGTCAATTACAAATTCTTTATTTGATCCTTTCACTACCAAAAGCAAAATTGTATGGAAATGTTGCAGATATGGCTTGTAACATGTCATTACATCATTGGTTCATGAAACTAAATACCGTCTGAAGCTTATTTAATTATTGACAATTGACCTGATTTTGTTCGATCATTGATGTTGCCACAAAACAACAAAAAAAAGAAACCAAACCTTCTTCTCCTCATTCAAAATTGTGTCATCCTCTTCAACACAAAAATTGGCTCTGACAAATTCTCTTCATCACAACAAGCTTTTCTCTCAATTTTACCTTTTTGCATTGTTCATAAAGCCTGAATTCCATAATCCCAACGTTGTTCCTTTTTAATTTTAATCTCAAGATTACGGTACATATATCTGGACTTGTAAAAGTGTGCCCATATTCATTACAGTTTGCGCCTTAGCGAACCGACAGTAGCATTAAATAAGGTAAGTACATTTCTAGAGGGTAGTATCAATACTCGTTCTTCGCCTGTAACTTAATTACGGCTCTTGCTGTGGTTTTTTTTATTGTTGTTGTTGGCACCGACCGCAATCTGCCTCAATTCATGGTTTGGTGCGAAAACGAATAAAACACCTCAACACGCAACCTTACCTCCAATCCAATACAACAACAATAATATCGTCATCACTACTATTTTGACTGTATTTTGGATCAAACTTTGAATTCAACAATTTTCTCAACCCGACCCTCAATAAAACTCTCCCTCGGGTAATCTTTCGACGACAACAACGACTGAATCAAACTGTCTTCCATCACTTTTGCTAATTTATTTGCCATTGTGCATTACCAATTTATATTGCTCAAAATCTCTCAGTAGGCAGCCAAGCCTTTGCAAGAACATCTCCTTTCTACTATATTGAGTTCCGCTGAAGACATTAATATTTGTAAGCATTGAGTTATAGATTCATGATGGACAATTCCCCACTACAACAACACTCTCCAAATAATTCATTCCCAGCAATACAAGAAGAAGCAGAAGAAGGATCCTTAAGAAGAATAACATCAACATATTCCCATCACCATCTCAACTCAACACAACAACCCTTAAATCAAACTACTTCCAATAATCAAGCAAACAATATGAATGTAATTGCATCTTATCAGACTTCCCCACATGCTTCATCAACATCCTTATATAAGGATTCTTTTCCAAAAAGTTTCCATTCTCCACCTCAGCCTACAACCATGCATGGTAGCAATCTTTCTATACTACGAATCCAATCATCTCCAACTCCAAAAAACTTCACCGCCTCATCACATATATCCAACCAACAACCATCTATGAATGAAAGGCAACAACAACCTGCCAACTCTTCAAAGAGCTTTCATAGCACCGATCTTTGTGATCTCACATTAGGTAGTAAGGCCACAAATATGTCCTGTGAAATTCAATCGAGCTATAGTTCATTGCCTACCATTCACCAAGATTCGAACATGTGTTCTCCCATAGTGATTCAACAAAGAGTTTCACAACAGCAAGACGGTTCCGTTTTGGAAAACAAAACAAATTCACACCACCATCATCACGTGTTGCCATCATCATCAAATCCTCCTCCACCAACAACAGGACAACAATCATATTACAATAATCAACAAAATAGGATGCAATCACCACATGTGAATACTAATACTAATACTAATAACAATGGACAGTGTGGTAGTGAACAAACTATGTATTCAAATATAGTTTATAGATCAACAACAAATCAAACGTTTGCCGTGGATCCTTCTCCCAATAATTCTTTAAATATGATGGGTCAACAACAACAATCAAATCCATCATCACTTAGCCACAATCAGATGACTGATCATTCCTACTCAAATAACGGTAATAATATTACATCACAACAACAATATCATCAAAATAATGTTATTTCGATGATTGAAAATGATCAACACATTAAAAGACTTGTGGAGAGGATGACATGTCACATGCATGAAATGTTAGAATTTGAGTTGCATCTTTCTAATAGTGATATGCGACAGCTATTTTCAGATGGTTATTACAATCCATCCTTGTTATCTGCGACAGGCACTACCTCAAATTCCACAATAGCAAATAATTTAAATTCTTGTGGAAATTATGATTCAGTGAACAGTAATACTGCCACTTCTGCTACTGTTAATACTGGTGTTAATTCTTCTGAAGGATCTATATTGAATGGTGTATCATCGAGCAGTTCTTCTGCAAATAATAATAGTAATTTAACTCGAATTGACTATATTAAATGCACACCAAATGGAGTTTTTACAAATTTTGAAAGTGGAAAGAGTACTGATTCAACCAGTTCTGCATCTTCTTGTGGAAGAAATTCACCAGATACTTCAGAAACACAAGGTTTAACATGGTATGAAAATCAGCAAGTAGTTCTTCATTTATGGGTGAAAATTAAGGAACAAACTCTGAATCAATTTAAAACAATTTTCGATGATTTTTCATCTGGTAATTTAAATCCTTCCATTATTTCACCAATCAAATACCAAATACTCTATAAGAATGCTGAATTTACAGCAAAGGAAGTGCTAGTTCATGAATTTTCTCTAGATCCAATTCAATGCTATCAGAAATATTTAAAGAATAATGAACAGGAGGAAAAACCAGTGGATTCATTCTTGGTCTACTCTCGTAATTTGGATTTCTCTTTGGAAAGAAAGACAGTCAAGGTTGTGAACAAGAGATTGAAAGTTAGATTTGAAATGATTGCACTCCCGTATCTAAGTGAACTACAGCAACAACAACAACAACAACAGACACGAATTTCACTCTTGCTTAGTCCAACTATTGTTTGCCTTACTGCACGTTCCTTCTTCTTCGACAAACGGAGAATCAAGACTGCAAAAGGTACTCTCACAGGAAATCCAACAAGTATCAGTGCAACCCCTCAAGGTGGAGGAGGTTATGGTGGTTTGACTTCCTCTAATTCTGGATCTTCTTCCTCTCCAATCGGTGCCAAATTAAGGCAAGTGGCCTCTTCACTAAGCGATGGCGCTAACACCAAATCAAATTCCTTAATTTGTGATGAATCCCCTTCAGTTACCTTTTCGCAACATTCGGCGAATCATTCACATGCTTACAATCCATATCCCCCAACACATACACCTCATCATACAACAACAACATACCACCAGCAAACACCACCTTTAAGGGATTCTAGAAACCAATTGTCTCAGCTTGCCAATAACAGCAGTATTTCACACCAACAACAATCACCACAACACTATAACGTGGTGGTGTCGCCCTTGCATCCAGAACAAGCCCCTTCACCGTATTATATGGATGGTTATAAGAATCATCAACCACCTCAACGTCATTCGAATCAATCATTTAATCATGTTTCTGGTAGTCCTGCTGCATCCTCTGCTGGTGGAGGACATGGTTATTATTCAAACAATCAACCTATTAACCATGCAGTAAGTTCATCTTTTGGAACACCTCCACAACAACAATCAACCTATAGGCCAAGTTACAGTGCAAGTTCCTTAATATTTGATAGTAATAATGTTAATGGTAACCCTTCTCAAAATAATCATTATTATTCACAACAACAACATCCATCAGAGGTTAGATCTTCTTCTGGAAGCCCACCATATCCAACCCAATCACACCAGTCTCATGTAAAACAATCACCTGTGTCCACTGGATCCTCTTCATTACCTTCTCTTTCCTCAATTTTCTCTAATTCACCAATGACTGCACCGCCACCACCTAATAACAGATCAAGTCCACCCTCAAGTATGATCAATCCTCAACAACAACAACAAGTTTTTAAAAGTGAAACATCTTCATTTCCCATCTCTAATCCACACGGTCCACCTCCACCACAACCAATTCCTCAAACCTCCAACAATAGAAATCAATTTTATCAATTAAGCATTCCAGTTCACTCTCTCCCTTCTGATTTTATGGACATGCACGATTCTAATGAAATATTGGTGAATGACTTTTTGGAATTTGTCCACAACAAATATCGAAAAGCACCAAGAAATTTTGCTAAATTACAATAAAAAAGAGTATTATTCTTTCACATTCTTATATCTCTATTAATTTAACAAAATTTCATCTCTCTCCAACCTCTTTACGAAAGTAAGTATTAAAAACTGTAAATAAACAAGCACAACTCAAACAAGTTACTACTCTAAAAGACAACAAACATCCATGTGCACAATAATCATATGGTCATTTCCTTACAAGCAATGTGAAAATCATGTAGCGATTCCATTACCAAGTTATCAACCTTCCACCACTTTTTCTTGAATAGTCATTTGTAACAAGAGATACGAAAAAATTTCTTCAATTAAAAAGTCAACTCCTTCTATGAGTGAGTGATAGATAGTTCAGATTAGGTATTTCTTCCTAGGCAGAGATGGTAGTTTGCGGTTTGTTGCCAATGATATGGCGACGTGAACCCAATTGTTATTCGAAAGGGTGATAGTGGTAATCCCTAATTGTTTGTTAAAATGTCAACTTTGGATCCTTGTGTATTGATTTGGTTTTTTAACGCACTCATATTTTAGTCTCTACTTTCTCTTTGGTAATGGTTGGATCGCCATAAAGTGACAACTGACTGCTGTTTTGGTTTTTTATTGAAGAAATCACTTTAAAAAAATCAGCACAATATGAAGATTAGTATTATTGACTTTCAGAGCTCTCCTTCTGCCGCTCTCAAGATGAAGACCATGAAGGATTCTAATAACAAACAAACTGTTTCGAATAGCAAAATTATTACCAGAACAACTACAACTACCACTAACTTTTTCGATCCAAATTCTAATTCTTCACAACACCAATTCTGTTCCTCATTTACTGTCAACAAACCAGTGCAGCCAACTACAACACAGAGCCAGCTCACAAAGAACATGTCAGCAAATGGACAACTGGCAGGTTTTAGAGGAAAGACTCCACAAAGAAAGGCTAACAGTACCTCACCAACATTATCTCCTCAACAACCAACAGTTTATTCACACTACATGCTGCCAAATGTCATGACAAATCAACCTGCCAAACAAACTGTCACCTCACCACAACCAACCCGTCCAATTTCACCTCCAACTCAACATGATCAACAATTCAGATGGACTGTTACCAGACCTAACCAATCAACCAGTAAGATAATCAAATCAAGTCACCAATCAAGAAAGAACAATCAAACACACATGTATTTAAGTCAAGTACCAACTCTGGTTCAAGAACAGCAAAATAATTCATTACTAACGCAAATGCCACATAACATGCAACAAAACTATGCTTTTTTGGAAAGTCAACCTTCAAAAATATCAAAAATTCCAACTTGTACATCTCCTTCCAAAAATGGACAAAGTTCAATTAAGGGCTGTTTCAGTTTAGAGCAAACCCCAATCAATGAAAATCATGTAAATGTTTCTGAGGTGATACCTTTTTCAACACAACCACATCTTGTTAATGCATACCACAGTAATAGTGTGGGAAATGTGAATAGTCCACTTTCGAATGTTGGTTGTAAACCAGCTTTTAGAACTTCGATATCTTTGAAAGAAATATTGAATTGACAATAAAAACAACAAATTTTTTAATTAATTTAGTTCTTATTCGAATTAAAACATTGAAAATATTCGAAACTTTTAATCCATATCTAAATCAGCAAACCTTGCCTTGGCAGCCAATTCAATAATTTTCTCATCCTTCCTCAATTCCTCACTCACAAAATCCAAAGCTGATGCATTCCTTTGTACAGCATACGAAACAAGTGTTCGATCATTTCTCAACTCCTCACTAGCAAATTGAATTGCCAAAGCATTTCGAATAATTGCCTTACTAACTATTTCTCTATCATTTCTCAATTGAGGGCTAGCAAATTGCAAAGCCAGTGCATTATTCATATGCATATCATGACATGAAGGAATTCGCAAATGGGAATTGGCAATTTTTTCACCCTCAATTGCTCTCAAAACTATTTCTCTATCATTTCTCAATGCTTCACTTGCAAATTCTAGTAAAAGACCATTTTTACCAACCAACACGCGTAAAATTACTTGTTTGTCATTCCTTAGTTCTTCACTGGCATATTTAATGCAATTGGAGTATTTTGGAATAGTTTCTAATACGAAGGATTTATCTGCTTTGAGTTTCTCACTCAGAAATTCGAAATCTGTTGGATGAAAGTCAAGTAATCGTTTTGCACATTTTCTGTCATTGAGCAGCATTTCGTAAATTTGATTGAGAATAATCCTATTTTGATTCAATACTTGACTTTCGAATAATTCAATGTTAATGGTTTTGAATAATGGCTTCAGATTCGAACAATGAACGAATAATCTATTGAAAGATTTTGCAGCATTTTCCAATGATTTGTCCTTTAAATGAAACGGCAGAATTCTCACTAAATTATCCAACACATTTCTTTGCAATGAAGCAAAAATATATTTGGCAGTATACGAAACAAATCTAAACGAATCTTCCAGAACATCCAGAATGAAAGATTTCTCTCGGATCACATCTAATTTCCACAACGGAATAAAATATGGATTTGCTTCATCTATTAAATTATGAAGTGTTTCTCTCAAATTATGTTGTTTCGAATGAAAATCTCGCATTTTTAATGGTAAGAGGTGTGATTTAATAGTTTGATCCAGTAACAAGATCACAGTTAAATCCATTAATTGTGTTGCCATTTTTTTTTGTAATCTGATCAATGTTAAGAAAATATTGGTTGAAGGTTGACCAAATCTTGTTCGAATAAGAAAGGTGTAGTTACGTTGTTATTTCTGCCTGGTTTTGCAAAACACTATTTCTTCCAATACGATTTTGAATGTTAGATAAGTAAGCAGCAAGTGGAGGAATAAACAACACATTAAGGCACGTTTACGATAAAATTATTTTTTCTCTTAGTAAAAAAAAACAAAAAAATGTCTGCTGTGTTAGAATTGCAGAAAGGGAGCGTAAACTTTGATCCGACACATCATTCGTTCACTCTCGTATGTCCTACTTCTTCACTCCCTGAAAACACTACTAATGTGCATCAACATTTCTATTTGAAAAGGAAAGAAAGAGATGCCTTAAAGGAGTATTATCCTACCAACACCCAAGAAACATTTTATGAAACCTACTACGATAATAAGGACTTTACCAACATTAATAATAATACTTGGATAAAAAGTGTTTTTCACAATGATGGTGGTAAATCTGCCACCTTTTACTCCAAGCAAATGGAATTAATGAATAGTGACTATGTTCAATATATTGAAAAAATCATCAAAGAAGAAGATTTGGGAGAAGGTGTGGAACCGTTTGTAACTTTCAAGGTTGTTAGAGAGGTTAAAGATTTTGATTGTTACTCTGTTCATAGTGATACGATTACAATTTATGGAAATCCAAGGTTTACAGAACCAGAATTGTATGATGAGAATGTCACAGAGTTATGGGAATATACTGTTTTCACAATTTGTGCCCAAACTTCAATAATTAATAAGGATTCACAAACGTTTAAACCATTGGCTAGAAGTAAGATAGTGAAATATTTAGATCAGTTCGAAATTGATTTGTATTGTGATTTACAAAACAGAAATATTATTAAAAATGATGAAGAATATGCAGATTATGAGGGAACATTGGCAGATTATTGTAATGTCGATGAAATAATTGATTATTACAAAGAAAAATCAAAGAGGAAAGATTATAAAGACAACAAGAAGTAATTTTCAATATTTATTAAATGTTTAGTCAGCTTTAATGCTTCTCTATTTCACTTATTGATTTGATTCCTTCATCACCAACTTCATTTTCATCAATATTGATGTCAATTGTTTCATTTCACTCATTGATCTGACTCCCTCATCACCAATTTGATTGGAACATATCAAGTGATTGTAATTCACTCATTTTCCTTATATCTTGTGAGAATGGATGCTATTTGATTGTCAGATAACTTTCCACAACCTTGCATACGAAAATGAATTCCATAAAAAGGGCCAAATATCAAATCCTTAAAGTAAGGAAAGTTTTCATACTTGAATGGATTTGGGAAAAATCCTCCTAGTTTTGCCAACTTGTCACAATAGTCCAAATGATATTCTCTGTGGAAGAATTTGATTGGATTAATTGATATACTTTCTAAATTCGTTATTTTTGTCTGGTTGGCACGTTTGATTGCTTCCTTTGTGGGAATGGAATTTTGTCCAGCTAGAACAGAAATGGCATATCTTGCTTGTAGTTCACAGACAATTAGAGGATGAACTGTGAATGGAAGTCCAAGGAAAATCAAATTGGGATAATCCATATGAAATATATGCTCATAAAGCTTGGTTGTTCTACTCTTATTCTCGTCCAATTGTAAAATATCATCCTCTAAAAATGGAAAGTGTAATTCATATCCTGTCGATAGTATTATATAATCTGGGGCCAAACTTGTTCCGTTTTCAAATTTGATTTCCGATTCAGAAAAAGATACAAGTGGAGGGTGCACTTTCACTCTTCCAAATCCAATCTCTACAATAAGTTCTGAACTCAATCCAACTGTGTGATTTCTTGATGGATTTGAATTGAAAGGATGATAAAGTTTAGATTTAGGAAGTCTGTTATTGATGAAAAAGTTCAAAATCATGGTTTGTATCCTTTTGGGAAGCCATGTAAAGTATCTTCTTCTTGCCACATTGAAATCAATAGGTTTTCCATCTAAATATTTAGGTAACAGAGAGGCACCTTTCTGAACTGAAATGTAGGTATTCTCTGTGACTAGTGCAACTCTACTAGCAATATCACTTCCAGAAGAGCCACTACCAATAATCAATACTGTCTTGTCTCTGAAAATTTCATAATCGTCTTGATAAATTTTAGAGTGGAATACCTTTCCAAGCTTGTAGGTCTGTGCAAGATTTTTGAACTGTTCTGGTAATCTAGGTTTTGTATTCTTTCCATTGCCAACAATGACAACATCAAACTCTCTTTCAACACATTCATTGGTTAAAAGATTTTTCGTAATCACAATCCACTTGGTGAGTTTGTCCACATGATTCCTCTCAAAGAATTTACAAGTTGCCTGATCAATTTTATCCTTCTTCCTCACGCTGACAACCTCTGTATTGAACATGACATATCTCATCAAATCAAACTTTTCCACATAGGCCTTCAAATAATTATTAACTTGTTCACACGAAGGAAAATCAGGAAATTTCTCATTCATTGGAAAATCAGAGAATCCCATCAAATCCCTACTCGTATTCGTATGCAATGAGGCATACATTGGTGAGATATCAATATTATCCATCAAATTCTTTCCACTTTCCATCAATAATTCATAAAATTGCTTACTCTTCCCAGCCTGATTGCAATTCCACAATCCTCCAACACTTTCACTCCTCTCAAACACAATCACATTAGCAAAATCCACATCCGAATAATCGTGAATAATTGTCTTTAATGAAACCAAGCCAGAAACTCCTGCTCCAATAATACAAACACTTCGTGGCTTTTGTTTCGAAGGCTTTGAAAATGTTCTTTGTTTTTCATCACCAAAACTTTCAAATACAAAATTAAAACAAGCCTTTAATAATTCAATGGAATCAATTAGAAGAGATCGGAGTAGTGGAAAGTTACTTTCTCCACATTGTTCGTTTATGAATTGTTGATCATATTTGTTGTTGCTATTCTTATTGTTGTGATTATCAGGATAATGATGATGATTGAAATTCCATACAGTGTAGATGAGGTAGATTACGTGAAAAACATATCGGATCACTTCATACAGGAAGGAAGATATCAATTCAAACATTTTTTTTTACAGTTTAATTTTAGCAAAAATTTCCATTTTTAATTTATGCCAAATCCATTTTAACTTTTTCACAAATTATCTTGTGTGTAGTTCTTTAAAACAATAATCTCAATAAGTTACATTTCGACATATATATTAGGTAGATTTGAAGATTTGAATAATATTAAATATTGTATTGGTCAACCAAGTATTAACAAATAATATTTAAACTATTTAAAAAAAATGCTCAATGACGCAGCACACAAAAGGAAGAGAGAAGAATCTATCAAAATTTTATTAGACTCTTCCGATGATTTTAGTGATGATGAAACTGTTCAAGTCATGCGTGATGATGATGAAACTAATCAAAAAACAATTTCCTTTCGACAACTTAAGAAAAAGAAGGCTTTGAATTTAGTTGATGTTTTACCCAATAATAATAATTTAAATAATTTAAATAATTTAAATAATATTAATATGAATATTAATGATGATCGGGATGGAGAACAAACCACAATGAAGAATGAAAATGATAAATTTAATAATCGTGAGGAACAATTGAAGAAAATGTTAAATGAAAATACAACGGAGAGAAGGTTGAAAGAATATTTCTATTCGAAAGGATTGAAAGTGGACGATTGTGTTGGTTCAGGAGGATTTGGATCTGTTTTTACAGTGTTGATTGGTGAGAATAGGAAGGCCATTAAATGTATTACAAATTCCTCTACTGTTATTGGATTTCAGGAATTGGCAAATTCAATTCAATTAGATCATGAACATATTGTAAAAGTTGATGATTTTCACATTATTGAGGGAATGGTTTGTCTTGAAATGGAATTTATGGAGAAGGGATCTCTGGTTAGCTATAAACGAAAGCTCACTGATTCAATGCTTATTCAAATTGTAGCTCAGGTTTGTGATGCACTTTCATATATTTCCAAAAAGAATATTTGTCATAGAGATATCAAGCCAGGAAATTTATTGGTCAGAAGTATTGATTTTGATTTGGAAAGTATTCAGGTGGTTGTTGGAGATTTTGGATTATCATTTAGTCAAAAATCAATCAAAGAGGTGAACGATGGAGGTACTCTTAGTTATATGGATCCAATTATATTTGAATATATTGAGAATTTGAAGAAAATTAAACCTGAGGAAAGGAAGAATTTACCACTTCCATACGGTATTGATACAGATTTGTATTCGTTGGGTGTAACTATTGAGCAGCTTGTTGGAAATACTCCTACTGATTTTATTCGAAAGATTGTTGAAACATTGAAAAATCCAAATAGAAAAGAAAGAGTTAGTTTCATGCACAAAATGGCTGCCATTTCACAAGCCTACACACAAGCATTTAAAAATCCAAACAATTCAACATTGTGGCACAAACATTTGGAAGCTGCCAGCATTCATCCTTTCTGTATGGAACTATCTCCCTATCAACATAAGCATTTTGTATTGGAAGTCTTAAAGAGAAATGGAATAGCCATTCAGTATGTGTATCCTGAATATAGAAAAGATACAGAAGTTGTACTCCAAGCTTTACGTCAAAACGTTTGGGCAATTACAACCATTTCAGAAGAATTGAATCAAGATCCTAAATTAGAACAAGTGGTCAAACAAAATTTGGGATGGATAAAACCTGAAATTAGGAATAGATTCTCAAGAGGTGAGAATAGACATCGAGATTTGGATTTTTATTTAAATCTTGTCAAGTACAATGAAGAAACAATCATATTCATACCAGAGGAAATGAAGTGGAACAGAGAATACTTATTGAAGTTTGTATCAGTTAATGGAGCTTGTCTACAGTATCTGAGAGATTATATGAATGATTTGGAATTTTTCAAGATTGCTCTTCAAAATAATCTGCAAGTCATTGAATTCGCTCCACCATCAATAAGAGATGATTTGGAAATTATGAATGAAATTATTGAGAAAGATCCCGAACTGTTTAGCTATGCGAGTGCAAGACTAAAGGGAAATAGAGATCTAGCTCTCAAATCAGTAACCCTCAACCCGTACAGAAACTTTGGACAAATTCACAAAGATTTAAAAACAAACTCTCAGTTCCTTATTGATGTTATCACTAACAACCCCTCTATCATTGAACAAACAGCATGGTTTGATCCTTCTCTACCATTCTATGATGAATTAGCCAGTCAGGCACTTTCTCTTGATAGAGATTTATTCTTTAAACTTCCTTTCGAAAAGAGAAAGTCCAAAGCTATTTTACGTGAATTTTTCGAAACTGTTCTGGTAGACATGGTTATGATTGAGGAAGTTGTTGACATTCTATCTGGTAGCACTTCTCTAGACGAAGAAGCTTTACAACAACTAAAAGAAAGATATTTGGATGATCAGCAAAAAGGAACCATACGTAAGATTCTTCTTTCTATTCTCTCAGTGGATAGATACAAGATTCCAATGCCATTCCTTATTGAACTGTTTTCTGAAGATAGGGATTTTATTGAATCTGCTGTAGAGTATGGACAAGATTTCTTTCAGATTGCTTGTAATGATTTAAAATGTCAAGATGAATTTCTAGCTACATGTATTGATAAGGGAGTCAATGTTTCTCAATTTCCAAAAGAGAAGAGGTCAGATGCTGAACTTATGAAACGTGCCATCTTGAAGGATCCAAATAATTTCAGACATTTGGATGAAAATCTCAAGGAATCAATTGAAATGATACAATTATTGCTTTCTAATTATCCTAAACTATTCAATTTGATACCATCACATCTTCAGTATGAAAAGGAAATTATCAAAATAGCCATCCAATGCGGATACAGAAATTACAATAATTTGGCTTCACAAGCATTCACCGATGAAAATATTCTCAAGCTTGATGTGAAAGGATTATTGCCATTTGTTTCACAGAACTATTTACGAAATCACTCTGAATTTCTATTGGAATCTGTAAAAATCACAAATGAAATCAAGTATTTAGATTTATTACCAGATCATTACAAAGATAATGAGCAAGTCATGATAGAGTTTGTCAAATATAATGGCCTTGCACTGGAATATTGCAGTCCTACATTGAGATCTACAAAAGAGTTTGTACAAGTAGCTGTCAAACAAAATGAAATGGCTCTGCAATTTGCCTCACCTTCATTGCAAGTTGACCATTCTTTCATTTGTGAATTTTCAATTTTTCAAGAAATGAATAGAATGTAAATTTATTCCTCATCCTCATCAGATACATATTCTTCTTCTTCTTCAGATGCATCTTCTTCAGATTCAGAATCTTCTTCTTCTCCATAATCAAAAACTTCTTCAGTTGAGCTTTCACCTTCAGCTTGACGAATATCTTCATTATTATCAGAATAAGCAATTTGTCTCTTCAATTCAGCCACATCCAATCCAAAGATAGTTCCACAATCCACACAAATATCCATCAACATTTGATCACTATTACAAATATTTGCAAAACTAGGAGAATAACCATCACATTCCTTTCCACTTGGCAATGTACAATGTCCTCCATCATTATACTTATGATAAATACCAAGAAAATCCTTTCCTCCACACTTTTTACAAACATGTCCATGAGATTTCTGATATTTTCTCTTCTTCTTTTCCATTTCCTTCTGTTTACGAGCCAATTTTCTCTTCTTTACTCCTTCAACAACCTCCTTTGGTGTGATGGCTTTAATTTCCTTTGCAATAGCTGAGCGGAGAGCAGAAACACTCAATGATGTCTGGTCGCTTGGATAACTTGACAATAATCTGAAATTCTTCTTTGTTTCGATTTGATACTTGGAGGATAACTCTTCGTACCTTTCACATAAATTCTTCAAATCACTCTCATAGTACTTGTTGAATAAATCGTCGAGTCTTTGTTGTGTGTATTGTGCCATTTTTTTTTAATTTTTTTAATGTTGTAATGGGAGTTAGTGGTTATAACACTTTCGTAACCTCCTAAACTTCCATTATTGGCCACACATTCATTTACAGTAACACAATTAAACTCTCCGCTGTTTAGGAGGTTACGAAAGTGTTTGGTGGATAAATTGACTAATGTTACCTCGTTGCTAATTGAAGGGATCTTAATCTTATGTCCAATCATGGCCACGAGCTTTAAGTATAGAAGCAGATTACAAAAAATGCTTAACAAATCTCTTATTCCATTATTAAACACATAAATGAAACGTTTCATTTTAGTCAACTCTCCATTTTCACTCACAACAATCTTTCCAAATAACACATTCCTTTTTTGTCAATTTTACATTTGGAAACAATCTGTTAGTACACATGTATGCAACAACATAATCTTTCAAAAAACATATAAATACCCAATGAACAACATCCTCATTCAAAATCAATTCACACATAAAAAAACAACTCAAAAACAATGAACAAATTTATCGCTGCTCTAGTAGCAACCTTACTTTTGGCTACTTGCTTGGTCAACTGTCAATATAGCAACAATTACGGTACTAATTATGGTACATCAGGGGGTGCTGGTTCTAATTATGGAGTCACTGGAGGAAATTACAATCAATATGGACAAAATACTCAATCCTATTTGAATCAAGTGAATGCAGTCAATTCAAGTCCATACTCAAGTTATGGATCTTCATATACTGGACCAAGTAGTTATGGAACCAATTATGGAAGTGCCTACTCAATGCCTTTCTATGGTGGATACGGAGGAGGAATTCCATGCTATGGTGGATATGGTGGATATGGAGGTGTTCCATTTTATGGTGGTTATGGTGGATATGGCGGTGGTTATGGATATGGTGGTGGTTATGGTTATGGTGTTGGTTATGGTGGATATGGCGGTGTGGGTTGTGCTGGAGGTGTTAGTTGGTGTTAAGATCCAATCAAAGATTAGATTAATTTAGTGTTTTAATTTTTAGTGTTTTGATATTTCTAGAGTGAAGAAAGAGTGAATAAAAAATTGTTGAAATTTGTAAGAATTTTCCCGTCCTTTTCTTTTTTAAATGAAATGTTGATGAATAACAATTAACAATATGATAATAGTAGATCAAAAATCACATTAATGTGAAAATGTGTCAGCTGTTGCTTTTAGTTAAACAAAAAAAATGTCAAACTTTAAAGAAACTCAATAATCAATAGTGGATTATTTGTATCCAATTGGAATAACCGCCAATCCATTGATCATTAAACTCAGTTCTCTTCCTAGTTTCAATCCTCATGAAGATCATCTAATCGAAAGTAATCATTACGAAATACTAAACTATTCATCTGGAATTTCTGAAAGTGAAATTGTTGAGTCAACTGTCAAAATTGGAAAGAGAAGAATTGCAAATTATTGTGGATGTGATAATGTATGATAATATTGAAGTGTTTCCTGATGGTATAAATGAGGTTGACTCATTGGAAGAAACTTTTATTCGAAAGTATAGTATTAATTTGGAATATTTGGAAAGTTTTGGTGTTACTGAAAAGGCAAACCAAAAAGTTGCGTATTATATTGAAAATTTCGAATGTGGAATTTATTTGAATCATTTACAGAAAAAGAACTCATTTCTAATCCACTATGGGAATTATTCACCAAAGAATATAATTCTGACATTGACAGTTCAATTACATCAAAAGATGGCCTCACTTCATTCACTGTGAAATGTCACAAAACAATTCTCATGTCAAAAAGATTATTTTTTAAAGCATTTCTCTCAAAAGTGAGATTGCAACTTGGAATTCAAGTGAAATCTTTCCATACGAAACTCTTTTCATTATTGAATACATTTACGGAAAGGAAAATTTGGAAATTCCCAATCAAAATCTTTTGAATCTCATGAAGAAAGCTCACGAACATGAACTAAACGATTTGATTTAATATTGCACTGAAAAAGTTGAACTTAGGAAGCAAACAAATGGGCAGAACAATTGGAAGATTATTATGAGGAGCCAATTTTTTGCTCGACCATACTTTCTAAATTAGCACAAATTTGCAAATCTGTTCCTTGTAAATTTTCATTGTAAAGTTGAAAGAATTGATAATTGGAAATTTGTATTTGTTTTTATTAAAAGTAAAGAATAAGTAAAGAAATGAGAAGAATATTTTGTAATAAAAATTGAATTGAACTTGCTGAACTTTTTGTAATGTTTCCTGTTGTAAAAGTTCCGTAAGTGTATGGTTCGCTGTAGATCTTTACTGAGCATCCTCCACAGGTGGCATTGTTTGCTGCTTGCCAAATTAGGTATTGAACAGCTTTCAAATGTCAAAAATCATTAAAAAATTATTGAAAAAACATACCATCTCCAATTAAGGCATGAACAGATTTGGCATTAATCGACTGATATTGATTATTTACTTCATAGAAAGGAACGTAGGTGGCTGCAGAGAGTTTAGTTTTTACCAAAGTTTCGTATGTTGTTCCTGCATAAGCTCCTACAATAATTCCAGTTTGATTCAAATCATTTAAAGAAGACAATTTACGTTCAGGTTCCAATCCTGATCTCAAGAATCCTATTTTTCATGTATAATTTCGTATTCACATCATTAGAAAAATTTACGAAAGTTATTTTCATTAGAAATATATCAATTTCTTACCTTGAGCTGTAGTTCCATAACTACATTGGAAATGAGACACTTTCTTTCTCTCATCAGTTGGTGTAGTATTCGATGAAATCATATCACAATATCCAGAATCAACACCTTGTCTCATTGTTGCAAAAAATCCCAATTTGGAAGTATTCAAATATCTATATTCCACCTTTAAATTAATCTTGTAATTGGCATTAATCTTATCAACCAACATTTTGGATACCAAATGCTTGACTATTTCCCAATTAAATTCCACCACTCAACTAGAAAATCAACTTACCTTCATAATGTGGATAAATAGTTCCCAATTCAATGCACATGTTGAGTTGAGTTCTTCCAATAAATGGATTCTTAGTTGGGTATTTAGCTCGTGTGGTGCAAATTTCAATGGCAGGAACGTTGAACAGCATGAGTTTGTAGTATTGAAAACTAAAGGAAGTGTCAGTAATGACATCTTGCATTCCAGAATCGATGGCATCTGTAAATTCTTGAGTGACAGGCACAGTGCCCATTTCTTGGCATTGAACGAGAAGTACGCTCAATGAGAAGGAAAGCAGAGCTAGGAATAAACAATGGGATTTCATTGAGAATAAGGAAGAAATGAGAGCTTTGATTTTTTTTTGAGTTGAAAGATGGTGAGGGGAGGAAGAAAATGTGTTTTTATTCGAAAGGTGAACTCACCCCGTCTGTTTATCTCTGATATCTACGGATCTCTCTTGGGAAGAAAACGAAACACACTAAAATATTGCAAACGAGAATGTCTGCCTGAGGTTTCTATTACTGTAAATATTCTAAAATGGAAAAATTAGTTGCCTTTTATCTTGAAAAAGAGAAAGTTATCATATCTAGTTATCATTTATTCCAGGAACAACTTCGTCATCACATGGCTTGCAACCTCTTCCTTTTGGTTTTTTATCTATTGGATGATTCTTTGGATCCTTGACAACCATAATTGATGGTTCATAAACTGGTGGATCAACTACTAAGGTTTCCTTATTTTCTTTAAGATGATTAACAAATTCTCTGTATTTTTGAATACCACTGGCTTTTGCAAGGGTTGCCCGGAGGTGATTATGTGTACCTAAGGTATGGTCCAACATTTGGAACAAGTGTCTCTTGATAAAACTATGATCTGGTGGTGGATATTTCTCGCAAATGTTAATATATTCCTCACACAAATCAATTCCATTGACATGTTGACCTCCATTAAAAAGTGCTGGATTGCACAAAAGTGGATCTGCTGACATGACAGCATCAGCTCCTGTAAATTCCAAACAATCAATAACATCTTGATACATTCTAATATTACCATTAGCAATTACTGGAATGTGTGGTACGTGTTCTCTAATAAGTTTAATCATTTTCCAATCGGCATAGTTTTGATTGTGTCCTCTTTGGTCTCTCGTCCTTCCATGAACACACAATACTTGAGCTCCAGCTTCAAGAATTCTATCCACATATTTTAAGGTATGTTCTGCATCTTCAAAAATTCTAATCTTAGCAGTGACAGGAACTGGTAATTCCTTGTGTGCTTTTTCAATCATTGAACAAATTAAATCAATATCTTCCATCAAATAAGATCCATATCTTCCCTTCTTGGCAATTCTTTGTGGACATCCCAAATTCAAGTCAACTGCTGCAATTTTTTGGTTACTCAATTCCCAAGCTAACCAACCACATTCTACAAAAATGTTAGGATCATTGGCACAAAATTGAGCAAAAACTGGTCCTTCACTTTCCAAGAATTGGAAATGTGTCTTTTGATATGTTTCATCTTGAACGAAAATTCTTCCGTGGAACATTGGAGTATAAGCAAGTGTGGATCCATGATTTTGAGCTAACAATCGGAATGCTATTCACCTATTTAGTAAATTATCGTCAATGCTACAACAACTTACCCAATTCGCTTTGGTCTACCATTGGTGCAACAACATGTTTTGGTGAACCAATAGATTTCCAAAATTCATATCCTTTCAACTTGTTTTCTGGAACAATTCTCTCCTTCTTTATTTCATGATGATGAGAGGATGAGGTGGTATTTAAATTCTTTCCAACATAGGAAAAGTCTGAATCATTGTGAGCATCGGACGTTTGTTCGGATGATGTAGTTGTGTTGAGCATTTTTTTTGTTGAAATTAAAATTGAATTAGAAAACGGAGTGCATCATTGATATTGCATTGTATTTCTATTATTATTATTTAGCAAATAAACCAATACATCATCAAATTATAATAAAAATTGATTAATTAATTTAATGATGAAAAGAACGTACCTTTTGGTCATTTTAAAAAATTAAATTAACTTACATGATTTTTGCAAATAATTAATTCCTAGCAGGCGAGAAACTATCGAATGATGTCTCACCTGATGCTGCTGATAATTGAACAATTTCATATCCGATCCTCCAAAAAGCAATCCAATTAGATAACGCGAAATCGAGGACAAATCGTAATGATGTAATTTTTTGCAAGAAGAAAAATTCTAGAAAAAATGATGAACAAGCAACTGAAGAGTCGATCAAACTCTTCAGGCTTGATGGATTCTCTGATGAAGATGAACAGCACGGCAGCAAGCACTACACCCTTAAGATTATCGATTGATGATCATAGTGGTAGTGGCCTCCATATTATGAAAAATCCACTGCAAAAGTTTATATATTTATCGTGTTTCATCATATTCATAATTTTAATTGCTGGTTTTTCTGGTGATTTACTAGTGAGAGGAGAAAATCTTCGTGTTTTCTGTAGGTAGTTTGAGGAGTGAATTGTATTTGTCTAATTTATACAACAATAAGTGATTCCGCATTCACATATCGATCAGGGATGGCTGAGAACTGTTAGAGAGTATCAATCAGAAACCTTCTCAATTTTGGACAGTGTTATTGGTCAATTATTGGAAAAACCACATACCAGATATGTGTGGGGTGATGTTCTCTACTTTAAGGAGTGGTTCGAACAACAACCAGCACCAAGACAACAACAAGTGAAAAAGCTAATTAAAACAAATAGATTCGAATTTGTCGGAGGAGGTTGGATTCAAACAGATGAAGCTTGTGCATCATACACTTCAATTATTAACTCAATGACTGTAGGTCATGAATATCTTTTGAGAAGATTTGGAGTGAGACCGAGAGTTGCTTGGCAAATTGATCCTTTTGTAAGTTTTCACATCTCGAGGAAAGATTAATATATGATGAATTAAGGGTCATGACGGAAAAATTCCACAAATATTCAGCCAAATGGGATTTGATGCTCTCGTAATTAACAGAGTTCACTTTTCCATCAAATCTGTAATGAAGGACGAAAAGGCATTGGAATTTATTTGGAACATCAGCTCAAACAATACCATCTTCACTGAAGTACTTCATACTCACTATTCCAGTCCTAGAAATTTTGATTTTGAAAAACCAGGTGCGGAATTTATCAATGATCAAAATGTGGAAAGAAAAGCTCACGAATTTATTGAAGACATGAGGAAGAGATCTTCAGCATACAGAACACCATACATTCTTGTTCCAATGGGCGACGACTTTAAATTCAGAGATGCCGGAGCCCAATTTTCAAATATGGATAGAGTTATTCAGTTTTTGGATAATCATGATCTAGGAGTTAAGGTTCAATATGCCACCACTACTGAATACTTTAATGAATTATTCAAAAACTACGGTAGCAGTACCAAGTTCCCAGTCGTTAAACAAGACTTTGTACCATATGCTGACTACCCAGATAGTTATTGGACTGGTTACTTTACCTCCTTACCAAACCTTAAAAAGTCTGCCAGAACTGCTGAATCAGCGCTCACATCAACTGAAATGTTGTATGCTCTTGCAAGAGTAAAGATGACTCACCAAAATAGCATGTTCAACTGGGTAGACACATTTAATACTATTCAAAGATCTAGACAAACTGTTGGGTTGGTACAACACCACGATGCCATTACTGGTACTTGTAGAAGACATGTTTATAATGATTACATGTCCCAACTTGCTTCAGTCATTCAAGATATGAAGTCCCTTCACAAATCACTCACTCAACACGTTTTGGAAATTGATAGTAATAGTGTCTTATCAGATAGTTTGGATGTTACCAATGATGATCAACATTCTATCATTGTTTACAACAGCTTGTCCCACAATATCAAACAAATAGTTACTGTGAATAGCAAGTGTTCTTTGGCAACTATTTTGGACTCTGCCAAGAAAAACGTCGAATATCAAGTCATTCCAAATGTTGGAAGAGAAAAGACCGAAATTCCATTACCTTACAACATTCAGTTTGTAGCTAGTGTTGATGGATTGGCTTTTAACAGCTACTCTTTCAAGTGTGAAGAGCATTCTGAAGGAGATTTGCTCGACACAAATATCCTCTATGTTAAGCGAATGAGTCAACATTATGAACAATTCACCTCAAAGAAGATTCAAGTTCGTGACATTTCTTCAGCAAAGGAAATTCTACTTGAAAATGCTCATTATGCCTTAACTATTGACAAGAGTACTGGTTATGTCAAGAAAGTCACCAGTAAGAAGGATGGTAAGGTTCACGAAACCGTAAATCAATTCTTAGAATACAAGACACAAAACAGTGGTAGCTACCTTTTCAGACCAAACGATGATGGTCCAAGTCCTCTCGGATCTCAAAATCTCGAATATGTCTACATCTCACGTGGACCAGTTGTTGATAAGGCTATTATCAATACTGATCGTGTTGTCATGACTGTCACTCTTCCACATGAATTGGAAGATGAAAATTTGGAACAATATATTGATTATAGATTGGAAATTAATCCTCTTCCAGAGAATTCTGAAACAGTTGTAAGATTTGGCGTTGCCACAAAGGATGCCTCAGCTGGTTCCATGATCGTCTATGATGGATTCAACTTTGTTAAGAGAACTATTCATGAAGCTGCTCCAAAACCTGGTAAATTCTATCCATCAACAAATGGAGCTCTCTTGAAATTCCCTGACTCTCAAATTTCTGTCCTCACAGATCACGCCATGGCCACAACAGCTAACGGCAGAGAATTGGAATTCCTTGTCCACAGAAGACTCATGAAGGATGACTATAGAGGAATGTCAGAAGCAAACAATGACCAATCTTCTCTCAAGTTTAGACTTGCAGTTTCCTACCTTGCCAGAACAACCAATGATGATTTTGTCAAACTCCACCAAAAGTCCCTCCTCGTTAATAGACAACCTCAAAGCTATGCTGTTAGAGGTAAAGTTATTGGACAATTTAATATTTTCAACAAAAAGTTCCCATCCACAGCTCAAATCATCTCCTTGCAGGCTAGAGGTATTTCTTCTGATGAAGTTGCTATTAGATTACAAAATTTACATCCATCTAAGCCATTAACAATTGATTTTAGTACTCTCTTCTCTGAGGGTATTGAAGTTTCTGATCTTAGAGAACGTTCTCTCAATCTCATTTATGAAGTCAGTGAGGAAAAGAGAAAGTTGAGATTCAAGAAGGATGCAGTAATGAGATTTGATTTTACTAAAGAAGTTAAACTCAAAGGCGAAGGAGGCCAAAACACCGATCAAGAAGGGGTCTTCCTTTCTGATGAAGCTATTGCTGAAATGGAAAAGAATGCTGGTGGTAGAAAATTATTGGCCATTGGTGGTATTTCACCATACACCATTACCCTTCCTGCAACATCTATCAAATCTTACTTTGCTGCAATGACTTTTAGTGGAAAAGGTTTTGTTCCAATCTCTAAAAAGGACACTGTTGATGAAGATACCAACAATAAGGAAATTAATGATTTGGGATTGGAAGATGACGAAACTGTTGAGGAAACTGCTGAAGAAGAAATTAGAACTGCCGAAGAAGAAGATAAAAAGATTAATATTATTGAGGAAAAGAAGGAAGAAAAACCAATCGAAACCAGGAAGATTCCTGCTGCTCAAGTTCCTAAACCACCAAGAGAAAAGGTTCCATTCTGGGTGTTTGTTATTGTTGCCCTCTTGCTTGCTGTTTGTGGATTCTGCTGTCTTTCTCTCACTTTGATGGTGAGAAGAAGAGGTAGAAAGGACAGACCTAGTGTCTTGCCAATGTTCCACCAAGATAATGCCGGTATTAAAACTAAGTAAATGTTCAATATTTTGTTTAATTTCATAATAGAATAATTTCAATATGAAAAATTGTAATGGAATTTAATGTTTCAAGAATGAATGTTGATGATCCCATACTTTGTAATCATCTTGAGGTTTCTTTCCTCGTGCAACATAATAATATCCTTCAGCTCCAAAACATTCTTGTAAATTATAACGATCCACCACTCTACAATACACAGCATGATGATAAATGAAATTATTTCCATCCAAGGTGACCTTTCCAATAGCAGTCAACAATTCTCTTGCCTGCTTCTCAGTGAAATAAACATTCAAAGTCTGCAACACATTATCAATCTTTCCAGAAGTTATCTCTGGCATATTACTGATCAATTTGATAAAAACAGCCAATTCCTCATCGGAGGAGAAAGATGGCATTGGTGGAGTATAAACTGGAGTAGAATTAATTACCGATAACGATGATTGATCATCACCTGGTTTTGCATTTCTCTTTCGATAGCATGTTGAACAATAACCTTCGTAATTGTCATTGCCGTAGAAACCACAATTGTCTTTGCAGAGGGACATTTTTAAGAGTTTTTTTTTTAAAGTTTATGTTTTCTGTTTTTTTTCAATTTTGAAATGGAATTGGAACAAGGTTGTTCATTGTAAACATCATTGAGATCAAGATTAAATTTATATAAATTGGGGTTTTGTTCAATATTGACAGTAATGAAGAATTGATTTATTGTGTAATTTTTCATTGAAAAAAATCTTTTATTGCAATAATAACGAATCTATTCAGATTCTCTTTGAATTTGTAAATTTACATTGAGTCAATATAATAATATCTATAGGAGCGGCCGACAAAGTTAGAAATGGCTCCCTGGATCTCAGGCCATTTCTCTGCAATGTCTGGGTATTGTTGTACGTATCCATCTTCGAAGAATGTGGTTCCAGAATGGTGGAAGAAGAGTACATGGTGATGCTTTTCTGGTCTGAATTGAATATGAGTGAGTTTACACTCTCTCTGATCAAGAATATCAGATATTTTTGACAAGCAAAAGTATCTGGCACTATCCAGAGCAGGGCATTCATGAATATAGTGATTAAGGTCAGATTCTGTGTTACAATCATGACAGAAACTTTTACCCTCACCAAAATTGATGTGGGCATTTGAAGAGTTTCTCCAAATATAATATTTAGATTTAGGAGACAAATGGGATTTAAGGTAGCTGACGTTGATAGAGTTCCAATCTAGGTTAGGTATGTGATTGGGGTGACTCTCTATCTTGTCAAGCATTAGCCTTAAATGTTGTGAGGTAGTTAACCTCTTATAGTCAAAGATTATAATATCGTTCTTTGTGAGGATATATTGATTAAAGAGTAGTTTACGGATATCAAAGATTTTAGGTTTCAGAGTTGCATTCTTTGCCAATAAATCAACTTTGATATTTTCCTTATCCTTATGAGCTTCAACTTTCTTGAATTCATATTCAAGTTTTCTATCCTTAATGGTTTTAAAGAAGGCTTTTTTTAGTGGTAGAAAGTTTCCCTTATATCGTTCTTTGAGAACTTAAATTGCCACATTACTATCAGTATGGATTTTAATCTTGGAGTCTCTTGGGATAACTTTAGCTGCTGTAATAATAGAGCATATTTCAGCTACATTATTTGAATATTGATCATTAATATGGAGGGATAAAGATCTAACTGGAGTGTTCATATTGGAGCAATCATAGATATTAATCCCCATTCCAGTCTTTGATTCGAGTCTTGATCCGTCAGTGTGAATATCAAAATTATTTCCTGTTTTGATTTTTTTCAACTTGAATTTCATTTCATTTTTCTTAAGTGTGAGGTTGTATTCTTTTAGTACTAGTAGCCATTTCGAATAAATATTGTCTTTCGTTTCCTCACAGTGCTTGATACCATGTTTGAAAGCTTTCTTGACGAGTAAATTGTTACTGTTAGCAATTAAGGTCATGGTTCTTAGGTTCATTCTTTCAGAAAATTCTACAATAGATGGTAGTCCTAATCCACCTTTTTCTAATGGTAAGTGGAATAAGCTGGTTGGTGTTTTCCTGTCCATATATAGTTTTCTTCTAATTGCTCCTCTAATGGCTATATCAATTTGTTGTGCCTTTTTCAGAGGAATTAAGTTAATTTTAGAAAGGTGTGTAAATAAGCTAATAGCTTTAGCGTGAATAATTTGTTTAAGGTTATCTGGTTCAATTTTGAATAATGGGAGAAATTTCAAAGATTTGGTAAATTTTTCAATTTTGTTTTGGATATCTTGTCGAACCAGAATATCATCCCATGGATAATGTCCAAGTATCCTAAGGTTTTTTTGTTTAGGAATAGGTGTACCCTTAATTTTGGGAGATACTTTGCTTGTTTTAGGTAGTAGAGTTGCAACTGATTTCTTTGCATTTAGTTTAAAAAGTAGTTGACCTAGCCAGTCATGTATGTTATCTAGCCTGTCATTGTATTTGGCATATCTGTCACAGACAACATTCATATCATCTGCAAAGCAACAGAGTGCAATATCATTAGCACATAGTTTGTTTGGTTTGATTGGTATTTTCCATTTATCTATTGCTTTATCAATAATTAATTGTGTGATACAATCGTATATAAGAGGAGCCAATGGGCATCCTTGTGGGATTCCTCGAGTTTTTGTAAATTTTGTGGATAGATGATTATCAATTTCTAGGCTCAATTCATGGTTGCTATAGGCATTAATAATAAATTGAGTGAGTTCGTTAGGAAATTTACAATGGTCTAGTGCCATTTTAATCACTGACAATTCTACAGCATCATAAGCTCCTTCAATATCTAGGTTAACAAGAATGAAGGTTCTTTTCTTAGTTTTCATAGCTAATGATGATAGAAGGACACCATGATTTAAAGTGTTTCTGTCTGTAATAAATGCTTGTTGTCTCATATTTATATGAGATGATGCCCAAGATCTAAGTCGAAAGGCTATAATATTAAATAAAATTCTATAAAATGTAGGTAAAATAGTGATTGGACGAATGTCACTGAGAGAAGTGATATCTCTTTTAGGAATGAGTTTCACCCATCCTTGCTTCCAATCTTCAGAGATATCACCTATTCTTAGGCAATTATTAAATTCGTTCAATAAAATTTTCTGATTTTTTTCTGTGAGATGCTTAATAATATCCAGAGAAATTAGATCAGGACCAGGGGTATTTGATTTCATACGTTTTAAAGCTTTTTCCAATTCTTCTATATGGATCGAGTTGGTCCAATTTGGTCCTTCTTTAATAGTTGATCTACTTGGAATGAATGTTGGAAGTTGATTAGTCGAGGTAAACTTATTTGTAAAGTATTCTAAAATTTCCTCTTCTTCGAAATTAATATCTTTCCATTTAATTTCTTTGGAATGAACCATTCTATCAAATTGATACATTTTAGATGAAGTTCTATCATTGAATTCTTCTATCAATTTTTCCTTAATATGTTTTCCATTTTTAATATGAGTTTCTTTCAGTAATGTTTGTAATTCAGATATTTCTGATTGAGAAATAGTTTCATTATTTAATTTGTGAAGAATTTCTTCTTCCAAATCTTGAATTTCTTCTTTATAGGCTGTTGAGATTCGACCAACACCTAATCTATCAGTTTTGGAGCCATATTTGTTAATTTGAGTCAAGATAGCTTGATTTAACTCTTTGAAATTATCTATAGGAGACTTATTAATTTCTTCATATATTTTCTTTCTCTTACTCTTACTAAAGTAAGGTCTCTAGGTTAAGTTAGATTTAAATTCGAGATCTATATAGAAAGGAATGTGATCATTAGTGGTTAATGGAGGCATGAGCACTTCTTTAACTATTCTTATGTCTTTTGACACAAAGACATGATCAGGTTTCGATTCAAAAATATTAGATTGAACTCTTCTTATCCAAGTATTATTGGATGTTTGTAATTCGGTTAGTCTGAGTAGATTAAGTATCCATAGCCAGTCTTTTTCTCTTTTACTAGTGGGATTTCTTGTATCAATATTAATATCACCACTTAAAATAATATGTTCATCTTTAATTGTGAGGGCAGCATTAATAAAGCTATTAAGAGCTTCTTCCTCATTGTCATAATCATTAGATCTTCCACTAAGATAAATTGTGAAGATGTTAATTGGAATTCCACGACTTTCGAATCGTGTCCATTGTAATGTTCCAGGTACGAGATTATTATTTGTAATATTGCGCTTTCTATAATTATTTAGAAAGTGCATAGCTGCAGTACCTTTGCAACCTTTTCTTGTATTCATTAATGAGTTAAATAATAGGTACCCTGATCCAGAGTTTTTGACTTCTATTTCTAGTTCTGGGGTATTTAAGTGAGTTTCAGTTAAACTCATAAAGTGAATTCCATGTGTTAAACACATGGATTTCAATTCAGGAGTAACTGATTTATGGCTTGCGTGCTTATATAAACCATTTACGTTATCTTAGTAGTACCGTTTCAGTTTTACCTAGTTGTAATAAACACCGGAAATTTATTTATGTTTTTAACAATAAAAGCTGAAAGTAGTTAAATGATGATATTTGAAATATATATATATATTTATTCTCAAAGTCATTTACAACTAATAAAGCGAAAATATACAACACTTGACTTACCAAGGTAACCAAATTACTAGATTCTAAAGGAAATACAATATATATTCATAGTATTACTCATCATACTCAAGTTTCTATTACCTTAAAATGTTATTACGGCCA